TTGGTAAGTGTCTCATTCTTGCCCTAACTTTTTGGTATCTAATAGAAAATATAGCTTGATATTTTAGGTTACTCAAGACCAAATATTTTGCTAATATGGAAGGAGTTGGATCTGAATTATAATTAAAATGGAAGAGTTCTTCTGTGGAACGTGTTTTTGCTGCTAGGAAGGTTCTACAGTATTAGGATTATGTAGTTTTGAGTGCGTATGCATCACACAGTCATGCATACACAATATAAAATTGTTACTGCTTCCAATATCTTTAATCATTATTATCAAGTGAATTATTACAATGCAAATACTGTTTTCCCTTTATTTTTTAATCTTTGACATATTTTCCTTCATCTATGAACCTTCAGGTAATAAGGGATGCTACTCAAGGCAGTGAACTTGGGAAGCAAATGGCACTCTATGTTTTGGATGCATTGATTTGTGTAGATCATGAAAGATATTTCTTAAGCCAACTTCAAAGCAGGGGTTTCTTAAGATCTTGCTTAATGAGCATCAGCAATTTCTCTCATCAGGTGCTTGTTTAATAAACTATCAAGTCCAATAGCAGGGTGGTTTTGATTGTATGATACTAAGCATTATTAACATCATTAACCTTTATTTGACACGTTTAAGTTTAGCCAACTGTAAGATCTCACCTTTTCGACTTTGGTAAAATGCTTTGCCTTGTTACCTGAAATCCAAATTATCCAATTCCGGACAAGTTGTTAACCAGAAAACATACCTGAGTTTGGGTTGGGAACTGGTGGTCAGCACTACAGCTGTTCTACTGTATAGGAACTTTTGCTTTGTATTTAACTGCTATATTTTCATATAGTGCTTTGTTAATTTTGTAACGCCGGGAACAGGCTTTTCATGAACTTATTATAGGACTTTACTGGTCTGACCTTATTTTTAAATTTTAAACAAATATTTAGGCAGTTCTGTTTTAGAGAATTTTACACCTGCAGCACTATTACAAGTCTGACCCATATTGACAATTGAAAAAATAAAAAATAAAAAACTCACTTAAAAGGTAAAATGAAAGAAACTTTGCCATTTTTCACTGTGTAAAATCCTTTGAGGAAGTAACATATGTGCCCTCCCTAACCGACCTTTTGCAAACTCTTTCACAACCCAATTTTTAGTTTATATGAGTTTGATTTGATTTGAAGTTTGGTGAAGCTATTGTATTTTCTTCTATGATATCGATGTCTTGGTTTGTCATACTATCTTCTGATGATTTTTTTTTTCAGGTGCTCTTTCACGTTGCCTCTTTTACTTTTTAACTTCACATCTCACATAATTTTGCTAAAAAATTGTTCTAGGATGGTGGACAGCGAGCATACACTCTCGAGGCTGAACTTGCTTTACTACTAAGAATAAGTCACAAATATGGGAAATCTGGAGCTCAGGTTATCTTTTCGATGGGTGCTTTGGAGCATATCGCTTCATGCAGGGCAGTTAACTTTCTCGTAAGTGCTGCTTATGTGTTTTATTTATTTAAAAGAAACACAAACTGCTTGCTGTGCTTATTCAGAAAATTGCTTTTATCTCATTGCTGAATTTCATGCGAATGCAGGGAAGCTTGAGATGGGTTGGCACTAAGCATCAAAGAGATGTTCCAGTGGATATCAAGAAGCAAAGGATGGTTATAACTCCTATTCTTAGATTAGTGTTTTCTCTGTTGTCGTTGGTCGATACTTCTGAATTTTTTGAGGTTTGCCTTCCTTTATTTTCTTTTTAGAAAGATTTTGAAATTTCTGTGTTGGTTTTATCATGGCATGCTTCATCTACTAGACACAATTTTACCTGCTGAAATCCATTCAATATACCTTGCAATTGGGATGTTGGAATTGAAGAAATAACAACCTAGTAGCGAAATTGTTTTTATATCTTGAGAAGGCTTGAAACAAATAATAACTATTTCTAATGCTGTATTTTAAGTTGCAGGTCCTGTCAAATACTTGTCAAAGAGTGTGTTGTATCAGCTATTTGTTATTTCTAAAAACTTTACTTAAATAGCTTGCATACCTGTAAATTCAGTAAAAACCACTAACTTGTAAAGGCCACGTCTTGTAAAAATCACTAACTTGTTTTTTCTTTTCTTTTCTGTTTCTAAATATTTGCCAAGTTTTCTGTCAGTCTTGGTTTTCTATATTCAATGTCCTTTTGTATTTCAGAAAATGCCGTTTCCGTTATAATTTGGATTCATATAATAGGTGAAGAATAAAATTGTTCGAGAAGTCATAGATTTTGTCAAAGGGCATAGATCACTTTTTGATCATGTTCTTCGGGAAGACATTTCCGAAGCTGATGAATTGGTGATGGAGCAGATAAATCTGGTTGTTGGTATACTTAGCAAGGTAACTGTTCTTTATAATCTATTTTGGATTGCATGAATGAGTAGGATATGATCATATGCATTTTTTTGGGGCTTTTAACTGGATCCCTAAAATCCATTTTCCCAGTTTCCACATGTATTGTTCTATAAACTGCAATGCTGTTTATTTTTCTGCAAGAGTTTCCTGTCTACTTTTTTCATTCCATTTGGTTAGTAAAGGCTTACTTGGCTTGAGTTTAATAATGCAATGCACTTAAACGTTTCCTCCTTTGTAGGTTTGGCCTTATGAAGAGAGTGATGAATGTGGCTTTGTTCAAGGGCTTTTTGGTTTGATGCATGCTCTTTTCTCTCGTGACTGGGAGTCTGTCAGTTCTGCTCGATCAGTTCAATCCGTTGAGGTTTGCACATGTTCTTTTAAGGCAACGTAAATTGACCTATTGACTGTACAGTCCTTGTAATTTAGTTTTTGATATTGCTGTTTTCTGTTTCCCCTTGTTTGATGGCGAATGAGCAGAATAAGAGGAAGTCAGAGCTTAACTCGTTTCGATTATGCTTCAGCCTGAGCTCTTATCTATATTTTCTGGTCACAAAGAAATCACTTAGACTGCAGGTAGGTAGATAATCATTGGGCTGATCTGCATGCTATTAATGATTGACCTGCTCAAGTTGTATTGGCTTGATAGGTCTGTTGATACTTCACTAACGAACTTGCTTTACTACAGATCTCAGATGTTCCCCCTGATTACAATGCTGCTGTTCGTCTTCAACATCCCACATTGAGTTTGCTTTGTTCTTTTCTCACTTCTGTCACAACTGCTCTTGAAAGAGCCACCGAGGAAAAATCCTTACTACTAAATAAGGTAAAATTGGATTCAAACAACATATCCTGTTTTATCACTTCACACAAAAATTTGAACATTAAATTACTATTACCTTCTTGTATATAATCTGCAGATTCGAGACATAAATGAAGTATCAAGACAGGAGGTGGATGAAATTATCAATATGTTTGCTAAGCAAGTTTGTATGTCATCATCTGACAATATTCAGAAAAGGTACTCCTTGAGTTGTCTTTTCTTTTTCTTTTTCCTCCAGATTTTTCATTGAAATGTTTAATCATTTCAATAATGTCTGTCAATTTGTTGTGTTAAGTGAGTTTTGATAAAACTCCTTTAATTATAAGTTATAACCTAATGAGAAATTGTATATCTGCCCAATGCAAGTTATAGATATCAGCATATCCTTGAGATTGTCAGGCACTAGTGAGCAGAAAATACAAGTTATGGGTATCAACATATATTTGAATTTATGTTGAAATATATACTGATGATAGTGACAAGCAAGAGAACACGAGTTAAAGTGATGGATTTGTTTTTCAATTTACTTGGAAAAAGTGACAGTTATTAATTAATTGGTTTATCATGTCTGCTATTGTCCTTTGCTCAAAAGCAGCTGCAATTACATGTTCCCCATTAAGACGTAAAATCATTGTCTTTGTTCAATTGGTTTGCCCAAGTAGTTCAACTTCATCAGAATTAGTTTGTTTGATTAACACATTTTTCTTTTTTCTTTTTTCCTGGGTACATGAAGCATATAATTTTCTATTGGATTCTCTCTTCTTTTTTTTCCAGGAGATATATTGCGATGGTCGAAATGTGCCAGGTTGTTGGTATCCGAGATCAGTTAGTAACTTTATTACTTCCACTCGTGGAACATGTGCTGAATGTTTTCCTAATCCATTTTCAGGACAGGTATGCACCTCTTCGTTTCTTTCTTTCTTTTCTTTGTCTTTCGTTTCCTCGGAGAAGGGTGTTGGTTGTGGAAGTATGTTGGGGCTCAATGTTGTTGAATGGTGACATTTTTTGGTCAATGTTATTTTTTCTTGACAGATCTTTGGTATCCGATGCCAATGGATCTTTGAAGGCAATTACTTATGGTGCCAAATCTGACCCGGGTCAGGACATATCTTCGTTGTGTGGAAATCTGATTCCAACTTTAGAACGACTTGAGTTATTAAGCGAGGTCTGCTTCTTACTATTTGGCCCGGTCATTCTCAGTTACTAAGTGTGAAATTTTCTTTAATGTTTCTTTCTTCTCTTCTCAGGATAAAGTAGGCCACAATCTTAAGGTGTTTCGCAGATTAGTGACTTCACTCAAGGAAATGACGATCCAAAGGTTGGGATCGTGAGGATGCCCTAATTGGCTATAATAGTTTGACTCGACAAATTTCACATAATGTATTGCGTTATATGTGTTCTGATGTTGTAGTGTTGTATTATATTAGGATTGATTGTCATTAAGGGTATGCCATCATGTTGCAATCTGTAAAATGACGACTTTGTTACAAGTGTGCAAAGTAATACAACTTTTTTTGTCAGTCAAACACAGCTTTACTCTGTTTTCAAGCTGGAATTTGTGAGAAACATCAACTGTTGCAGAAGTTTTGATGTGAAATTCAATATCAAAACATCCATGAAGGAAAAAAACCCAGTGATTTGTTACATCAATTTAAGATTAGAAAAGTTAATTTTCTTGAAGTTAGAGGGCGAGAGTAATATGTTAGCATTCTTCTAGTCTTTTTTTGTACACGATAATCCATCAGTTCGATAAGTGAATCAATTAATTAAATGAATCAAATTCTTATACAACATGGTAAATCATCATGAGATCAAATTTGGAGGCAGGGGTCTGGTTGAATTACTCCGAAGGCAATGCCGTGGGCATTGGTGCAGTTAGAAGTCACATTCTGCCCTGCTAGAGCAGATCTAAGGTATATTGACTTCAAATATATACTGGTGCAAGCAACTGAGCGACTGCAATTCAGATTCATAGCTACACGGGAACTAGATGTCCCATACAATTGATTGAAGGAGACATCAGTTATGTGAACCCCAGTTTCCTACAACCAAAAAGTAGCACAAATGAACAAGATTTAAAACTAGGTTAGAAATCAGGAAAAAGAAGGGTGTGACTGGTTTACCATTTCCTTGCAGGCACCACTTTTGTTGCAGTAGTTTTGATCGATAATTATGGGGTTCTTGACGGACCAAAAAAAGATGTCCTCGAATGTGACCCGCCGGACATAGCCTCTGCCGACCTTTATGAACATGTAAATTTAGGAAGAAAATGCCATAAGACAGTAAAACTTAAAATGTGAGCATTTATACCACTTTGATTTAGTACCTGCCATGTCTTGATCCGAGCTCCGTTGGTAGTTCCTTGGAGGTGTACCTTACTTACATGAATGTTCTCTACCTGAACAAAATTCCCACTCCTCCCTAAGCTTCCAATGCTGTTGTATTCAAACACAGTTGAAAGGTAGGGCATCTAATTTAGTGATTAATGAGGTTATTTAATCTTGTAAAGACAATGTAATTAACAACATATTACCTAATTCCATGACCCGGACCGCATTTAACATAGGAGATGACTATGTTGGATGTATGGTCTCCAATGGACACACAATCATCACCTGTGGAGCAAAATAAGTCATTGCTGATAGACAAAATAAAAAGTATATACAGGAAAAGTTGGAATGTCGAGAAAAAAGACTGAGAAATTGTTAATTACCGGTGCCTATAATGGCGTTGGTGATAACCACATTGTGAGAGGCTGAGATGTGAATGCCATCAGTGTTGGGGCTCCTCTCTGGAGCTTCAATCAGTACGTTTTCTATGTTGATCCCATCACAATCTCTGATTAGGATATGGGTTTGAGAGCTGTTTACGAAATGAATCTCACTGATGCTGCTGTTCTTACACGACACCAACTTCACTGCCTGCGCTTCACCATCATATAAATAAGGCTTAATTGTTCTAGTGCCCCTGAAACTAAGGTCAAATGTTGCTTCAATCTGAAGATGATATGATATTTATTTAGGCCATGAGAATATTGTTATTGCTTACAGTTGGGGCCAATGTACTGCATCCCACCTGAAAGGTTGGCATTTGGCAACAACAAACTATATCAGAAGGGAGACGGCAGAGCAGATTAATTTACACAATAATATTAATATTAATAGGTAAATTTTATTTTATTTTAAATGTAAAATTTGGAAATGTACGAACCAGGCGTGGGTGGTCTCTGCATGACTGATCCCACCAGGCCTTGCCCCTTCCATTGATTCTACCAGGGCCAGCAATGTTGAGACCGCTTACACCGTTGAAAGCTAGCCATTGACTTGGGTCAAGCTCCTTCCATGCTCCAGGGGAGTCTGGTGCCAGAAGTCTCCCAAATATCTATTTATGGAAAATCACAGATCATTTGGGCAATACCAATGAAATATCAATCATTTGTCTTGATAAATTATTGCACCAACCCAGAAAACAAAAATCTACATATACATAACAAAAACTATATCAGAAAGATCTTTGACCCACCAAAAAATTGATGTTTTTAGCCCTGCATGGACCGCTGAAAACGATTGGATTGAGCAGAAATCTCTTCGGTGGAACGATTAAGGTAGGATTTTCAGTTTCTGAGGCGCATGCTGCATTCCATGCCTTCAAGAATGCCTGTAATCTCAATGATATGACATTAATTAGTGGATGAAAACTCATATCATCACTGAGAAAGAAAATCAACTGTAAGTTGAAAGGAAAACAGAGTTTGCCCACTTCGGAATCATCTATGTGGCCTCCACTGACAGCTCCATAGTCACTGACATCAAAAGTCGTTTGATTTGCATGTTCAGTTGAACAAGAAATACTGACAGAAACTAATGGCCCAACAAAAAGTAGCAAAAAATAATGACCACCCTGCATCGATTCATACGAAAGCAGAAAGCTTTTCAAAATATATATTAACAATGGGAGGGAGACAAGACAATATAAAAAGAAATGGGTTTTTGTTTTTACATATGAAAACCAATTTATAATATATGCTTAAAAATCTTCATTTCTTAGCAATAACTTTCCAAAAAAATCCTAATATATAGCAATAACTTTTATTAACACATAGATTTGACCATGTAAAACAAATGTAAGTGATGAAACTCATTAAACCTGAGATCTGAAAGACCCAAAATCACACAAAAAAAAGTCGTGAAAATGACAACAAATTAATTATAATTAAAACATCTATACTGAGTCATAAATAAATGCTGTAGAGGCTAACACTTAGCTTCTTACCATGGCATTCGTGGAATTAAGATACCACCAAAAGGAAGCAGCAAACTTTATCGTATCTGCAAGAACATGGAGAAACCAAAAAAACAAAAACAAAAACCCAAATGGCAAATTATGAGTTTTAGATTTATTGATTATTTATCAGCAAATAGAGCAGTCTAAGAACTCTTTTGGGCAGTTATAAATGATAGGAAAATAAAAACGTCAAGTAACTTAATACCATTCAACTGAACTTTAACTCAGATAAAATCCCATACCGCTTCATTTTCCCAGTAGCTGCTTGACAGTAAAGGGATGTTAGCTAGGATTTCAAATGAATTTAATTCTATGAGCATATGCAGGGGATTTGGGAAACTCCGTATATTTTGTGCTATGCTCCATGGCCATATGTTTTTGTCAACCCTTCGATTCGATGCATTCTTTCGTCTAAATGAGGACGAGAATAGCATTGAACTCACTCTTGTGTGGAGATAAGTAGTATGAGTTTGGAGGAAATCAGAGTTACATCTTGAAGTCCTTTTTTTTATTTTAATTCTTTCATATATATATATATATATATATATATATATATATGGGAGACGAGCAAGTAACCTGATCACATTGATGCAAAAAAGCTTCTAATTCTGCATATATGCTGCACAACCAAGTACAGTAGTGTTATAAAATTTATGTTTCTGTATCAAGATTCAAAACTGCTAGTTATAACACACGCATTAAGTTAAGTTATGAAAAACGTTTATATATGCATCTAGAAACGAATTTGGTCTCATCTATTTTATCTTCGTTTTTAATATATGAGCTGAAGAGGGCGGGAAGTCCAAGTTTTATCATAACCATTCAACCGAACGTTTCGGTTGAATGGTTAGCAATCCTTGTTGAATAGAGTAGCTTCTGTGCTGCTTTCTTTTATGACCAAAGAAGCAATTTTAAGGTTGGTGTCTGTTAGAAGCTCCAACATTACTGATGTTGTTGAGGAGGTTGAATGGTTAGCAAGAAAATGGATGAGCATTTGGTTAGTTTTTGTTTTCCTTTGTTTTTCATGAAATGGATTTCATTTTATTTCATTCAAACATCAAGCAAAAGCAGCTTAATTTGATTTGGCAAGTCTTGCTTCTTCAATAACATGGTATGATCATCTGCTGCTGGCAAGCATTTCTGTTTTGACAACTGCAGGTGTATCAAATCAACCAAAAGAGAGAGAAAGGCATGTCATCTCCTTGGGCTTGTCTGTCTCGGCCTTTTTATTCTGGGCTGGTTTAATAAACCAATCCAATTCAGAATATATTTGAGTGAGTTGCCAAAAACTATTTTCTAGCTCAAAAAAATAACAAGGATCCACAGAAGTGAGCAAACATTGGTTGAGCATCACACAAGTTTATAACACCTTCGGCTGAGTTGCCCAAAACTATTTTATAGCCCAAAATAGGATTTTGGGAGAAACAACATGACAGAGTTTAGAACATTTTGGTTCAGCTGCCACAAACTGTTTTAGAGACAGTTATCAAAATTGATACAAAAGTAAGAATTTCCTTTCCTTCAATCCCATCCAGATTACAACTTCTCTTTTCCCATACAAATCTTCAGTTCTTACTCATTCATCCCAAATCGGCCACCATCTTTGTTTTGTTAATCCAACTTTTGTTCTATCTTCGCTCTGTTTTTACTGGTGCCCGATTGTTTTTTTTTATCACCGGTGGTTCTGTGAGTTAAAATCTTAGCCGCACATCTGATCAAACGGCTCAGAAAGAGAGCTCTGTAACCAAAATCCATAGCTTAAGGAAAGAGCACCCTCGTACGATACAAGTCTCTCAATCTTCACTCTCTGTGGACTACAGACAGCTGAAATTTGAACACTCTCTCCCAGATAATCTTCTAGAGCAACAAGCAACTGCAAGTATCTGTATCAGATCCGATCTTAACTTTCCCGGAAAATCACTCATTTTCCGAGAAAATCACCTATTCTCCCGGAAAACAAACCCAAACTCTTCCCACTAGTTTTCCAATTTTCCATGGCTAATGCTTGGAAGAAAGAGAAACCCATGAGACCCCTATTTCTTCTCTTCTCTGTCACTCTCGTCCTCATCTTCATCTTCTTCTTCCTCGCCTCTCGCCCTTCCTCAAACCCCTCCCCTCCAGGCCTTCACCCCACCATCAGAACCGATCTCCCGATTTACCCAATCCCACCTTTCAACTGCGAAGAGTGCCCGCAGTCCCACCCTGTAATCGCTAACGTAGTCGAAGGCCTTAGCTACCCTTTCATCTACTCGCTCGCCGATTTGGGTAGTTTGCCCGAGAAGCCGCACAAGGACATCGTCAGATTTCTCAAGGGCAAGCCTTTTCGGAGACCCGATATATCGGCGACGATTCAGGGGGTTTTGGAGAAATTCAAAGGTGAAGGGAGGGACAATGGGCTTGTGGTGGACGTGGGTGCCAATGTGGGCATGGCCAGCTTCGCCGCCGCGGTTATGGGCTTTCAGGTGCTAGCTTTCGAGCCCGTTTTCGAAAATTTGCAGAGGATTTGTGATGGCATTTACTTGAATCGTGTTGGAGATTTGGTCACTGTGTTCGAGGCCGCAGCCTCCGATCACCCTGGCAATATCACCTTCCACAAGGTACCGTCTTTTTTCTTTTCTTTGGGTTCAATTTTAGTCATTCTTGTTTTGCCTTTCTGCTTCTGTTTTCTTTCTTTTTTCATTTTGAGCTTTATTTTGAAGCTTTTATGCTGTTGTTGGTTGTTTCACAATTTTTTGTGATTACATAAGCCGGTACCTATGACTGGTTTATGAAATGAATATCCTTTTTGGTTTCTTTTCTTCCAACATTGTGGAAGTTGAAACTTCAAAATTAATTTCAAATTGTTGAAGATGAGTAAATAATATGACATTTGCAATTTGAGAATACATAGGAAAGTAATTAGGGTGATTCCAACTTTGTTTCTCCTAGGCATATGGATATGAAAATTTAATTATGTGCTATAGTTACATGATGGGTTGAATTGGTGGTCATACTGAATCCATGGGAACCTAGGTTGTGCTTTTGATTGATTGAAAATCATGCATTGCCTTTAGGTCTGCTGCCCTTTTTTAGCCCTTGTTTCACTAAGAATATGAAACATGCAATACATGATGCTTACGATTAAATACTTGAGAGAGGCTGAAATATTAAACGGCATTCCAATTAGCACAACCAATTCTCTTTATGGCGTGTTGTTTGATTTATATAGGGAAGCAATGGATCATGTTTTTTCCCATTCTTGTCTGATTCGTTCATCATTTTTATAACAACAGATAACTATTAATAAGCTCTACAAAATGTTAATTTGTAATGCTGTGATAATCTCCTGTCTGCTGCGTTTCTAATGTGAATCTTGCTTATGTGACCAGTTGGTCGGTCGGATGGACAATAGTGCTATTTCAGCCGCTGGTGCAAAGTTGGCCTTCAAGAATAAGGAAGAGGTGGCAGTTCAAGTAAGAACCATCCGTCTTGATGATGTAATCCCAGATTCAGAGCCTGTTCTTCTGCTCAAGATTGATGTTCAAGGCTGGGAATATCATGTGCTGAAAGGAGCGTCCAGGTTACTATCAAGGAAGGCAAGCGAAGCACCCTATATCATTTATGAGGAAGATGAACGGCTCTTGCAAGCCAGTAATAGCAGCACAAAAGAGATACGAAATTTCCTACGTGGTGTGGGTTACAATCATTGCACGCAGCTTGGTACAGATGCACACTGCACCAAATTGGGTTAGCATGTATTTCGTACCTTCAGCTTTGCCACAAGAACCAGAACCAAACTACCGTGTCATGGTTGGTTTGCGTATAATCTTCTGAGACGGATTAATCATACATGTTTCTGTCAGATAAGTTAGACATTTGGTCTTACACGGGTATCACTAGAACATGGTGAGAGAATGGAGTCTGTAGATGCAGGGCCAATGCACAGTGGTTGAAGGCAAGCTTTTTGAGAGGAAGAATATTCCCTCAAGACATTGAAAGGAGATCTGGTTCGGAAGAAGCTGCTCGTTGAGCTCAACTAGATTTATCTTTATATGTTGGCCGGCATTCTTTTCTTACCAATTGGCTTTGGTTTACATTTTGTTGGTGCAGTGTGCCTTTGGAGGCTTTTAATTGTAAAGTGATTTATTGTTGCCTGATGTTACTGATGCATTTGAGAGACCTTCAATTTCTTGGATTCACTGAGGATGTTGACTTCAATATTTGTTAGTTCTAGTAGACACCATATACTTTTATCCCTTTCATTGCTGTGCGATGAAGGCACTCTACTGGAAACGTGTACAGGGGAAAAGAAAACTGAAAGTATACGCAGACGCTTACCTGCACTGCATATCAACTAGCTCTTAATATACGGTATATACCTATTACATTTCTTTTAACAAATACATATGTTGATATACCAATATTATTTTTTCCGGTTAATATACCTTTTGATGTTTATTTATATATTTGACAAAATAATACTTATATATGGTGATTTTTTTCCTATTGAGAGAAGCTATGACATACTAAACTCACACATACTATATGGATGCTAAAACTTGAACGTAGGGACCTTTCTTGAGAGAGCAATTGTTCCAAACCGAAGTCTTATGCTATATATATGGTGATTTTTAATATGCCTATGGTGACCCTACCTTTTTCTTTCCTTGGTAATTTATTTGTGTATTATTGGCGTTTCTTCCCTTTTTTATTTTAGTATAAATGGTTTCTTTTTGTTAATGGTGTGCTATTTATGAATTTGTGGAGGTATTAATTGGTTTCCATTATGAACGGATAGATTCTTAACTTAGATTATGTATCAACGGCTGGGCTTTTTCCGTTTATTATACAAGGCATCCTACAAATTCAAAACAGCCCAGCCCAGCGCAGCCCATTAACTTACAATCTAAAAAGATTCCCGGAATTTATTCTCTCCCTTTCACATTCTAAGTGTGATAGATAATAAAATGCTGTGAAGGTAAACATTCTCTTATAAGTTATAATTATGGCAAGAAGAAACTGTTATCAGTCAACCTCACACTCACAGAAACAGAATCACAGCAAGATGATCATGAGATGGCCAACCATCCCATTAGCTATGTCTGGAAAATTTCCTACAACCAACAACCGCGGAGGGATATTGCTCCGTTTACGCAAGGGGACAAGCTGACTAATTTAAAATACAAAGGAGAGAGAAATTTTGTAAAAGAAGCCAAAATGGACAAAATTGTCCTTATTTATTTTTGGATTTCCTAAGGAATCCTTTACATTTGCATGTCTTTGATTTGAAAGTTGAGAGGTTTTTCTGTCTTTTTTTAAAAAGCTTTGGCTTTTTCCAAAAGTGAAATTTTTTTTTGGCTAAAACCTAAATTTACTTTTAAATTAAGCTAACCCTCCTTGCTTTGCTCTCGACCGGAAAATGCTTCGGACGGGTCAGGCCAATATGCATTGGGTCTTGCAAATTAATTAGTTTTATACAAGAGAATAGAGAGGGTGTAAGACGAGACGAGACGAGACACTATAGCAATGCAGCTATATATTATTTTCTTTGGTCATCATCTGTTTGTATTGATGTTCCTTTAATAATAAGATGCAGCTCTTTTGTCACTGCCTATAGATTGGAAATGAAATTCATTACAATCTAGAACTATATATATTATAGGCTATAGTTGGCTGCTTCTTCGCCTGGCGGTGATCAATTGACCGATCGAGCTTGTTATTTTTGCTTGTCCTCGTTTTTATGATCAACTTGTGGCATATAGTAGGTGGCAAGTATTATATCCCAAAACACAAAGAAGGGCTGAGAGAAGTTATACTTGGTTCCATGAGGCTGATGGTGAAGAGCATGGTAACCACTATTGTTTCTGAAAAATACATGGAATGGGTTCCAAGGGATCCATAACCCAGAATGATCGTCCACAGCTTTGATCGTTGCAAAGGAGAAGAAGAAGATGGAGGCTCGTGTAGACATTCCAGACACCAGAAAACTTATGGCCCCGCTCATTGTATCCACCATAAGTCCCTCCAAAGGGTGATTGTACAAAGCTCCAAACGCGTAAGGAGCCACTAGTCTGTGATGATGCGAGTGGATATGCTTGTACAAAAACTTATTCTGATGCATGTATCTATGCATGAAGTATTGCCACGTGTCCATTACCACCATGGCAGTGGCGAACTGAAAAATATGCCTGCATGCAGATGCAGCGGCTCCAGTCCCTCCTCCTGCTGCAGCATGAGCAGCCGCATGGACATCATGAGGATTTGCGCCTCCAGCAAGCAAGAACAACAGAGCCGCAATGATGGCCTGCAAGGATTGCTGCACTAAGACGCCTTTGATTACGGTCGATCTGGATACCAAATTTTTCTCATCTTGTTCTTCAGTTGTTTGCATTTTGTACTTGGGAAATGCAGTTTCTATGACTGCAACTATGCCTGCATAAATCCAATATATGAAGATTGGGACAAAAATTCCCAACACTTCATCCGAATTTTTAAAGTTGATACCCATTGGAAAATTCATTACCGTACTTAATAATTGTGACGAGGGGGCCTTGTATCTATAGGGAGGGGGGTCAATTGGGTCCTGGGATTTGGTATTATTATTATCATCTTCTTTGATTGGATTTGGTATTATTATTACAAATGCTAGGTGGCTAGGTAGGTACAATAAATTTGCAATCCCTGTGCACAATTTACATAGTTGTTGCAATCCCTGTGCACCGTCCGTGAAACTTCCCAGCCTATGTAGAATAAGGAAGGAAAACAGTCACAAATATATAGCACTTTAAGTCTTGGGCTAATATAGATATATTCCTAGCCAGATTATCCTTATCTTGGCCTCTTTGTACTGTAAATAGTCTGGGTTAATGGCAAAATTCTAGCACTAAAACCCTTGTGCGCTGCGCACTAGTTGGTTTGACAAAGACTTTTATTTCCATTTGAATTGGTCACTATACTCATATCATACACAATTATTCTAATTTCTTAATCCGAGATATCTCCATCCTACCTACGGCCAAGATTTCATAGGACGACGATGGTGACAAACAAACGTACGTAGTGCAAAATCTCACCTTTGTTTGTTTGCCTTGTTTGCTGTTCTCTCTCTCTCTCTCTCTCTCTCTCTCTCTCTCTGCTTTTGCCTTGATAAATTAAATTTGCATTGTATTTGTCTCCTTTAAAACTGAAGAAGGACCTGCGTGCAATTGGGTACGTAGTGTAGTGGTAATCTTATCCTACGTTCGTTGAGAGAAATACATAACTGGAGTCTGGAGGAGGCTTGTTGCTGGTTTCATATAATAATATATAAGGAGATGGATGGATATATGAAATGAAACCCTGCTTTCGATGAATATTAAAACACGAAAACGAAATCTCTGCCTTATGCTGCGGACATTTAGGCTTGCATTGTTGTCATGAAGCTTAACTTAACTGGAGATTTTTGAATCCGATGTTATTAATAAGAGATGAACTTTCAGTTTATTATGACAATCTGACTATTACAATCCAAATTCCTTAACTCGATAAGTTAATGAATCAAATATGAATATCATTTAGCTTTTTATGTTTATTATTACAGATTCTTTTTCTTTTTTTTTTATTAAGGAAAAATACAGATATATCATTTGGTATCGTCATAACTAAGTATTTCCCCAGAATAAAAGGGAAGTTGAGGATCACATAATCAATTATATCAATTAATTGGAGAGAGTATTTTTCAATGAAGGACAAAATTAATAGGAAGCCCAAATGTATTTGACCTGTATATTGTATTCATGCTTCCCTCATTTCCACTCCAGGAGGCATTCCTACTTCGTACAAATCACAGTTTGACGCATATACAAAAATAATTATTTAGGGTCATCCTCTCGTTTTCTTTTCCATAGATGAGAATGAGATCCCCCAGAGAGGGAGAATTAACTTTGTTGGCTGTGTGACATCATAATCATAGACGAAGGCTTTCGGCAGAGATTTCGTTTACTTTACTTGGTCTACGAATACAAAAACAGAGGAGGAAGAGAATAGTATCCGCCATTGCCAGCCAAGCCATGAACCTCGAACTAGAGCAGCAGCACCCGCCAAACTCCAAGTCTTCCCCTGAAGGAGAAGGAGAAGGAGCCGACGATCAAGGGTCGAATCTGAAAATGACGTCATGGGCTGCTCTAGAGCGACTGCCTACTCGCTCGAGAATAAGGAGAGGTATCTTAGTCTCCCACGATCAACAAGAGCAGCGTGGCCAAAACAGAGAGATTGATGTAAAGAAACTTGAGCCAATAGAAAGGAACAAGTTGCTGGAGAGGCTGCTCAAGATTAATAATGCTGCAGACGACCAAGATAATAATAATGGCGCCACGTCTTCCTTCTTGCTCAAGCTCAAGGACCGCATCGATAGGTAATTCTTCTGAATGCTTGCTGCTTAGCTTTGAATTATGTACTCTCTGCATTGGTTTGGCGGGTTTTTAATTTCTCTGTTTCTTAAATTCTAAACGCAGAGTTGGACTTGAATTTCCAACAACTGAAGTGCGGTTCGAGAATTTGAACGTTGAAGCACAAGCTTACGCAGGAAGCAGGGCATCACCTACCATGCTCAACTTCTCCATCAATATGTTAGAGGTAAGAAATAAATTGTTCATCTTTCTTTTGAATCAAATTTTATATATGTATTTATATATCCATGACATGTATGTATGCAAATGGAACTAGCTGGTACATATCATGGTTGTAGCTTAGTTTCACCTAGCTGGTACATATCAAACCAACCAACCTTTTTCTTTTTGGATTTTAAGGGGTTCCTGAATTGTTTTCACATTCTTGCAAGTAAAAAAAAACCATTGCCAATCCTCCATGATGCAAGTGGAATTATCAAGCCAAGAAGGTAATTAGATTCGATTTTCAAGCTGCGCCTCCACCCCCTGGCGCTTTTCATGCATCATATTGATCATCTTCTGGTCTGATTTCTGCAGGATGACACTACTTTTAGGGCCCCCAGGCTCTGGAAAGACCACATTACTATTGGCATTGGCTGGAAAACTTGATAAACATGATCTAAAAGTAAGCATAAGGATATCATTGTCATCATACTAGTAATATCTCATATTTAAATTTACTGATTGGATGTAAATGTAATGGATCGAATTGCTTCATTACGACTTGACTATTAGCATTCGGGGAGAGTTACATACAACGGACAAGGGATGGGGGAGTTTGTACCGCAGAGGATGGCAGCTTATGTTAGTCAACATGATCTCCACACACCAGAATTGACAGTGAGAGAAACGTTGGCTTTTTCAGCTAGATGTCAAGGGGTTGGACCACGTTCTGGTACTCTCTAACTCAAAACACCCTTACTCTAGTTTTGAACAACTCTGGACAATCTGAATTGAGTTATTAATTTTTTGCATTTTGGAAAATTTTCAGAAATGTTGGTAGAATTATCAAGGAGAGAGAAGGCTGCAAATATTATGCCAGATCTTGATCTTGATCTCATCATGAAGGTATGAACCTAGTTAATGTGGAACTGTTTCATTTGTATTATTCACCAATTAACAAGATGCTGCAGTATCAGCTGATAGGCAATTTAGTTTGTACTTGTTCCTTGAAGTAGCATTTCCATCTTCCAGAATTTCTTCGCAGTTCAACTTCTTTTTTTTTGTTGTTGTTGCAGGCAGCAGTACTAAAAGGACAGGAAACCAATGTTGTTACGGATTTGATACTCAAGGTATGTACCCGCAATTCGTCCAAGTTAATGCCTTACATTACATAATATAAAGATACTAACTCTCTTGGTCTATATACTTTCCGTTTGAGCTAAAAAGAGTTTGGAATTTTTTGCTAATAAAACTTCGCAGGTTTTGGGACTGGAAGCTTGTGCTGACACCGTGGTAGGGGATGAAATGACCAGAGGTATATCTGGTGGACAGAAAAAGCGAGTCACGACAGGTAGAGCTATCATAGAAATTGTAATTCCAAACCCTGAATGTCTCACAGGATAATTAGGCTGATTCTTATAAATGAAAAATGGCCAACAATTACAGGGGAGATGCTGGTTGGACCAGAAAGAGTACTTTTTATGGATGAGATATCAACTGGCCTGGACAGTTCAACAACATTTCAAATAGTGAATTCACTGCGACAATACGTCCACATCCTCAACGGAACTGCATTAATCTCCCTCCTGCAGCCAGCACCAGAGACTTATGCTCTCTTTGATGATATAATTCTCCTCTCGGATGGCTACATTGTGTATCAAGGCCCCTGTGAGAATGTGCTTGAGTTCTTTGAGTACATGGGCTTCAAATGTCCAGAGAGGAAAGGAATCGCTGATTTCCTACAAGAAGTAACTTAACTTAACTTACTCATACAGTTAATGACATATATCTCCTCCCACTAATTCAACTTTCATTTTTGTTTTGAATTCAATGATAGGTGACATCAAGGAAAGATCAAGAGCAATATTGGGTTCATAGAGATAAGCCTTATGGCTTTGTAACAACCAAAGAATTTTCTGAAGCAATGAAGTCATTTCACATTGGTCAAAAACTTGGTGATGAGCTTGCTATTCCATTTAACAAGTCTGAAGGCCACCCTGCAGCTTTAGCAACTAAGAAGAATGGTGTTAGCAAGAAGGAACTGTTCAAAGCTTGTATGGACAGACAAATTTTGCTTATGAAGAGGAATAAGTTTGTCTACGTTTTCAAATTGGCGCAGGTACAAGTAGTATATAACAGGTTTAGCTCATCTTCGATTTTAATTTCAGCAAATGAAGTGCTTTTGTTGTCTATGGTTTCAGCTTATTGTAGCTGCTTTTGTAACAACAACGTTGTTCCTACGTACTGAGATGCACCGGAGCACAGTAGAAGATGGTGGAATTTATATGGGAGCTTTATTCTTTACACTGCTCTCAATTATGTTCAACGGGTTTGCAGAGCTTCATATGACTGTTGAGAGACTTCCCGTGTTCTTCAAGCAAAGGGACCATCTGTTCTATCCTGCTTGGGCATACTCTTTACCGCAATGGGTGATAAGGATCCCTATGACCTTTGTGGAAGTCTTCATTTGGATGATCATCACTTACTACACTATAGGTTATGATCCAAGCATCGGAAGGTGATTGAAAAGTGAAAGATATTCTAATTACTTTTGAAAATTTAGTCCCAGATCAGATTACGTATTGGTTATGAAATCTAATTAACAAAATTCACTAACTTGTAACAGGTTTTTCAAACAGTTCCTTGTACTACTGTGTATTAGTCAGATGGCAAATGGACTGTTTCGATTGATAGGAGCATTAGGAAGGAACATAACTGTTGCAAACACATTTGGGTTTGTTGCTTTCCTCGTCATTCTTGGCCTGGGTGGCTTTATCTTGTCACAAGGTAGATCTTTCTTTGGTACAATCTCATATCATATAATTTAAGGTTTGATGTTAAAGAATATTTCTTTGTTTGATTCAGAGGATATGAACAAATGGACGTTGTGGGGATATTATCTCTCACCATTCACGTACGGACTGAATGCAATGGCTGTCAATGAATTTCTAGGAGAAAGTTGGAGCCATGTACGTAAGGATCTCTTTTGTGAAATTTTTTTTGTTTCGGAAAATGTTAGCTAATTAATTTGCGTGAGAAAATTTGTATTACAGGTTCCTGCCAACTCAACAGAAGCATTAGGAGTTCTATTCTTGAAGTCTCGAGGGATATTCCCGGAAGCACGTTGGTACTGGATTGGAGTGGCAGCTTTGATTGGATTTATTCTTCTGTTCAATATCCTTTTCAATTTGGCACTTCAATATCTTGATCGTAAGAACCAACCTAGACCCTTTTCTGTTTTCAAACACAATTTTTTTTTTTTGGGTAAAACTGTTTTCAAACACAATTGAATGTTATGTTCTGATAATGGGAATCAATTTCCTTTCCTGCATGCACAGCACTTGAGGAGAACCAGGCAGCAGTTTCCAATGAGGCTTTGGCTGCAACAGAAGGTAGCAAAAATGCAGCGAATCGGACCAAGCAGTGCGGAATGGTTCTTCCTTTTGAACCCCTTTCAGTTACGTTTGATGAAATTAGATATGCTGTTGACATGCCACAGGAAATGAAAGATCAAGGCATAACTGATGACCGGAATGAAATTCTGAAGGGTGTGAGTGGTACTTTTAGGCCTGGGGTCCTAACGGCTCTAATGGGTGTTAGTGGTGCTGGAAAAACTACTCTGCTGGATGTTTTAGCAGGAAGAAAAACAGGTGGATACATTGAGGGAAGCATCACCTTATCTGGATATCCAAAAAAGCAAGACAAATTTGCTCGTGTAACAGGATATTGTGAGCAAACAGACATACACTCTCCTCATGTTACAGTTTATGAGTCTTTGGTTTACTCTACATGGCTCCGATTACCTCCAGAGGTCGATCTCCAGAACAGAAGGATGTTCATTGAGGAAGTAATGGAGCTTGTGGAGTTGACAACGATACGTGACGCACTTGTTGGATTGCCTGGAATGAATGGTCTCTCAACTGAGCAGCGCAAACGGCTAACAATTGCGGTAGAGCTTGTTGCAAACCCATCCATCATATTTATGGATGAGCCGACCTCTGGCCTTGATGCCAGGGCAGCAGCAATTGTAATGAGAACAGTGAGGAATACGGTGGACACTGGAAGAACTGTAGTCTGCACCATCCACCAGCCAAGCATTGACATATTCGATGCTTTTGATGAGGTGATCATAAGATCCCTTTTTATGCTTTAGGAGTATTTGGATACTATGCTATTTTAGTGTTACAAGAATTTAAATTTTTTTGATTTCCTGTTGCAGATGCTGCTTTTGAAACAGGGAGGGGAAGAAATATATGTTGGCCCTCTAGGCCGCCATTCTTCCAAGTTGATCGAATACTTTGAGGTTAGGCTTATGCATACATGAAATATACTTATGCCATATTTTCTGCTCAACTTCTATTACTAACATAGATGAGTTATATTTAATCAATTAATTAGGGGATTAGAGGAGTTCCTAAAATAAAGGATGGTTACAATCCTGCAACTTGGATGTTGGAGGTTACTTCTGCAGCACAAGAAGCAGCTCTAGGGGTTAATTTCGCAGACATATACAAGAATTCAGAAATGTACAGGTAAGAGATCCATAAAAACTCAGATAATAATATTGCTAAGTAGACATCTGTTTCAGCTACTAATAATATATGTGTTAATGATTAGGCGAAACAAGGCCTTGATCAAGGAACTAAGTACCCATACACCAGATTCAAAAGACTTGCACTTTCCAACACAATATGCTCAGTCTTTCTTTACACAGTGTCTAGCTTGCCTATGGAAGCAACATGTATCATACTGGCGAAACCCGCAATACAGTGCAGTGAGACTTTTTTACACAGCTATGATGGCTTTGCTATTTGGAACAATTTTCTGGGATCTTGGCTCCAAAAGGTAATAATGTAACATACCTGTCAATCTCCTGGTTCTTAATTTGGCTAATTAAAAATTTTCCTGAAATGCAGGCAACAGCAAAGAGATCTTTTACAAGCAATGGGTTCTATGTATGCTGCTGTTCTCTTCATTGGGATACAAAATTCCTTATCAGTGCAGCCAGTTGTAGGTACTGAGAGGATGGTCTTTTACAGAGAAAGGGCTGCTGGAATGTACTCGGCTTTTCCATTTGCCTTTGGACAGGTTTGTTCAATAACTTGCAGCAAGGTTGTTATTCCAAAAGGAATGTCATGACCAAATTCCATTGTTGTATTGCAGGCTGTCATTGAAATCCCATACACTTTGATCCAGACTATCATATACGGGGTTATAGTATATAGCATGGTTGGATTTCATTGGACGGTCAGCAAGTTCTTTTGGTATTTCTTCTTCATGTATTTCACCTTCTTATACTTCACCTTCCATGGCATGATGATTGTGGCCATTACTCCCAATAACACCATCTCTGCTGTAGTTTCATCCGCCTTCTTTCCATTATGGAACGTTATTTCAGGATTTATCATTCCCAAAACAGTAAGTGACCCCGTGTTGCAAAAAGTGTTGTGACTAGAAACCCATTTTCTGTTTTTCTGTTTTTTTGTTTGTGTTTTTTTTTTTTTTTTTTTTTTTTTTGTACTCACATTTTTGTTTGCTGGTTACAGAGAATTCCAATATGGTGGAGATGGTTCTATTGGATAAGCCCTACCTCTTGGAGCTTGTACGGATTGTTTTCTTCACAGTTTGGGGGCATAACGGACACACTTGATTCTGGTGAAACTGTGGATGATTTTATGAGGAATTATTTTGGGTATAGACATGACTTTCTAGATGTTGTTGCAATTGTGCTAGTTGGGTATTCAGTGGTATTTTGTTTCATCTTTGCCTTAGGAATTAAAACAGTGAACTACCAAAAGAGATGAAATTAACATCATACATGTACTTTTAAAGAAAAAATATGATATGCAAGTTCCATTTTTTATACTTTTGATCTCTGACTTGACTTCCATGTATAAAATTGGTAGTATTATACATCACATAGAATAGAATGTTCAAAAGAATACAGCATAGATAAGTTATCTAAAAAAAGATGTCACCTGAAAAAAATATAGAAAATTCCAAAATTTAGAACCCCTCCAGTGGAACAATGCCAAAGCAAGGGCTGCCTCATGTGAAAAACATATATAAAGTAGCATTCTAGTTATTGATGTTTTTTTTTTCATACCTCAGAAGATAACATCTTTGCTATCAGATAGCAGAATTGAATAGTTGTAACCACAATGCTCCTGCCTTCAAGAATCTTTTGGCCCACTGGTTTGGGAAGGACCAGCTCTCTCCAACATCACATCATAAAGTTGCTTCCCATTCTGATCGCCACATGACAGCAGATATCAGATAATTTTACCACTTTTCAATCTGTATGTGTGCATGTGTGTTAGGTTCAGTGTGTTCTGGCAAGATTTTGACCAAAACTATACCCTAACTAACCTTCCCCCTTAAGTCCCATGCAATCTGAGAAAAAATCCTAAAAGCTTCACCAGGTAAATGTAAAAGTTCAAAATAAATCCCTCTTCCTAAATCTCATCCCAAGCCTTCATCAGTTGCTATCAGAATTCCATAGACTCGAACCCCACAAACAGATAAAAGCTTGAAACTTGGATACTTACAAATATCACAGGAAAGAAGTGAACTTGTCCTTCAGGCTTTGTTTGCCTCTCCTTAAAATACACCAGAATAGGGAAATTTGGCCACCAAAGCTCCCAATTCACAAACGTTGAGTATCTATATTCGAAAAATAAGTTAACTGACTTACCTTTTAACGAAATCCAATGGGTTCATAGAGCATACTTACTTCCAACGATTTTTTCCACCCACGAAGACATTTTCACCTGAATTCTGAAGCTGCTCTCCTACTTTTACTTCCTACATAAACAAAAATCACAGAGAAAAAGGTAAACTAAATCTACAGGCTGAGTGAACATACATTAAAAGGAATTGAAGTATATTACTAGAAATACCACACTTCTTAAGAGGGTTAAATGAACAAACCAGTGCCTCGTCATCAAAGACAAATCTGACTCTAGTAGTCTGGGAGAAGAACACCAAAAGAAAAAAGTTCAGCTACTTCTCCAAATTTATATATTAAAGAAAAAAAAGGCAACATGTCATGTCTAAGTTCTATTATCGAGCTTGTACTGCAACCATTTCCAGCACTGTTACCTGAAACAATAGGAGTAATCCAAGGAGACCAATGGGCGCAGCTGGTAAAAGATTATTTGTATAAGCTAACCCACCAGATAGACCTGTTTCAACCAACATTTTTGACATCATGTACATAGTGTTTCTAGATAATGCAATCTTTGTTTAAACAACGGATAGTTGACAGGCGGCTATTTGATACAAGGTCCTCAAAGAAAGAGTCTAACCAGCTATAATCATTACAAAATGTCAATATGAAAAAAATGAGTATGATGCATCATGCGTGTAGTGTTATAACTTGGAAATTTTAGGATTTGGCTTCTGATACTAAAAACTCCAAAGCTTAAGATGACCAAATAAAAAAGGAAGGCAGTTGCTCAGCCTTCAATGCTGCTCAAACATGCTATAAATTTCAAGCAGGGCTGAAAAAACAACCTACTAACAATTAATCCCCGTGAACTGGGGTAAGAAAGTTCTGCACACATAAACTTCAACTGTGGTTTACATAAATTAGAATAATCAATACACAAACTTCAGCATCTACCTAGTAGAACAATTGGAATTCGGTAATCTGGCTCGGGGATCACAGTCTGTGTGCTCTTGACTTTCCTTCCAAACTGTCACAGATGAAACTAACATCAAGAGTGGCGTCCAGAATCTGGTCATTAACAAAACCTATCAAACCAAGAATCAAAATTCTTGCCTCCTGAGGCAATATTGGGTACAAATCCTTATTTTCATAACCTTAAGAGTGTAACATCTCTCATATTGCAAAAACATATGCAACAAATATGGATGTGGGTAAAATAATTTTATAAGGATTAAGTGAATAACCACTGAGGCCACAACAAGGCAGCCACCACCATTGGTGCCACTATTTCTTGTTCTCAGTAAACCTTGGTTATACTTCACTTTGTCATAATTTGGGCTCCTGAAGCTCCTCAAAAATCCACCCACTTCTCTATCTGTGTGAAATACTCTCATAATCAGTTCAATATATGCATCTCTCACTTGCCAAATTAATATACAGAACTACACACTTGTACTTCACTGAATTATCTGTGCACAATTGAAGATAGAAACCAACACTTAAAAAAAATGAAAGTACCGAACTTACTTTGCAGAGACAGAAAGCAAGGAGCTGCCAAGAGAGTGCTCGCCATTTTTTTGGGTTCGTTTTTTATTTTCTATAAACGACCGCTTTCTATTTCTAAAGAGCAGGAAATGCTTCGAAACTGTTTGAAAAGTGAATTTACTGTAAGGACCTCTTTTCTTTCAAAGCAGCAGTGTCATTTGACCAAGGGCATTGAGGTCATTGAAATGTGTGTTTGTAGAAGGGGGACCTTATCCTGTTTTACCTGTATTGGTTACCACCACCGATTGCTTACCTTCTTCGCACTCTTCAGTCTAAGCTTCGCTCTTCAATAAAGTTGATAACTTTCTTATTGCAAGAGAAAGAAAATTTTGAAAACCTCTTTGAATGGCAAGCTCTCTTTCTTTCACACCTGTTTGTTCCTTCAAATCCACAAACAAACCAAGTACTCTCTCTCTCTCTCTCTCTCAACGACTTTAGTTTATTGTTCTCTATTTGTTTTTGTTAATTCAATTTGATTTATCTACAGGGGTATTGATAGATAATTCAATTGGTGGGAAGGTTCTTAGAGCGAATGAAGTATTTCAGAACTCAAAAGCTGCAAACTTTCAGTCTTGGGAGGTCAAGGTGAGACATTTTAGGTTAACCATTTATCGAAATTTTGAAAAGGGTTGCCTTGCATTCATTGCCTTCGCTCAAGCACGTTACTTGGACCGTTTTATTAAGTTGTTTTCCTAGTGCATTTCAGGGGGCGACAGATAGATGGGTAACGTAGCTTTATGAAGAAATATATTAGAACTGAAATGGGTTAAATGAATTGTAAACTTTCTTTGTGAAACTAAGAGTGAGAAACGCGTTCATAATGAAGTTTGATTGCCAAAAGATGCCCATTTTGAAGTCTAATGGCTTTGATGACTGCAACACTATAAATGGTCCTGTTTTATCATTTCAGAAAAATCTGTTGGCTTTTGAAGTTTGATACATGTAAGCATATGAGTAGAAAAGCTTGTATATGCAAATCGCAGAGAAGTAATATTAGGAAAAGCTTACTTGGAAACACTTGATAGTATATTGAAGGTTATTCTTTTCCTTGAACTTCACTTTGGTTTTGTCTTGCAGGCGACAGATGGTAATCAAACTACCAAAACAAATAGCCTAGTCTGTTCTAAATGTGAGGGAAATGGTAAGTGGATATCTGGTAGATACTGTAACTTATGCTGAATATTGACTTGGGGCTTTAGAATGAAATCTCTGAAAGCATTCAAGCATACTATTTCCTCCTATATTTGTTGACTCTCTGGCATTATATATCTTAGAGGAGTTATAGGACTTAATCATCTATTTCTTTCACATCTAGCCAACTATGTGTTAATCAGATGATTAACTCAGAAACTAGACATATCTGATTGCAATGTGGTTCATCAAGATGGCAGCAAAAGATAAATAATAGGTCTTTTCACCCTTTTCCTAAATTATTCTTGTTGGAGGAAAGAACCTTTAAATGATGAAGCGTCACTGCTGGATACCTTCTTTATTACTGGGGTCTTTCAGTCAATGATTTATATTTTATACTTAGGTTGAGTTTGGCTGGCTGTTTTCGAATTTTCAAATACCCATCTTTGCATGCTGCTTTCCTGTTATCGGCAAAAATAAGAGATTTTAAAAAATTTTAAATTTTAAATTTTAAAAAAAAACTCATTCCTTTCCTCCATGGTTAACTTATGGGCTTGAGATTCAGGGATTGCATTGTCCATAGTCATTGCTTAGAAATTGATTTTGAGGACACTTTTACTCAAGTTATTGTGATTTGTCAATGTTATACTGGACAATTTAATATGTTGCATATGCATTGCCAGCCTTTTCCTGCAAATCATCTTTTTCAAGTGTTTTATTAGAAGATCTCTTCTCATTTGTTAGTATCAGCATCTGAAAATTTCATCTCACAATTTTTTTTTTTTAATTCACCAACCAGGTGCTATATCGTGTTCTCAATGCAAAGGTACTGGAGTTAATTCTGTAGACCACTTCAATGGACAGTTTAAAGCTGGTGGACTATGTTGGCTTTGCAGGTAGCCATGTTGATTCGTATCAATATCTATTTTATTTTCATAATTTCCATTAAGGGAAATTAGAGCTAATTTCCCTAATAAAGAGATCTTAAACTTCAAATGCTGCATGTTGTCCCTTCCCTTCATCAAAAATCCCTGCTTATAATTAGTCCCGCTTGCATTACACCCATCCTTCGATTGTCTGTCTTTCACCTTTTGAGGATTTTGTGCTAGTTCTTCTTATATATGCTTACCATCTGATACTAATAATTGTATGTTTTCTTGCAGGGGTAAAAGGGACATTTTGTGTGGAGAATGCAATGGTGCTGGGTTTTTGGGTGGCTTCATGAGCACACATGACTCCTAGAACGTTGCAACTTGCGAAGATTGCTGCTCAGTTTGTTTGTTTTTTATGGGTCGACTGCTCGGTTTGTTGGTATAGTGAAAAGTTGTACTTGGTAAACAAGTGGAGAACTTATTGCTTTGTTTAGACTTTTTTGTAATATTGGTTTTAGCACTGTTGGAAAAACAAGCCAAAATTTTATTGAGTCAGATATTTTGCCTGCACGTCTGGTTCCAATCTGTTGGTTACTGCATTTTGTTCTAATTACAATGAAGAAGAACCAAGTTTTGTTTTTTTTTTGGTGATTGTAGTGGTCATTTGGATAAAATTACAAGTAAAGCTCATCATTCATGGATTCTAATTTCTAAGCCAGTCATCGGAATTTGGGAGAAAGAAATAATAATAAATGGAACATTCATGGATTCTAAGTTCTAAGCCAGTCATTGAAATTGGGGAGGAAGAAATAATAATAAATGGAACAAAGTTGGCTGGCTGATTTCAACCAAAAAACAGGTTTAAATGATTAAAAAGAAAACGCGCCAGGTAGGGGTCGAACCTACGACTTTCTGCTTAGGAAACAGACGCTCTATCCACTGAGCTACAGGCGCTATTGTGTCCTTCATTATCACAAAAATATTCAAAAATAGATTTTCATGTCTGTTTGGTCACGTTATTTTGGAAAATTGTCAGCCACAGCCAGTAACCCAATATTAACCAATTACCAATAGGTAAGTATGATTTGTGGTTACAAACGGAGCTTTTAAAGCCTAAAAGTTACCTGGGCAATTTCATTCAACTTGTCCTTACTGTTTGAATGTTCATAAAGTTCTTTTTTCTTTTTTATTTAATTAATTAATGGGAACATTGAGTTGATGCATTTTGGAGACCGCGGGTCCTGCTGTGTTTTGTTTCTCTCAAAATTCAATCTTCGATAGAAACATCAAACTTACTCATGTACTATATTTACTTGTTATCAACAAACATCGAACTTCAATCACATAAATTATACAGCAGATCAAGAGGCAGAGACATGCAATAATGCATACGTAGATGTTTGATTTGATGACAAAATAATTCAAGGGGCAGAGACACCACGGCATAGATTGTGTCCAAACCACACTCGGTTGGGCAGGAAAGTGTTAAAGTTAAACGAAACAGTGTTTGCATGTGGACCGTAGATCTTGACGAACTCGGGTTTCCAACCGTCGGATCCATTCCTCAGAAGGTTCAGATAACAGATGTTACGCGTACATGGCCCGTTTATCTCGAACTTGTCGGAGGAGCACCTCTCAAACGTCCTTGAAGCTGGATTGTCAAGCCTCTTTGCATACACCTGCGCATTAGCCAAATTGAACCGATCAAATGATCAATTAAGATTTAATGAATTACATGACCAACTTCTAATTACCTCATTGCCAAAAGCATCACCATAGGCGAGGCTGATTTGGTCTCTGGTGAAAGTGGTTGAAGAGCAGCTGGTTTTTATGATCACCGTATAAGGGCAACTCCTCTTGGCCTGCAGACTAGTTTCGGGCTTGAAGCTGGTAGAAGAAGCAACATGCAAATGCAAAAAACCCATCAAGAAGAAGGCAAAAAGGACTGAAAACACAACTAGTTTTACCATATTTTCGTGCAATTTCTTTTGGTTCCAGAAATGAGATATTAACCAAGAGTATGGGTTGCATATATTTATACAAATATATTGTCCCCTGCAGTCTATGCAAAATGATAACTCCATGACAGTCTTTGTTTTGCTCACATTCTTGTTCCATTCATGCCCCGGGAAGTGTTTGCCTTATAACGGCTCTTTACAAGAAAAAATCTGAGGGATGAAATAGTAATTTTTCAACTCATTCAACACTCCCAAAAGCTAGTATGCTGACTTACTGCCCATACTGAATCACTGACGCTCAATATATTCTTTTGATGTTATAGGTCAGTTTAGAGAGACTCTCAAAAGAATGGAATAGCGCGTAGTGTTGTTCACGTGTGAATAGTGTTACTCACGCAAGTTTTTCAGCGGTTAACTTAGCATACAGAGTTTGGCGGGGCTAGGCCTGGGTCATTGTCTTCTCAACATTTAGGGTTTGGGCCCCAAGAGAACCATAGCACAAAATAAAGAAAATACTGGGCACTGCACTGGTTAAAATAAAAGCTTAGAAATAGATCAGTTGGAAATAAGCACTCCATAAATTAAAGGGGTAAGCCAAATCTTATTTACATATTTCACAGTTGTTTCTTTTCTTTTTAAGGACAATAACTGTAAATCCCACGCCTCCACAGACAGTTTTTAAGATGAGGCGTGTGCCAATGGAAACACAAGATCACAACAGCAGTGGCAGCACAACATCATATCATGTGGCATCATGACAATATTAGACGCAGAATCTCTCCTGAATGTTTGAATGATTTCTCGGTTTCTTCCAAGCAATGGTTCTTCTCCTCCCTCGTCCAGCTCTGGTGATGCATAGATGTAAATAACACATCAAGCAAGGAAATACATACACGAAACTTCAATCAAGCAAAGAGATGCATACAAGAAAGTTTTTGCAAAAGAACAGCAGCTAGCTAACTCACCTGGGCAACTTTATTCAACTTCTCCCTTACATTCTGCAACAACTGGGGAAGTTCACCATCCCATTTATAGAATTCCAATTCCTTCTTGTCGAGTATCATTTCAGCCACCTGAAGTTGGGGAAAAATAAAACATTTGAGTTAAGAACTGGACCTCAGCTGCATTTGAAAGAAAATCAAATGTTGTTTGAGCTCCCTGCTTGAACTAATCAGGTAAGGGGAAAGATTCACATATCTAGTATAGGGAATATCACTCATGCCCCTAAGTCAGAATTACCAATTAGATTAACTTGGTTCCTGCTACGCAAGTTTAGACACTCAACCAGCTCAGGCACTGGAGCCAATGCAACATAGACCATGACATATTTGTATGAGAATGGACTCCGAGCATTATTTCTATACCTTTTTCCCAATCATTCGACCACCAGCTGAATGAGCAAAGTATATATTATAGAAGTGGCACAGAAATGCTTGAGGATCCTTCTCTGACAGTTCCTTAAGATATTCTGCATAGGTAACACCAGGAGCAGAAGGTTCTGGTATGACATGGCCTTGCTCCTTGAACCACTCCAAATCCTTTGCCAATTTTGCAGACCTTTCCAATCCAGTATTTCTGAACTCAGAATCTATAGACAAAACCCATACAGCAACGGTACATTTTAGTTTAGTCATATTTACGGTAAATAAATACATGTAGCGTTACAAGCACTCAGATAAACAGACAGGACATCAGCAATACTTCCATTGATATGAAACCTTAGTTACCTCATTTCAATTTTCGTATTTGAAAACTCCCTAGACAAGTCCCACAATGTCATGATAATCAAGACTAAACAAGACTAAAACATGTTGCTAACATGGAAAATCTGATGCAGTATCCTAACATAAAGGGAAAGCTTTATTTATGATGGTAAGACTCTGATGCAGTATCCTAACATAAAAGTTTTGTGAGAGATATACATATGCATGGGTAGAACTGGATCTCTTTGTTAGTGCAGCATCATTATGATAGCAGAAGTGGAGTGGAGATCGTACAACTCTAAAATCAAAGAAACATAAATGACCAATAACACCTAACCAACTCATAGAAAAGCAATTCCTTGGTGCTATAAAATGCAAAATCACACACGGCCACAAAGCCAAAAATCATACCACATACAGCTAAAGTATAGCAAGATCATATAACACCAAGTACAGATATTCAAAATCAGAACTTTAAGAACAATAGCGAAAGGCAATATTGACAGTTAGTCAATCCACACCAAACAATAAAATCTCGAAGGATGCACACCCAAAAAAACCTTCAAACAAATACAAGAATAGGCACAAAGTTACATGACAAAAACCATTCAAAGAACCAAAATTTAAATGATCAAAAAATCACTCACAAGAAGGGAAAGGGGCCTTTTCAACAATCCCTTCAAGGGTATCATACACCAACTTGCTATCCACAAGGAACTTCAAATACCCATCAACGGTTGGTTCCCACTTAGCCACTGGTCTCTCCTGAGGCTCTTTGACCTCCTTCTCACCCTCCTTAGCTTGGTCCTTGGTGTGTAATTTCATGGCCACAAACCTCATCTCCTCCACAAACCCCTTTGACTCACCCGGGTATCTCTTCTTGGCCTTCTCCGCCGTGGTGGCAGAAACAACCCCAGCAGCCTTCATGGGCACTCTGGTACTCATCCTTGGGATCGAAACAGAGGATTTTTTAAGCAAGAAATCAGAGCCTAAATTGGGGCTGGTGAGAGACTTGGGTGGGCAACGGGTCTTGTTAAAAAGGGACTGGGATTGCGAAATTGGGGTTAAAGAAGCCATTTCCGAAAGTTCAAAGATTGAAACAAAGCGAGGAAGAGTGAGTGAGTCAGTTAAGTGTATGATAGCGAAGCGTGAACGGAACTTTTAGATTTAAGAAACAAGAAATAGTTTATGTGTTTGGCTTGAAACGGCGGTTCACGTCCTCTTCAAGCCAAAGCGATGGATACTATTACAAAAACAATTTTTTAATCAAACAATAAGTTAAGCAAAAAACAAATTGAAAATATTGAAGTTGGTGCAGTGCGGGCTGGTGCGTGCGTGCGTATGGGTCTCTCTGTGTTTTGTTGCTATCGAAATTGAATCTTGGATAGAAGGGTTGCTCTGTTTCTTGGTTTCTCTGTTTTAATGTTAATTTACTTCTTCTGGTTCTCAGTTCTGGATTAGTGGATAGAGAAAAGAGAGTTTCGTCGGGACAATTCCAACGCTGAGCTGGGTCGGTGGAGGTCATCCGACGTCGTTTTACCTTTTGCTTCACGGGGCAAGCTGGTAATACGACTTGAAGTGGTTTGTGGCTTTGGGACCCTGCCGTGGGCAAGTGTGGAACAGTCTTTTGACTCTCTTCTCTGTTCTTTTCAGCGCCAAAGACAACAGCATTACTTCACGGACAATACTTCCCTTATGTTTTCTCTAGGTAAGAAATTCTATATTTCTGTTAGTGACAGTTTAGTAGCGTGTCTATAAATTTTTCTTTTTATGTTTTATAATTTATTTTTGCACATGATGTGTCAAATTGTAATTTGCAAGAATGATGTGTGAAATTGTAATTTGCAAGAATGATGCGTTATTAAGAAAACCAAACAAAACCCAAGTTCCCTTATTTTACATATGATTTACAGCACTAATTATTTTATGGAAATTTCTTGTGTCGTTAAAAAGAGGCTAGGAAAACCGAATATAAATGAAAGTAGAAGACAAGTGGACATCAAAGTCGCTTTGGCCGAGTGGTTAAGGCGTGTGCCTGCTAAGTACATGGGGTTTCCCCGCGAGAGTTCGAATCTCTCAGGCGACGATTACTTTTTGGTTTAATTAGCTTTTCTTTTTTATTTTTGAAGTCTGGGTGGGCTCAGTCGTCTCGTTTAATGGATAAATGGACCAATAAAGACCCATAGCGAAAGAACAGGGGCCTGACCAAATTCTCTTGATTAAGATACAATCCAAAGATGTCACATATCACACACAATTTTTTAATTTTATGCTCCACTATGTCTTTACCTTTTTTGGCAATCCAAAGGTGTCACATATATCACACATGCACTTTTCTTATTTTATTACACATCATCCTTTTTTTGAGCCCTTTTTTTAATACAAGCAATACTAAGAGAGGAATTCGAACACAAGACCTCGAGTGCATGAATAACTACTCTTAACCATTGAGTTATAAAGCCCTTGCTGCTCTTTTTTAGGTGACTAGTTAAATTTTGAGCACACTTTTCTAATCTCTCCTTGTGCACCAGTTTTCACCTCAATGCCACTCATTTTGATCATAGCTTTTGGGAATTCAAAGTCAAATCTAAATCCAAGCAACCCCCTTATGTTGCCAGCATAGTTTTGTATTATGTTGCGAGTTGAAGCATCACCCCAAAGCCTCTGGTCTGACTCCAGAATGGCATTGCCATCCCTCACATTCTTGAAGAAGCTCACATCAAAATTAGTCTGGCTGCCTATATCTAACGCCACCCGCTTAGAGCCATCTCCATCTTTGGGGCAAAGAGCTTGGAGTTGTGCTAGGAAGGCTTGGTTTATGGTCGGGTCAGAATTCCCAGTTGCTGTGAAATTGTAAAGACGGTATCTGATAAATGTGCAGTCTGTTTGGCCAATAGTATGTGCCCCTGCATCCAATTTCCATAAATTTGTACCTTAGTTTGGAGCTTTTTGTAATTATACATATAAATCATTATGGCCTTTGTGCTGAAAAAGAGAGCTTACCAACTAGAGTTACAAGATCATGATCGTCGAGGCCTTTAGCTGCAAACTTTTGCCTTTGGGCAGCAACAGAATCAAGAGGAGATGGTAAGTTTGATGCTTGAGATTGCAAAGAGACCCTGCCATCTCTTCTTCCAGTGGGCACTGACCAACTTGGACCGTCACTCTGAAATTAATACAGCAAGAAATACATCATTAGAAATCAATTAAATTTAATTGAATATATTATTTAGTGTGTATGCTAAACAGAGAGGTATGTTTTTACCAAGTCAACAGCATCACGAGCAGCCAGTGCAAGTATATCAGCACATGAGACAACTCCAGGACACAAGGCCTCTAGTTGTGCTTTTGCATCATCAATTACTTCAAATCCTCTCAACCCAAGATTTGGCAATGCATTTCTCTCCGCGGACGAGCCCGTAACCAAAACCGACCCATCACAACCCTGTGGAACATGAACACAAGCAAGAAGCATGAACATGTAACATGCCAAATGGCCCAAATTAACAAAATACGAATAAAGAGTCGGTCACTCAGCAAAAGAAGAAAACAAAAACCTGTACAAAGCAGTCATGGAAATGGAGCCTAAGCAGGCCAGCTGCAATGGTAGGATCTTTGTTGAAGTATGATTCAACCGTGGACCTGATTGTGGCCTCAGCTTTTGGGCATGAAGAAGAGTAAAACCCAGTTTTCAGTTGACCTTGTACAGGCAAAATCATTACCAGAATGACAAGAAAAAACGACCCTGTGGCTTTCATATCTGTTGTAATTGCTTCTTCACTCTTCACCAAAACATGCACCACTACTTTGTTTATAAATGGATTTGCTTGAGCCACTTTCTTTCCATTGCATTTTTGGCTTGTAACCCTTTTATTAGTGGAACGTGTGGGCCATATATGAGCTTTAGAGAAGATGGTAGATTTCACTCCACATGGATATTGTATTTGAATGTGAACTGTAATATAATGTGGTAGGCGCCCTCTCTCTCTCACTCTCATCTTTGATTCTGCAACTTTATTCTTCCACGCGTTTTTCCCCTCTGTTGATGATGTTGTTTGTTTAAATCCATTTCTTCTTTTTTCCTTTAAATTGTTGGGGGTTCCCATTTGCTTTTATTTCCTATTTTTGCATCCAAAAGCTTGATCGTGTGCATGCAAATTAAAGTTTTATTTTCTCAATTAGTGCAGCACTTCAACTTAGTGCTTAATTAAGTTGGTAGTGTTCATAATTCAAGTACAAAAACCTGCAATGCAACAGGCTTCCATTCCTAACAGTAGATATATATATATATATATATATATATATATATTTTATAGTTTGCGCAAACCCCTGATCACATGAGAATGAATCTCTTGAGCTTTGCAGAGTTCTAAGTACATCTTTTATGGAAATGCTCTATAATGGCATCCATAAATCCGCAACAGGAAGATACTGAAAAGTACCAAATGCCTCTGTTCTAGCTGTGAGAACGAACGAACACCTAAGTTGCTTTTTTCGGCAGCGATTTAGCGGTATCTTTCCAAATTTTTTGTTAAGAGTAAAAACAAGATATGGTCCGAAAAACTATTGCAAAATATGGAGGACATTATTACTTCTATTAGGCCAAAGATTTTATTATACAGAACTTAATTCTAATGAACTCATTCCAGCTACAGTTTTGCATTTTACCTGTGTTAGTATATAAAAGCATGCATAGCAGATGCATGTAAGGTTTTTGAATAAACAGCAAAAATAAAACAAAAGGGGCCCATACTAGTCCCCATTTCAGTACCAACAACCTATCTAGCTACTTGGCAACTTGTTCCAGAACAGGGACTTTTTTCCATTCATCCTCGAATTCACTTATTTGCAGTGGCGGCAACGAAAAGACACTAACAGTAGAGCTTCCACTCCTAATTTCCTTCAAAGCCCGCAATGCCGATATAGTACTTTTCATGTACAAGCTTTCAATGTACTCGATCTCTGCTAGTCCCCTGTTTACTCTGGAAATGCCATCACTCTCGGTAGTGGTAGTGGCAGAAGTTGAAGGATCACACCCTTCATCCCCATCAGATCCTTCATTTGGAATGGGCTGTTCAGTCATGGCAAAGAGCTGGTCAAGCGTAATCTCACACTCCTTCACGAGCTTGTAGAGCAAGTCGGTGGTGAAGAAAGGCTGTTGCAAGACCTTCTGAATGAAGGGCAAGCGCATAAGAGCACCAGTTCTTTTATCGTACTTCTTGAGTATCTTTACCAGTCCTGTTAAAAGAAATTAAATTGAGCTCTTTAAACCATGAAAATATTTCTACACAACACAGTTTAGATCGTTCACTTAAATTTGTCAAACTCACACAATTTGTAGTTTAAAAGACCAAAGAATGTAAAGTTCCTATGACCATAATGAAAATAATAAAAAAACACAGGATAAGTCCTTGATGATGTGCAGGTGGGAGACCAAGTTCATGCAAAGCTCTTCATAAAGGCTGAACAAGATTGTCACCATACTCTTAACTACATATTGATACCACAGATAAAGGAGCTAATGTGAAGGTATTAATACCCAAGCGCGTTACATCTAAACATGTGCATTGAAATCTCAAAGCCTTAATGCAAAACGTATCGATAACCCTTAACAACAAATAGTTTTCCGGGTCTTGATTGAACCCTTTCGCATTGGAAATGGCTTATGAGGGTTTATCCTAAATGCCTTCATGCACACGGAATGTCAAAATAAATATAAACATATGGAACCCATAATGACAAGCTAGCATACTTTTCAGTCTTCAAGTTCGCTAAATTCCAAAGAAAGAAGTAAAAGAAAAAGATGAATACCTGTATAGTTGAGGGCACTATAATTCTCCAGCAAAACCATCTCTCCATGGAAGTCCACTATCTCCTTGCGAATCTTAGTAATCTCTTCATTGGAATGCTTTGCTTTTGCCACCCTGTCTTGTATCTCCTGCATTCCATACACATATAATACTATTCATTTCCTGCCATTGTATTATATGTATTTAAAATAAATAAATAAAATTGCAATTGGCACTGAGTTTATTTACTGTACCAAACGGTGTGTTTGTTAACTAACGGAAAATACCGCAGCAAAAGCAACAACAGCCATACAAAGCGAGGTGCGAACCAGTTCAAAGTGACAGGTGGCAGCCAGCCTCCCGCACACATACTATGTGTGGTTCATAAAAGCAACGGCAAAGCCAAAATGACTAACGGTCGCGTAAAGAGAAACGTGGAATAGAAGATTCCCCGTGTGCGCAGTACCCACTCTCTGCAGGCGCATGATAGCTTAAAACGTGGAATAGAAGATCCCCCGTTTAGGTTTGCATCAAATTTAGAAAATACGAGTCGCAAGCTAAACTCGGGATTCAGAGATAAATCTAGCAATTAAATATCCAAATTTAGAAATAAAACTAGAAAATAAACGATAATTAATTAGATGGCCTAAAGACTCTGTTTGGTTCCAGAGAAAGGAAACAGATGAATGCGAAAGAAAAGCTTGTGAAGCAGAGGCTTCTTCTACGTTATTTTGAATTCTAGACCATAAAAGTAAGATGCTTTATGAAACTTGTATAATCTAAATTAAAAATTTTCTCAGGAACCAAACAACTATAGAAGAAAGAAAAAAGAAAAACTAGAACATGAGATTAGAAAAAGAATACCTTCAAGGTAATAATATATTCTTCCTCCTTTTCTACAAAGAAGGAGTTAAATTTCTCGAGCTCGTCCTCCAACAACTGAATGAAATTGATCTCCGCCGTGGACATGCCCTCCTTATCTCCGTGGGCGTCCGCACAATCAGCGGAGGCATCAATCCTGGGACGCTTGGTGGGCCTGTCACCGCCTTTGGGCTCGATGAGCTTCAGGCACTTCTTGAGCTCCTTGTAGGACAAGAACTTGTCCCGCCATTCCGGCAAGGTTTCCTCGATCTGGCTGCTCAGGCTCTTACCGAACTTCATCTCGAATTCGAAATCTTGTTTGTTCGGATAGAAAGGTAAAGTTTAGAGATTTTCTCGGGAAAATGAGGGGAAATGGGAGAAAATACGAGGGAGTGAGTGTGGGTGGGGGTTGGGCGGTGAGGGTGAGGGTAAAGGTATAGGGGAGGGGAGGGAGGGGGATATAACGGCAGGGAGAGAATATTCGAAGGGTTAATGTTGGAATATCCTTTTGTTTTCGAAGAGTATATTACGGGTTTTATTCCCTTTCTCAGTTCAAGTGCCCGTTTTGTGTGCGCGCGCCCGCATGTAATTATGTGTGTGACTGTGTGAGCGACAGATAGGGATTTTTTTTAATTTTGTTAGTTTTTTATTTATTTGGTTTTTAATTAAGCGACACTTGGAGCAATATTGATCTGGAGTGGCTCGAGGAGTGTAGCCGGGTTGGAGAGACGGAGCGAGTGAGCTGAGTCGTTTTGTGGGGGAAAATGGATACAATTTGGTTTTGCTTTTCCCTTTTGGTTGTTTTTTTTATTGGGATAACAAAAAGTTAAGGGGAGGGAGAGGTTAGGGCTACCCCACATGTACAGTCAGGGCAAACGCTTTACTTCTTTTTTAAATATTTACAATATAATTACCAATCAAACACGAAATTGCCAGATTCGAACATTGATGAAGTGACACATTATATAGGGATCTCACTACTGTCATTTCATAATTATTAATGTTTGGTTCATCACATTTTTAACTAATAAATGTACTAATTATTAAAGAAAATTAATTTTGTATTTAATTATAGATCAATATGTCACATGAATAAAATTTAATAAATATATTGGATATTAAGATTAAATAATTAACTAAATAATCACAAGTCATAACCGTAACTCTCCCAAATAGACTAAGAATCATAGTACCTTATTTGTCATGAATCATTAATTGTGTTTATCAAGTCTAATTACTGAAAATAAATTATGATGAAGGACCATAATATTTTGTACTCGTATATTCTAACACAAGCTGATTATCTCAAGAGACCTTCAATCATTGATGAAAAAGCCCAAGTTGGAGATTGACATAGCTTAGTTTGAAGGATAATTTGCCACGTCGTCAAAGAGATTGGGGTAATTATATTATTATTTATTTATAAGAAGATATATATATATTTTAAAAAATTTGTTCCTTAAAGAAGGAAAATAAAAAGAAGCGAAAGAGAAAGGCCAAGCCCGGTAAGCCGAGCCAAAGTGAGGAGGGTTGTTGCTGTTGTTTGCTAATTTCTGACGCAACCGCAACGCATGGTATAATTCTGATTCGGAAGCATCCCTTATCTCTGAACGGACCCAAAGATTAACATATTGAAAATACACGTGGCTCTCTCGTACTATGCCAGCGTGTCATACACGACAACGCAAAGAAGATGTCCAAGTTCGTTCATTAAATTGCGAAACTATTTTATCTTGGAATTTTCGGCTTCACGGACAATATTCGGATCTATCTCTGGGATATTCTTCGCTTCCTTCCACTCTTGAATTTTGGGCTTCAAGTCCTAGTCTTGGAGGTTGGAAATTTCGGATTCACGGACAAAGTCTTGTTTCTTTCTTTTTATGAGCTTTCCCTCTCTTTTTGGTGTGTAATGCATTGTTTCATCCTCCTCTCCTCTTCTTGCTTTCTAGCATCATTCCTTCATTTCCTCCTCTTCAATCTAGCATCGAAGTTTTTGGACAATTCATGGGTTACATTCATGGCTTAAAAACTCACCTGAAATCTTACTAATAAAATCTATAAAAACACACTCAATCGAGTCTTAATCTCTATCAAGATAATTATCATCACAATAATTGCGTCCAACAACAAAAGACAAAACCATACTTAAAGTTATACAAATATCTAATGCCACTACTAGAAAAGTACTAATTGTTTATAGTATCATAGATTATCACACTAGTGATTATGAAAACAACACATGTATAGCGAAAAGTTCAATTGTTAAATAATTCAGCACGTTATGTGACAAAATAACAGTCAGATAGCAACTTCACAACATAACATGCTAAACAATCTTGTGTGGAAAAGATTTTGATAAGAAAAAAAGATAACAGTTTTGATGTGATGTGTTGATGAGGATAATAATATTTTCATATAACTATAGATTTAAAAATAAAAATAAAAATAAAAACCGTAGGGCGTTAAAAGCCCAAAGGAAGAAAAATATAACCTTTGGGCATATTCTCATTTGGGTTCCTTTATGCTCTCCCATCCCATTTCAGATATCACCCGCACTTGAAAGCCAGCGGTCTTTCCTATCCACCCAAACACATGCTTGGATTGGATCTTGGTTTGGTTATTGGGTGTTGGCCAACTCCTAATTCCTAATTATATTTTATGATCTCACATCAACTGCGGCATCTATGGAGAATATTTTTCAGGATATTCGTAATGGAAGATATTAACAACATTGTACTAAATTATTAACTAATTCAAAGGACTCCAAGAGGAGCTCTATGTTACGCTATAAAGTAGCTTATCAACGCCGGCCACGTGGAATAATGTTACGATAGTTGCTAGCTTCCGGTCCAAGTTCCAACATGTGGTGGGTAACGTATGCAGCTTTGTTGGTTCATTTGACAAAACAAAGGTCAGTCCTGGGTTCAAATATGGGCCTGCTACTAGCTGTTTAGGGTCAAAGCCCATATATTAATGTTTGACCAACCAATCTGAGCTATTAGCCAGTTGGGCTTTCAGGGTATGATTCTGTAGGCCTTTACCGACTCAATCACACGGACAACATTGTAAACAATATTTGCTGTCTGGACAGCAAACAACTGCCATGTATTTTATTATCCCGATCAATAACGTTATGACATACATAATAACACTTTCACATGACATAATATTATTGGTTCCCACAAAACGGAAACTTTTTCATGCAATGGTGCTTGCGGTCATGTGGTACTATTAATTCATGGGTAATATATGATGGACTACATTAATAAATAAATAAATACACATATTATGATAGGAATGGAACATAAAATTTCCCCCGTGAAACACTTAAATGAAGACCCAGTATAAACTGTTAACTTGACAAGAACTACTCAGGCCACCTACCAAAGGAGAAAGACGAAATAGAGGAAATGATGACAAGAAGGCCGGGTTGATGAGAAAATAGAATATGATTATTATGACATTTGGAGCCTTGGATATTCTTTAAATCGGACCTACATAACATTCAAAAACACAATGCCGTTTGTGTAGGTCTATTTCCAAATAAGTGGACGACCTAACTTTTCCTGCAAATTCATTTCCCTCGTGCATGTGTACATGATTAGCTAGCTAATATGTAGAGGTTAACAGTTTTTGAAGAGACCAAATGAAATGTTTATATATAGCATTGTTTGCCATTGCGTAGTGTTTTTCTTTTCTTTCTGGAAACAATACCCTTGATTTTGCAAGAATTCAGCTATACGCACTAAATAATGCAGAGGAGGTGGGGGGAAGACTTTTGAATACACCAAGTTTTTGAGAGAAGGCGGTGGTGGCGGTCCTCCGGCCTTGGCATCTAGTCAGCAAGTGTGTATATCTTAGGATACAAATTGTAGACTACTTTAAAGGATGTCTCTTAAATTATATATTTGTCTATTGTCTATTCAAAAGAAGAAATTAAAAACCGTTAGTGGGTAACAATTATTGATTTCACACACTCGATTAGAAAATATAACACCCGAATTAATTTAGATGCACCCAATTTCGTATGGGTCTAATCAAACCTTTTAGAAATTTGACAACAAAAGGAGAAAATCACACGTTTCAGAAAATGAATAGAGACATACTTAGTCGCCAAAGTCAACCCACTCGATCGTGTCCTTACATACAACGATTACGTGAAATTGTATCTGACACGTCCGCTGTAATTAATATTATTACAACAGTTTAATTACAATTTTACAATTTACATGGAGATCAAACACAGAAAAAAGGTCAAATCATATGAAGTAGTATCCATGGAGAGAGAGCACACTGCACATGGGATATGCTCTCTCTCTCTCTCTCTCTCTCTCTCTCAATTCAAATTACAAGTCCCTCTATTTCGCAACTATTTCACCAGCGATCCTCCTCTTCATGAGTCTCATCTCATGATTATGTCCCCTTCCATGCTTGGGTTCAGGAAGCACATATTTAATTATATATCTAACCTATGTGCCTAATACACCTTATTTAATTTCTCTGATTAAAAAGTATATTATATATATATATTACATGGAGGGGCGTGCACCACGAGAGTACTAGAATTATAATTTATAGTCACCAATATGCCATTGATGAATCCGATGATATATCTGTTAAGCCAATAAACAAGTAATTAAAACTAAGGACTACAGTGTGAAGATATGATTTTTTTTTCAAGGGTTATTAAGCATCACATATCCCCTACTTGTTACAATTTTACATAATAATAACATGCAGACGTTTGAATTGTAATATAATAATAACATACAGACGTCTGAATAGGAGAATATATGTATATGTTCGGATAATAGAATATATGTATATGTATGTATATAATACATGAAATTGGATGGATCTGTTATTGTCTAATAATTCCCACTGAGTTCATGCAAGAGATATGCTCTGTGTTTGTGCCACGTAGCCCTTGAAAATCTTAAATATGAAACCTAACCCAATGGTTGAGGAATTTCAATCGGCTATTGAATGAGGGTAAAGCGACATATTTGGAACTGGAATCTCCACCCCATATGCATATTTTAATCATACATCACCTCACTTTCGTAATCGTACGGCTCATGTGGACCATTCTATTTATAGCTCATTAAACTGTGCGCTCATGCCCACTTCTACGTACCTTACCCTAGTAACTTAGCTAGGGCATGCTTGGCAGTGCTTGCAGGTCAAATCCAAAAAAGTCTGGTCCCTGAAATTATTTTAAAACTCACATTGTGACTCGACCACGGAATTGATCATCTGGGGCCTCTACTTCTTTAAGAGATTGACTGTGATTACACATTCGACTACCTTGGTAATTTATAGGATTAACCAACACTAACAATTAATTAATGGAAAAAGGAAAATATATACAACTGACACACAATATGTACAGTTAGAACCTGCAGAGTAATGGTCTGTTCTCAATTTGGTAAAATGTCAATTTCGAGGAAGAAGCTGAAAATAAGAAACCCCAACCCACAAAAATATTAAAATATGATGCATATATATATATAACAAAAGACAGAGAATAATGAATCATTCAAAATATCAAAAAATGCTCTTAATTAATGCAAACATTAAGAATTGAAATTATTAATTAAATGAGGATAATATGGTAAATTCACTTTTTTCATATTTTAAAAAAAAGAAAAAGAAAAATCAGATAATTGATCATATTTTTATGGAACACAACTACCCATTATCTTTTTTAATTCTAAAATAAATTTAAATTTTTTTTAAAAAAAGTCTCTCGCAGGCGTGAAAGCGCATGCGGAGAGATTAGTATATATATACGTGGCAAAGAGAGAAAGAGAGGGTACAAATTACAATATATATGATGCTGCTGATACATAAGATTGACCATACACATGGAGCCTAGAGAGAGAGAGAGAGAGAGAGGATACAAATTACAATATATGATGCTGATACATGAGATTGACCATACATATGGAACCTAGAGAGAGAGAGAGAGAGAGAGAGAGAGGATACAAATTACAATATATGATGCTGATACATGAGATTGACCATACATATGGAGCCTAGAGAGAGAGAGAGAAAGAGGGTACAAATTACAATATATATGATGCTGATACATGAGATTGACCATATATATGGAGCCTAGAGAGACAGAGAGGAGTTAATAAGTTAGCCTCCAAAATCACTTTCCCATAATTTCAAGGCATCCATTGTATAGCTTGTTACAAATTCATCACAATACACTTATCTATCGATGTCTTTATAGTCCCATGTGAAGTCCTTCCAAATAATTTTCCAATCAACTTACGTGTAAATATATATATATATATATATATATAATGTATTTGGGTTCATGAGGAACGAGAGGTTGAAGAAGTTAATTTCATACAATGAAATGAAATGTGTCAAATCGAATCGATCAGTTGATTTCTGTAAATTCAAGTGATCATGGAAAAGACAATTAATATGTTAACTAGCTAGCTAGCTAGCTGGAGATGGACATGATATTAACTATGAAGATGAAGATATATACACCGGACATATTGTTATAATTTGCCCAACTAGTTTTGTAACATCCCACATCGATCAACAGAAAGGGAGTGATGTGCCTTATATGTACATGTCCGCCTCTATCTAGCACGAGGCCTTTTGGGAGCTCACTGGCTTCGGAGTCATGGGAACTCCGAAGTTAAACGAGTTGGGGCTAGGCCACTGGGAGGTTGCTTATGAGTTCTCATAAATAAGACCGTGAGGGCAGAGAAAATAACCCAAAACAGACAATATCGTGCTACGACTGTTTCATAACGGAACCGATCCCGGGATGTGACAAGTTTGCTATAGCCTATAACTTATATATGTAAAAATCATAATTACCATTTACATTCAATGATATATATAGGCAATTATTTGTCCAAATTCCCTAATAATAAGTCTATAATATCTTTAATATTTGAGAGAGAGAGAGAGAGTAGCTGGTGGACAAGTCAAGCTCAAAACCGAAGAGAGGCAAGTTACAAATTATATGTATTGATGACAGGGTACTCTGTTACTGTATATATTGTAGTTGACGAAATTAATTACAAGGAGCAAACGCAGTACGTATAGTAAGCTTTTAGTTGGCCGACAGTGTACCTTTTATACATATCTATGTAAGCCTTTCCTTTTGTTAACTTTTCTGAGACCTCTCCATCCCCTTCTTTCATTCTTAACTTTCTCTATATATCCCTGTCCATCCTGTACCCTATCGTCTCTCTATCAATAGATCAGTCTTTCTCTCTCTCTCTCTCCCTCTTTCTCTCTCTCAAATAAACAAACAAAATGGTGCAATCAAAGAAGTTCAGAGGTGTCAGGCAGCGTCACTGGGGCTCTTGGGTCTCAGAAATTCGCCACCCCTTACTGTAAGCTATATATATATATATTTATACATATGCTCACATTATATTTATTTTCTTTCATTCTTATATAACTTCATCACTCTATATATATATGTCTACATGTGATGATGAGGGCAGGAAGAGAAGGGTGTGGCTAGGCACATTTGAGACAGCTGAGGAGGCAGCCCGAGCCTACGATGAAGCAGCTGTTTTGATGAGTGGCCGAAATGCCAAAACCAATTTCCCAATTTCTACCACTCAAACTAATACTAATACTACTACTGCTGCTGCTGCCGCCGCCATGGCCGTCGGATCAGACCCAAGAGGTAGTTCGAGCGACTTGGACCATTCGCTATCCGAGCCGAAGGGTTTATCAGAAATCTTACATGCTAAGCTCAGGAAATGCAGCAAGCTTCCATCTCCATCCATGACCTGCTTGAGGCTCGACAATGAGAGCTCTCACATTGGAGTCTGGCAAAAGCGAGCCGGTCAACGCTCTGATAATTCCAACTGGGTCATGACTGTTCAGCTTGGCAAGAAGAAGAACAGTAATAACACTAACGCTGCTGATGATCATGGCCAAAGTATTTCATCATCATCACCGTTGATAATGTCGACTTCTGAGTCATCAGCGTCAACGTCATCAGCGAGGGCGCCGGAACTCATAGCCGAGATGGATGAAGAAGAGAAAATTGCACTGCAGATGATAGAGGAGCTGCTTAACAGAAATTGTCCAAGTCCTAGTAATTCTTCATTTGGCATTCAACCAGGAGAGGAAAGCTTTTACTTGTAGTTCTACTAGTCTTAATTTTTTTTAATTACTAGCTATATATATTATATGAATATATATATTTATATATATTGTCATATAGTATTTATATATACATATGTTTGTTTGGTTAAGGCTAGTGATTTCAACACTTCTTCTTCAATTTCAGTGCAAAGAAATTAGCAATATAATCAGTTTAAAGTGCAGATAAAAGAGGAGTGACTACTATCCTTAGTTAAAATTAATAAAGTACAGTGTATACAAATCATATATTTTTTAAGTCTATAATCATATATCATTCTTTAAAAAAATTAGACAAATTGGAAACCGCTTCAACATCTAATTGTGTTCTACAAAATCAACGAACACGGTACTTCAAGAAAGTACTAAAATTTCAATAATTTAATTGAATGGTCAAATGATATCGGATTCAAGTGGACCCTACAAGAGTGTCCCTCAAATAATTTTATTTGACGGATCCCTCAGTAGAAACTCACTATATATATACTAATATTAATTCGTCTTGTGTTTGGAAATAATTGTATTCCTTTGTTTTTGGTCGGGGAAATAATTCTGTTCCTAACAATGAAAAAGATGGATCATCAGAATTCTTTTGGTTTTTATATAATTATTTTATTGAAAGGGTGCAAATGATAATTCCCACGTGATTGAGCTAGAATAATTGTGATTAGTCAAATTTGTTGATTTGTACTTCTTCTTCTACGTACCATGACGAATTATCTTGTGAACATTGTTGTACGTAATTTAGTATGTATAAGGGTTTCTTTTGGGGATCCCCTAATTCGTGGTAATTAACTCTGTTGCTATTCTTAAAATAAAACAACAACAAAACTATTTTGCATGGACGTCACTGATCTACTTTTTTTGGTTAAAGTCGAGGTTACTAAAATAAAAACCTCCTCTCTCTCTCTCTCTCTCTCTCTCTCTCTCTCTCTCTCTCTCTCTCTCTCTCTCTCTCTCTGAGAGTGATAAAAGTGATGGGGGTCGTGGTAACTGGTAAGCATATGTTCCAAAAGCCTCTCTCCATAAACATCATTCGTTATTGGTCAATCTACATGTCGCAATTGATTAAGATAGAACTCTATCAATATTATTGTATAATGATCATCTAAGACATGTCTCCAACCGAATCATGAATTCAAACTCTCGGATATAGTCTGGTTTTTTTTTAGTGCGCCCCACACATATATATTTTTGGATACGAAAAGGAAAAGCCCCACATATTATATGTATGTATTTATACAATACGATTATCCAATGGGGTGTGTGTTGAGATTGGTCAGTGCTTTGGTGTACTCCCAAGTTATTCGAGTTCAAGCCCCATGATACTTGTACGTGTGGGTGAGTTTCCTCCCTCCCCTTCATAACTTTGGCAACATCAAAAAAATCTATACAATATTATTAGGATAATCTCGTAAATATTTTGATATTATAAAAGTAAACTAGTAAAAATAAAAGAGTTAAACAAAGACTAATTAGACTTGACATAGTACGTAGTAGGTTGATATCATAAATAAATGTAGTCTTCCAATTTCCTTTACATCTTTGAAGAAGCGGTCTTGTTTTGCCATTTAGGGTCCCCAGCTGGCCTCCACCAAAGTTTGAAAATGAACTCAAATCAATTAAGAAAATACTGTTGTCCCCCATTAAGGTTTTTTTTCTGAACACCAATAGGAAAATAGAAAAATAGGAAAATGCTAAGCATAGTAGGTTTATTTTGAAGCTGAAATGTTGTGGTGTCAATAATCAATAGGAGTCACTGTTGTTTGTTAGATATTTTGTCATCTCTTGCATCTCTGGCAAAGGGAATTGGTGGAAACAGCAACAACAACAGCAGCAGCAGCAGCAGCAATGTATTCCACATGCCTCGACAGAAGAGATGAGAAAGTGAGAGCAAAGCTTGTCTTAAATAATGAAAATCGATAACAATACAAGAAAGATTAAAAACAATTTAAATTTTTTTTATTTTTTTATTTTTTTGAGTCATAGTTAGAAAGAAGATGAGGTTTCTCACACACATACTATCAAGGTGTTATAGAGGTTTGAACCTAAGACTACTAGTCCGAAAATCAAAACTATTTTTCACTGTGCTACCCGTTGGAAAATTAAAAATAATGTTTTATTTTTGTGGGCCATAGTTAGGAACGGGGGGTGGGGATAAGGTTTTTGCCAAATTAAAAATAATGTTAAAAAAAAATGAAAAGTTTTGGGCTGAAATAAAGAGAGACAGATAGATTGGCCCAACCAATAATAAATGACCTACAATTTTGGGCCTAATTGGGCTTAATAGCAGGACGTACTCTCTCTATTGTAGCCCAGATTTGGGGTCCAAGCTATTTATTTGATGTGGCAGACAATGATTGGACGGAAAAAGAGCAAAAAAGACTTTGCGGGTCCTACATGGGCCGACCTACCCTTCAACGGTAAACTACCATTCTTTCAGAAAGCGCGAAACTGAGTCACTGTTGTCGAGTTCAATCCGACTCATGGCTCCCCCAAAACCCTTTCTCTCTTCACTCTCACCGGTTCCAATGCAATCACACACAAATCCACAAACCCAACTCGGCCCTATCATCCTTCTTAACTCGGTCCCAACTCGGCCACCATGCTCAAAGGCAAGCTCAAGCTCCCGGACAAGGCCAAGCGCGCCTTCCCGGACCGGCTGGGCAGCTTGGTCGCTGGATTCGAAGACAAAGAGGAGGAAAATCGAGGGTCCGATTTAGTGTTCGAGTCCGGTGAAGAGCTCGAGACAATTCAGCCCAACGGGTATGGGTCGGGCGGAGAGAGTGAGAATGACCAAGATGACGAGGATTATGATGAGAAGGTGGATAGAGAATCCGATTTAAGGGTCAGGCCCAAACCTGAAAGAGAAGGGCCGGGTTCGGTCTCGGTGTTGGCAGCCATTGCGGCTGATGATAAAAGATCCGATCTTGAGTATGAGGTGAGAATCTGATGAGCGAAATAAAAGAGCAAAAATTGTCAGTTTATTTATTTATGGAAGAGGGCAATTTAATTTTAGTGTGAATGTGATGCTGCATTTTGACTCTTGATGTAAATTATTGGTTTTATTTGTTTATTTTTTGATTTGTTGTTTTAGTTAGGGTTTGTTCTGGAGTTTAGTTGGTTTAGTTCTGTGTTTGTGTGTAATTACTGGGAATTTGTCACAAAGAAAAGGAAATTTTTTTGCAATGTGGTCAAAGGCGTAACCTTAGAAGAATCTCTATCAATGTGGAATTTTTTTGAGTTAAAACCAACAAACCAGACAATTTTGATAGTTTGTCGATCCTACATTTGCTCAGGAATCATATAGATCATATTAGGCTTTGCAATTTGTTGATTATATTCTTCTTTTTTATTTGTCCTGCTAATTTTCAGCTTTAAGCTTTTCATTTCTTCTTTTGCAATTAGCTTTCTCAGCCGGAGATAAATTTGGAAAAGTTGCAAAGAATTGCTAGTTCAGGGCTTCCAGATGGGGGAGGTTTGCGGGCAACTGCCTGGAAGGTACAGGACTACAGGTTACTTTGTTTCGTCAGTGGCAGTTTCTGCAATGTAAATTCTGTTACTGTTTTGAATTACTGAAAGATTGTCCTTACTATTTATGCACACAGCTGCTCTTAGGTTATCTACCTCCTTCTCGTGATTTGTGGGAAAAAGAGCTGATAGAAAATCGACTAAAATATGCCAAGCTTAAAGAGGAGCTCCTTGTGAGTCCTGTAAGATGCTCCCCAAGTTGCATAGTGAACAAACTACTCAGTAGCAATTTATTTGCAGAAATGTTCTTACAAAACAAAACACATACATCAGGTGCATTACTCTGGTTAGTTTTTATTATGCACTAATCAAAATCTTGAATCTAGACAGTCACAACTCACAAGGAAAAAAGTTGGTTTGAGTTACTGCGACCATCCTGCTGACGGTGTTGTAGCTGGACCGCTGAAGCGACATGAAATTTCTGAGGAAGATCACCCTTTAAGCCTTGGTAAGGCTAGTGTATGGCACCAATACTTCCAGGTAAGATGTCTTCTCTCTATAAGGTTGTATCTTGGCTGTTTTCTGTATAATTCGGTGACGCTAACATTCTGCACATTTATTTATAGCATACAGAGATTGCAGAACAGATAGACCGTGATTTACAACGCACACACCCAGATTTGAAATTCTTCTCAGGGGACTCATCATTCAGTAGGAAACACAGGGTATATGGTTCCCACAGAATAAACTATTTTTCGTAATTTCGTCTCCTTGTTACTGACACTTTTCAAGCAGGATATATACCAAATTCACTGATTACTCTGGTCACCTTGTTGTGTTTGGCTCACATGTCCAGCAACTAGACTAATTATCAGTGTCACTCACCCGATCTTTGCTGCATTTCTATTTTCAGGAATCAATGAGAAGCATTCTTCTCTTGTTTGCAAAACTAAATCCAGTGATCCGTTATGTGCAAGGCATGAATGAGGTCTTGGCACCAATATACTATGTTTTTAGCACTGACACCAATGAGCAAAATGCTGTAAGAGAGTTCCCTGGAAATCTTCATGTCTTTATGTTAGATGTCTTTGGCTTATTATGCTTGATATAAAATGTATCCATTGAGGACCTTATCCTGCAAATACTTTGGAAGTTTAAAATTGAGTTGTGGAATGTTTTCTGTACTTACTTCGTTGGCCTCCATCTTCTTTTTATGGCTTAAAGGTTATACTTTCTTGTCCAAGCGTAAACAGAAATAAAGCCATATGATGGTTTCGTTCTGCAGGCAAATGCAGAAGCAGATAGCTTTTCTTGTTTTGTTCGACTCTTGAGTGACTCAGTGGATCACTTTTGCGAACAACTGGATAACAGTGCAGTGGGCATACTCTCCACTCTTTCCCGCTTGTCAGAGTTATTGAAAGCCAACGATGAGGAACTGTGGAGGCATCTTGAGTTCACTACAAAGGTAAATTATGTCAAAGGGAATTACAAGAGTTGCTTTTTCTTGAAATCTTGGTGAAAGTGAACTGAGATGCCTTTTCCAAGTTGTATATTATTCCTAGGTCATTGAAGTTTTACCGTCTTCAACAGCTTATCTTGAGCCTAACTTCACATCTTATAACATATGCCTCTGTAAGCAGGTGAAACCGCAATACTATGCATTCAGGTGGATCACATTGCTGCTTACACAGGAGTTCAATTTCCAATCCATCATGAGAATCTGGGATTCACTATTGAGTAGTCCTTATGGTGTACAGGTCTCTCTCTCTCTCTCTCTCTCTCTCTCTACATGTTAGTAACTCAGTAAATCACTCCTATTCTACTCCCAATTATTGGTACCGTGCTTTGTTTTTCCTCCTTTCTTTTTTATTTTAGTTATGATGTTGCACCATTATGAACAAATACTGATTTCTTGGTAGAAACTCTACAGGATATGCTTCTAAAAATTTGTTGCGCAATGTTGCTGTGTGTGAAAAGCAGACTATTAAGTGGCGATTTTGTGGCAAACTTGAAGCTTCTGCAGAACTACCCAGACATTAACATAGAACACCTCCTCCAGGTAGCTCGGGATCTTAGTTCGGACCCGTCTACCTATCGTTTGTCCTTGACCCTGTAAATCCATTACATATACTATTTTCTGTACATTTTTTTCCCTTACCATGGTTGTAACGATGAACAAGACGAGAGCTGTTGCTTTAGATTAATTTGTACCCAAACAATTTTCAATGATACATATTCAAAGGGGTGTAATTTATCTGCAGAAACCAGCAGCTAATTCAAGGACATAGAAAATGTGATTAGCAAGTAACCTAACCTTGTCCAACCAGCCTGTAAACGTTACCTCACATCCCTGTCAGGACAGCTCACAGCTTGACCCTCAAAATCAGCTGCAGAAGATTTATTATTTCGCAATTTGGCACGTTAAAGAAATAAACCCCCATTGGTGATCAACTGGGAAGGTTTGTTTATTCCTTTTCCTCAACTGCATGAACTGTTCTTCAAGTCAAAAGGGAAAGTCTAAGACACAAAAAAGTCTTGCCAGTAATATGATTTGTATCACATAATATGATGTCATGGGACGACCGTTGAAACTAATACTTTTCCATAAAATTAATCAATTACCTTTTCTCATTGGGCAGCATCAATGACCCTTGTTTTCAGCCACCAATTGGTTGTTAAGAACCTCAGAAAAAGAAACAAGAAAATTAAAGACTTGGAAAATGGTTGCTAGCTGATAATACACACAAATGACATGTGCAGAATGACAGTTAGGAACGAACGTTACCCAATAATATATATTTAAAACGTTAACAAATTTCGAAGTTTCAAAAACACGTCTAACCTAATCTCGGCTATACATATTACATACACATCACATGGCTTAGCCGAGACATGGTTGGTTTTACCTGCACCACCACTGCCTATATATATATCTTCGTGTTTTTATATTCTTCAACTCCCTTTGAAACGCAACCACTCCGATACACGTATTGAAATTTCTCACGTTGCTTCAATTCATATTTGTTTTGTTGGATATAATTATATACAGATATATTGTTTTCATGAATTGACAACTCCATCTCATCTGTTATTCTTTGTGTTTTGGTCTGACTTGTTTGTTCTTGGTCATACCTTTTGTTCAACTTTACAACTTGTTATTATTTCTTCCTTGCTAAGACTTGTGAATGCTTAACTTCAATTCATGTCATGAGCAGCAAGAACTTTTGTGAAAGTGCTTGCTTTGATTGACTGATCAGCTGCAAGCCTGTGTTCAATTCCGGGATACAGTTTTAGAGATCGATATGGCGCAAACAGTACTTCTGCATGGCGTACTTCATACAACCATCTATGAGGTTGATAGGCTCATGGCTGGTGGTTGCAGCATCTTCTTCCGCAAGGTATATACATATATATCACTTTCTTTTTTCTTCTTTCTGAATTGCATTGAATATCTGCAGATTAAATCATTCTGTAGTTGTTTTTTGTTATTCAGTTTTCTTCTCTTAAAGCATATCTGAGAAAAATTATGCCTCAGTCTCCATTCAAGACTTGATGATCAAGTCATCTAATCTTTCTTTTACCTCTCAAGTTTGATTTTAACATATATCTTTCTCTGACATATCATCCAAAATTCTCACTGATGAAAAGTATTCCTTCAAACAAAAATTGTGCTAGAGTGAGTGGTGGTGATAGATACTCAGGTGATCATCAAATTTCCATGTTTATATTTGGCTCTGTGCTTTCGTCCTGCAAAGTGGCTAGCGCACAGTAACATTTGTGAATTTTCGACCTTGAGTCAATAATGGCAACATTTATGATATTTCTCCTTGAGTCAATAATGGCATGTTGATCCATATCCATAAATGACTTGCAAAGAAGCCTTTTAACTTTCTAAGTATGGTTTAATATGGTTATATTTTCTGCTGACTTGCAAAATGTAAAAGATCTAACTTATGATTTCAACTGTAGCTTCTTAAAAAGTCAGTTGAGTTTGGGAAAGGTTCCAAACTCTATGCTACGATTGATTTGGAAAATGCTAGGGTTGGCCGAACCAGAGTGCTTGAAAATGCAACTAAAAATCCCCGGTGGCTTGAATCTTTTCATATTTACTGCGCCCACAAGGCTTCTAATGTTGTTTTCTCTATCAAAGAAGACAATGCTATTGGGGCCAAAGTGATTGGAAGAGCTTACATGCCTGCTGCAGAACTCCTTAATGGAGAAGAAGTAGACAGATGGCTTAAGATCTTGGATAATAACAATAAACCTTTACATGGAGGTTCCAAAATCCATGTGAAATTACGCTTGTCAAGCGTAAACGAAGATCCTAATTGGTCTCGTGGAATCAGAAGTCCTGAATTCCCAGGTGTTCCATACACATTTTTCACACAGAGGAATGGTTGCAGAGTTACCCTTTACCAAGATGCTCATGTCCCAGACAATTTCATCCCAAAAATCCCTCTTGCTGGGGCCAAGTGCTATGAACCACACCGGTGCTGGGAAGACGTTTTTGATGCCATTTCTAATGCAAAGCACTTAATATACATAGCAGGTTGGTCTGTATGTACTTCAATCACATTGATAAGGGACCCAAAGAGGCAAAAGCCAGGAGGAGATTTGACTCTGGGAGAGCTTCTAAAGAAGAAGGCAAATGAAGGAGTTCAGGTCCTAATGCTTGTTTGGGATGACAGAACTTCAGTGAGGTTGCTAAAGAGAGATGGAGTGATGGCTACCCACGATGAAGATACCGAAAGTTACTTCCATCACACGAAAGTTCACTGCGTGTTATGTCCTCGAAATCCTGACAACGGGCAGAGCATTATCCAGGATTTAGAGGTTTCTACCATGTTCACTCATCACCAGAAGATTGTGGTGGTGGACAGTGAATTGCCCAATGGAGGATTAGAAAAGAGGAGGATTGTGAGCTTCATTGGTGGCATTGATCTTTGTGATGGGAGATATGACACTCCCTCCCATCCCATTTTCAGGACTTTAGGCACAACCCACCATAATGATCTCCATCAGCCCAATTTTGCTGGTGCCTCAATCACAAAGGGTGGACCAAGGGAGCCTTGGCATGACATTCATTGTAGGTTAGAAGGGCCTATTGCCTGGGATGTCCTGTTCAACTTTGAGCAAAGATGGAGGAAGCAAGGTGGGAAGGACTTGCTTGTTGAGCTGAGAGAACTTGATGACACATTTATACCTCCATCTCCAGTTATCTTCCCTCAAGACCACGAAACATGGAATGTTCAATTGTTCCGGTCCATCGATGGAGGAGCAGCATTTGGATTTCCTGACTCTCCTGAAGATGCTGCCAGGGCAGGTCTTGTTACTGGGAAAGATCATGTGATTGATCGAAGCATTCAGGATGCATATATCAATGCCATCCGGCGAGCGAAGAGTTCTATCTACATTGAAAACCAGTATTTTCTTGGAAGCTGTTTCTCTTGGCATTCAGATCATACCCTTAAAGTTGAGGAGGTTGGTGCTTTGCATTTGATTCCAAAGGAACTGTCTCTAAAGATTGTTAGCAAGATTGAAGCTGGAGAAAGGTTTACTGTCTACATTGTCATGCCCATGTGGCCAGAGGGTATCCCAGAAAGTCAATCTGTTCAGGCAATATTGCACTGGCAGAAGATGACAATGGAGATGATGTATAAGGACATTGTTCAAGCTCTACAAGCCAAGAGGCTTGAGGCAAACCCCAAGGACTATTTGACATTCTTTTGCCTTGGCAATCGTGAGAAGAAGCGAAGTGGAGAATATGAACCTCCAGAAAAACCAGAACATGATACAGATTATAGTAGAGCTCAGCAAGCCAGGCGGTTCATGATCTATGTTCATGCCAAGGTGATGATAGGTAAGCCAATCTATCACTTTCTTCTTAATTATTTGAACTCTTAATTAACTAGATTGTACTAATTAAAATGTTTGAAATGTCTGGCTTTTGCAGTTGATGATGAGTACATAATCATCGGATCGGCCAACATCAATCAGAGGTCAATGGATGGTGCCAGGGACACAGAGATTGCCATGGGAGCCTACCAACCATATCACCTATCAACCAGAGAGGCAGCTAGGGGCCAAATCCATGGTCTCAGATTGGCATTGTGGTATGAACACTTGGGCCTGCTTGATGACACCTTCCTTGAACCAGAGAGTGTAAAATGCATCAGAAAGGTGAACCAAATTGCTGAAAAGCATTGGGACCTTTTTTCAAGTGAGACAATGGATGGTGACTTGCCAGGGCATTTGCTTAGCTACCCCATTAGGGTTGCTGCTGCAAATGGAGAGATCACAGAGTTGCCTGGAACAGAATTTTTCCCAGACACCAAGGCTCGAGTTCTTGGCTCCAAATCTGAGTTGCTTCCATCAATCCTCACTACTTAGAGTGATGATCTCCTTTGTTTCTCTCTTTTAAATGCTAGCCGCTAGGTGCATTGTAATCATGTCTTGATATAATGAGCACACAGCATAAGCATAAATATTGAAGTCATTGGATTACCAGACACCTATTGTATTTAATTTAAATCTTGTGATTCAACGGTTTCAACATCTGAGTTTATGCTGTGTGCACTTGTTAATTAACTATTCCTGTCTCAAATTTCACATTTTTTTAGTTTTTTTTTCTTCCAGAAGGGTTATACTTCTAAGCTTGCCAGCAGCAAATTGTTGTACTTCTTTGACTACTCAAAACAGGACATCTCTACCTTAAATGTTTTGAACGAACAGCCAGCTGTAGGAAAAAACTTTCTTGTAACGGGTATTGCACTGTTTTGCTATCCCCGTTGCATGAGAGATTCTTTCTAGCTGTAGATGTAAACACTTTCAACACCCTACTCTCCACCTACCTCTTTATTTTGATGAGACCATCTTCACAAACAACCTTTCAAATCTGTTTGTTTCAATTATTGGGATTTGATATCTGCTTTTGGAACCATTAACATATACACTTTAAGACAGTAACTAATTATGGTCATAATTCCTATTCAACTATTCAAACTCCTATGTTTACATCTCTAAGAAGAACCATTTCCTTGCAGAAGAAGTGATGGCATAGAATAGATGGCTTGTTGATATTGATTATCTTAAAAAGGGTCTAGAACCTTTATCTTGTCAACTACTTAATTAGGTTAAATACTGAGATAAATTCATTCATGCATGTTATCTTTTAATATGTTGCCTTTCTTAACTTGTTTGTTCCTTATCTTACTCAAACTCTATATAATAAAATATTTGAACCAGTTCATAATGTTTTTCATACGGTCTATCCATTCTAGAATTTAGGGAAACATCCAACAACAATCTAAGGCCATTGCCTATTGGCTTTTGGGAACCTAACAGGGCCACATGTAACATTGTGACTGAGTTCTGAGCAATATTAACTGGCGAGGATGATGCATGCGCAGCTTGCTCCATTATTTTATTTCTTTTCTTCTGTCATCAAACCTCTAAGCCTTTGACTCCATTGGTCCTAAGTCATTTTCCCATCTCCAACTAGATCTGACCATCAAGAACTCCAATCTTTTGGCATGGAACGGCTTGACATGTCATGGATGACAAATTTAAGGCTGCGTATATTCAAAGAAAACCCTAATAATTGAACCCTCTGTGCCATTCTCACGCTCCTTATATTGCAGTGCAATTCACTACTCTCTGTTTCATCTGGGTAAAACAAACATTACCCATGTGCTGCTGCAAATTGATCCCAATTATTACACCAATCAAACTCATGAATTGGAAGCATATTCACATACTCACAATTCACAAAATAGTAGGGATGCACTTTACATACATATTTATCTCACTGAGCCTCTCTCCAAAACAGTGTTCAAATCGTTACGGCTTTCGTGCAGATCGGAACTTACAAGATTCGGGTTATGCGAGAGGGGTGCATTGCACGTAGCTAGGGTTCTAATTAATCCTCCACATTCTATAAGATTGTGGAAGTGTCAAAAAGTAATGCTGCTAAGGGAGGTAGTCTCGCTTCCTCCCCAATTTCCAAACAAGCAACTGACGTCACCAATAATAAAACTTTCTCTTCATTTGGCACTGCCGTGCGGTGCACGAGCAAAAGTTAATAAGCCGACACCACAGCACAAAGACAGACAGAAACAGAGTCCCCATTTCCCCCTCCCCTAATAAAAATACATTTTTACCAATTCAAAGAGAAAAAGAAAAGGACCCAAAAAAGAAATAAAAAAATTATTACAAAAGAAAAAAACTAATGACCAATGGTTGATCAAAATGTTTACAATAAAATAATCCCATTTGGCTGAATTCAATATCATATTCACATGTAGTTCCCACTGCACCGCCATAACTATTTATCCACCTTCTAGCCCAGCCCCCCAACCCAAGTATACTAGTATTAAACCACACTACCCTCTCCCTCATTCATGTAAGTCCACTTCTTTTTGGTTTCTGGTTTCGGTTTCTTTCTTATCTGTTTTTCTTCTTCTTGGAGAGAGAGGAATTAAAGAAAGAGAAAAAGATCATGTCTTCAGTGTTGGGCTCACAAGGGGTGGTCTTGGCCACAGCCATGGCGGTCTCTGGCACTGTCATCCTCCTAGCTCTTCGCCTACAGAAATCCTTGCCCAATTCTCACTTCCCAGTTGACGAAATCAACCAGTCCTCACCTCAAATTCTACGATCTTGTATATCTTCTGGTATGCTTAACATTCCCTGCTTACTCTGTTTCCTCTGTTTCTTGTTTAATACTCTGTTTTCTCTGTTTCATGGTTAATTCTCTGTTTTCTCTGGCTCATGGTTAAATGGCTAATTATATACATGGTTGCTTTAATTTTTCTTGTTGGGTCTGCAGAAGGAAAGAAGAGGAGGAAGAAGAACAAAAGGGTGCACTTTGCAGAGGATGTGGTGGATCCAAGTGGAGATGGTCAGGAGTTTAGAAGGCAGCATCAGATAATTACCTCCACTTCTTCCAATTCTTCTTCTTCTTGCTTGTCGGCATCTTCAACTTCATCTACAGTACTGAATTTTAAAAAGACAAGGGCCCAAAAATTCAAAGCACCAATGCCTGCTAACCGCGCGGCTCTCTACAATGGAATTCTCAGGGATCGTGTGGTTCACCGATTGGCCTACTCATACTGATTCACACGTTCTCTGTATATTGTGTATAAAGAGTAGTGCTTTCTTTTTCTTTTCTTCTTTAATTTGTACAAATTTTCTTCTGAGGTTATAAGGAATATTCGGAATTGTAAGGAATGATGGGCCCACAGGTTTTGGTAGTTGTTGCCGTTTTATGTTTCTCCTAGTAACATGATTGATTGGGCACAGGGTGGATCCTCTTTAATTAATGGAACATTTTTTTTGTTGATATTTCAATCCTTCATCCTCTTGGGTTTCTTGAAGCAACTGAAAATTTTCAACAAGATTCAGCCTTACATCTTTCCTCTGTTCTGTGGCTCTGTGTGGCTCTAGCTGCCTGATTCCTACTTTAAAATGTTGCTAGCTACCAAAAAAAATATCGAAGAAACGGTTGGATTGTAATAGTGCCTCTCCAATATCTCTCCTCTTTCAGGGTCCACAACAAGCCAATTAAATATGGGATTTGCATTTACAGAATTTGCCTAAGCATCCAAGTCGCCATTTTGCTCTGTTTCCTGTGACTTGGTAGACTTCCACACACCCACAAAAAAAAAAAAAAAAAAACAAAAAAAAAAAAAAAAAAAAAAAAAAAAATTTGAAATGAGAGCCCTACGACCCTGTTGAAGGAAGAGAACAGAGACAATGTCAATGTGAGAATTTGAGTTGGTCTTCTTCTTCTTAGGCTGAACTTGTTCACAACTTGCTGGGGTTTGACTGATGATTGTAATTGAATAATGTGTGGGTGTTTGTGTGTCATGTGTGTGCTTCTTTTGACAAATAAATTCCTTCACATGTGTATGTATGGTAGCATCCATGCAGAGTGTGAACAAAGCCATGTGCCTGCCACTGCCAGGATGCTTCCTCCTCTATCTACCCACTAGCCAACTACCTTTACCTTTACCTAATCGCACAATCAAATAACGAAGACTTTTACTCCTTGACCTGATAGAACCTTGGATAAGAAGCAAAGCTAACTATCAACAACATACACACAGAAAACATAAAATTATTGGCCCATCTCCATCGCAGCATATGAATTGATTCTTGACTAACTCATCATCAAAATAAAATAAAATTGATTCTTGACTTAGTGCAAAGCAAACATATTCCACAAAGAATGGAAAAACAACACTAATAAAAATGGCCAAACATGCATGCACCATTTTGATTGAGATCATTGGGGGTCTGAAAACTCTTACAGAACATATGAAAAATGAAATTTTGGTGGTCAATTTTGTTTTTATAGGAATATGGCAAATAAGGACAGAGGAGAAAATAGAATAGAGTCCTTCCTTGCATTTCCCTGCTCTGTTTCTTTTTTCTTCCATCATCATGTGAGTGTAGGCTCATTTCTGAAGCTTTAGGGTCTGTGGCTGTGGATGAGACATGCCAAGCAAGAGATTGGAGAAAAGTAAACCAACCAAAACATGTAGAAGCAGAATGGGCAACTGAAATTTTTATTGGTTTATATACATACAATATATGTATCGTGATGAGCTTCTTTGTCTTGCTACTGTTGCATTTGTTGAAAAGGAGGGTTCAGTATGTTGTTTGTGGGGGCTCATGCCTCACGGTGCGTCCCATCCCATATGTCTTCTGTGTGTTGTCTAATCCAAATTTGTTTTGTTCTGTTATTAAATTCCAATTTGATTATTTTCTTATGTCTTTCTTATTGGAGAGTACAAGCTGCAACAGCAGCATGTTCCAAGTTCCATAGTTTTGGTCTGGTCACCAAATCACACCCAACCAACCAAATTTGAGAACTTTGTGTATTGTATTTCTTCTGTTCTTAGCCCCCTCACTCACCACCACTAGATGTCAATTTGGGCTGTGATTGGTTACTTTGGAGGCAATTTAAATACTGCCCTTTAACAAATTGAAATCCCACAATTATTATCTTCATCATGCTTGGAGATTTGATGTGTAACAGATTGGCCCTGTTGGGCAGTGTTCTTGCAAGCTTTGTGACTTTGGCCAACATGTCGGTTCTAGCTTTGGCAATTCATAGCGCATCATGCACCAAATCCAATTGGGTCCAAATCAAGCTCAAAGTCTTCCATTGCACTATAGCAAACCCGCAACATATTGTCTCGCTTACTCTTAAAAAAGAAAATACAAGCGATATTAATTAGGAGATATTATAACACATAATCTCGCAAGTATGAGTAATTACTTTTAACTAAAAAAAGTCTCGCTAACTACTGAATAATGATGATTTTCTGAAAAAGAAAGTTAATGATTACTTTGGTTTGGTGAGCAAAGCGCCCAATTATTATAGATGCCAATTGAATGGCAAAAAACATATAATAGCAGTGGAAGGTGACCAACACATTCACACAGGTCCATTCACAAATCACCAGCGCAGTAAAAAGGAGCATGACATCTGCAAAATCCATAGGTAGATGCTTCCTGGATCCACTTTCTTTGTGACCTCATCAACTTTGTAACATTTTTCTATGTGAAAAAGAGAAAGAAAGAGGAGGCTTTCCTCTTTTAAGTGGTCCAATGGCCCTCCGTTCAGTCAATAAAAAGAGCCACTGCTTTTTTGCTGTATTTAATTAAGCCCTTAATTATACAGCATTTAACATAAAATCTAATATTAAACTTTGCAAATTACAACAGGGTGTGCTCATCGTGGCTTGCCATAATGTACTTTAAAAATGATCGATGGAAAGTTGAAGAAGAAACATGAAATTTTAAAAAAAGACAAAACTAGCCAATCAAATTCCAACATGTTTAATTTATTAGTACAAGTGACTTCATCCCATTTGGCATGTTAGGTGGGAGAGGGAAAGCTTGCCTAAACATGGAATGGAAGCGTTGAAATTAACTTGGTCACCACTAAAGTAGCCAAAATAAAATGGTTTAATTGAAGATAAGGATGAGCAAGCTTAGTGTGTTTTTTATATATAGTAAAAGTGATAGTCTAAACTCTAAACTAGAGGGGAGGACAATTGATGTCATAGGGGTATGCAAATCAAGACCCGTTTCTATCGGGCTAGACCCTCCTGGTGGAGCGAGCGAGCTTACTTACTCTCCCTTTTTTGTTATAGTAAAATGTTTTTAAAAAAACAAAAGGGAGTATAAATAAACAAAAAGGAAATGGGAAAATCATCACACTAGTGTTAATAATCAATTAATTAACACTAATCCTAATTGTACTTCATCAGTGGGCATGGGGTTGTTGAGAGTTAAATATTAATCACAAATGTTGGAACATCCCTAACATGCATAACTATTAACTAATTACAGCAAAGAATCATGAATCGGCATCCTTAGATTCCGGAAATCAAACGCGTTTGTTTATAATTTGTCAACAAATTTCATCCATCAGTGGAAACATTTTAGTTAACCCCTGTACTAATCGTGCTTGTCACTTTAGTGTTACGTGCCATTTCACCAAGTACCAATAATTCTTTGTTTATTATCAAATATCTTTCAACACAAAAGATTGCTGATTTGTTTGTCTCCGTCGCATTTTCAAACTTAAGATAAATGGCGATAGTCAATGATCATTGGTGGGCTTCTAAAGAAAGCGGTGGCCTCCTTTTCATTGTTTTTTTTTCACCAACGGCTGCTACAAGCGTTATTCTCTTCAAAAGCCCAAAGCCCAAAGCCCATTATCTTCTACGTCAGGGTAAATTTTCTACTAAAATGAAAGTATTTTAGTTATAGTCAGTCTTACGAGGGAAGTACTCCAGTTACCATTTTTCATAGAATATAATTGGGCTTGCTGATTTGCTGCCATTTTAATGGTATAGCCGCGCGGCTATACTCTTTGAATATAGTTGTTTTTATTTTTATTTTTATTTATTCGAATATGCCTATTTATTTTTATTTTTTAAAAACAAAATTAGTTTGTTTATTTTAATATTTTTAATTAAGAAATGTCTTAACCTTATTTAATTACTTTAATTTTAATTATTATTTATTTAGATAATTTAATTTCATAAATTACTCAATATATAGTAATTAATTATTTAAAATTATTTTGTGGCTTTTTTTAAATAAATTTTTTCATACAAATTAGTTTGTTTAGTTTAATATTTGTAACTAAGTAATATCTTAGCCTTATTTAATTATTTTAATTAGTAATTAGTTTTTATTTATTATTTCTTTAGTGAATAATTAGTATTTAAATATTTTAATTAATTTCATAAATTACTTAATAAATAGTATTTAATTCTTTTATATTCTTTTATAGACTTGAAAAATTATTTTTAATTTCCAAAAGTATTTTTAAAATAGTTTCTATTATTATAAAATCCTGGAAATTTCTTTTTAAGTACCCAAAAATATTGTAACAACTATTTTAGGATTCAAAAAATTGATTTTAGCCACCAAACTCAAAATCCAAGTCTCAAACCAAAAACCCTAACTTCCAAACTTATTCCAAAACCGCTCTCAAGCCTAGCATCCTAAGCATAAGCCTACTCTAGGACACACGATTAGGCTTGGATACTCAAGTAACAGTATGGTTCAATATGTGCAGAGGAAGTGCAGAAAGATGGAGCATACTCAACAAGCCATTCTGGTTCGACACAAGAAACGCCGTGCATTAATGGTGGTCCTGAGATTGTCTGTATTAACTCAGGGGCTGGATTAGAAACAGATGACCTGTGGTCGAGGTACACGGTTTCTTCAACCATGCAGGCTTCATACCCAACTGCACGAACTTTTCTATCTCCTGATTTGGATGAGCCAATGCGTGTGGCAACCCTATCCGTCCAACCAGCACAAATAGCTTGGCGCAAGAGCTTTTCATCGTCAACTGAGAGAGGCTTCTTATCATGGGAAACCCTCCAATCTTCTTTTACATCTCCCAGGTTCATAAAAATTCTTTCTCACCGTCAGAAACACCATTTTGATATTTAAAGAAAATTTTGAGTAGCTGCTTTCTCAGCTTGGACATTTCCTGCATGATGGTCGGGTGTAGAGCATTGTCATTGCGGAATCTCAATGGACTGTTGGAAAGTTCATAGCACTGCAAAGCATAAGGCCTGGACAGAGCATCACTGTCAACATTATAAAGCTTTCACGAGACACTAACTTCTCTTCATTTGAATAATCATATCATAAGGTTTTTCTTCATCAGTTGTCATTTCAAACTTAATGCTTACTGGAAATTGTCTGGCACTGACATCTCTATCCGGTGGGGGATCACGAAACAGCTTTCTATTATTAATAAAGTCTTCAATTCGCAAGGTAGCACTCATCAGCACAAGCTTTAACGGAAAAACTTGCTGCCCAGGACTTGTCGTTCTTCCCGAAAGCACCACCTTTTGCTGCTCTGCGCAGGACTTGTCGTTCTGCCATCACATGCAAATGAGAATAATAATAAAAAGGGGTTGTAAACCTTGATTAATACAAGTTTTAGCAGATATAAGCACCACATCAAGCTTTACATGACGAGCACTAATTACACCAGATAGCATTCCGATAAGCAGGTCCGTGTTCAACCTCAGCTCATGAACCTCGTCAAGAATTATGACAGAGTATAACTTAAACTTATCAGATGCTTTTTGTAAAAGCATCCGCAACTTATCAGATGCTTTTTTCAAATTTCGGAAACATTTTTCGAAAAATCGGCCTAGGCGCCCGCCTAGGCAGCTAGGCGGGTCTGGGCGCCTGGCAGTCGGGTCGGTTTATTTTTATTTTTATCATGTGAGAATTATTGACTGAGACAGAGGTTGGGCCCAACATAGTTCGCTGGCCTTGAAGCCCAATAAAGGCCCACCGCAAATGTGGATACGGGTTGGGCCCAACATACTTGGTTCACGGAAACAGAGGTTTACACTCTCAGACGCAGACGCTGAAGAAGAAGAACGACGAAGCAGCACACACACCCACACTACAGAGAGAGGCGGGGTCATTTCTTTATCAACCAAACCAAACGCCGTCGTTGTCAGCCATCAGGTACTTGTTGTGCTCCATTGATGTACGAAAATATGTATAGAATTGTCCTCTGCTGAACATTTGCTATTGCGTGCTAGTAATTTCTACGGGCTTCTAGGGTTTCTGTAATTGGTTTTACTTATGCATGTTTTACCTGTTTTTTTAGATGAATACAAGGCGGATTTTGATCCAACAGTCGGCATTTGTTTTTGGTTTAATATGAATTTTATGAATATACTGTGGATTGTGAATCTCTCATGGATTTGATAATCTGAACCTACTGATGGTGATGCCATATTATAATTAGGTCCCTTCATTTACAAAAATTGAAAATTTAACTGATTACTTTGCCAGCTTCTTGTTCAATTTGCAACTGTTTTTTGTTTCTCATTAATCATCTCAAGCATGACTTGGGTTGGTGCTGAATTTGATGGTTTCTTAAATTTTTGTTTTTGTTTTATAAAATATATGAATTCAGTAGCCATGAAGGTGCGCTCCTCTGTGAAGAAGATGTGTGAGTTTTGTAAGACAGTTAAACGTCGCGGGCGTGTTTATGTGCTTTGCACAGCCAATCCCAAGCATAAGCAAAGACAGGGCATGTCAACATTTGCATACGAAGGCACGGTGTCTTCCATGTACGTTTCCTTTCATGCTTTCATTTCTCTCTTTTTATGCTTTTATATGTTTACTTTGGCAAATTCTTCTGATTGCATTAATCTTAAAAGGAAACATCCCATGTTAAGCACCCCGTAATCTAAGACAGAACAAAACATGTTAGACGAATTCACTCCAAATCTTCCCTAACACCTGGAGATCCCTTTCCTCTTGTAAAGTTGTTGTACATAGTTCGTTGGGTGGTTTTACTAAGTGATTCTTGGATACTTCTTATCATAGGCACGCAGGTTAAGCCCACAAAAGGCACTTTTCCTACTATATGTGGACCTTCATTTGGCAAGCCTGCATAAGGTGGCCTGGAGCCTCCTTTTGTATAATAAATGTTATCTAGGAGATTAGGACTTGGCAATCTCTCCATAGAACAAAACTCATAGCGGTTACAATGCTTTTAGTCATCAATTTGGCAGAAGAGAAACAACAATTTATGGAGTCAAGGGTTTAGGTTACTGCGTCGTCCAATTCTAACTTCTGAGATGGTGGTTGCCATTTTTTACACTATTGTATCTAGCTTACCTGCTCCATGTTGTGTTTTTCATGCATGTGTGTCTATAATCATACTTTTTGCTGATATGAAAGTAGCTTTTCAGTTTTTCATTAGTTCTGTCTGGCATATATAGCGTGAATTTAGTCATATGTGTAAAGATTTTAAAAACTTCAGAACATGTTAGTAGTAACCTAACATGTGAACCTGTATGTTCACAAACTGCTGCATATCTGTATGTAGATGTCTCACATGCGAATCTTTCTCTTACACATGAACTTCCTATAGAAATGTGATGTGGCAATGGAGTGAAATTGGCAATTTTCTTGTTGAATGTTTGAATTCTTTTCAGGTACGCAGAGACTAGTGCCAAGCTGGAGAGCAGCTCTGGTCACAGCGTGCAAGCAGGTCTGGCCTCTCTGATACCCAAAAAGCACGAACCCTCGATGCCCTCTATACCCTCTACGATACTTGGATGGAGGGTGGGCCTGGCCTCCCTGCTGTTCAACAAGGCCAAGTAGCTTTGACATTTGAAATGGGAAGAATACAAACCTTATCTCAGTTTTTAGGTTCCTTTCTTTGGTTGTGCTGCCAGATATATTCAAAATGTTATAAGCTCCTCTCTTTTTCTCTTGGATTTTAGCTTTTAATCTGCTACTATATATAATACTTCCATCTCTCCCTCGCTTTCTGGTGTGTGTGTGTGTGTGTGTTTAGACTTGGCTGTGCTTGAGATTCTGATCATAGCGACCTTACCTGCTCCACATAAATAATTCAGGAAATGAGATGGCTCGAATTGTAAAGGACACTTTATCTGATTTCCTGGAAAAGAATTAGATGGTAAGAAAGTGAAACGTAACTTGGATGTTGCAAGAGTTTTCTTTTCATATTCATTTTACTGATCATATGGAACCAAATTAGTGAATCCATATAAAATTATTAATTATGCGGGTAGGTCTACCCATCTCTTGTAAGTCATACCCGAAAGGCGAACCTTTATATATCTTAATTGACCAAAAAATAGAAAGAAAATAAAAAAAAACAAGAGTACCCAATCATGTATGTTTCTTTTCTTTCATGCTCACATACCTACATAAAAACCTAATAATATTATTCATGCATCAACATTGCCATCGGAGTTGTTTTATGGTGAGGGTGCTATATATGGATCATAGATGTAGACTTTCATATTAGTTGCAGGATTCATTTAAATAGAAACTTCACTTGATTTTAATTAAATAATTTTATGGCTAATATAAAGATTCACATGAAAGGTCCATGTATGACACCCTATTATAGAATTTTGCGTGTCGTCTTGGACCTTCCTGGAAATTGCCTCTCACAATCTTTAACACCCAAAAGAAAATTATGTGCAACTAGCCTTCCTGGAAATTGCCGCTCACAATCTTTTAACACCCCTTTGACCAAAAAATCTTTTAACACCCAAAAGAAAATTAGTCTGAAGATATTTTCCTTTTCTCAAGTCGTCCTCAGCAGCACACTAGTGGGAGAAAGAAACCGCAGTGGACAGGCCCGCGTCCAGGTCCAGCAGCGTATTAATTAGTTAATTAATTAATGTTTAATAAATAATTCGAAAACAAAATCCAAAATCACCCAATCGAAAACAACGATTCCCACACAATCGAAGAAAACACAAGTCCACGCGGACTCGCTCTCACTTTCTCATCAATTCTTTATACACTGGACTCGATTTTCCCTTCTTCCCTGGAAAACTGGAAACCCTAAACCTCCAAATTCATTGTTTTTAAAGTTTGTTTTCGCGGATGGAACCGGCGCTTAGCTTTTGAATGTTCCCGGCAAAACTCACTCCACTTGCAGACTAAATGGTGACGACTCTCAACGCCTCCGTGACAACTTGGATCCGTCACTTACTCGCTTGCATGGGGTAAGTCTTCGATTACACTTAACGCGAAATCCTTTATCTTTTTGTGCTTGTATTTAGTGTCTTTGTTTCTGTTTCTGCTATTTATGGTAGTTATTCGGGTTCTTCCAAATCTGCTATTTTTGAAAGGTTTGACTTGCTGCTTACTGGGTTAGTAGTAAAAATTTGACTTTCTAAGTTTGGGAGCGAATTTCAGATTATAAATGCTTTCCAAGTTAAGAAATTTTGCCATCTGGGTTCCAAGAATTTGAAGTCTTTTTGGTAACAATGGCAAGTTCAGCTTGAGTTTTGAATAATTTTCCCTCAGATGTTAAATGAAATCCCCTGGGATTGGATGTATCGGAATCGATGGTATTTAGCCACTTTGAGTGATTGACTTGACATATTAACACTTGTAACTCTCGCATCAACACTGTACAGTCTTTTGTTGGTGGAATTTAATTGTGCAATAAGGTTTAACCCGGGTTTTAACAGAGCAGTGGTTGTTTTGGATGCTGCACTAAACCCACACCAATTATTGCCGTCGATGAGCCGTCCAAGGGATTGAGAATTCGAGGTCGAACTGTTAAGAAACCTGGCATCTCAGATGATTTTTGGAGCAGCAGTACGTACGACTTGGACAATAGTGCTCTTCAATCCCAGAGAAGCATCTCATCCATCAGCACCTCCAACCAGACCCTCACCCATGGCAGTGTGGCTGGTAGCACAAGCAGCCAGTCTGACTTTGTAAATAATGGCAAGTTTTCATTGTATGCTATTTATACCGTTCTTATTTTGGTCTGGAAATTCTGTGTTCTCTGTTTAAATATGTGCTAAGAGGTCTGTCATGTTTTACCGATTTCTCTTTTACAATCCCAAACATTTAACAAGAAAAGAGGAGCCTAAAATATATAAATAGAGGGAAATGGAAAAGAGAAAACAAAACGTATTCTGTAAAGTTCCCTAGTTTTCACTACTATGTTGCGAACCTCATGTGTACTGATAAGAATTTAACTTTGCGATATTAAAAGTAAGTTTCTGAAGAAATATGGTGTACTTGTTTATACCAAAAGTTAGCACTCAAAGACATTTCTGATTTCTTTTACTTCTTTGTGGTAAATTGAAAGTCTGTTCCTGTATATACTTATAAGTTCCATCTGGTTATGCTAATGCATTATCTACTTCTGGTGCTGGTACTTTTTTTAAATCCTCCTTTAGTCAAGTTTGGTATAATCCTTATCCATGCTCTTGTGAACTTCAATATTTGTAAGTGTGTAGAATGTTGACTTATAGCATTTACGCTTTGTAACTGCAGGTCTTGTTCTCTGGAACCAGACCAGGCTTGAGTGGATTGGAAGTGGCAAGCCTAGAAATCATACTCCAACAAGTCGGGAAAGCAGATTAAGGTATGTTACTTTTACTCTTTTACCATTTCCAAAGTAGCTGATGAACTAAATGCTTTAGCAACTTAACGAATGGAGGAAATTGTATTAGCAGGTGTATGTGGTAGAAATAATATATTCAACTATGGGTTAATCCTGGCGCCAATGAATCACATAAACTTGTATGCTTTGTATTTTAATTTGGATATATCTTTCACCCCATGGTTAACTAAATATGTCCTTACAGTTGGAATTCAACGTATGAAAGATTGGTTGGAACCAAACAGAGACAGTCTTTCACGCAGCGCATTCCTTTGTCTGTAAGTCCTCTTTTTCCTTTTGGGGGTGGGTCTCGTTTAGTCTTCCATCTGATTTGGCAGTTTTGCTTGATATTTGTTTTGGATTCTATGTCAGTTTGTCATGTTGAAATGCTAATTGGGTTCATATTGACAGGACATGATAGACTTTCTTGTGGAAGTATGGGAGCAGGAGGGGCTGTACGATTGAGCGAGTATCAGACTCTGCCTTTTAACGTCAGAAAGATACTTGATATTTGTAAATCTCAGAGTCGTGCTTGCATGCCGAGGGCAAAGAAGGAACCGGAACAATGAAAATATGTTTCAAGTTTAATTGTAATTTTACTCAGTGATATTTTCATCTTGTGTGCCCCCATGGAACGGTGGAACATGCCCTCTGCCTCGGATGATAGAGAACCAGTTGCCTTTGCTTGTGTGAATACCAAAAGTAAAAAGTGTTTCAAAACTATACTAAACTAAGCTTCATCTCATGGTGATCTTTTGTATGTATAAATGTCTGTTTCTGTCCCTTGTTTTTCTTCCTCCCAATGTGTAAGCATTTTCTTTTTCGGTGCCTTTTTCTTTTCTTCTCCATCTTCTTCTAGGTGGGAAAGCAGTGGTGTTTCTTTGAAGGTCAGTCGTACTACTAAGTAGGGGTGGCATTTTAAACCGAAAAACCGCAAAAACCAACCAACAATTTATCGCAATGAAACCGCAATCGCAGTAAACCGAACTGCATTTGCGGTATTAAGGCTCCGTTTAGGATTGCTTTTTTTCTCCAAAAACCTGCTTCACTTTAAAGTTAAGCAGTTTTAGGTGTTTGGTAAAAATAAAATATCTCGATTATTTTAAAAGCAGTGGCCTTTTGATAGCAGCTTTTAAAAGCAGGCTATGGGTTGCTTTTCAAAGCTGCTTTCAAAAGAAGCAGAGATGAACCTTTAATGAATTTTTTTAATTCCCAAAATACCATCATTCATTTTAAAAAATAACACCACCTCCACTTCCACATCCAACTCCACCACATTCACTACCTCCACAACCACCGACATCGCCACCGCCACCACCACCACTACCACCTCCTCCACCACCACCACCACCACCACAACCACCACCTCCTTCAAAACCTCCACATCCACCACCACCTCCAGAACCAACACCACCACCACCACCACCACCATGCTGCCACCTCCACCACCATGCTGTCACTACCACCACCTCCACAAGCGCCATCCCTACCACCACCATCTCCACTCAATCACTACCACTACTACCACATGATTAGTACATAACACTTTTAACATCATGTCTATTTTAGTCATTATTCACAGTTATAACAATTTTATATTAAAACTTACCAAACGGTTTTGACACTACTTTTTGTACTAACAGCACTTTAAAAATATTGTTTACCAAACACTGAGCTGCTTTACTTTACAGCTAATTATTTTTAAAGCACAGCAGAAGCAACTTTTTTTAAAAGTGACAGCAATCCCAAACTGGGCCTAAGAACCAAACCGCATTTGCGGTTGCGGTTGCGGTATTTGATTTTCAAAACTTACGGTTACCGCAAACCGCAAAGTATAACCGCACGGATGATGATGTTGAATTCTACAATGAAATGGAACATATGACAACTTATAAGTAATTAGTTTATTTATGCTTCTTCTTATAATAAAATGTACTAAACTATGTTGTTTTATTTGTAGATAACATTGGTGCTCAAACAACACAACGGGATTTTTCAAATCCACTCACCACCAACACTTGAGTTTGTAACTTTAGTTTGTAACATTGATGCATTGCATTTTCCTTTTAGTTTGTAACTTTAATTAACTTTGAATTGGATTTTTCTTTTTGGTTGTAACTTTAATTCATTTTGCTTTGCATTTTCCTTTTGGTTTGTAAATTTAAAGGATTTGGAATTGGAATGCTTAAGAAGTTTAATTTTAATTGGAATGCTTGGAATTGTAACTTTAATTTTCTTAGGTTGTGAATGCTTGAGAAGTTGAGGAGATTGTGAATTTATATATGCTTGAGAAATTGAGGTTGTGTATTTATTTATTTAGGTTGTGAATTTATATTTTTATGAATGCTTGAGAACTTGCGGTTTTAAACCGCTAATTCGCGGTAACCGACCGCATTTTGCAGTTTACCGCAATGCGGTAAACCGCAAAACGCGGTCGGTTTGCGGTTTCAAAAATTACCAAGCCGCAAATAGTCGGTCGGTATGCGATTTGAGTAAAAATTCGCGGTTATCGAACCGCAACCACCCCTACTACTAAGCATACATGCATGCATGTTTCGCAGCCCATGTAGGGTGCAACGATATTGTAATTGGACCATTTTGGAATTTGACCAACACTGTGGTTGGCGGGCTGGCTGGCAATTTGATGCATGAACAAGGACGCAACTTTGCTGGTCCAAGTAAGAAATGCAAATGCGTGTGTATTTGGGGAGGTCGTATTTTGATTTGGTGGAAACAAAGATTGTTTTGTGTTTGTGTAGAAGTCATGACTTCCGTTCCGTACTGGGACCTAAATGGGTACTGAGTTTATCCTACGGTATAAAGATCTTCGCAGCCAATCCAAAGGTCCGTGAAGTGCACGATGCATGATGCACAATCCAAAATGCTGCCAAATTAAGCTGCATTACAGCAAGACCTCTCACACTCTTATCCGGGGGGCTCTCTCTCCAACGGGAAAACCACCAAGTTGCATCGATTGCCACTTTTCTTCTCCACTTGGTACGTTGGTGTGGTGGTGGTGGTGAGTGAGTGAGAAAGTCTTGTCTTTTCTGAAAAAGCAAGCCCCCCCCTCCCATCCAATTCAACAACTTGAGCGTGACATACTCAATTTATATTGAATCTCTCCCCCGTACTATTCTAGTACACTGAATGTTTCGAGACATTACAAACAAAACCTACAACCAACTTGAGCATCTAACTTTACACATAGACAGGAGACAAGAGGGGAGATAAAATACAAATACATTTAATGAATGGAATTATACGGCAAAGACTAGAAGTATACATTCAATTCTTAACGTAAAATACTTACCAAAAAATCTCTCGACGAGAAAAAAACTATACTCTTATTTCCACATCAAAAAAGTCAGCATAGATAATATTAGGGCAAAGACTTTATTTACAGAGAGAAATTAAGAATCAAAGACTCAACAAAACCATTAGACTGGGTCTACACTCAACAAATTTAAAATTCTCACTCTTCTTATAAAATATTTAAAATTTATTTGGTCATTTCAGACTTTTGCAAGCCATTGCTACATACATGAACCCTGTGCCGACCTTTTACCTTTCCCTTTCTTTCATCTCACCTTTTCATTCATTACAGAGTATGTTGGCAAGCTTATCTCATTAATCATTAGCTTAATTAAGCTAAATTAAGCTAATTAATTAAGCTAATCGCATTCGTGTAGTAAAACATGATCTTGATGGGCACGAGGATGTTTGTGTGTTATTAGCTGGCATGATTTGTCTGCCTTGTTGGTTGGTTCAAATTCAAGTTGATCACCCAAATTACATTACTAAATAAATATTAACTTTTGGAAAAAGTAATATGAAACTTTATTGTTATTATTAGGGGCCTCATAGTGGTATGTAAATATTAATTTTATATAGATGTAGACCAGATACAAATCACAAACATTCCAAAAGAGACCAAACACGCATTATACTACTTGTACCACCACGGGCACCTACCTTCTTCTCCACCCTCCAAAAGGTTAATTACAACCCCGAGGACTGGGGGAGTTGGTCTTTTTGTTTATATTTATTTCATTTGGGGGGTTTGGTAAAGAAAAAATAGAGATGTGTACTTTCTTTCCTTGTTTGTTTCTTGTTTATTCCTTTTTCTAGATGAACATGAACCTCGTGGAAATTCATTGATGGAGGGAGGAGAGGGTCTGAAATTTCCAAGATATTTATTCTTGAATTACATAAATACCCTTATATTTTTTATTTATTTACCAAGTCGACTCTACACTAGACAGAGAAAGACCCAGACCAAGTGGGGAGAGAGAGGATCCAATGTTTCTAGCCTTCCATTCATTCCATTCCTGTTTCTGGTCGCATTTTCAATCCCACCCCACCCCACACCTGGCTTCTAGTAATAAACACCTTCATATTTCTTATATTCAATGCACATTTTGACATCATTCTTTCTAACCACAACCAACAAAAAAAGGCAAAAGCCAAAAATGCAATGCATGCATTCTTTTAACTACCGACACCACCACCACCACATCCTCCTCATCCTCCACCACCACCACTACAACTACCACATCCACCTCCACAACCGCCATCCCACCACCACCACTATCACAACCACCAACCCCACCTTCATCACCAACACCACCTTCATCACCAACACCACCTTCACCTTCATCTCTTTCACCACCACCACTATCACCACATGATTAGTATATAACACTTTCAACATCATGTTTATTTTAGTTATTATTCACAATTACAATAGTTTTATATTAAATGTATCAAACGGTTTTGACACTATTTTTTGGAAAATGCTAGGTTTACCACATTTGTCATACCACAATTGTACCACCTCTCTAATAGAGGTGGGCCCCATTGTATTGGTGGGCTCCACCTCTATTAGAGAGGTGGTACAATTGTGGTATGAAAAATGTGGTAAGCCTAGCATTACTCCTATTTTTTATACTAACAACATTTTAAAAATATTGTTTACCAAATATAGAGTTGCTTTACTTTATAATTAATTATTTTCAAAGTACAGTATAATCAACTTTTTTACCTCGTTTAAGTATAATAAAAAAAAGCAAGTTATCCAAACAAGGAAAAAGTTGGTGAATAATGAAAAGAAGAAATGGTCGGTACGTTGGCTTGGCGGAGTCTTGAAGAAAACGGATAGAGGTAGTAGCTATCGACTTTAGTTAGAAAATCAACCAAAATGAAAAACCCAACTAAGAAAAAAGCCAAATTTTGTATCGTCTTCTCTCTCTCTCTCTCTCTCTCTGAGAGGATACTTGAAAACGATCCATTGATTCATTCTAATTTCTAACCCAACCCAACTCTTAATATTTTTCCAAGCCTACTTAGTCTGAAAATGTTATATTTTGAGACATCCATTGGACCTACCGACAATATTATTTAATTACAAATTCATTGCACATCCTCACATCAACTTTTTAATTTGTCCAAGGGAAGAGAACCAGATGGCATATGGCATGGGCCCCACTCTCCTTCCCTCATATTCATTCTTGATGTATGCATAATGCATGTATGTCCTCTATCTCTACGGGAAACAAATTTTGACCACTGCATGTTGACTTGTATTCGTGCCACAATTTCGCACAAGTTGAACTTGTCAATGGATGCCATGCCATGCCAACATTTTACTTTTCTTTCTTCGGTCCAATATCAACTTTCACTTGCCAAAATCTAGCTTCCTGAAGCTATGTATTAGGCATCGATTTCTTGTTAAATACAGAACGCTAAAATAATAGATTATTATCGATTTCTATTCTAATAGAGGACGATAAATTCGTCAATCAAACAAATGCAACTTTCTTTGCATATAGAAAATTCATTAGTGATGTAATCGTTTTACTCGTGCTATTGTGGTTAAAAGAAGTCATGTTTAGAGCGTTTGGTGCAATACATACAAAAAAGAAAGATGAAGTTGGATATTTTCAAATCTTATCCCACATATAGTTGATTAGACGTGCCATTGCCAATTTGCCAATTTGCCAATTTGCCACCACTCGTTAATTTGAGTGGTTTGGTTCCATACAGAAACAAGGTTAATTATCTGTTGAACTTGAAAGGACAAATTAAAAGCCACCTAATAATGGGATTTAATTATGAGGCTCAGTTCTCCAATTAGACAACACATCATCAACTCTTTCCTCCCAATTGAAGCCATCATCATCATTAATAATGATTTATGTAATTCTTGTCTGATCATAATATTTCGGCTTAATATTACAACACTTGCTCTTATTTTATCTTATTTCAACGCGTTAATCAATAAAGTCAAAACAAAATGACCAAAATAACACAGAGAAATAAAGCTGTTAAAATCTAATCTAATCCAATCCAATCCAAATTCATTCCTATTTGTTTGTCCTTATCCAAATTCACAAACGCACACATATACCTATGAGTAAAAATGACCTCATACAAAAATTATAAGCACGAAGTTGCAGATTACCTTTTAATTTCATACTCATTTTGCTACTAATTAATCTGGTTACATTGTATATCTCTTTTTTTTAATTATATTTGTGGGGGCATGTTTCTAACTTGGAACTTGTTGGATTCTCTCCTTTGTGCAAAAAAAAGAAGAAGAAGAAGAAGAAGAAGAGAGGAAGGGACCTTGAATTGGACCACAGTATTTGATTCAATGTATATATGGAAAAAAAAATCCATTTAAATTTATAAAATTTCCAAATGAAAGTATAGTATTTGATGTGATGTGTTGAAAAATGATGAACCCAAGTTTATAAACTTACTAATTTAAGTTGAAGTGAAACTAAACGAGCATTGGCATAAGATAAGTAAGATGATGCATGATAGTATGATACAATACAAGGATCTTCAGCCCCCAAAATAAGATAAATTTATTTTGGCAAAAATGAAATTTAATTTAAAATAATAATATGTATCGTGACACATGCATGAATCTTATAATAAACTCCTATCAAATTATAAACCCAATTAACACCACAAATAAAAAAATGTTGTACAATAGAAAATTAAAAATTAAGAAGGGAAAGGGTGGTTTTCGGTTTGGCGGTATTTTGCTGAGGGAGGTGGTTAGAGTAGGGAAGACTGGTTTTGAGGAAGGATTCATTGCATGTAGCAGATCAGATGTATGAGAGAGAGAGAGAGAGAAGATGAGAGCGACACCTTTGTATTTCTCTTTTCCCAATATAAGCTTTTCCCAATGACTCATATATACCATTGCCATTCTCCTCCGCAACACCATACCCATTTCAACAAGCTCCTCATTTCTTCCTCCCAATCTTTTTTTCCCTACTTGTTAGGGTTCTTTCTCAAATGCTCTTTAACCTCTGCACTCTCATCACTCTGATTTCAACGCTTTTCTTCTTCAGCCTTTTTCTCTTTGCCATCTCTGGAGGTTTGTGCTCTGAGGAACAGTCATGCCTGCCCTCGTTAATTACAGTGGTAAGTTCCTATGTTTTTGTGAGGTTATTATCCGACTTTTGTGGGTTTGGTTTAATGGGGTTTCATCATCTTGGTCTAGTTTTAACGGGTTGGTCTCAAGTTGTAATCTTTATATCCAATTCATATCGATCTATATGTCCTCTAGCCTTAATCTTTTGCTCCCTTGTTGGTTGAAGAATGCTTAGATTCAATGCCTGCTTGAATATTCAAATATCTTATTGTGTTCAAGATCATATATTGTCATACATGCTTGTTGCCCTTTTCATCCTCTGGATGTTTGTTTTGTTCGAAAATCCTATGCCTTTTTGTTGTTGGTGTTTTTAGGGGAAAAAAGATTTCGCTTAGAAATCCCAAGCAAGAGTGTTTAGATTCACTAGGATTGTATAATATGGTAAATCCTCACATATTTAATTTAATCCATGATTAAAATTATTAGTTATCTTTCAATATCATCATCCAGACTTAAGGTTTGGCTTTCAGTATTCCTTCATTGGATGTAATGATTTTGACTTTAGATTTAGCTTTCAGACTTGAGATGTGGATGCTTTTAGCTGAGTTTAGTTTTTGTTTTGGGGTTTTCAGGTGATGATGATTTCTACGCTGCGGGTTCTTTTTACTCAAATCCCATGGATTTGGGTTGCCTGTTGTCAATTGGCCCCAGTGCGTATTACCGTCCTAGCAAGCGGGCTCGCAATGATTCCCAATTTGCCTTCGAAGGGAGCGATTTTGAGCAAGTCAGGAAGCCTTCAATTGAAGTTCTTCCTGATGAATGTCTCTTTGAGATCTTCAGACGCCTGGATGGTGGTAAAGAAAGGAGCTCATGTGCATGCGTCTCTAAGAAGTGGCTTATGCTCTTAAGCAGTATCCGCAAGGTTGATCTTTGCAAAAGCCCAGCTGCAGATAAGGTGATTCAACCCTTGAAGCTTGACAATTCAGATGACACTGAAATTACCACTGGTGAAGAAGATCAAGAACTGGAAAATGATGGTTACCTCACAAGGTGTTTGGAAGGGAAGAAAGCGACAGATATTAGACTTGCTGCTATTGCCGTTGGAACCAGTAGCCGTGGGGGACTGGGTAAGCTATCGATTCGAGGTAGCAACTCATTCCGTGGGGTTACCAACCTTGGCCTCTCAGCAGTTGCTCAGGGGTGCCCTTCTCTCAAGTCTCTTTCTTTATGGAACGTCTCTTCTGTTGGTGACGACGGTCTGATTGAGATAGCTAAAGGATGCCCTTTGTTGGAGAAGTTTGATCTTTGCCAGTGCCCCTCAATTTCCAACAGAGGTTTGATTGCAATTGCAGAGAGATGCCCAAATTTGACTGCTTTGAATGTTGAAGCCTGTTCTAGGATCGGTAATGAGGGCTTGCAAGCTATTGGAAGGTTTTGCTCCAAGCTGCAGTCCATATCTATCAGAGACTGCACTCTTGTTGGAGATCATGGAGTTTCTAGTCTGTTATCATCAGCTTCTTCTGTGCTAACGAAGGTAAAGCTTCAGGCTTTGAACATCACAGATTTCTCTCTAGCCGTGATTGGGCATTATGGCAAGGCTGTTACCAATTTAGTTCTTAGTGGTCTCCAGAATGTAAGTGAGAAAGGCTTTTGGGTCATGGGTAATGCTCAAGCTCTGCAGAATCTGGTTTCATTGACAATTACTTCCTGTCGGGGAACTACAGATGTCAGTCTTGAAGCCATTGGCAAGGGTTGCACAAATTTGAAGCAGATGTGCCTTCGCAAGTGTTGCTTTGTGTCTGACAATGGGCTGGTAGGTTTTGCCAAAGCTGCAGGATCGCTTGAGAGCTTGCAACTGGAGGAGTGTAACAGGGTTACCCAAGCAGGGATAATTTCTGCCCTCTCGAACTGTGGAGCAAAGCTGAGATCTCTTACTCTAGTGAAGTGCATGGGAATCAAGGATATAGGTTCAGCAGTACCTATGCCCTCTTGTTGCATATCGCTTCGATCCTTGTCCGTTCGAAACTGCCCTGGCTTTGGTAGTGCTAGCCTGGCCCTGGTAGGAAGGTTGTGCCCTCAGCTCCAGAATGTAGACCTGAGTGGTCTCTATGGAATGACAGATGCTGGGATTCTCTCGCTTCTAGAGAGTTTGGAGGAAGGACTTGTCAAAGTGAATCTTAATGGTTGCTTGAATTTGACAGATGAAGTAGTTGTGGCGTTAGCTAGGCTACATGGGGAGACTCTGGAGGTACTGAGTCTCGATGGGTGCAGGAAGATTACTGATGCAAGCTTGGCGGCAATTGCAGACAACTGCTTGTTTCTTCGTGAGCTAGATGCATCCAAGTGTGCAATCACGGATTCTGGCCTTGCTTTCCTTTCTTGTGCAGATCGGATCAATTTGCAAGTCCTCTCCATTTCTGGCTGTTCTGAAATATCACACAAGAGCCTCTCTTCCCTGAAGAAATTGGGCAAGACCCTGGTGGGGTTGAATCTCCAAAACTGTACTGCAATCAGCAACAGATCAGTTGAGCTACTTGTCGAGAGCTTGTGGAGATGTGATATCCTGGCCTAATCACGAATGGAACAACATGCCTATGTGGCAAAGGGAGAGAAGTAGATATTACGTAGGGGTAAGATCAAGAAATCCAAAGAACTCTAGTTCGACTTGTCATATCGTAGATGTTAAGTTCATACAGTCAGTTCACACGGGTAGCGACGTTCAGCATACAACATTTTTGGCTCATCAGCAGTGGCCCTGCTTGGTAGCTCAGTGGCTTGGTTGTTTTCCAGGGGGACTTTGGCAGATAATTTCGTCGGTCGTTTTTTTTTTTGCAGGCTTTCTTAACATGGGAAAGCCTGTTTCAACTGTTTAGCCCCCTCATCAACGGGGGGCTGCCTCTTTCATGGCCATGGTTCCCCTAGAATGCAGTCACCAACCCGCTGAGGCAAGGTGTTTCCACTTGCATTCGGTCCTCTTTTTGTTGCACTGGATGGTTTACCTGGTGTTTTTAGCTTTGTCCTGCATTCCTTAGTTGGCGTGTCTGATCAAGCTTTCCTTATTTTTCAGTCTTACGGAAGTCTGTTTTCTGAGATTATAGTTTTTCCTTTGTGTTTATTTAGGGTCTTGGTATTGCACATGTTTATGGGATTAGTTTTTCCCGTTTCATGAGCGTACTTAGTAAGTGTTTGGTTGCTATGTTCGGTTCAAATCCAAGTACGGGTTCCTCCTGCCTTTCGGCTTTGGTGGTGGCGGTGATTCCATTCATCTGCCGTAGACAACCTTGTTTAGGGTTGTTTTTTTTTCCAACCAAGTCATAGTTTTGCAGGTTTCTCTTTGCTTATGAATTGTACTCTGCAACTACGAGTAAAGTTTTTAGTTATTTTTCATCATGTGTGGGATGCATTTCTTTTATATAAGAATACATAATTGATGACAAATTTCGATGCACAAAAAAAAATTACAAAAGAAGAAATGAAATGAAATGGCAATTTACATAATTAGAGATGACAAGTCTGGTGAGGTTTTAGAGGCCAACAATTAAAATGGTGTGTGTTGTTTATTTTACACTAGAGACATGAAGAGATGGCGATGCGGTGGTGGAAATGTCAGGATGATGAGGGGGTGAGCTGCCCAAGGCAGTGAAAACAACCAGCTCTTCTGTTCTGGTGTGTCTGTTGACTGTACTCTCTGGTGAGAGATGAAAGAAAAAGAATGGCAATTTTGGCTAACCGACTGTTGATTGTGTTATCAATGAATGACTGTTTGTCCTATCTACGCATGTATTATGTAAAAATCTAAAATAATAGCAGATATGAGACTTTGAGCAGATAAGGGACTGGCCGTGCTAGCTTCCTAGCATACTATTTCTGCCCTCTACTATGTGGTTGTTCCGAAGCCTGAGATGTTGAGCAGTTAGACTGTCTCTGTGTACGGATTCTCCCCTGTTTCTGAAAAAAGGAAATACCAATTTCAATCGTGTCATTCATATTATGTTTTTCACACAACCCCCCCTCCTAGACACCCAAAACCAACAAAAAAAAAGAAAGAAAAAAGCAGAAGAAAATACATCTATCTTTTAAGAAATCCATGGACTGAAGGAGGCCTTTTGAGCAAATTGTTGGTTCTCTTTAGGCTAATAAGAGTAAATGCACAAACAAGAGAGGCTGTTTTATTTTATGACACCACTGCAGAAAGTAGCTTCTTTCTGCAAGTCCTGGAAAGCATGGGCTCTTGATCTTGACTTTGAGAGTGCTTTTCCAGAGCACACATCACAACCCCTCTCATCATCAATCAAAATGATCATGTTGGTAACACACCTTAAGATAACACCTTAATGCAATTATACGTAGAATAATGCAGAAAAAATCCAACTATTTTCCATCTCTCTCTCTCTCTCTCACACACACACACACACACACACACACACACACATGAGCTGATGTGAGAGAGAATTGGAAGAGTTGGGGGAAATAGTTGAGTGAGTTCTATTCCTTGTTGCAATCACATGCAGATAATAGCTGAGACATCAAAATCATGGGGTCAATACCATGACATGTGTTGTTTATAGAAAACAAAGCAAGGGGGGATAATCTAACAGGTTAAAGCCTCCTGGCCTTGCATGATGACAAAGTAGAGAGAGCATTATATACCATGGCATGTGTTGTTTATAGAAAACAAAGCAAGGGGGGATAATCTAACAGGTTAAAGCCTCCTGGCCTTGCATGATGACAAAGTAGAGAGAGCATTATATTGTAATTTGTACACCAATAATTTGAAAAGGAGGCAAGGAAAAGTCAATTCAGGCAGAAAAAGATGAAAAAGAAAAAACTTGTAACTTCAGTCATTCACGCTGAAACCTAAAGTCACAGACAAACTGACAGTTAGCTCCAATAAAAAGAAAATTAAAGAAAAAAAAAAGCCTCAAAACTAAGTCATTCCCTCCATCATCCTATTGCGACCCCGCAAAACCCAAATAATCCCATCCCATGATGGCTTCTTCAAGAAGATGTACGAATGAGTTAAAGATTACAGTCATTATGGTGTTTATCTGTTCTCTCACATTCTTGCCTTCCAATTCAGGTAACTGAAAAGAACCCATTTAAGTTGAGACATTGCTCTACTAAAAAAATATCTTGGTTTTGCTGATTTATTCTGGTTTTTTTTTCTTCTTCTTCTTCTTTCTTTAAGCTGAGCCAGTATTGGTGAGAGATGGTGCACATCAGGGCTTGAAAGAGCAAATGGAGATGGTGTTGGGTTCAAGTCCACCTAGGTGTGTTAAGAGGTGCATGGGTTGCATACCTTGCACGCCCACTCTTGTTGCTTCTGCACACCATGGGAATAATCATCTCAAGGCAGCAAATTCAAATCAGGGAGATGAAAGCTATTATCTCCTCTCATGGAAATGCAAATGCAGGAACAAGTTGTTCCAACCTTGAACATTTTGTTTTAGCTTAGCCAACCTAATCATTTTCCTTCCTACTTCCTTCCTATGTACTAAGTAGCAGCTTATGATATATATTTGATACAGAGACTGATTAATCTCACCCCATTTACTCTTTCATAAGTTTAAGTCTACCTACTCCTTTCATGGGTTGCATTGCTCTTTAAAATTGAGACTAATTGATTAACAGTACTTCGATTGTTGCCGTTTTGTGTATACTTTAGAAAAACATATCATGACATGAAGGCGGTAAACTAGTGCTTATTTTGATCTCGTTCAAGACATTTCGTTTGCAAAGAATTTTGGACCGTATGTCTAGTTGGATAATCAATACATATGGTAATTACTTGCAGGAAAAAAGGGCCAAAAGAAAAAAACGAACCAAGAATTGTGCTTGCCGTTGGTGATGTTCATCAGAATCCCATGTCATGAACTCGCAGTGAAAAACTCGATACAAGAGAGAATTACTTATGGAATCATAAAGAAACCGCTACACTGGTGGATTAAATAAACAATCTTCATGATTATACATTGGGAGAATCATTTCCAACACACTAAATACACGGTGACATCTTTAGGTGGAAAATTACTAGATTTTCTTTTCATGATTGTAGGCGTAACAATATTGAAACCAAAACTGACAAAAAAATAAAAATACAAAAGACTACGACATACGGGGAACACACTAGTAAGCTGTCTATTTTCAGTACATTTCCCAACGGAGAACACACTAGAATGCTGCTCACTGATTTGCATCACACCCCAAGGAAATGGATCAGCAAGTCATTGTTTGAAGCAGATTGGAACTAGCCATACCCTCCTTTGGTTTCCAAATAATGTCTTCTAATTTGGCACAGAAATTTTTGTAAAACTGCAAAAAGAATCACAGGAAAGATAAATTAACTGATGCAAGCATGCAATCTTCAAAGAGAGAGTTTACGAGGAGGAGAAACAAAATAAGAATCAGGTTTGAGAACTCGAGACCCACCCAAAAAAAAATCATATTTGAGCAGCCAAGTACGATTAGTAAACATTAACGATAGACCTGAACTTATGAAATCCAGTAGAAGCTAACCTTATGATATTCAAGAGTATCTCCTGCAGCCTTTCGAACATCCACCATGAAAAGGGATGGTGCAACTTCATAAACCTTTATAGAAAAGATAACAATCATGTTAAACAGTGATTTTACTGAAATCAAGGCTTCGTTTCAAAGGATAACTACAATGGTTATGCAGACAAATATTAAAGTCACCTCGAGGACAACTGCAAATTGTCCGGCCTTATTTGAAGATATTCCTTCTAGTCTTGTCTGTGGTTCAAAAATTATACACGAGATCAGAACACACTATATCAATCAAAAAAGGAAGAACTAAAGGATTTTTCAGGTAGCATCATCCACAGTTCTTATTTTCTTCCAATCCACAGCACAAGGTAAACTCATAACTCAACCAAGATCGTTAGTCAATGTTTGGACTGTATATAACAAGGTGCAAAAACTTGATTATATAAAGTAAAGGCCAACACTACAAATCATACCTTGTAATTACGTGTATGGACCTTCAGACTCATTGATTCTGCAACAGCTTCTACATTTGAAATTATAACTTTAGCTGGTTTTCGGGAAACAAATCGAGTTTGCCGGTTTATGTAATCCTGCATGGGGGAAAAAATGAAACTTGAGAGACAGAGAGACAGAGAAATACAGTAATACAAAATTCGATCAATTTGAAGGAATATAAAGAAATAGTTATCTGTATTTCCAACGAAAAAGTAGTAACAATTTGTAGAAAAGAAGAGAAACATGGCATACAAGGAATAAGAAAAAAGTACTAAGTTACATGTTTTGACAAAATAACAAGTTAAAGCCTAGCCAAACGAATACTTGTCAAACTGTGAAGCAGTAATTGGGCACAAGAGATTTCTGAGAAATACGTGGCAGCAAAAGTACTGAAAGCATACAACTATACCTGTCTCCTGTCAAACAATGCTGATAAATTTAGCCCTTGGGATAGGGTAATCATCTCAAATGCGTTCATTAATAATGGACCGCCATCCTTACTTTCTGATCTCTCTGCTACATATTGGTCCTGTGACAAACCGATAGTGAACAAATACTTTATACTTTAGGTACCAAATAGACTTTGAAATGCATAAACTAGGACAAACAATGAAAGCCATCACATTATCATTAATTTACTGTACCCTACTAATCTATAATCTATACTTCATAAGCATATAAACCACAGAATTGTGGAACTTGCATTGGAAAATTTCTTACTCAAAGAAAGAGTGTAGCACAAACAAATCACCAACCAACCTCAATATCTTCAAACACTGCATGAACATCATCCAAACTCACTTCCTCATCTTCCCCATTTTTGAAAGGCACATAATTTTTCCTAAACCAAGGATCCTTTCTGATTCCTCCAATCTGAATGCGCTGCATTAACACATGAACCAGTTAAAGAAAGCAAAGGAGAATCATTAACTTCATCCCAGTAATGCAGATTTTTTTCTTTTCCCTGAACTGACATTATAAGTCAACCAAGACCCTCCTCCCTATTATAGCACATACTCTACGGACATATGGCTTCCAATAAACATAGAATTTTTTATTATAAATACTTGTACAAACACACTTTATTTGATCATGAAAATACTATGTGAAGTTAACCGTATAGATCTTTAAATAAATTATCTTGGAAATTACTAATATCTGCATATGTTGAAATAAAATACTCACAGTTTTAGGATTAGGATCAAGTATCTTATGTATCAGAGAATTTGCCTCAGGAGAAAACCAATATGGACAGGAAAACTCTGCTGCATTAATCTACAGACAAGCCAAATGAACGGTTAGAAGCTCCTATCACGCTTGTGCAGTATAAAATGCTCTTATAACGTCCATAAAGAATAATTGTAGGAGTGACAAGAAGTGAAAGGAGGGGGGGATAAAGGCACAAATGTGTTCTGGAGACTATACTGGTATGTCTGATAATGTGGTACAACAAAGTATGTGAATAGGAATACAATAGGATAGTGTGTGTGAATATATAAGACATCTCAGAAGGGAAGAAAAGAAAATAAACGAAAATTTTAAGATATATAGTGAAGAAAATGATTGTGTTAGGCATGGACACTGCAATATGTTGAACAATGGCAGCATACCTTTCTATATAGGGTAGGAAGGTTTGTCTCATCAAATGGGAGATATCCAGCCATTAGAACATATAGGATGACCCCACATGACCAAACATCAGCAGCTGCGCCATCATAACCTTGGTCCCCCAGCACCTGTTAGGCAATGGTAGCATAACATATTTAGCATAAGATTTTGTTCTCTCCACCTGACTTCTATAATTATTGCTCTCTCTTTTTTGGCACACAATACCAAGTCACAGGGTATCTATCTCATCAATTGGATGGTGTGAATGCAACAGTGAAGTGTATAAAAAATGTACCTCAGGCGCAACATAGTTTGGGGTTCCACACGTAGTGTGAAGAAGACCAACTCCCTGCTCAAAGATTAGGCAATGTAGAAGTATTAGTCAGAGAGATAGAAGAGGAGAGAAGAAGAAAGGATAAAGTTTAAGAAAAGCATATTATAAAAGTAAACTTCTCAAGCTTGATAGAATGCATATAGAATGAGATAATTCTTACTTGTTCAGGCAATGCACTTAGTCCAAAATCAGAAACCTTCAAATTTCCATAAGAATCAACGAGAAGATTCTCGGGCTGCAAATTATATCACAAATAAAATACAGAACTACTCAGGACCACAGCACTGTATAGAAATCACAAATGCAAGTAGAAAAATTAGTGTCAAACTGATTATTGATTTGCACCTTCAGGTCTCTGTGGAACACACCCTTACTATGACAATGGGCAACTGCATCTATGAGCTGTTGAAAGTATTTCCTTGATTCATATTCAGGAAGCTTTCCTTGGTGAACCTGTAAATCAAAATTAAGTGTTAAAATATTCTGGCATAAAGAGATAAACCTACAGGAATGTAAGTGAGTTGGTTATAATGACGATGGTCCCAATTCAAGAAGAAACCTTACAATTTTATCAAACAATTCTCCTCCAGTTACAAACTCGAGAATTATAAATATTTTCGTCCGGCCCGCCAAAACCTAGAATTTTGAAATGAGAGAGCCAAAAGTGACAAGGAAAAGAAAAAAAGCCATATCAGCGGTGATGTCAAGAAGAGAATATATAGCAATTTCTTAATGTTAACAAGAAAAGTCCTCAAAGAAATGACGTGTTTATCCGGGGAAGTATAAGAATACCTCATGCAACCGTACTATATTAGGATGCCTGACAATCTTCATTATGGATATCTCTCTTTTAATCTGAAACAGAACTAAAAGAAGTTAGCCTAGTCATTTAGTCCAAGTAGGAGCAATCATATAACATGAAAATTTAAACACACATATTGACCTATACGTGTGTGTGAAATTGTATTTGCGATTGAAGGAAGGAAGAGCTAGTGAATACCTGATCAACCATTCTGTGCTTGAGAATGGTGCTTTTGGCCAAAATCTTCATGGCCACACTTTCACCGGTTTCGATGTTCCTGGCAAACTTAACCTTGGCGAATGTTCCTTCGCCGATGGTTCGCCCAACCTCATACTTCCCTACCTTTCTCGACACCTTCTTCATTGTTATCTCTCTAAGTTCATTTCCCACAAAAATGACAAAACCAAACTCTTCGATTCACGGAAATTCAGAATTTAGGATCTGCCAAGACAAACAAAAACTTCAACTTCAACAAAAACTCCACACACCAAACCAAAAAAAGAGAAGTAAATTTAATGAAACAAAGTTTTAGCACTAAAATCGAATCTTTTTGTATTGAAGATTGTAGGGAACCGAAGCACCCAGCGACGGATCATGGAGCAAAGAGACAAGTCGAAAATTGTGGAATTCAATTCGCTGGTTGTGATTTTCAGCAATCAAATTGACCACTAATGAATCGGGAGGTGGTGAATCGGAGTGAGAGAGCGAAAATTGGAAAGACAAGAGAATGAGAACACAATGAGGAATAATCCGGCAGGGGTCTTACCGGATAATGAGAATATCCAAGGTATGTGCTTTCGTATCTCCGGGTGCCGAAATTAAGCTGCGTCTCTGGTTGGCTCCGACGAGGCCGAGGCTGGTAAGAGAGACAGCGCGGGTAGAGGAGAGAGAGAATAGTCCAAATTTAACCGCTGAACGTATTACGTCGGAGCTCGCCTTTTGTTTGTTTTTATGAAATTTCCAAATGACGTGACGTTCTTACGAGTATTTATACAGTTCGACCGATAATAATATATACCACTTTTTTATAAATATGTTTTGATTTTGAGTTTCTTTCTTGGTCGGAATTTTAAGTGTTACTAGCCTTTTACGCACCCTTCTGCACTTACAAGATGTTTTTATAAAAATTAAATTAAATTTATTTTAGAATTATTATTATTAAAAAAATAAAAAAAGGTAGTTGTGTTCTATAAAATAATATCTATATCTAATTTTTCTTTTAATTTAATTTTTTAAAATATGAAAATGTGTGAATTTACCATATTATACTTATTTAATTAATAATTTCAAATCTTAATATTTATATTAACCAATGACAATTTATGATATTTTGAATGTTTTACTATTCTCTGCATTTTGCTTTATATATACTAGCCCTAAGCATGTGCCAAATGGTTTTTTTTTATTTATAAATTTAAAAAAATTTAAATTTATTTAAAAAATTATGTTTAGAATTAAGAAAATATAATATGGGTAGTTACGTTCCATAAAAGTAGAAGTTATTATCTAACTTTGTTTTTTTTTATTTTTACTTTTTTTAATATAAAAAATGTGAATTTACCATATTATCCTCATTTACTTAATAATTTCAATTCTTAATGTTTTAATTAATAAATGGCATTTTTTGGTATTTTGAATGTTTCACCATTCTCTGCCTTTTGCTTTATATATATAGACAGATATAAATAGATAGATAGATTCCAAAGGTAATTACTATCATACAAAAAATCCAATAAATTATAAGTTCGTAATTTACCATTTGCCACGTTATATATATATATATATGTGGATGTGATTAGCACTAAACTACTATTTATAGAATTGCTTAAACGAATTTTAGTATCAAGAATGTTGATAAATAAAGTGTTTAAAATTGAAGCTTTTTTTAGTCAAATAAAAATAATTAGGTTGGTTAGCTTGTTATGTTGGGCTCTCAAAAAGTCGTAATGTTTTTTGTTTTGTTCATGAAAACAAGTCATTACGTTCCTAGTTTTGTTTTGTTATATATATATATATATATATATGTGTTTTAGAAATTCTATGATTGCATTCATAATTCAACCAAAAAAAGCCACTAGTCACAAATGGTCATTACAATAACGGAATGGTCTAACATCAAAATTAAGATAATTTGGTGCGCCTTTATTAACGATCACACGTGATCAAAGAAACTCTCTTTTGTAAGAGTTTTATTTGTATTGTTATGTTTTGATTTTTTCAAGCTTTATATATTTTTGATTATTTTGAGTTTGCAATATTAGTTGGAATGTCTATGTCATAGTTTTACTATTCAGATTGCATTAACACTTCAAGAAAATATTAAAATCTAAGCTAAGATAGGAATTTGATCTTTCTTATCAATCCATCCATGACTTCTTATGTTTATGGTTTGACTTAGGTGAAACAATTATAAAATATAAGACCAACTGGATTAATTAAAGAATTAATTATATATATAGGTGCTTATCAAAGGGATGTTCTAATTAAACACGGTTTAATTAGAAAGCTGAGTTGTCATTTGCATGCCTATCTCATAGCCAGCCATAGACATGTCCTAGTCGTAAGCTTCATCAACAGTTCAACTTGTAAAGTTAACACTTTTAAATTCGAGCTGATCATTTAATTAGTCATTTGCATTTTCTACCTTTTGGCTATAGACAAAAAAAAATTAGAAATTAGAAATTTATATAAATATTTTCACTTTTAAAGTATTTTGGTCATGACATGGAGTTTATATTTTTATTTTCCATAAATATAATAAATGCAAAAAAGTGGAATTCTATCGTTAAAGTAATCAATGGGCTTCTATAACATGGAGTTTTTATTTTTATTTTATGGTCAAAGGGCCCTAACCCAACCCAATGTCACCCTTCGACTTGAATTGGTTTGGCCACATGGCAGCCCAAACTTGGAAATGGACCACTGATGTCATAAATTCATTAATATAAGGAATTTTTTTAAAGAAATGTCACATAAATTAATACATCAGTTTCAGTTTGTCATTTTAAAGAAAAATTTAAGAGAAATATCATCTTAATTTTTCAAAATTCATGATTTGTCATCTGATTTTAACATAATTCATTTTTAAGGGTATTTTTAGTCTTTCCATTTTCAAGGAAAAAAAGAAAAAAAAAAGAAAAGGGACATCTCTCTCCCTTTCTCCCCCACCCCCAACCCCAACTAAAACACATCGTACAACCCCTCTCTCTCTCTGAGCATGGATAAAAAAAATTATGCTTTTCATTTAAAATAAAATTATAACTGGACTTATTTAATTTTTATCTTTTAAAATAAAATTTAAAAAGTCCAAAAAAAGAAAATTAAAGAATTTTCCAACTCAAAAACACCCATAATCCCCAATCTTCTCCACCCCTCTCCCATTCTCTTCATGGTATATCCTTACGATTCTATAATTTGTCGTGAAATAACAGTGAAAGTAGAGCATGAAGATTGTAAGCCAACAAAAATAACATGAAGATAATGTACGAATTAACCTAAAATAAAGATAATGAAAGACAAGAAAATTAATAGACAGCGGCATGGAAGAAGTTAAAACTTAAGAAATTAAAGCACGTGAACTGGTTCCCACTTCGACGACTTGCTCATTCTGAGAGAGAGGATCGATACAAGTTGGATCCTTATTTACATATATTTCTCTTTCAATCCATTAATTTGCTTTATATCTCTTTCACTCTCCTATATTTTTATTGCATATATAAATTAATCTCTCGCTGTCTCTACTCTTGTGGCTTTTTCAGTGTTCATCAGTCTACTTCCTACCTTTTGCAACTTGGATTACTGTTAGTGGCAATCTATAATCCACGGCTCTCAATCTCTCAAATTTAAGTCGAACCAATAACCTATCACAATCTTAATTTTATTTTCTCATTTCGGCTCAACTTAGGCTCGAGCATCCACACCTCTCATTTCAGCATAAGGATAATTTTCTCCTACAAGATAACACATTCGTTATATCATAAATTTCGACAACAGGCACATTACGAAAGAAGAAGCTGACAAGAGATCAAATGTGATTTACAGTGACTAATTGATAACATTATTTGAAAATGAGACTTTTTCATTTTGGATAGTTGGAAGTACGTACGTATGTGGAAAATGACACCAAGTCACCCTCGAAAACTACTGCCATGTTTGGTTCCATTTGCCAAATAATGGATGTGGCATGTGAGAGATGCAGACAGGTTCTCAGAACATCAATGCCAAATAAAGGCTAGCAAGCAAACAAATAAATAAAAGCATTCTCCCTGTTTCATGGATTTAAAAAACTGTTCTTCTCTTTCTGTGTGGGTTAAAAACTGAAGCTTAAAATGAATCTAATTTTAAGTAAGAACATTGATAATCACTCATGTGCTTGTGGGTGATTAACAAAAACATACCGCAACACCATTCACAAATTCACAAATTCACAATAGGTAAGTATGGTAGAATAGCTCTATTTTGTTAAATTTCACAGACAGATATTAACGCCCCGCTATTAGCGACATATATATTGTCAAAAACTTAACCACTTAAATAACCTAGTAGATGTGGAGTTTTATCACAAAATACCTTAGTGACATTTGTAGTGTAATCATTTATAATATATTGTATTTATTTTGTCAAAATAGAGATACTTTATATTCTTCAACATAATTGACCAACAAATTTAACGACCCTCAATTGAAATATAAACTTTGTGGTGAAGGCCACATAGACTTGCGCATATACAATTTTGTCATCTCATACAAAAAAACTTATATGAAATATGAATAATAGTATTTTGCTATCTTCGATTAATCACATATTACCATGTGAAAAAATTATCACACTTAACATATCATGATTGACCGAAAATAACAAAATAGTGTTATCTCATTTTATATAAATGTTTCTCCCTCTCCTGCATATCGAGTCTCAATCATCCGCATACTGATGAAACCACATTCGTCAAAACGGCTCAAAACCAAACAAGAAAGAAATGACTAAAGAATAATAAACAGGATGTTAAATAAAAATATCTCAGCACATTGAAATGACAAATTTACCCATGATGGAGCAAGTTGCCTCGCTCTGCGACAAAGAAGAGTCTCTGAGGGAGATGCCCACGCCTTTGCGGTACAAAGCTCACCGTTGAATCGATCCAGTGGGTCCATGGGCTCCACCCAGGTAATTGCGTTCAGGTGTTGGGCCCAGCTCAAGCAACGCTGGCCGTTAGTAATTTAAGTGGCAAATTCGTTAATTTGACTAAACTCAGGGGGTTTTCAGAGTACAGAAACTATTATCGCGAAAAATCCTGCCATTCTTTATTATCGAAGCGCCAGTTGTTTGGGTTGGGGGAAAATGGTGGGCGCGAGGAGAGTCAATCTCTGCCGTCGGATTCCACCAAAGATAAAATCCGACGGTTCTAGTTTTGAAATGGGTCCCAGCTCCCATGGCTGCTTTTAAAGTTGGGCGTAGCCTGGTAGCATGTGTGCAGTGGGCAATTGGGTTTCGTCCCGCGTATATACGAAGAAGCCAACTTCCATTTCGTAGGACGTGTTTGACAATAATCCATTGCTTGTAGAATAAACGCTTTTTCTGGGCGAAATTTGGCGCACTCACCCCCACCCCCCCCCCCCCCCCCCCCCAATAAATCATTTTAATTAAAATATGATTGCATCATCTTTTTAAAAGAGTTAGTTTAAATTTGTTTTAGGTGACCTACACACATGATGTTGTTTTTTGTTTAGAAACAAATTGTTAGTTTTTTTATTGTTGCCAGAGTTAGGTTTTCTCGAATTTATTATCCGTCTCCTTAAATAAAACTACCATTTATGAATGTGAGGAACAAAATAGAAGGAAAAAAAAGTCAATGGTTGACCTGACTTCCATTCCAATTGCAAAAATGCATGCAAGGTGCCTAAATTAATGTAGCAACTTGAGGGGCATACTACATGGGACTTTTCCTGATTTAGAAGCACTTTCATTGGAGCATATCACACGTGTGTAGGGAGAGTGTTGAGCTATTCTTGCGCTGCCAAACACGTCCCAACAACACAACACCCAATTGTCAAACGAACCACGTGCCTCACACCATCTCACATCACTCTACTTCATGCACAGATGATCAACGGCTCAGATCTCATCCTTACACCCTTCCCTCCATCCTTCCCTCCATCCCCTATATAAAATGTTTCCCCGTGACTTCCTTCTATTCCATCCTCACCTCGCCTCACTCACCTGCAAAACACTCAATTCCTTCAAACCCTCATCTCTCTTCCCCTCTAAGTTCTAAAACTTTTATTTCAAATTCTGTCATTCTAGGGTTCTAAAGGAGTCTGAGATTTGGGGTTCCTCAGACCCATATTTTCAAGAATAAGAAAAAATGCTTCTAAGGAGCTCATCAACGCCCGTACTAAATTCATGGCTACCCCACTCCAAAGACTCATCATTTCCAGAACAACAACCCGAAATGGTACCCCAAATCCCCAAAACTCGTTCCCTTGCCCTCTCGGCCTCGTCGCGGTCTCCTCTTACGTTGTCGCCGATCGACGACTCGGCTAGGAAGATGACTCGGGCGGCCTCTGAGGCCGATCTTAGAGATTTCTCGTTGACGCCCAAAAGAAAGCCATTCAAAATGCCCTTGAATGGGTTCGAGGAGAGAGAGGAGGATGAGGAGATGGAAATGGCTTTTTCTTCCGAGTTTAGGAGAACGGTGTCGTTGGGATTGCCAGAGGTGGAAGGGTGTGAGATCGGGTTGAGGGAGAACAAGGGCTTGTTGGGCGTTTTGGTTGAGGGTGGGGTTGGTGGAGGCGGTGGCAAGATCTGCGGTGGTAATGGCGGAGGGGGTGGTAGATCGGACGGTGGAGATGATGGGAGCTCAGAATTTTGGGATTCGAATAATAATGGGAGTGGTAACACTGAGATCTATTATCAGAAAATGATCGACACTTATCCTGGAAATCCCATGATTCTCAGCAATTATGCTCGTTTTTTAAAAGAGGTATGTTATATATACCAAAGCTTTGATTTTTATATCAAAATCTTTAATTTTAATAGAAAAGATTTAGGTTTTACTGAAAAATATGTTTAATTTTTATCTTATCTGTGGATCTTACGTATTTTTATTAGCTGGGGTTAAATTACTTTCACCGAAGCTAATGAAACGTTGTTCAAATTGCAGGTTCGTGGGGATTTTGAAAAGGCTGAAGAGTACTGTGGGAGAGCCATTTTGGCGAACCCAAATGATGGAAATGTCCTATCAATGTTTGCGGATTTGGTATGGCAGAATCATAAGGATGCTCCTAGAGCTCAGACTTACTTTGATCAAGCTGTTCAAGCGGCCCCTGATGATAGGTGAGGGTCATCTCATCTAAATTTATGCCAATAAAAATAATAATCTTTTTGGTCTGTTAAAAAGGGCTCTGTGAATTAAAATTTTGACTGAGTTTTGTGGTTTTGATGGTGCAGTTTTGTTCTAGCATCCTATGCTAAGTTTCTTTGGGATTCTGAGGAAGATGAGGAGGAGGAGGAGGAGGATTTGAAAGAAGGCGCCAACAACAGAGCATCGACACCCAATTTGTTGCAAGGAGTTCCTCCTTCACCTCCTCCATTAGCAGCTGCTGCATAAAGATATCTTCGGACTGCTGACCTTTTGTTTATACACTTATATATATCTGCCTGTTTCTTAACCTTTTTAGTGATCCTTTGGCTGCTGCTGTGCTGTGGTGAGATTTGTTGTGTAACTGAGACTGATCTGGTTTTGTTTTCAAGTTCTTTTCTAGTCATGTCTTGTAAAAGAAATGTAATCAAAATAAGTGAGTAAATGGAATGTTTTGAAGGCATAATCTTTGTCTCAGTCTCTCTCACTCCCCGATGATATTCTAACCCAGGATCTGCAATCTAAATTAGAGTCCTATCTAATGTTTCCATTTAATTTGGCACCACCATAGCTTGAAGAAACGGATTGAAAAGTTGGTTCCGTTAGGTTCGGATCAAATAATCCATGCATGAACGGTAGAAGGAAAGACTAGAGAGCGAGTTTTGAGGAAAACACTGTTTAAACACTGATCGTTGATAATAAGTTAATAACCCTCCTCAAGCTCTGAATCGAAAGCCTAAAACTGGAAAATACAGTCAATTCTCCCTCATTTTGTGTTTGTCCTTAACGTGCGTACCCACTGTCCTTCCGTCACTTTCTAAGGATGCCAAAATTCAAAATATGTTTATTTATACCCATCGTCTCCCTGCCCTCCAAACACCCCATTGTGTTAACCAGAGGTAATCTCTCAACCCTACATCTCTCAGACAGCCAAAGCATTTCCTCACGAGCGAGACACCATGTCTGGACCTCTATCTCCAAAACCAGTGTCGGGTTTATTGAAGAAAAAAGCAATGAATGCCTCTGCCAAGTTGAGAAATTCTTTGTCAAGAAGGAGTAGAAGAAGCAGTATAGTCATCGCTGTGGAAATCGGTGATGTGCACGACCTGCAGATTTGCAGTCTGTTGAGGCCTTCCGTCAGGCACTCATATTGGAGGAGCTTCTTCCTTCCAAGCACGATGATTATCACATAATGCTTCGATTCTTGAAGGCCAGGAAATTCGATATGGAGAAAACCAAGCAAATGTGGTCAGACATGCTCCAGTGGAGGAAGGCATTCCGTGCTGACACTGTTATGAAGGATTTTGAATTCAAGGAACTCAATGTAGTCCTGGAATATTATCCCCAAGGACATCATGGAGTGGACAAAGATGGAAGGCCTGTGTACATTGAGAGACTAAAGTAGATCCCACCAAGCTAATGCAAGTCACAACCATGGACCGGTACGTGAAATACCAAGTCCGGGAGTTTGAAAGAACATTTGATGTCAAGTTCCCTACTTGCTCAATTGCAGCAAAGAAGCACATTGATAAAAGTACAACCATCCTGGATGTGCAAGGGGTGGGACTTAAAAATTTCAACAAAGCTGCCAGGGAGCTTATCACACGGCTTCAGAAGATTGATGGTGACAATTATCACCTTGAACCGCTTGTTTATCATCAATGCTGGTGCTGGTTTTCGAATGTTGTGGAGCACCGTGAAGTCCTTCCTTGATCCCAGGACAACGGCGAAGATTCATGTCCTTGGCAATAAGTACCAGAACGATTTGCTTGATATAATTGATGCTAGTGAGTTGCCAGAGTTTTTAGGAGGTACATGTACTTGTGCCGATCAAGGAGGCTGTATGCGTTCTGATAAGGGACCATGGAAGGACCAGGAGATATTGAAGATGGTCCAAAATGGTGATCATAAGTGTTCAAGGAAACTTGGAACTCAAGTCACTGAAGAGAAGGGAGGTGATCAAGCTCCCGTGCACCAAATTAAGCACACTCAACCTTCTCCAATCATATCCGTTACCAAAAGTTGCCTAGAATCTTACAAGTACGAGGACTCTGCCTCAATGGCTGATAAAACTGTGGGTTCAACTAGGCGAATGGTGGTGGGGAACGGAGAGTTCGACAAATTTGCCTTCTCCGAACAAGCAGATTGTGTTGCCAAATCTGATGCTAGCGACTCTCCTGATGGTTCGGCTTTTGGATTTTCAGTGGTATTATGGCATTTATTATTCGTATTAGCAACATGCCGAAGAAGCTCACCGATTCTACCTTCTACTCCAGCGCCGTTCACTGTGATGATGATGATACAATGTGCAAACGCCAGGCGCCTTCACAGTCTGACAATATCTTTGATGCAGATTTCAAGTCTTTCATGTAGCGCATGGCTGAAGTGGAAGAGAAAGCGCTTTGAGCATGAAACGAGCGAACATGCGACCTGAGAAGGAGAAAATGCTGAATGATACTTTAGGCAGGGTTGATGTTTTGGAGCAAGAGCTCATGGCAACAGAAGGCTCTGGAGGAGTCACTTTCCCGACAAGAAGAGCTCTTGGCACATCTTGACAAGAAGAAGAAGAAGAAATGTTTCCACTGGTGAAGGGAGAAAAGATGCTTATGATTTATGTTTCTCAGAAGCCACCTAAATTCAGCCTCACTTATTGTCCCATTTACCACATGTATGTGATTGTACAAATTTAACCTTCAGAGATAGAATTGTGCATAATATGGCCAAGATTATCGTGTATCTTTTACTTTTGATTTGATTTGAGTTGAGTTATCAAAAGTTCGAGTTATTTGAGTTCAGCCTACCTAACTGCATCTAATAATTCAAAATGCTTTCGGCAGGCAAAGATGGAAATGGAAAAGCTTTCTTTAATAGGGACCAAACTTGTCAAAAAGTATGCAGTATGCTAGATCCTGAAAAAACACTTGCCTAAGTGGTTGGAATTTTCTTTCATAAAGTTCCACATTAGCCCTCTCTTTTATCTGCATCTTCTCAGCAGCCAAGCAAACGATTTTGACAAGTTAGGCCTTTGTTATTCTCTCTTTTTGCAGAGAAAAGAGTTCCAGATTGATTTTGCTTAAAGCATTAAGACGAGTTTTCTGAAACTAGTCTTTTAAGAACTTGGCAATTGTTTTATAAGCTTACATACACTGACAAGGTTTTAGCATTTCTAACAGTGAAATACAGAATGAAGTAACCTAGTGAGGCTCATAAGACCCAGAACCAGCCGAGAACCGAACCACTGACCAACCCAACTCCGAGGAACACAACCATTACAATGGCAGAGAGCTCTGCTTCTGAAACTGGTACAGTTTTCGGAACTATCATCATGATAACACTTGTCAGATACCCATTGGTCAATCCAAGCAAAAATGTGAGAACAACCATTGAAATTTCAGTTTTCAGCCATATTGGTCCATGGAGGCAAGCAGTGAAGATGGGATAAAATAGGAGTCTGGTAATGCAAGCCCACGTTGCCTTTTTGATACTCTTTAGAAGATAAACTGCAGTCAAAGACTTACCCACTAAATCTGCAATGTTGTACACTGTGATCAGCAAAATAGGGTACCAGTCTTGAAGAAGCTTGGATTCCAGATTTTCAGCTATAAATCCTGGGAAAATTGACAAAGTCACAGTATAGATTATGAAAATCCCAAAAGCTGGCCCCGGGACTTTTCGCGCCACAGCCCAAAATTTCGGTCTTGAGCAGAATGATTCATCTTGAACAAGTTTACAATGTTCCTGCATGACTGTTAACCTGTACAGCAAGTTGCAACCAATGATGCAGCATAGGAGGAATACGGTGCTGACCATAAAATACAAGTGGGCGCTTGTTCTAAGACCTTTTGGGGTCTGTGGAAGCATTGCCTTGGTTGAAATTCTCAAAAGAGAAATTATAACACCTGCCAACAAGCAGAGGATTTGTTTAACAAATGAAAATGGGGTTACTTGTAGCTTTGCTTTTATCTTTCATGCATCTATGTGTACAGCATATACACTTCTACTATTGGCAGGCAAAAAGTACCCAAATTAAATACAGTTCGCTGGATTGAAAAAGCAAAGCAGGAACTCAAAGTGCAATTTTCTATACATGGAATTGGTACCTGAAGAAGCAGTTCCAGCAAAAACAGCTTGCATGTACTTTTTTGGAAGCTTTCCAGCGGATCCCATCAAGCTTCCTCCAACCAAGCCATCAGCTAAGCCACACACTACAACTGATGCAACTGTCACACCATAACCTGCATTGGCTCTCCCACTACTTGACCCAGTTGTACTGTACCAAAACCAGTCTGTTACAGGAGCCACCATTAAAGAGAGAATAAAAAGAGAAAATCCCAAGTTGAGTCTCAGTCTAGGGCTCATCTTCTCCCACCAGCTCCCACAGCTCATCATCACAAGTACTACCACTGATGAACTCATGTAAGCAACAGAGAAGACCTTCTCAACATGCTTGGTTGGATAGAGATGGCCAAAGTAATCAACCGCTGTGATAAATGCATTCCAAGGAAGCAAATTGCCTGCTCCCAGCAAGAAATGAATAACGTAAGCGATTTTGTATGCATCTCTTGGCTCGGCTTGATACTCAAGACCCTTCACTCCACCTTCCATTTTTTGAGTTCTTGATGGCCTATCAACCTTTGGTTGGAACTTATTAAAGCAAGCATTTTAAGCGGTAAGTGAGCATAGTGAAGTGATTTTTGACAAGAAAGGAATCTCCAACTCCTAGCTTGATTGATCCCAAGCTCTGGCTACATAATTGGGCAGGGCTAGGCTTCCTAATATACAGCTCTGGCTTATTATTAATTAAGTTTCCTATAAATCACGGTTTGACTTTGACACATGTGCAAAAAATAATTAATCTAAAACACAAAAAGAAAAACTTATACACAAATGTCATTCTGAGGGAAGTATTTTCCATTAATTACTATCCCTTGTCTTTAGCAACTGGTAGTTTAACAACACAAGACAAGCCCATTTGAACAAACTAAGCTGGAGCCTGGAGACTGGAGCCAGTGGGTAGCTGACGGCTCTAATTACTTGCTTGCTCCATGGATTTGATTGACGGGTCCAGAATCAGCATCAAATGAGGCTCATTGATGTGGGAAAATTATGCTGAGTAGGGACATGAATGGTTGGTGGGTGATATTACAAGTACATTCAAATAAGCTGGCTGGCTGGCTGGCTGGCATGCATTGTCCGCGCCCTGCAGGCTCTTGTAGCGGCACTGAAGAATTCCAGAATTCCGTTCCTCCCTTTGAACTTCCACAACTTGAAAAAAAAAGCCTCCCCATACCCAACAATAGTGAATATAATCAAGAGATGCAATCATGACCAATTGTTAATCATGCGCAGGTTTAGTGTTCAGTTTTCAAAGTTGTGAGTCTTGTCATTAAGTTGTGAGTCTTGTCATTACTTTTGTAAAGTAGGCTAAAGGGAAATTCACTGGAGGAGAGCCAAAACCGGTTTCTGTCTTCAAGACTGATGGGCCTGCCTATTTTTGGGGTGGCCTCAATTATTTGGTTGGAAAGATTTTGATTAGCCATCTGGGAACTTGATTCTCTTCCTTTCTTCTTTACTGTCAGGAATTAATTTTTTCATTGATGCTTCTGTAGTGCTTAGAGGCACAAGCACTACACACATATATGCAGGTCGTACGTAGTTGATGGAGCAGTAGCACTAGTGGCACTACATAAAAAGAACATATGAGATGATGGTGTGCCATGGCAACTGGCAAAAGTCTATATTGCACAGCTTACAGCGTATGATTCTCTTTGCTTGGTAACAATACTCAATAATGATAGAGATGCCGACTCACTAATTAATGTAGCAGTTCCTTATTTATTGTGAATAAATAAAGTCTAAAGTGGATTCGGAATGAAAACAAATAAACTAGTGCCACATGAGTTAGCGTCTAAAAATTTACTTATCAAATGTTGAATTGAAGATCTCACTCACCCTTCAACTTTTTCAGAAAGTGAAAGAGAAGGAGTGCAGTGGTGTACCATTAAAGAGTATGAGCTATATGCCAATAATGTAACACTTGAAAAGGAAAGCTCTTGGTCTCAGATTTACCCAAAAAAGGGATTCTTTTTTGCCTATTTAGATGGCTGCGGCTACTTCAATAAGTTTATATTTATGTGCTAGGTAGGAACAATGATGATACATACAACTTTTATTATTATTATTGCTGAGATGGATTAGCAATTAAAATAGACATGAACACACATATAAGCTTGATTCAATCAAGCTCCACAAGCCAACCCTAAACGTTTTGTCTTTTCAATTTATAAATTTGAAAACCGAAATAGACCCCATTTTGAAACAAGATTTTTTCCGAGTCTCGAGACAAAATTGAAATATAGGATGAAAAACGAGGAAGATCCAAACTCACAAATAAAGCTTTTATATGTGATGAGAAAGATAGAAAGAAAGATGTATGAAATATGAGATATATAAGTTTTTTTTTTTCCAAATTTACAGGTTTTTTTTTATATATAAATAAAGCAAAAATCACCAAAATTTGAGTAGAAGCACGTGCGCTTTTTACAAGTAATTTTTTTTTTCCCCGAATTTACAGATTTAAAAAAAAATACAAACTCACTAAAATTGGATAAATAAATAAAAACTCACTAAAATCCAAATTAAAAGAAGAAAAAAAAACAGAACAAAACAAGTTTCCGCTTCTCAATAGTCCACAAAGAACAAGGAAAACGGTAGTCAAAAAGCGAGTTCCACATCGGACTGAGAGCAGAGAGTGGAAGCACAAACAGAGAAGGACGAGAAGAGAAGAGGAGAGAGATAGAGAGACGAATGGAGAAGGGTGGCGAAACGACGCCGTCTGCGGGGCTATACGGAGACAGAGGGGTGGGAGGGAAACTGAGGAAGCCACCGTCTCGTAAGCCGTCGACGACGCCGTATGCGCGTCCGCCTTTGAGCCAAGCCGAACGGGGACGGCGGCGGTGGTTATCGAGCGTCGTTGATCCGGCTTATCGGCTGATAGCCGGAGGCGCCACTCGGCTCTTCCCCTCTTTCTTCTCCAAATCGAACTCCCTCAGTGCCCTACCCCCGCCCAATGTCCAAAATCACGGTCAGTCCCAATTCTCTCCCTCTCTTAGGGTTTTGACCTTCTTCTTCCTATTACTTTTTCAAATTATTTATGTTTTGTGAATTAAAATAGGTATGCTGGTAAATAAAATCCATTGCTTTGCAATTGGATTGATTCAGGCATTGGTTTTGTGTGCATTCCATAATTGATTGGATTGTGCCTTGTTTCCATTATTGTTCGTTTCAATTAAATTTGATTACTTTATCTTTATATTGCCATTTAACATTATGGATTTTTCTTTGGCTTTTAACTCATTGAGTTATTCTGGAACAGATGAATGGCACACAGAGACAGAACAAAATGCTACTGGTGATGAGGACCATTGTGATCTAAATGTGAGGCTTTTTCCATATGGATTGTATTTTGTGGATATGCAGTACCTTCAGATCCTGTTTCACTAGTCACTTTGTCCTTTTATTCGGCTCATTAGTATAAGTATTGTTGTAATTGTTTCTTTGGGTGCACATGCATGCAACTTCAGACGGTGTTTTTGCATTTCAAACCGTAAACTTGTTCGACATTCATCTTTGCAGAATGGGATATCCAGAACAAGTGAAACAGCAGGCCCTAGCAAAGCAGATGAATTAAAAAGTGGTTCTGATTTTGATGGAGACAAGAAAGGTGCCCTGTCTGATGAGATTGGACTTTCTGAAATTGAGCAGCTATTGAAGGGGAAAAAGTTTTCTAGGCAAGTTATGCATTTGGTAGTCGTGTAGATTTCTCTTAGATTCCAAGTTGTGTGCTGCATTTATTCCATCTTTGATTGTAGCTATGTGTAAAACATAGACTTACTAATTGTTTGCCACTATGATGCATTGCTAATGTGTCAAAATGGTGGAGCGTAGTTTTGGTTCAGATGAGCACTTTTTGTTGATATGAGTAAAGTAGTTGCTTTCCGACAGAGGTTGTATAAATGAAGGTTTTTTGAGAAGCCTGTTTCTGATATCAAAACTGTGTTTCAGATTCCACTATTACATTTGACCTAGAAACCCAAGTTTCTCTTCTTCAGACCTGCCGTTTTCATTTCCTTTAATTAAAGCTCAAGTTGCAAATTCATTCACTCGTGGGCACTCTGGCGTGCAGTCTTTGTCTTATTATGTGTTATCTTACCATTCATTTCTTACTCCCTCTTACCTCATTCCATCTCTATCCAGGGATGAAGTCAATCACTTGATGGAAATTATACATTCAAGGGCTGTTGAACATCCTACTGTGGACCACGAAAATAGAAATCAAACCATTAGTACTGCAGAAAATGGTAAGGGGGTGTTAATTACAGATGATTTTCCAAAGATGTCATCTGAAGATAAACAGGAAGACTTGAATAAAGCTATTTGGGGAACTTCAACCCCTCTACCCCAGTCAGCTGTGAGTGTCGCTGTCAACTTGCTCTGTTTATAGTGACATTTAAGTAGGGAGAATCAATTTTGTTAAGCATTTTAACTTATGTGAATTTTTTAATTCATGCGTTTATCCTCCATAAGAAATCTTGCTTATTGTTTTGCTCAATGCACTTGATCTCTGTCATTTAAATCATCACTCTGGATATTGGTGAATGGAATTTTAGGAGAGGTAAAAGATTATCCAATGGAGTAACCCATGCCCTTTTGAGTGTTCTTCTAATTTTAATTTATTTTGTTAAAGGATCCAACCTTTCTTTCCTAAACTGCTTTCATTGTGTCTGTTTCTGCATATCCATGATGGTTGTGATTATCATTTTCTTAAAATTGAACAGTGATTTGTTTTTCTTATTGAAAAAGCAAAGAAAAGTGGCGTGCAGAAGTTACCCGCATATTTTTGCAGATAAATCTGAATTTAACTTCTTAAATAGTTGAGTTGTGTAAACACCTTCCATGATACGTTGAATTTTGATATATGTGGTTCACTTGCATCCTTTTATATTCTTATATGAATCTCTTATTTCTTTCAAAATTTTCAGATTCGAGATGAAGTAGGTGCTTCACCTATTGAAATTGCAAGAGCATATATGGGAAGCAGAACATCAGAAATTGATTTTTCTTCTGAGAATACAGTGTCAAAAGATGAAAGGGCCATACTGCACGGCGATGAGTTTTCTTCAAAACCATTTATTCCAACACCTTCATCTAAGCCATCGACATGCTGGCCTGGTTCCATGGTAAAGGATCAACGTGATTATCTAACCCCACAGACTGAAGGAGGCAGATTTGGCCTTCAGAGTTTTCCTCGAACCCCTTATTCTAGAACTATATATTCAAAATCCAAGTCAAAGGTATGTTAAAGGTCTTGATCCTGGTTTTGGAATTCTAACTTTCTGATTCTAGTAGACATGCTTCATGCTTTGTAGATGGTAATTTTCTTTATTGCATGTCACCAGTTAACTCAACTACAAAGTGGTAATGATAAGGCCCCAAGAACATTATCTACTCCCTGGAAACAATCACAGACTCCTATGTATGGGCAGGTAAATTTACATATTAGTGATCATTGTATCAATGGTTAAATTACAGGTATACGTGGATTACTTTATTAGATTTTAGAACTGGATTTAGGTAGTTAGATGGACTAGGGAGCTGAAGTCAAATTAGTTTTTGGCATCACAGAATGCATTTGTTGTAGTTCTTTTTGTACTGTACAGTTGCTGGCGCATATGTGAAAATCTTAGTTTTTGGATATTTGGAACGTACATTCATAGCCAAGTTAAAAAACTTTATTGATGCATTTATAAGTATGGCAATGAATAATAAGTACTTGAGTACATAGTTTTCCACAGGTTGAATCTCAGATGCTAAATCAACTTGTAATTTTGCATGATAATTGAACCCTTATCAATCAAGCTATTGGCTCTTGACTTGATTGTTTATTTCTTTGTGTTTCAATGCGTTGGTGAAGCCAAGGGATGATGCATTGGATGGTGGCTATGGATCAGTGGGACCAATTCGCAAGTCACGACATAAAATTGTTGCACAAACACCTACTAGAGGATCTCCATATGTTCATTCCTCTCCAATTGGGTCTTCACGTGTGGAAAACTCCAATGTTACCAAAGGCTTCTTGCCTGCCAGCAAGAAGAATTTTGAATCTGTAGGACTAAGTGGCAACTCCCAAATCCCCGCATCTGACAAGAAGGCTTCCAGCTTTGGTGTGCCAACTGTTCATCCACAGTCTAGTCTGATTGCCAGGACAATCTTGGAGCACATTGATAGAAACCAGCCCACTCCTAAAGATAAGTCAGAAGAGTTAAAGCTAGCCATTGCATGGAAGAAACCCCTATCTTCTGGTGTTGCTTCAGTCAACCAGAATGGGCATGATAGCTTACCACTTGTAGGAGGGTCCAGTTCTCGTAAGCTCATAAATCAAGATTTCCAGAAAAATTCTGCTCATGAGAATGCTTACAAGGGGAATTCTCTGTTTAAGATTCCACCTCTGGAAAATACTGTAAAAGCTACAGATGTTGTAAACACCAGTCCTGGTGATGGGAGGGATGGAAGATCTCTAGTCAAGAGTACACATGAGGTGTTTTATCCTTTTTAAATTGCTTTTGCTTTGCCTACTACTAAACGCATTGTCTTCAAAGTAATATTGTGTTGTGGTGATAGATCACGAGATCGTACTGAAATGCAGCTAATTTTTACTAATTTGCAGGATTTTCCTAAGATTGGCCTGAATGCTGTTGGCTCTGAGGTACCAAATCAACAAAAGAAGCCTCCATCTCAATCTTCAGCAACTAAACGCGTGTTTCCTTCTATAGCTATTGACAAGCCAGACTCAAAATGGGCGTTTTCTTCTGGTAATAGCTCTGGGTTTACCTTCCCTGTTTCGACATCGTCTGCAGTGTTTTCTGAACCACCGACACCATCCCTTATGCCATCTTTCCTGGGAAGCAGTCAGCAGCATCAGCTGAAAGATGTAGACGCTGTTCCTACTTACGAATTTGGATCCAAGAAGTCTGCTCCGCTTGCATTTTCATTCCCTTCTACAAGTGCGGAAATCCAGAATGATGATGCTTCAGATATTAAGTTCAGTTTTGGATCAGATAAGCCAACCTTGGCTTTCGGTTCAATAGGCAAAGTGCCATCTGTTATTAGCATTTCTTTTGGGTAGTATAGGCGTAAGGTTTTGTTTCTAAAGTTTGTATTCTAACTCATCTGCCTGATTGTACCTTGGAATTGGAAGTGAGAAGGCAACTAGTTTAGTGAACGCTCATCTGTTGCAATTAATTCTCCTTGGTTACAAGTTACAACTGTGAATGAATTGGTGGGTTTTGGTTAAATTCTCCTAGCTTATTCATATCCGTGAATTCTCCTTGGTCAATTCTCGCTGATGTTTTGAAAACCAGCGACCAGCGGGGTTGTTTGATGTTTTGAAATCCAGGAAGTAGTGTAAATTGTAATGGATGCGTGAGTGACAAGACGTGAAGGCCATTAATGTCCTGAACGCCAACCAGCTTATCAGCAGCAGCAGCAGAGAGTCGTTTGTTTGATGTTTTAAAAAGTCAGCTTGAAGATGTGCTAAAAATGGTCCTGCGCCTGCCTTGCGCTCATCCATGTTTCTTGTTTCAATTTATGTTATGCTATGACTGAACAATGAACATGACAGAACATGGTGACGACTGCATGGGTGTGTATGTACCTCGTAACACATATCACAGAACATAAACTTGTTTCAATTTATGTTATGCTATGACTGAACAATGAACATGACAGAACATGGTGATGACTGCATGGATGTGTATGTACCTCGTAACACATATCACAGAATATAAAAGGTATAAATGATTGTCAACGGATTTAGCCTAATGCAAAAGGACATTTATTTTTATATAGTGGTCTCAAGTTCGAACTCCAATGACACCTTGGTATAGTGTGAGAAATCTCGTTCATTTGTTCCTTTGTAGTTTAGATTATTATTTGTATTAAAAAATAAAAATAAAATTATAAATATATTTTTCCTGATGGATGAGTAAAGGGTAGCCCCCCCCAGGTACGTGGCATAGTTTCTTGCCACACAGACACGTGGAGACATTGGAGATTGGAGAATTTTGTAGTAAGTAATAATCAAGAAACAAATGAATGCATTTCCAGACACACAGAACATGATGCCATGGCAAGGAATCACGTGTTGCTCCAATTTTCTCAAGGAAGGAAGAAGCTTTGGTCGTCTTTGCACTCTCTCTAATCCTTTTCAGCCTAGCCCAGTCACTCACTCACTCACTCTGTGGGCCCCCCCCACCTTGGTGATCATCATCATCATCATCATCAACTTCATGATATGTATATGGGGTAAGGTATAATGGGCCCCACAGCATTTAAGTAGTGTAGGAACACCTTGAGAGGACAGCAACATACATTCCAAAAGAGATAAAGAGAGCAAAGTCACAAGCACAACAAACTTCCAAACTCGAAAGAGAGAGCGAGTGGAGGAGGAGAGAGTGGAGAGGGTGTAGCGGAAGGGAAGGGGGAGAAGTCAGAGGTGAAATGACATTGAAATGAGAGAGATGAATGCTTAACAGACATGAAATTGACGTTTCAGATTCTAAATGTCAGAATGGGTGGGCAGAGAGCAGAAGAACAGAGCAGAGCAGCCCTCTCAGCCGTATCACTCTGCCCACCCCCACCACCACACCACCACACCACCATAACCATTTTGTACTATCTTTCCTTTTCCTTTCTTTTACTAAAAACAAGGAAAAAAGAAAACTTGCCAGCTTGTTCAAATCTACCATAACCCACTTCAAGATCCGTAGGACATTCATTGGTCCCCTCCTAAATTCTATCACCACCACAACCAAACCATTTCAGTATTTATTTTTGACCATGCAACCCAAAACCACCTTAGTTTTCTTTTTTGCTTCTCCTTTGGGCTCGCATATATTTATTTATAAGTTAATGCGTACGATACCAAAGTTGGAAGGCAATTCCTTCCCTGAAGCTAATATTCAAGATTAAAGTGCTTGCTCTAATAAGCTGCTTTAGTGCTTTTGTATGGAAGTGATTCTCTGGAGGTATCAATGAAAATGGGATATGTGGCAGAGAGCCAAAATGGTGGTCCATGAATTCCTTTTCACAGAGGTCATATTATTTATGGGTTGCAGTCCATGCTTGGACAGGCAATGGCTTTTCTTAGATATTTGCTTTCTTTTTTTCCCTTTTTTCAAAGGAAAGAATGCCTTTTTCTCTCTCTCTCTACCCCCCACACACACACACATCACATTACATGCCTTCATCCAATAATTCAACTGGAAATTATATAAAGTCATGGTAGCTCGTTGCTGATATATATATATATATATATATATATATATTACGAGACTTACCCTTTTCCCTAAGCTTCCATAGAATTTTACCCGCAAATCATGTGTCTTCAAGTGAGGGTGCAAGAGGGACACGTACCCCCTTGTATAGACAATGGTTTTTGCAGATGATGACTGTGGATACTAGGCCTAGCAGTGAGAAACATAAGCAGATTATATTTCATGAGACGGAGATGAATTATTTCAAATTCTTAGTAAAATCCATTTTATATGTAACATATGGGGTTTAGGGTTTACAATCTCTTAAACCAATCATTATTAAGAACGTAAAACGTACTTAAGTTCGACATGGAAAGAACAAGAGGGTGGTGTTTATAAAATTGAGTATATGTTTACAATATATATGAACTTATTAAAATCAAAATCTCTTTTTATTAGATATATAAATAGATTTATGAAGAAATCGCTTCAGAGTAGTTTTATTATCAGTCGATGAAAAACTTTTGATAGGCAACAAAAGTAGTAGACTGGTTAACAAGAGAGCATCTAAGTACGTATATTTTATTTGTATACGTACAGTGATTCTGATTGTGGCCATGCGTATATTTTATTTGTAGGTCAACGCATTTTTGCAAAGAGAAAAGCAATAGTAGAACTTCAAAAGCTTTCAAATTTAAACCCAGAACTTAACCAACAAACATCAAAACAATAAAATCTGTATATCCAAGAAACAGACGTAGGTCTCCTTCTCATATGTGCCATGCCATGGATTTCGGCTCAAGTATACGGACAGAAGATAGGAAAATATCAGATCAAGGTCATCTTATAGCAAGAGGAAATTTATTATATAACAAGCATAAAGCATTGATGAAGAAGACAAATATTTAATTAAGGAAAGTAGACGTAGAAAACAACCCCCTGAGGTGACAACAGTACAAACAAAGAAGAAGGATATCGTCATTCAATTCAATTTCCTTAAAACAAACGCAGTACGTAGATCAGTCGACGCAATTCTTGTATAACTTTGATATCAATGCATGACCACCGTCGATCATTTATTCAGCAGTGCAGCCCTTGACATAAGATGTTTCTCAGAGTCCTGCAACAATTGTTTTGGTTAAAATATATAAAAAATGTGATCAGGCCATCCATTTGATTTGCAAGATATAATCATTCTTTTGAACTTACTAATTTTGAAAGACAGAAAATATTGAAACAACTTACATTGTCCAGCTTAGGCTGATTGTTAGTCTCCAACATCAGCCCAAAATGAATGTGAGGGAAGTGCGCCCACTAGAAGGAGAAAAGAAGCTCGTTAATGATGAATATAGTTCGTGTGTCAGTCATAGTAATTTTTTTACAATCTGGTTTCAATACTTACGTTTTTGGCAGCAGTGCTGAAAGCCTCTCTATGGCTAATATCTGGATTATTGGCCTTGATCCTCTGAATTTCCTCCCTATAATCAAATATAATTAATTAAGACTCGTTTAGCAAATGCAAATGTAAAGAAAACAAGGATGTTCATCGAATGGTTTAGTTACTTTATGAACTGGTTATATGCAGAAGGTACACGTTGCCTCTTCTCGGGAGCTGAGAAAGAAAATACCAACTCAATCAATAACATTAGAGATTGCTTAATTAGCCGTGAAATTACAAATTATGATAATAACATGGGATGATTAATTAGGTATAAAAAGTACTCACGTCGGTTCACACCCCTTTCCTCAGTGACATGATCTGCAGTGGGGTCTCTGGTTGCAATCTTCTTGTTGCATTTGGATGAGGAACCTGACTCCATCCGGTAATTCTGCGCGTTATAGTTGTAGTTTTGTGCCTGCAATGTAAGTATATAAATACATAAACAAAAACAAAAACAAAAAATCAGTTGGCCTGGTAATTACTACTTTCGATTATTTATGGTAGCTAGGTAGCTATCAGGTGGCCTGGTTTTTTTTTAGGGGGGCGGGCCGCGGGAGGAGCAGGAAAAGAGGCTGAGCGAGCATTGATAGGACTGAATCAGTTAGGACTGTCATATAAAAATAAAGCATATAAAACCCAGATTGACAGTTGTTGCTGAAAGAAATTTTAAAAAAATTTGGGCTGCTTGCTTGCACAGTAGAGGACAAAGATGATGGAAAAGAAATCATTAAAACCTAAGAAGCCTTACATTCATGTCAATCAAATCAAGCAAAAGAAAAGAGAAAAGCAATTGCTGGCTGCTTAGCCTTGATGGGTCAGGAGGAGGACAGCTCCTGCCCCCCCATCTACCTATAAACAAAAGAAAAAAGAAGCAAAATTTTAGGTATTGGGTTCTGGGTTATGGCGGCTGCTGTGCCAGCTACCTAGGGTTTCAGTATTGCAACTGCTTTGAAATACTCGATCTGTGTTAAGGGATACAGATCCTCATCAAGTCTTCGATTTCCTAACAAAGAAGTAACGCCCAGAAGCTAGCCCTAGATTTCAGAGGGAGCCTCTGCTAGCTCAAATTGAATAATTAATCAGTTAGAATGTATGTATATATTTATAAATAAATAAATAAATATATAGGCGCACCTGGACATCTGGCCAGGACAGTGACTGAAAGGCAGCGGCCATGTTCACGGACCATAAATTGGTGCAGTGCCCGCATCGAACTGTCACAATGTCGAATAGGCTGCTGCATGGAACACTCACCTGCACATATTTATTTGAATCCTTCATTAGTATTTTCTTACACCGACTGCACATCAAGATTAATTGTGTAATTAATAAATAAAGACATCAAATGGAATGAACTTCACAGAAAAATGAAGGAGAAGAACAGAAGACGAAAGAAAAAAAGTAGCTAATAAGAATATATTGGGTTTTTTGGTTGCGGAAAAAAAGTGTGAAAATCAAGTAGAAAACCCTAAAAATAGAGAAGCATATTGAGATTGCTGTGAGAGGAGTTTTTTTTCTTTTCTTTTTCTAGGAAAGAAGCTAATAGTGAGTGAGAAAGGAGAAGTTCATTTTGTGTTTTCCCAATCAGGCTATTAGCAAAAGGAGGAGTGAGTTTTGACAAGACCTCAGGTAGTGCAGTGTTTAGAGTAAGGAAAAGGTAAGCCTGCCGCAAAAGAGTGAGGAAATCAAAGGGTGAAGGACTTGTCTTCGTCAATGGTTTATCATCAAACCACCCCTCTTGTTTTGACGTTTAAAACAAACTCTATTAACTTACAACTACAAAACATAAATTAGCCAATCAACTCTCTCTCTCTCTCTCTCTCTCTCTCTCTCTAGAGTCCAGCTAGAGATCTCTCTCTCTCTCTCTCTCCCTCTCTCTCCTGGTGTGTGTGGTCTTAAGCGCTTCAGGAGGACCTTCATGGTATGACTTTTCTTTGACTGCAAAAGAAGAAGAAAAAGTAAAGTCCAACGATGGAGACCTGACCATAAACCTAATTTAAACAAAGAAAACCCTCCCTGTAAACTAATAAAATCAATAACAGATTTCACTGAAATAACACCAAAACCAGATCACGAATCAATTAAAGCCTGCTTTTTCAGCAGGATCGGGTTGCATACATTTATACATAGCCTGGCCTGGGAAAGACAGAGAAAAGATAACAAATATATCTATACACAGATAGAAAGATAGATAGATATATAGAAGAAACAAGGTAGGTAGTGGGGTTTGCTAAGATCGCTGAAAAGCAGGGAGATCTCCCATTAAAGAAAGAAGAAAGAAGAAAGAAGAAAGAAGAAAGAAGAAAGAGGAAATCATCATCATCAGAGAGAGAGAGAGAGATGTATATATATATATATATTTATAGAGAGAGATACCGCGAGAACAATATTGCAAAAGTTGCAGGGGATGTAGCAGAGTTGCTCAGTCGCAACATCGATGCAGCTGGTCATGATGGCTCTTGCTGTGATGCAATTATCACAAAATTAAGAAACTCCTTCCTTAAGCCGATTAACCAAGAAACAAACAAAGAAAGCAAAGCAAGCAAAAGAGAGGAAGCTCTCTAAGCTCAGGTTTTGCAAATTACACCAAGCTCAAAAGCAAAAGCTCTTTCTTCTTTCTCAACCACTCCTTGCTTTCAAGATAGGTTATGTACTATCACACTACACCTCAATGGCTAACATATATAGAGCTAGAAATTTAAGGGGGGGAGAGAGAGAGATTCCAAGGAAGAAGTGAGCTAGAGAGAAAGGTAAGAGGGTAAGGGGGTAAGGGGGAGAGAGTATAATGATTAAAAAAAAAAGTGGGTTGTGTTTGGAAGTGGCCAGGGAAGGCAAGAGAATGCTGGGACCGGGAAACGAAAGCAAAAGTGGGTTTCATGGAAAACCGGGTTTTTTTTTTTATTGGACACCAAATGCGGTTCAGGAATCAGGTACTTGCTTGGTAATGGTACTACTACAGCTACCAATCTAAAAGCTTATGCTTAGCTATTTCTATTTTGGGTTAGTTTTGTGAGATATGTTAATTATACTTATAATTAATGAGAAGATTATTTAATAGAGGGACAAGTTTTCTGGCTGCATTTTACCTAATCTCTCAGCGATCATGGATGGTAACTATTAATAATGAATGACCCATTGTAAATATAAATATGAACTGAATGTATGTATGTGTATGTGTATGCATGCATGATGCTTATGTGTATATATATATATATGCGCCTATGCTATGTACTATCATAAATTTTGGGGATCGTGATAATTTCTTTTTAAAATAAATTAAAATACGTTTAACTCCTATAATAAATTATAATAATTTATTACATTTTTTTTTTTTTTTTTTTTTTTTTTTTTTTTTTGGGTTTGGGGGGTTGTTTCAATAAGGTTGATAATTTGGTAATTTAATAACATGCAACTCATTTCTATATATGATCTATGTAATGGACACTTATATGGTAAATCAGTTAATTTTTTTCGGGAGCAAAGCAAAATTCTAGCAGTTCTCTCTTTTTGTGAGTTCAAAAGAAAAACTTCATAGAGAATGGAGAAGGAAGAAGCGTTACTATCCCTCTTCCCCTTCATATTTTCTTGCCTTTTTTTCTTTTGGGTTAGTGTCTATTCGAGTGTTTGGAATAAGAAGCTCCTTGTAGTAATTTCTTTTGAACCATGCTCAAGTTGAAGTTCCCCACCACCTCTTTGCGGGTATGTTCTCAATCAAATCATTCTCTCAAAACCTAATCTCAAATATTGCTCGTGTTCTCTAAATTTGGTTCTACATCATATTTGACGGAATTTGCTGCCATTCATCTATTTGTCAGGGTTGTTGTTTGGTTTATTTATTCACTTTTATGTGCATGTAGATCTTTGAAAACCATGTTTTCCCTAGATCAATTACGGATTTTGTTCTCACTTCAAGATTTTATGTGGTGGTGGGTGTGACCGCGATAGTGCTTCTTCGGGTGGTGGTAGTAGAGTTCATTTAGGTTCGTAGGCTGCTCTAGGGGTTTCGGCTATATTGGGCTGGTGGGCTTTGTTTGGGATTATGCTTAATTGTGATGATGTGGGCTAGTAATTTTAATGCGACTTTTGTTCGCTTTAGTTTTGTTTTTAGCATATTAATTGTTGTCCTCTTAGAATTGATATCATTGAAATTTATTTAATAAAATTTCTGTTTTTTTTTAATAAAAAAGTTAAATCAGTTGCATGTAACAAAACTCCCCCCCTCTTCAATCTATATGCACACATATATTTTAGAAATTAATTCAACGGGCTCAGTGCCTCAGACTAGCTTAGTCCACATCCAATTTCGAGCATGCTTGCATCCCCCAAGCTGACCCATTTTACAATTTCCCACATGTAAGTATATATATTTAGAATATGTAGGTTCCCTAAAAAAGATATATACAATCAATGTGTACACATAACTTGCCATCAATTTCATGTTTCACGTAATAGATATGATGGGTGAATACTGGTATATGCACAGAAACTTTTAGCAACTTCAATTCGCATTTAAAACAATAATAATAATAATAATAATAATAAAAAACCTTCTTCATCAAGTAATTTAAAACGAACAAAGAAACAACAATTGCAAAGTATTTTAGTTCTTCTCTTTTACTTTGTGTATTTAACAAGTAAAAGCACGTTTCCTTTTCTTCTTTTTTCCTCTATCTTTTTGGCGAATTTGAGAATATATATATTGCTTCAAGAAACACAAACCCTACACAGAATAATTCTGAATGGTCATACCCGAAACCATGACCCATGCAAGAGCGACAAGATTCTTTCGTGCATTCCAACTTACAAGTGTATATATAAGGATCAAAATTTTCCATCTTTAGAGGTTAATATATACAATTTTTTTTAGCTCGGCCGGCCGATACATATTTAACTCTTCCACACATTAAATTCACTTGTAAATTTGACCCAAAAAAATTTAATCTTTCACTTGTAAATCCATGTTATATACATTTCGGGAAAGAAATGTTACATTGATATATAACCAGGGAATACAAAGATTTCTACTTGACAACCTACTATCTACTTTTCTCTCATTTAAATGAAATTGGATATTTTCGAAGTGGACAAAAATAACGTCTGGAATATAAAAGACGACGGAGAAAATGATAAAATTGAAACATTATTAGGATATACATATCTCTTTGTGTGTGTGGATTTGGCCTACTAGATAAAGTACTCTGATCACAAAACTTAAAAAAACCTAGTCCCTTGAAAGATGAGTTCCTTTCCGGGGGTTGGAAGCCCTCCTTTGTGTGGAATTGACATCATGTTTCCCCTTTTTATCCTCGTTTTGTTATGATTTTCCTTCACCTATCACAGACGATTGCATCTTGGTGTTGGATCTCCACCCATTATCATTTTTGCGATTTCTTTATGTTTAGAATAAGTCTCAGAAACTCTTTATGTTTTCTGTGTAGTTTTCACCTCTTCTTTTGTGAGTGTTTTATTTGTATTGTTATGACTTAATTTTTTCAAGTTTTATCTCTTTTTGATTGTTATGAGTTTGCAATCTTAGTTGGCTGCACATATGCCAAAGTTTCTTCAATCATCCGTGATTGTTAATGGAGGCGCACAAAATTGTCTTAAATTTGATGTTAGATCTCTCCGTTATTGTAATGGTCATTTATGGCTAGTTTGTATTGGCCCTTTATGATTAGTTGTTAAACTCTATATATATATATATATATATATATATATAACTGAATTATGAATACAATCCCAAAAAATTTCAAGCCAAAAAAAAAGAAAAAAAAAGCACTGTGTAGTGGTTGTTTGGGTTGCGTCCCTTTCCATGTCTCTTGGTCTAATAAACAGGCGTAAGACGACATTGCTGATTTTTGCCACTGCCCCCTACTTGTGAGATTATTAATAATATTGTTTAATGTTCTAAAATACTATACACTACAGTCAATTGTTTGTTGCGGCGTATTATTTTGAAACATAAGTATTTTATTTTACTCCGTGATTTCCCTACCTAATCCTTCGTTATTTCATTTTATTTACCAGTTTTTTTTTCCTTCTTCTTCTTCTTCTTCTTCTTCTTCTTTTTCAATGGCATACAAAATTTATATTGACACTCCATCCATATGTATGTCACATCTTTAATAATCTAGGAGTCTCAGAGTGTAGACACAATGATCATTAATAAACCAACCAAATTTGTTTTCCAATCTGAATATAGGTATGTAGCCATTTTTATTTATTTATAGAGAATTTTGACGGAACGAGGGAAACTTTATTGATAAAACGAAGATTTACAATAGGAGGACAAAACACCTGACTCTGGTTCAAAAAATCACATAATAGGGCGTCCTAAATAAAATCAAGAGCATCTCAAACCAAATAAAACTATCCACGTTATGCAGACGAAATAACCATCCAATTTATATTCAATTCAATTTCACTACTACATGGATGTACTATATGGTAATTAATCAATTTACAATCTGTATACCCTTTTGATTGTCTGTCCTATATATATCCATGCATTTAAGAATTGAGAGGGGAAAATGAATGATGAACATTACTGTACAATATTATATGAACAGCATGGATAGAGATCTTCATATCATTACATTATGCACAAACGAAGGAACAATAAGAATCAGACAACAGTGTGCCTTGTGGAGCCCCATATCCGTGGACGATTGGCTATATATTATTATTAGTGGGAATAATAATCTGCCAGCCAAATGGAACTTGAAAAGTCATTTGTGCTCATAAATTGATTGGAGAACCTTTTTAAGTACAAATTATCAGACAAACTTTCTTGAAAGCTGTGTGGATAAATTTTCACTTTAACAAGTTTTTCTTTTTTAGGTCGAAGCTGAGTGCACCTTATATCAAGAGGAAAGCCTCGAGATTTTATGTACAATTTATTTATGTATTAGGGTTGCAGACCCTCAATGTCAGTACGTACCCTCCTGTACATCTCATATGGGCTTAAAAAGCTTCTTCTCTTTTGAGCAAATAAATAATAAATAAACAAGTAGCTAGCAACACTACATTCATTTTGGCAACTTTAAGAAATTGTTGGATATAGATCATCCCGCAACAGTTTTTTTTTCCTTTGGGTAATACAAGAAGAGTCAAAGTAGAGATCATCATTTGGTCCGCGTTTTGTGAGTCGAAGTGGGTAGTATGAGACTTGAAGGGCCAAAATTCGATTCGGCGATTAGGCCTGATCGGTATGATCCGCTCTAAGGTTGAGTAGGACTTGAGTTTAGGTTTTGAAACTTTCGGCCCGTCCTCGGCCTAGCTCGCCAATGACTCGACCCAACCCGAGTAAGCTTGCTTATTGAAACTTAAGTAAATATCTTGTCTTTTTATTTTTACATTACTCCATCTACTTTTTCACAGCACTTCAATTTGCTATCTCTTTCTAGCTATCTGGTATTTAATAAAGTAAAGAGCCTACTCTGGGAAAAAAAGAGAAGAAAATAAAGTAAAGAGCCTACTGACTTAATTTCTTCTTTTCGTGACCAGTGCAACTAGCAAGGTGTAGGTGCAGAACTCGGACCTAGACTGCGCTTGCATCTCTTCATCTTTCTAGGTGCGCTCTGGTAATAATCTGGCATTTATATATTATAGATAACTTGAAATCCCTCACGTGGGGTGTTGTTTTGTTACGACTGATGGAGGGGGTTTGCATTTGAAGGCTGCAGGCTGATCTAGTCATATATATATATATATATATGTAGCTCAACAGTGTGCCTTGGAAGCTAAAAGACAGTACATATATATTTATACATGTTGGATGCCCAACATAAATAGACCAAAAGCTGATGATGCTCTCTCCAACATAAATAAGTAATTCTGGAAAATGACAACTGAGTGCAGTATCGTGAAGAAAATGCAACATCCATGTACAAGGTCAATATTGATACAAGGCTTACAAGCAATGAAAACCTAGCCATGCGCTTCATGTGAACGCTGTTCCCCCAATCAATTAATCATCCACACACATCAAATCCAAACTTACTTTTTGTCCTCCACAATTTGCTCCATTTCTTCTATGTACTATTATTCTTTGCACGATATAAATAATTAATTCATACAGATCTGCATTCTCTCTCATCCGCAATGCTGCGTCTAGGTCGCCATAGGCCCATAGAGGTGCTTAGACTGGGCTTGGGCCTTAATGTTCCGCCACCCAACCGACACCCTCCCAACAATCCTATCTTCCAAGTATAAATATATTTTAAGGATTAGGTGGCAAGCGGAAAATAAATAATGAATAAACCAAAAGGTGTGCCGACTTTTCCAGACTGATTGAACTTGTCCCCAAAGTATTCAATTATGATTCTTTTTTAAAGAAAATAAAAAATTCAATTCAATTCCTTTCGCTGTCTTCTCTTGTAAATTTATCTATTTATTTAATTTATTCAATTCATATTATGCGAAGGCCAAAAAGTAATAATGCGCAAAAAAAAGAAGAGAAAAAAACAAGCAAAAGTGTAGGGGATCCGGTCCATGTGGATAAGGCAGTTTATGGATAACCTGAATTCTGTGTCGTTTATTACAATTTAGATGTCGCACCCAGAAGTCAATCGCTCGATTCGCACCTTAAAAGGGGAAACCAGGCCCCCCGCCACATGTCTGAAACCTAAGTCAATCCGACAACACATAATACCCATATAGTAATTTCATTTTTACACCGAATTGAAATTTGAAATTTAATGGGATTCTAACTAATTGCTGACTAACAGACGAAATTAGGCCAATTCACCATAGCGATACGCTTACCTTTTGTATTCAAGTTCGAGTTTTCCTTTCTGTCGATTAGATTAACAAACTGGTTGGTTAAATTTATTATATTATCTTTTTCTTCTGGGCAATTACTATTTTTATTAAATTACACAGATTATCATCCCCATAGATTTTTATTACTTCAATTTATTAACTGAGTTTCCAAATGCTGGATATTCTTTTTTTGTTCTTTCTACAGACCATTTTTGAAATTCAAAATATGAGCTCCTGCAGCCTCTCTTGTCCACCGTACCGATTGTATGGTTGTAAATCCAAAGTAATCGCGAAGACGAGCGTCACAAGCCCCAGCGGTGACTCACAGTCATCCGAAGTCAAAACCAACCAATTCACGCAGGCACAATCTAAGCCGTTCATAAACTCCGATCTGGGACACGTGTCGCTTTACTATATTACCGTGACGAATCCAAATACCCAGCACCGAAATCACAGACCAGCTCTCGAACTCTTTGGGTTAGAGAGAGAAACAGAAGCACAAATGCCCTGATTCAACAACGTGTCTGTTATAGTTGTCTCTGTTCATATTCAGTTAGCCCTCTTTTCCCCTTCATCGATTTCAAAGACTTCAAATTTTGCAGAGAAAGTAAGCAACTTCTCTCTAGCTTAGTGCTTGTCGCATTTTATTTTTCCCTTTTTTTCTTCTAATAAATATTGTATTATGTACTCTGCTTATTAAATTCAGGAGTTTTTTTTGTTGGGGGTTGAATTTGGTTGAATTTTGGTAGGTGAAAGTGAAATGGCAAGCTCAGTGGAGAAGGAGGGAGAGGAGGTTGTGTCCTTAGAACTACCAGCTCCTTCGGGTTGGGTTAAGAAGGTTTATTCTTTGCTTTCTCTCTCTCTCTCTCTCTGTTTTGCTTGGCCCTTTTAAGTTTTCCGAGCCATCAAATTTTCAATTCTTTGGTTGCTATATTACTTATGTTCCTGTTTATTTGGGGAAATTTCATTTGAGTTTGTCGGGTTTTGTGATTTGGTGACTTTTGCTGGTAAAATTTGATGATGTGTTAATGGTTCTTATTTAGGGTTTGTGGCTGTTCCTCATTTTCTGTTGAATTTCAGTAATTATGCTTAAGCTTCTGAGGCTTTTGTATATAGTTTGTTAGGTTAAACTATGTCGGTTGGTCAGGTAAGGTTTGGGGGGGAAACGCTCTCATATTTTGAGCATTGTTGTACTTGTTTCATGGAACTCTGCTTGTAACTCATGTATGCTTTCTGCATTTTCATATATCTGTGGATTTGGGGTTTTTGTTTTTGTGAAGTGCAGTTTGGAATGTGGAATTTTGAATTAAAGTGGGGCAATTACAATCTCAGTGATTTCATTTGGGGATAATTCCCTTCCTCGATATATTGCTGATAATTTTTTAAAAAAAATTATTGTTCTTATTTATAATTCTTACTTTTAACTTTTGAGCATGTGATCTCTTTTATGGTATGGCTGGCAAATGAACATGTTAGGCGAACATGACTGGGTCTATGGAAAGTGTAAATGACTCTTTTACCTTGATTGACCTACTTCCACTTAACAAGAAAATCAAACGGATCAATTTTATGTTGTTAGAACTGATTGAGCAATGGGAATATAGGTTGTGTGCAATTATGGATTGGTTTTATTCGGATATGTTTGTTGGATTAGATTTCCAGCTTTCATATTTAAGTTTCCTCAGTTGCATTACTTAGAAACCTTAGTGAGCTACACCAATGAACTTTTAGGTCTCTGTGCATGTTGATTTCATTAGGTGCATGAGCACTGTCCTTTATCTCGTAAGTGCAGTTTCAGTATCTTCCAACCATGGTGCAATAATTTATATCTTATTTGATTTCCACGTACTTTTTTTAATTTAATTGAGTTTACTAATAGTTAAAGCTATTTTCAAATCTATACTCCTCTCGTTATGTCTTTTTTTATTTTCCAGTTTTTGAAGTCAATATAACATGCTGAGGTTGGTCTTTGTAACATGCAGTTTCTGCCCAAGCAAAGTGGAACTCCTAAGAAAAATGAAATCGTATTTACAGCTCCAACGGGAGAGGAGATCACCAACAAAAGACAGTTGGAACAGTACCTGAAAGCTCACCCTGGGGGTCCCGCAGTATCAGAATTTGATTGGAGCACTGGTGAGACACCAAGGAGATCAGCAAGGATTAGTGAGAAGGCGAAAGCAACTCCACCACCAGAAGGTGAGCCCCCAAAGAAGCGAAGCAGAAAATCAACTTCGGCGAAGAAGGATAGCAAAGAAAAGCAAGCTGGTCCTGAAGGAGCTGAGGAGACAAAAATTAGTGATGTGCAAGCTGCTGAAAAAGCTGAGATGGAAAAGGATGATGTGAAGGAAAACCAATATGAGGAGAAAGCACCAGATGCAGATGCCAAGACAGAAGTAGCTCAACTTGAAGAAACAAAAGTTGAACAAGAAGCTAACATACCTGGCGATGCTGAAGAGTGCAAGAAAACTAGCGAAGCTGGTCCAGAAGATTCAAAAGCATCCATTGATGGGAAGGAAGTTGAAGGTTCTGGTTTTGGAAAACAAACCGAAAAAGAAAATGCGGAAGGGGAAAAAGTAGAAGAGAAGGGTGAGCAACCACAGGTTGAGGTAGGGAAAGAGGAAAAGACGGGGGATCAGGGCAAAGCCAAAATTGCTGTTGTTGATGAGGACAAACATGAAGTAGAAGGAGAAGAAAAAGAGAAACATAACGAAGTTGCTATTGAAACTGAAGTAGAAATCGAGGAGAAAGAAGCAGCAAAAGGGAACACTGAGGGAAAAAATAGTTCAGGTGTTCATGAAGCGGGCAAGAAGGTTGAAGGAGAAGTGATTGAGAATGGCGGCCCAGGCAATGAAGCTTGATGGTTTGCTGAATGGCTCCAGTTTCTCGTCCAGCATTCTGACCCTTTCACATTTCTGAGAAAATCATTAGTTTCAGTGTTGTTAATTTTAGCTATCTGATTGTTCATTGAAGCATCCGTCTATAGGATCATTAGATTAGGCCTATAATGTACCATCCTTTTGTTGTACTAGAGAGAATGTAGCTGTCAGTGACCTCTGTAACATTATGGTGTAAAATACTGGTGATGTAATACTGTTATGCCCTGTATTGTTGTAGTGATGTTAAGAACTCGTTTCACTTTTGAAGCCCATGCTTGAGATGACTTGATCTAGCTGCTGTTGATATTGAATGTTGATTTTGCCGGATGGTGGGTGGGTTAATTCTGTGTTTTATGGGAAGACTGAAGATTTGAAATCATAAAATGCTGAAACATCCATAGCTGTGGGTTGCCCAATGCATACAAAAATGAAAAGTTCCATTACTTCAAGAGATATTTAATCATATATCTATTCTTAACACTAATGATATAAATAAACTATACATCATTTAATTTCTATAAATAAACAAAAAAAAACCCGTAAAATGATAACTGACCCTATTAAATTTAATTTTGATTATTAAATTACTTTGATGCCTTATTAAGTGTTTTGAGTTTTTTAATGAGGTTTTGGGTTTAGGCTTGTTATAAGAAATCGAAGACAGTTTTGTAATTTATAAGAAGTTAAAAGCCTCTTTGTTATGTTATAAATGAGCTTTGGGTGTGTTTCTAAATTCTATTTTATATATGGTATTTTTATAATTTGAGCCATTGTATTAGGTATAATAGTGAATCCCCCTTAATTCAACTCAATGTGTAAAGAACAATGAAATCGAAATTCGTAGTGTTTAGTGAAGACTGTTGAGTTTACTGTAGCCGAAACTCAACGGAGACCGTTGAACTCAAATTGCACCAATAAAATAAAACCAGAGAATTCATGGAACTAAAAGTTTTCCTCTCATACAAAGAAAAAAAAAGTGAAGTGATCATCTCGTTGTCTGTTTAAAGTCCCTTAAGCTGGTCAATGAGCCCGGTTAATGATGTCCATTTCTCAATTGCGTTGGCAGAAGACACAAAAGCAAGTTTGGAGGAATCTACATCATTCCGAGTAACTGCATAAAACCACAAGAAAAATGGTTTTCAAATATGAAGAAAAAGTACGTTTATTATGTAATTTGAACTAAATGTTGATGATATTCTAGTCAGATATTGGACCGTTTTCTGTAATATACTGTAATCTCATTGAATCATTTACAGTGATGAGAGTTAATAACAACCCACCTGATGATATCAACGAAGCCAAGGATGAATTGAAAGTATCCACCTCAGTCTTCTCTTCAGGACTAGAGCTTAGCTGTTGAGAAGGTACACAGAACAGAAGGAGAGGAAAAAAAGAAGTCATAAAGCTACGCAATATATGCAACATAACAAATAGCAGAAGCAATAACTCTTCATGGAAACTCTTCATTCTGAAATCAAGAATCTAAACGCGCAATGTATGTTATAAGTTTTGATGGTTGAGGTTTTCTGTGACAAGCCACATTGCCTGCTTATAAGAAACTATCTAGAACATTATGTGTGCTAATCTTATTCTTATAAACCAGCAGGATGACCTTATTCAAAGCAATATTGGCCTTCTGAACCCAGTCTGTATCTGTGCTGGCCCCAAGAACTGAACTAGCTGTTGGCAAATCGTTGCTTTCAATGGCTTGGCCTGCTTTGCTCAGCCTGTACACCAGTTCCTGCAGATATCCTGAAATGCAACATATCATATTATTGTCGTCGCGGAAGCATCATGGTGGCTGAATTTGAGAAAATCATGTCAACAAGATCAAATAATCAGTTTCATACAAAACCATCGAATTACACAAACGCTGATTTGTTTTGTGTTATTTAGTTTCAATAGCTAGAAAAACGAAAGCAAAGCCGTCTCAAGACTGAACTACTCCAATTTGAATGCCAGAATGCACTAGAAACTTAGAAACAATGTAGCACACACAGAGCAGCTCCTTAATTCTCCACTGTTTTTTTTTGCCATATCACATGGGAATCAGGCAAAATGCAGCCTTCCCAGCACTCTAAAATAGAGTGTTTTCGTCCAATTCCGAAAGATAGATTGCTATCCGACATGTGTACCTAAAATCAGACCCCCACAAACATACCCTTCTCAACTGACAGACAGAAGCCTTATTAAATAAAAAATATATAGGGGGCTTCTATGACCTTTCAAGCTGAAGCCTCAAAACCTAAACTAGAAAACATTATCACTTATGAACAGAACTTGTAAACGAATTTTTCATCAGAAAATATAATTCTGCTACCTATTCTATAACTAGGAATTGATAAGTTTTGTTGAAATTAAATTAAACATGCAGAAAACATGAAGCGTTTTGTGATCGATCTTGAAGTGGATGGAACAAAAGTCAATTAAATAAAGGGACAAAACCTGTTTCTTTTTTGGCTGAGCTGATAACTCCCTGTCTTTCAAGCCTCTTCTTTCTATCATTTTTAACCTTTTCCAAGAGCTCCTCATCATCATCAGCTTCTAGAATTGCTGCATTAGAACTGGAGCAGTGTTTGCCAGCCAATGAGAAGACAAAGCTGGTGACAAAGCAGATAGAGAGGCTTCTTTTGGTCAGAATTGGAGAAGCTGATTGTGGTGGCTCACTCAGGGCCTTGCAAACAGCCAATGGTCTCTTGCCATTTCGATTTTGGAAACAAACTAATGTTGGTATTGTCAATGAAGAAGAAACAACAGAAGATGGAGAAGAGGACAGAGTTGAAGGGAGGAAGGTGTTTGCAGTAGAGAGAATGGCTGTGGCCATTTCTTTCCTTCTTTCTTTTCTTTTCTTTTTTGTTTTTCTTTGATTCTTTTACCTTATTTTCTGGTATTTTTTGGTGGGAAAATTCAGAGGTATTGAATTGACATGTTAGAACTTTTGAGATAAGGTTGCAGGATTCTGTCATCTGATCCAGTCATTTTTCCTAATGATCAAGGGTATTATGGTAATCTGGAAAAAATTATTGATGAATTTTCTAACGCTCATGTCAGGTGGAAAATTTTGGACCTTACAATTTAGAATTTACAAAGAGCTGGATGATTTGATTAATTGAGTAAATAGAATCAAATCATCCTGCGGCCACCTCTGAAGCGAGTAACACTGCGGTTAAAGCAAGCGCGGGGAATTGCACAGACATAGTTCAGTCAAACGTGTCATCCTCCTATTCACGAATTATGAGTAGAAAGTGGTAAAGGTAAATTCCAAACCAAACAAACGTATGAAAGTCCAAAGTCAAAGTGAGCAACAGCGTAACTCGATAAAACCGCCAAAACGACCAAAACCCCTTCTGATCCTCAGAAAACAACAGCAGAGTAGTACTCATAAACTTCTCTCATGGCTTGCCTGAAGAAGAAGAAGCACAGCAGCACTGCATTCAAGTGTTTGTATTTGTCGGTTTTGCTCTTTGTTTGGTCCACTTCACCAACCCATAACGGGATCTTTGCCAAAGATTGAAGCTTTCATTGCGGGGTTTTGTTCCGAGGCCATGAGAAAAGCTTCTTGTTCTTTGCTCAGTTTGTTCACGTCTTCTTGGTCTTCTCCCTTTTAATTGGTATCTTTCTTTTTTGCTTTTGCTTCATAGATTGTTGTCATTGCATTGATTTTTGGAGTTGGGTTCTCAGTTTCAACTGCTGTGTGCTTGAATTTGATGAATTGGATGGTTATAGAACAATGTATATCTATGTGATTGTTTGTAGTGGAAAGTTGCTTTCTTTTGGCTATTGGGTTTAGATATCTTAGCGGTTCTTGACTTAGATTGCTCGATGATAGCTTCATATTGTATTGATTAGTGTAACTTTCTATACAATCAAAATGGGTTCTATATTGCTGCTATGGGGCACCATTTATCCTTGGGTTTGCATAGTTTTGATGTTTTTCCTTCGTCTGTAGAGCATATTTTGGATGATGATTGTTTATGTAGGGCTTTGACTCCGCCATGTAACCCAAAAAAAAAAGGTTCTATATATTGTAGTAAGCCCAAACTGGGTTCTAACTTCTACACAATCTATGTGCTTGAATGGAGTACATTTCTTTTCTGGTTGAGACTGGAGTAAGTTATGTTAATTTGAGTGTAAAATATGGCACTTATATAATCTTGCCCCGTGTTGTCTTTCATTACCAAGTACATGAACAAATGGGTGATGTTTGTGCTCTTTCCCAGCTTCTGTGGCGGTGCAAGCATTCACCGGAACCTATGGAATAAATTATGGAAGAATTGCAGATAACATCCCTTCATCTGATAAAGTTGTTTCTCTGATCAGGGCAGCAAAGATGAAGAATATGAAAATATATGATGCTGATCATGATGCCATCAAGGCTTTCAGAGGGACAGGGCTTGAATTAGTGGTGGTGGCACTTCTAAATGGATACCTGCAAGCCATGAGTGCCAATGATGATCAAGCAATGAATTGGATTAAAGAAAATGTGCAGGCATTCCTTCCTGATACACTCATCCGTGGGATTTGTGCGGGCAATGAAGTATTAGGTATGGCTGAATTTGAATTGTGGGGAGCTCTTGTGGGTGCAGTTAAAAACATCTACAAGGCAGTAAAGAAGTTACAACTAGCTGATTTAGTTCAGATTACCACTCCACATGCACAGGCTGTTTTTGTTCGTTCCTGCACATTTAAAAAGACTGTTAAGCGGAAATACACGAAGCCATTTTTGGAGCTCTTTGCGGAAATCGGGTCTCAATTCTGTTTAAATGCTGCCCCTTTCCTTGTCTACATGGCTGATCCAGCAAACATTGATATAAATTATGCTCGTTTCGAATCCAAATACTAAATTTTACTATGATAACATGCTTGACGCTCAGATTGATGCAGCCTATGCAACATTGGAAGATGGCAATGAAACTGCAGCCACTGTAAATAATGCAAGGATATATAATTATAATCTACGTAAAGGGCTAGCAAAGGAGAAAGGGACCCCTCTTCGGCCAAAACTTGCAGCGAAGACCTAAGTCTTTGCCATATTTAATGAGGACTTGAAACCTGGGCCAACTTCTGAGAGAAATTATGGACTGTTCAAGGTTGATGGGACCATTTGCATATGACATTGGGTTTCATGGACTTGTATCATCAACTGAAAATTCATCTTCTGCAGATTTGTCATTTCCAGAGTCAATATTTTCAGATTCAGTATCTGAAGAGTCAATATCTGCAAATTCATCATCTGAATATTCGTTGCTTTTATCTTTAAAGGTACAAGTTTCCTAAGCTCCCATAAACTAAGTCATTTGAATGCTTATTTGGGTTTGCATGATTTGTGTTCTTCCTAAATATAAATGATATTTGGTTGAAGAAACAATGAATAAACTTGAATCCCATTACATTGTCTTAGATTGTCATTGCTTTGCAACACTTTGATCTTGTTACCTGAATTACTATATTATTGGAAGTGCTTCCTCATCTCATTGGTTTCTTTTTGTTCTGTTTCTTTATGTACACTGTTAGAACAGCATATTGGAGCTCATGGTAGGTCTCAGTCGCAATACTTGATGTTACCAATCTCTGCTGCAGCATTGGTTCTGCTTTTAAAATGATGCTTGAGCAAACCAGGCAACAGTAGAGAGAATTTCAGTCCTCATTTCTTTTTCTTTTATTTATTTATTAAAAAAAATTCTTTTTACCTTATCGTCTGCTATTTTTGCTGGGGAAATCCAGAGGTACTGAATTAAAATAGAGAAGCTGTAGTGCTACAATGTCCCCATCAATCCATATACTAGACAGAGCCATCCAACGTCATTAACTATCAAAACCAACTCAGCATTTGAAAATGGTTCATCAATTTTGCCCCCTATCATTATATGATGAAAGGAACATTTTCCTTCTTTCTCAAGTTTTAATACTCAAATCAAAACTTGTCCAACAATAGTCGACCCTTTCTCATCTCATCCATCCACCACTTCCAAGCACAAGAAAATAATACTTCATTCAGCTGCAGTCATGTCCCTTTCTCAATTTCTCTTTGCCTAAAACCAAGTCCTTGTCCCAAAAGTTATTCCACAGCCAATAAAGGCAACCACACAGAGGTCAGCAAATGGGCTAGTGGGATCAAATTAGCAAATTGCAGGTCTAAGTGATGCCCAATCAAACCCCAACTGATTAAATGTAGGATCCAAGTTTACCAATCCTAAATCAAAGGTAATGTTAAAATGGGGCCCCTCCCTGGATGGATTTCTCAGTTCTAAACTAGCACAAAAGAAAAAGGGAGTTTCACTAAAACACCCAAAATGGGAGTTGACATTATAAAAAAACCCAAGCACTATTTAAACATATAAACACACCCAAAACCCATCATTACACACACTCAAAACCCATTTATAAACATACCCAAAAAGTTGACTTTGGGGTTGATTTTGGGTGTGTTTATATGTTTAAATAGTGCTTGGGTTTTTTTTATAAATACATGGCTAGGATTGGGTTTATTTATAAATTTGTAAAAGAAAAAGCCTCCATGCTCCATGGCTAATATTATAATTTCAACAACAAACAGTGGATGTAAAAGTAGATTCCCATATCAGTTGGTATGGCTAAAGGCTAAAGCAACTTCTTTTTCCTTTCTGTATTTATAACGATCTTTTTGATCGATCCATCACTTTTGTGATTTCACATTTACTACCAGAATGGCCAAATTCATCTCTCTTTTTAAACCAGCTCAAAAGAGACAACCCTCTCATTCATCACCCACCCATTAAACATCTCTCTCTCTCTCTCTCTCTCTGTACATTATAGATATTTTCCTTAAAAGGTATATCAAACATTACAAAGGAGTCTCCACCTTAATTTGTTTAGAGCTCAGCTTTTTCCACACTTGGTGCATATATTCCAACAAACAAAAGTGGCTTCTTCACCTGCACTGGGACTCAGCTTAGTGGGATCATATAGCAACATACGCGTTTACTGCTTAAAATGGCTTTTGAAATAATTAGAAAGAAAAAAGGTTATGAAAAACAAAACTCAAAAGACAAAGGCTACCAAGTCTCTTGTCCTCTAAGTAAACCACCCTTTGCTTCTTTCCAGAACATCAGTTGGCTTTAATATATCAAATTAGCAGGCTGCATGTTTATAACTAATTAATGCCTCAGGCATTACAAACCTCTTTCCATTACCAAAACTTTATGAACTGGCGGGCAGACAATCTAAAAGAAACTGAATCCAAATTCAGTTACTCATACTTAAATTTTTTATTGGCCTAAGAAGAAAATACCCATAAAACGTATTATAGAAACGATTTTTGGATCGTATACGGTATTGCATTTCTAGTATGCAAGTCAAATGCATGTGAAGAATAATTGTGTGGAAGCAGAATATGGAATCAGGTTCTAATTGTCTTAAAACTTGAAAACAGAGCATAATTACAATTTTCTTTTTAAAGGAAAACGAGTACGTAGTTAAGGCATAACTTGGAAATTGGCATCATTACAGTTTTCCAGGCTCACTGCATAGTTTGTCTTCCTTGTTCTAAGTCTTCCTTTTCTCTCTATGATCGATTCATACGGAAAGAGGAACAAAAGAAAGGAAAAAGAAAGGAAAACTTAACAATAATGGGAAAAAGTTTACTGAGAGATGACACTTTGAGTGTTGGACACATGGATTTTGCATATGTATTTTTGTGCCCAATCATTATAGCTTTGCCAATATCTTATATTCCTTGAGCAACCCAATATAATTTTTTTCTCTTATCTTGTGAAATAAGTTTTTTTGGTCTAGACTTGTGAAATAAGTAAAGACATATATATGAAGTATACATGGAGATTGTGATCCTTCAACTTCCATGACAGAACTTGTTCTATTTTTCCATCTCTATATGGCCACTATGAAAATTTTGAGAGAGAAAACAAAAAACATGAATTTGGAAAGGTGTTTTGACAAGTCAGCAAATAAAAAAAATGATTTTGTTTAATGGAATGGAAAAGGTACTTTTTAGGTTAAAGTGAATGCTAATGACAAAGTAGGTCACACAGGCCAGTGTGTTTGCTTTGCTTCTTGTATACTTCATTTATAAGAAAACACATTCTTGGCCTCACAATATTTGCATCATCATTTCTGAAAAATGGTTCTGTAATTCTCAACCTTTCTGAGAAATGCTGTTCAATTTTTCAATGCTCATGAGTCATATAGCAAAACTAAATAATGTTCTTCATTTTCTTCCCACGTGTATGGAGGAAACTTGTACCAAAGTAACTGGAAGGCAGCAATGTCGGACCAAAGGACAAGAGGAACGGTCCAAGGGGTTTCAATAGGACAAAAATTGTCCACGCGCATTCTAAAGGAGAGGAAGGTGACAAAAATTTGCGCTATCAAGCGTGTTCAAATTAGTTTAATCTCGCTACATTCTTTTTCTGTGTTTTATTTTTCGGACATGTAAGAGAAAAGAAACTCAATATAATACTCCGCTGCCCCTCTCTAGCGAATGACAAAAAAGAAAGAAACGAAACTCAATATCTCAAACATTATATTTGGTAGGATAAAACGCATTATTGATTTCATTGTGTGGTTCCTATTGTTTATCCTATGGCCTGCTTTAACTTAACCTTGATAAAGAGAAAAGTACTAGTTTGCCAGACGCCAAACAACTCCTACACCTACCCCATTGACCAAAACAATAATTCATCAAATTGGTGATTGATTTTGTTTAGATTCAATTATTTTCTCAGTAAGCTTCCACTTTTATTATTGTTTATAATTGTGTTTTGTCCCTGATCAGGGTGCTGACGACCAAGGTCGGTGTTGTTGGTTTAGGGAGGGAAGGAGAGGGTAATGGTTTAGTAAGAACTTTGCTAAAAGCAAGCGCGTGAGCTTCTGCACAAAAAAGAGCCAGGTTGTTTGAAACATGTCATCCTCCTATTGGCCACTTGAGAAAAGAAAGTGGTCAAGTAAATTCCGCCCGAGCAAAGTGAAAGTCCAAAGTGGAAAAGAAATATATATAAAAAGAACTTCGACCAATAAGAGCAAGACCCGTAGGCGCAAACACGCTTTGCATAAACAGTAAAGTAAAGGCACAGAAAAACTCTATAAAACTACCCAAACGCCCAAAACCTCAACTCCCTTTGATCCCTCACAACACAAAACGACAGCCAAAACCCAGTTTTGTTAATCTTCTCCTTCTTAACCACACTTTGCCTGACGCAAAGTCGGCAACTTGAAAGAGAGCAGTGTCAATGAAAGAGACAGATTGAAAGGGGTGTTATTCATTAATGCCTTATGGCATGCCTGAGGAAGAAGAAGCACTGCATTGAATTTGAACGGTTTTTTTTTGTCAGTTTTGCTCTTTGTTTGGTCCTCATCACCAACCCATATCGGGATCTTTGCCAAAAGTTGAAACCTTTGTTGTTGGCTTTTATTCCGAGACCATGATGAAGAGCTTCTGGTTCTTTGCTCAGTTTCTTCACGTCTTCTTGGTCTTCTCCACTCTACTTGGTACCTTTCTTTTTTCTTTGATCAGATTGTTGTTATTCAATTGATTTGTGGAGTTGGGTTTTTATGGTTTTAACTGCTATCTGCTTGAATTTGTTGAATTGGATGGTTATAGAACAGTGTATTTCTATTCTATGTGATTATTTACAGTGGGTAGTCGGTTTCTTGAAGAAATTGGGTTTAGATATTTCAATGGTTATTGATTTTGATTGCTCTGTGATAGTTTCATATTAACATTGGTCAATCCTGAGATTTAGGAATCTCTCTGTTTCTGTTTTTAGGTGAGGATTGATTGGCTTTCTCCTTCATTGGTTATCTGAAGTTGTGTGTGTGTTTTTTTCCCTTAATGAAAGAGATTTGACTGAAGTTTCTGTGGCTCTCCGCTAGATGCTGTAGTCTTTTCTCTTTCTTTTTTGTTCTTCTCAAATAGAATAATCTGTTTTCTTTATTATACAGGTTTACAAAATTTTCCAGTTGATTACTCCTACTTTTCAAAGTGTACAGATGATACTACAGTCTTTTCAATGTATAAGAATCTTTGAAGATTAAAAATAAAACAAAATCTACTTGTTTATGGTTATTGGGTTTTATCACACGGTTTCATGAAAATTCAAAATGTTCAGTTTAATGATTCCATTTGAAGTGGTGTGCTTTCCTTGAAATTGTATAAACAGAAGAGATCTGCCTCCCTTCCCATTAAAAAAAGAAGATGGAGAGCCTATTTTATGGTGGAATAAGCCCGAACTGGTTCTCTACAATTCTCTGGGGTTGGTTCACTGAAATAATTGCTATGCTAATTTTAGTGTAAAATATGGCACTTAATATGTTGCCATTGTCTTTCATTACCACATGAACAAATGATTGATGGTGCTGTTTGTGTTATTTCCCAGCCTCTGTGGCAGTACAAGCATTCACTGGAGCCTATGGAATAAATTATGGAAGAATTGCAGATAACATCCCTTCTCCTGATAAAGTTGCTACTCTTCTCAGAGCAGCAAAGATAAAGAATGTCAGGATATATGATGCTGATCACAGTGTTCTCAAGGCTTTTAGCGGGACTGGGCTTGATTTAGTCGTAGGACTTCCAAATGGATACCTGAAAGACATGAGTGCCAATGAGGACCATGCAATGGATTGGGTTAAAGAAAATGTGCAGGCATTCCTTCCTGAAACACGCATCCGTGGGATTGCTGTGGGCAATGAAGTGTTAGGTGGGACCGATTATGAATTGTGGGGAGCTCTTTTGGGTGCAGTTAAAAATATCTATAATGCAATAAAGGAGCTAGGATTAACTGATGTAGTTCAGATTACAACTGCCCATTCACAGGCTGTTTTTGCTAATTCCTTCCCTCCCTCTTCCTGTATATTCAGAGATAATGTTAAACAGCAATACATGAAGCCACTTTTGGAGTTCTTCTCAGAAATCGGGTCTCCTTTCTGTTTAAATGCTTACCCATTCCTTGCCTACATGAGTGATCCGGAGAACATTGATATTAATTATGCTCTTTTCCAGAAAACTCAGGGGATTTCTGATCCAAAGACTGACCTTCATTATGATAACATGCTTGATGCTCAGATTGATGCAGCCTATGCAGCATTGGAAGATACTGGATTCAAAAAGATGGAAGTTATCATTACAGAGACAGGGTGGGCTTCACGTGGGGATGACAATGAAGCTGCAGCTACAGTAAATAATGCCAGGACATATAATTATAATCTACGTAAAAGGCTAGCAAAGAAAAAAGGGACCCCTCTCCGGCCAAAGTCTGTAGTGAAGGCGTATATTTTTGCCATATTTAATGAGAACTTGAAACCGGGGCCAACTTCTGAGAGAAATTTTGGACTGTACAAGCCTGATGGGACCATTGCATATGACATTGGGTTTCATGGACTTGTATCATCATCTGCAGATTCGTTGCGCTTATCTTCGAAGGTACAAGTTTCCTTACCTCCCATGAACTAAGTCATCTGAATGCTAATTAATGTCTTGGAGATTGGATTTGCATGAATTGGAATTCTTGCTGAAAATAAAAGAAGTGTCCCCATTACTTTATCTTAGAGTGTCATTGCTTGGTGTGCAGTGTCCAAACAAAAGGAATTCATTAGTATCTTTTTGTTCTGTTTCTTTTACAGGATATTGGAGCTCGAGGCTGGTCTCGGTCGCAATACTTGATATTACCAATCTCTATGGCAGCAGCATTTCTTCTGTTTTTGAGATGATGATTGAGCAAACCAGGCAGCAGCAGCAGCAGTCGGAGTTGATCACGTCTCCTTCAAAAGTACAAACGTAACATTGATTCGAAAATTGTACGGTAGCAGCTAGCTATATTGCTTATTAAGTTTATCCATCAGAGGAAATGTATATCAGTTTTGCTTTTTCTACAACTCCTTTTGTTCCATTTATTCTCTCGTCACATGATTTCCAACCACTTTTAAAGGCTTCTTGGGGATATTTATAAATAAGAATGGAAAAGCTGTTTAAGATTTTCCAAGATGTTGAAACAGTTGATTTTAGAATCAATGATGAAGGTAAACACGAATCTCCCAAGAAAGAACCATGTAACGTGAAAAATAGCAAAGAGAGAGAGATGAGTAAGTTGCTGGCTTGAGTAGACAAAAATACCCATCCACGTGAAGGGGGGCATATGTACAGTACATGGACCAGTTTAAACTAGAGATACCAAAACTGAAAGTTGGCCACAAAATCATGTCGGTCAATTGGATTACGTGGAGAACTTCCTTCCGTTGTCTGTTGTTCTCACTCTTGACCTCTAAAAAACGGCGAGTCGTTCAAGAGTATTGCTTGCCACGACAGTATATATACATACATACACTTTTTGATCGTGCCGAGTCATACGTATACCTTTTTTTGCCTTAAATAAAAAAACTCAAGACATAAAAGATATAAAGTTGGCAACCAACGAATAAGTCATGGCATGGCAGGGGTGGGAACAATAAGAAGCTTCCTATTTCTTTTCCATAACATGCCATGTTGTCAATTTAATAGAAGATTAGACGGTCAAAATAACAGAATGTGTAAATTGATCGAAGCTCCAAATTTTAATATGCTTAAAAGGAGAATAGATACATTGGGTTAGTTGTACCATAGTATTAATAATATACGCAACTATTAATCTTATTGATCGGTCTGACAGAGATATTCTATAAACCAAATTTAACTTAATTTGCCAATTCAAAGTCATTCCACTTCTTTCATTAAAAAAAAGAAGTCATTGTACATCTTCATCCTCCCTCCATTGAAACTTGTCAAGGGACGCACTGAGATCTGAGATGAAAATGAAAGTTGTTCTCAGTCTAACACTTAAAATACTAGTATTGCACTATATCTCCATTAAAATAACATGAAATGGTGAAATTTAAAATTTACCCCAATACCGTTCACAACCCTAAACCCTAAAATTTACCTCAATACCATTCACATTCCTTGAGACGCCAAGCTGCCAAGTGATTCGACCCCATTATGCATATGATTCTCGTTGACTATTGGAACATGTTTACAGTCATTGACTTTTGCTGCACATGGTGCTGTTCCTGCTGCTGATGCCATTATAGTATACAACTGTCCTATTGCAACATCTGACTAAACTAAATGGGGCATGAAATGCAAGGGCTCCTTCTCTGCATCTAGATCTATATAAACATGTATATATTGTAAGAGAAGCAAGGCAAAGCACAAAAATACCAAATACCAGTGGGGCAACCTGTGAACACTCATATCCCATATAGAATTAGGGATGGCGTCTAAACCAGTTAGTCATAATGTGAGAGCTGCTGTCGTTGTAATTGTTATAGCAGCAGCAGCGGCATTGATCATAGAAAGAGCAGAAGCTGAAACACACACTGTAGGAGGCGCTTCTGGCTGGACCAATACTCTTGCTCCCGAATTTTATACTTCCTGGGCTGCCAATCACACCTTCAAAGTTGGCGACATTCTAGGTAATTTACAATAGGAATTCAAATATTAATATCAGAGAGAGACACCAACTTATTTAGTTTGTTTGTGTTTGTGTTTTGTTGCTGTTGTAGTGTTCGAATTCACTACCGGAGGACATGACGTAGCGAGACTTGGAAAGGAAGCTTTTGATGCGTGCAACAACACCGATCTACTGAGCCTACCTGAAAACCAAGGACCCGCCAAATACAGCCTTAATCAAACTGGCGATTACTATTTCATCTGTGCTTTCCCTGGTCACTGTAGCCAGGGTCAAAAGTTAAGCATCAAAGTCATAGCCACTGGCCCTTCTGCCCCTGCCCCTGCTCCTCATTCTGAAGCCCCCACAACTCCTACTGCTCCTGCTCCTAATTCTGAACCCCCCCAAAACTCCTTCTCCTTCTCCTTCTCCTTCTTCTCAAGCCAAGACTCCTTCTCCTTCTCCTTCTTCTGAAGCCGAGACTCCTCCTTCTGAGGCCACAACTCCTTCTTCGTCGCCACCAACTACGGCAGCCACAACAGCACCTCCTCCGTCTTCAGCCTCGTCTCTGGCTTCTGCTATTTCTACTATTTTCATGTCCATTGCCATTGCTCTTTTCTACCTCTTCTAGGCTAGAGTCCAACTACTCAGTCTTCTTTCGATCGCAATTCACCCCTTAAGTTTTCCTTTGTTATTTTATGTTCATCAATGTGAGTTCAATGCTTCATGCTTTATTCTAGAGACTGCCAATCATGATCATCGTAATTAATCTGCTATTTTGTACTATTGAAATAAATTACTAAATACCCCTATATATAAAAATGAAAATCAAGAAAGTTTGACACATTAGTTTAACTGGATTTCAAAGATTTTTTGTCCATGAGAGGATTTGTGTCCAACTATTACGATGACAGCTGATGATACACTATTAATACCAGAAAAATCGATAACAAAACAACCATGGTGTTACATTTTAATCTCACTGATACAGAAATTATTTACCCTATACTTACAATGATGAATTTCTGATTAGCAATGTGTGATACCTTCCAGTTGTAATTTGCATCTGCTGATAGAAACAATCAAGATTAACCATAACGTTTAGCCAACATCTACCAGAAAACAGGGGAACTGATGATTGACTTAATTAGCAAACTCCACAAAAATCTATTATCCAGCACATTGGTGTTCTTTCCCTAAATCAGTACTCCAAATTGCAGATATAGTTCATTCATTTATAAGCAACTGTACATAGTAATGAAATAGTATGTTGCCTGTTGAGTTCTCGACCATGTCAGACAACTGCTCCACCGACTGCAAGAACCTCAGATGAAAAATTCACAGGTTTTTGATACAGTGATTGGAAATAAAACATCAGATAAAATGGGACCTTTGCTTGAAAATTTTGAGTAGACAGCCAATAAAGGAACATAATTTACATTTTAGAAGAGCAAAAAAGTGAAATTGAAAACCGCCCAAAATAAAAAATTATCGCAAATGAATGAAATGAAGGATTTAATGAGAGAGCAGAGCACAAGAAAAGTTCATATAAGCAGATAAAACATACCCAGACTTATAGCCGCGCGGCTATACAATACAGCCGCGCGGCTGTACTATATAGAATTCTTTTTCCCCCGTATAGCCGCGCGGCTATACTATTTAGTACAAACAAATTTAAAACGACCCCTGTAGACCCATTAACCTGAATTTCTCTTGTTTAATTACTTTAATTAGTAGTTATGTTTTAATTATTATTTACTAAGTGAATAATTAGTATTTAAATATTTAAATCTATTTTTTATTATTCAATAATGTGAGTATTTTGTGTATAATACCTGAAATTTTTTGTGTTTTATTGAAATCTTTATAAATAAATAAAACATGTGTATTAAATATGAAAAATACGTACATTTGTGTTATATACAATATTTCACAATACACAGAAAATTAAGTTGAGTGGCTAGCTATCAAGATTTATAACGTTTTACGTTACTTTGTCAACATAATTAACATCGACAGTACCCAACCCTCCGACATATTACGTATTAATTAATTAATTCTTTTTTTTCTTTGGGGACATCCCATAACAATTAATTAAAGCATGGATACATACACAGCTAGCTATACACAATGCTGATATAACTTGTCTCTCTGTGAAATTTGGCGGCTCTCGCTCACCCGCTTCCTAATATCCGAGAGCTCTCTCCCTCTATAAATTCAGACTTCAAGTCCCGACCATATACTAACTAACTTCCTTCCTTCTTTCCTTCCTACACAAGAACACAAACACAGAGACTCGTAGGAGAAATATTGAAGAAAGATATGGTGGCTAAAAGCATGAATGTGAGCAATGTGCTGGTCCTTGTTATAGCAGCGGCAGTATTCACGCTACATGGAACAGAAGCTGCACAATACACAGTAGGTGACGAGCTCGGTTGGACCATTCCTCCGGGTGGCGCCGCCACTTACGCTTCATGGGCTGCCAACCATAGTTTGGTAGTTTCTGATATTCTAAGTGAGCTATACTTCTGTGAAACTTTCCAAATTATAAATTAATTACTTTCTATCTAATTAATATTTGTATGCATTATTAATTCGCTAACCTAGATGCATATATGTTGTTTGTGCAGCATTTAACTTTGCAGTTGGAGAACAAGATTTGGCTTTAGTAACCAAGGAGGATTTTGATGCGTGCAACACAGCCGACCCGTTGATTGTGTTCCAAGATCCAGGAGACTTTATATTTGAAAGTGAGGGCACGTATTATTTGACCTGCACCTTCGCCGGCCATTGCGCCAAAGGCCAAAAGATTGCCCTCTACTTCGCTCCCTCAGGCGGATCTCCATCTCCAAGTCCCGCTGCAAGTCAAAGCCAAAGTCAAAGTGCTGGTGATGCTGCCGCGGTCAAATTTGTGTCCAAGAAAGAGTATGGCTTCAAGAAATTAATGCCTGTAACGATGAAGTCCCTTTAAATATTCCTTGCTCGCTATATATAGCTTGCCAAGAAGAATACTAGTATTGTCATCTTATGAATAACTAGAGGCACTTTGAGCTTAGTATGTGGTGTGATCCATATATGCCCCAATAATAAATTTTTTATTTATATTTAAGTCCAGTTTTTGTGATTATTTTCTTTGTCGAATGTAAACAAATTACAATTACACAGGACAGCTAGCTTCCTTAACTAGCTTGCAATTTCTGGCTGCGGCTGATCAACAGCATGCTACCTCGGTCAAATTTGTGTCCAAAAAACAACACGGGCTCAAGAAATTACTGCCTATAATGATGTAATTCCTTTGTTGCTAGCTTTGCCTTTGATTGATAGCCTCCTGTAGGCTATATGCCAAGAGGAGGAAAACTATATATATATATATTCTTATGAATAACTAGAGGCACTATGTACTGTATGTGCATGTGGTGTGATCCATAAACCCAAATAATGAAATCATGATCCGAAACCCAATATAGGGATTTGGCACTACGTATAGGACAAGAAGCATGACATCAAATTTTACAAACATTATGGTCCTATGGAATGAAAATTAAAAGGTAAGATTAAGAAACAACGCAAAGCCAAACCTCTACAAGAAGATATTCATTTACATTAATTATATTACCTATAGATAGACTCGAAGCTAACATGTCCTGGTGGAGTGATTAGAGTGATTATAGAATACTACGGTAGTAGGGTTATATAGTACATCTTCTACATATGTTATAATATATATATAAGTAGATATTTATTGATACTATTCCCTAAAAGAGGGAAAAATAACCCTTGTCGTCCATCCATATTATTACTCTTCGTCTTGGTGAGCTTTAATGTGTGCCAAGGATTACTATGACTAATTTGTTAAGCTCAATTCATTTAATTTAATAACACGTAATATTTCAACATCCCCTGACCAAATTCAGACAAATTAGGATTACTCATTAATAGTTGATCGTGTTTGATTCAAAATAGCGGAAAGGGGCCAAGGGCATAGATGACAGATCATCAACCCATAAAGTCAACATGAACGAAAATTATTTGCATTAGCTGTATACGTCTACTAATCACATTTTTCATCTCTGATATAATATTGGTTTGGACCCATATGCGAATGCAAATGAGTCCAACTTTTACAAAAACAAGAGCAAGATAACTCAAAGCCAGCTTATTGCCACAAGATTAATGATGAATACGTACAAATTTATCAGTGCTGGTTGATTGTAGCTTCTGTCGGTGAGATTATTAGTGCGCTGGCCTACAGGTTTGTGTTGTGTACACCAAAAAACATTTGAACACATTTGTATATATAGTTCATTATATATCATGATTTAAGGTTTGGACATAATTAATATCGACCCATCACTATGCGTATCAATAAATTAATGGTTTGATGTTCCTTAATTATCTTGCAATTTCGGGATGTCAAACACAATGCATATTTTGACGTATCGCTTTGTGAAATTTGGCGGGTTTTGCTCATCCGCTTCCTAAAATCCAAGAGGTCTCCACTCTATAAAATCAGACTTCACTTCATCCCAACCATATTACTAACCAACTTCCTTCCTTCCTTCCTTCCTTCCATCACAAAGAACACAAACACAAGGACATATACGTAGGAGAAATATTCAAGAAATTAAGATGGGGGCTAAAACCATGAATATGATCCTTGCTATAGCAGTTGCAGTGTTCATGCTACATGGAACAGACGCTGCAGAATACACAGTAGGAGACAAACTGGGTTGGACCATTCCACCGGGTGGCGCCGCCACGTATGCTGCATGGGCTGCCGAGCATAGCTTGGTAGTAAACGACTTTCTAAGTGAGCTATACTTTTCCTTTTATTACTTGTTCTTTTTGTTTTTGAGTGTTGTTGGCATGGCATGGCATGGCATGCATATCGCTAATTAATCTATATGGTTTTGTTTGTGCACTGTACAGTCTTTAACTTTGCAGTAGGAGAACAAGACTTGGCTTTGGTGACCAAGGAGGATTTTGATGCGTGCAACACCGCGGAACCCTTAATTGTGTTCAAGGAACCAGGAGAATTTCAATTTCTAAAAGAGGGCACCTTCTATTTGACCTGCACCTTCGCCGGCCATTGCGCCAAAGGCCAAAAGATTGCCCTTTACTTCGCTCCAGCTCCAAGTCCAAGTCCAGCTCCAAGTCCAAGTCAAAGTCAAAGTCAAAGTCAAAGCGCTGATGATGCTGATGAACAATATGCTGCCACAGTCAAATTTGTGTCCAAGAAAGAATATGGCTTCAAGAAAATAATACCTGCAGCGATCAAATCTCTCTAGATAATTCTTTGCTAGCTAGCTCGTATTTGCCAACAGGACCTTATGAATAACTAGACGCACTTTCTACTATTATATGTATGTAGTGTTTGATCAGAAAACCCTAATAATAACATTTGAACTTTCTTTAAGTCTCTCTTTTTTTTGTTTTTTTTTTTTTTTTTTTTTTTTGCTTTTGCATGCCAGTTTTTTTTCAAGAATGGGTTAATTAGGCCCGTTCGTTATCGTTTTTGGGAGTTATTTTCATTTTCCGTTTTTCACCAAAAACGCGTTCGGTGCTATGTTTTTGCAAAACGTAGAAATAGACTTCCGAAAATGAATCCAAACCTTATGCACAAAAGTTGAAAACAACTTGTTGTTTTCTGTGAAAACGAAAACATGAATTCTCATCTCACTTCACTCTCGACTCAAAACAGAAAGCTCTCTATCCTCTGTAATCTCTGCTATCTCGTCAACCTCTTTGTCTCAGTCTCTCACCACCACTGCGATACGCCATCTCTCTGCTCCTCTCTGTCCTCACCCATCAGGATGGCTTTTGGGGGACTTTGGGTACCAAGAAATGAAGGTGGGGGGTTTTGGGCGGTGGGTGGGGGAGGGCTCTATGCTAGAGACCCTCTGGGGTTGTGGGTAAGGGAGGGAGTGTGAGACAGTGAGAGTATGTAGTTCAGACAGAGAAGGGGGTTTTGGGTCGGTGAGAGAGAGAGAATGGTGCAGTGGGGTTGTGTTTCATTTTTATTTTTAGGGCTTGTCCAATATAGATCCCTACATTTTCTATTTCCTAGACATATACCCATCACTCTATAAATCTATGTGTAAAACCCAATTTCAAATTTAAATGACTAGTAGGATATAAGAGGTCGTAGTATTTCTATGTTTTTACATCATTGCCACCAAACTTCATATTTTATTTATAATTTATTTCAAGCATTTCATTAACTGTCATAATTGTAATTAATATACTCCCTATTAATAGCATATCAATCACCCCATTTCTTTTAGTTGTCATTCCCTCTCACATCTCGCCCCCTAAAATTACCAAAAAAAAAAAAAATTACATATCCAATAATGTACCTATAAAAAATATAAATATAAATATATACATATAAAATATATTTATATTACAAAAAAAAAAAAAAAAAAAAAAAAAAAAACAGTTACTTTGTAATTGCGTATATTTTTCATAATTAAAAATAGGTACACAATAATTTATATAAAATATAGGTACATTATTTACCCAGGTAAATTATTTTACAATATACCTGTAAATGTGTATAGGTACATTATTTGGAATAGATAATTATGTACACTTTTCATACTAGGTAAATTATGTTTTTCATAAAACAAACAAGTAATAGGTACATTATTTTTCAACATAATTAGTATGTACAGTTTTATTCATAAACAATTATAAAGTGGATTATTAGTCATGTATAATTCATAAAAAGAAAATAACATAAACATTTTATTAAACAAACCGATTACCTAAATTTGAATTTATTGTTAAATTTTTTTAAAAATGTTTCAAAATTAATTCCTACATCCATTACAACCATTTGGAGATCTTTCCAAATTCAACATCTGTCATTATATACAATTCAATTAACAACTGTTTCCATATTGATTCCTACATTAATATACAAAATGCAATAATGGCTTAGTTTGGGGTATTTTTGGAATCTGAAAAGTACAATAAATAAGATTTTATGCTTAATTAGGTAACTTGCTGAGTTGGATCCTAGTTATGGGTTTTTACTTATACAAATTGGGTATTATTTATATAAACAAAAAGTGAAGGGTTTTAGGTACGGCAAATTAAATTTGAAGGGTGTAAGCCAAATTTACTATTATTTTTATTTTCTTTTAAATAGATCTTTTGTTTTTATCTGATTTATTAACTTTATAAATCAACTAGAATGTTCGTGAAATTTATTATTGTTTTAATTATTTCTTTTAGAAAAGACATTAGCAAAAATATACTTTAAAAATAACTCATCTTAAATTGTACTACAAGACGAGTCCTATGAATTCTGAAGATGTTAATTGCAAATAGAGGGCACTTTTTATGTTTTGCATCGGTTTGGCTGCTTCCATTTTATGTCGTGGAAGCTGTACGACAAAGAATCGTATCAAAGGAATTAAAAATTGTACATACTATACTAGTGTGAAATCACTTTTGTGGTTTCAATTTCTAAAAACTAGCAAAAATAAATGAATAATACTTGTGCAAATTATGTGTGTGAATAAGGGAGACATTGGTTCCTTTGTAACCAAGTCAAGTTTTTTGTGTTGGACAATCAGCCAAGGTTGCCCAAGGCCTGCAGGTTAGTGTTTTGTAGAATTTAAATTAACTACAAACAAAACAAAGGTTAAAATCCTATTACCCAGCTTGTCGGATTGCAAAACTTTAGTTACGTTTTCTTCGACATAATTAGTACCGAACCCATAACAACCCAGCTTGTCAGATTGCAATTGAAACTTGGATATTTGTACAATCAATCAATATCCTCTAGTTTAATTTAATTTGATCTCAATGCCCATAACATAACAAAGTATATCTGCCTCTCTATATATACATATGCATAAACTTCAGAAAGCAATGCATTGTACTTCCTTCCGGACCTAAACAACTGCCATTAGTTTTCATATAATTTATATATATATATATATACGAGGAACAAGGACGAGAAAGATGGTGAAAAGTTCCATGAATAATGGAAATCTGATGGTTTTTGCTGTAGCAGTAGCAGCAGCAGCATCAATGGTGTTACAGACAACAGAAGCAGCAGAGTATGTTGTAGGAGACGACTTGGGTTGGACTGTCCCTCCGAATGGCGCTGCCACTTACGTTGAATGGGCTTCCAAATATAACTTTCTAGTTAACGACATTCTAGGTAATAATATTAATCAATTCTCTCCATTTACATTTTTATTTATTTATTTTTTCCATTTAGCTAATTTAGTTACATGATGATGATGATTGATGCATGCAGACTTCAAGTTTGCACAAGGAGAACACGACGTGACATTGGTAACCAAGGAGAACTTTGAGATTTGCAACTCCACAGATCCCTTATTTCAACTCCAGAAACCAGCGAGATTTCAATTTCTTTCGGCAGACACATTTTATATCATCTGCAGCTTTGCTGGCCACTGTGCCCAAGGCCAAAAGGTAGCCGTTACTTTCGCTCCCTCTGCAAGTCCAAGCCCTAGTCCAAGTCCAAGTAGTGCTGACGCTCCTCCTGCTGCATCCCTGCCCCTCAAATTTGTGCTGTCTAGAAAAGTTGGGTTCAGGAAAGTTTGATATATGTAACCTTAATTAATTAAATATTTAATAGTGCTAAACTTCTTTTAACTAATTCGGTGTGACGTATGTAGTCATGTATCAAAGTTGTTTACCAGCTATAAAAGGGGTCTTGATCAAGTCATCATGGATGTACAATGATGAATTTCTGATTAGCAATGTGTGATACCTTCCAGTTGTAATTTGCATCTGCTGATAGAAACAATCAAGATTAACCATAACGTTTAGCCAACATCTACCAGAAAGGACCAGAAAACAGGGGAACTGATGATTGACTTAATTAGCAAACTCCACAAAAATCTATTATCCAGCACATTGGTGTTCTTTCCCTAAATCAGTACTCCAAATTGCAGATATAGTTCATTCATTTATAAGCAACTGTACATAGTAATGAAATAGTATGTTGCCTGTTGAGTTCTCGACCATGTCAGACAACTGCTCCACCGACTGCAAGAACCTCAGATGAAAAATGCACAGGTTTTTGATACAGTGATTGGAAATAATACATCAGATGGTCAAACATCAGATAAAATGAGACCTCTGCTTGCAAATTTTGAGTAGAAAGCCAATCAAGGAACATAATTTACATTTTAGAAGAGCAAAAAAGTGAATTTGAAAACCGCCCAAAATAAAAAATGATCGCAAATGAATGAAATGAAGGATTTAATGAAAGAGCAGAGCACAAGAAAAGTTCATATAAGCAGGTAAACCAAGACGTATACTCCGAAAATATAATATTTCAGAGGTACCGCCGCCCGGCTATACTCTAAAAATAGAATTTTTTTTCCAAAGTATAGCAGCGCGGCTATACTATTTAATTTTTTTTTAAAGACCTAAAAGAGTATGACCGCGCGGCTATAATCTGTGAATAGGATATTTCAACCGTATAGCCGCGCGGCTATACAATCGATTTTTTTCCCACGGTATACCCAAGCGGCTATACTATTTAAACTTTTTGAAGATGATCAAATTACTTTTTTCAATTAGTATCAATTCTACTCGTCTGATCTGACGTGAGGGTGAAACGTAGTTGACGATTCTCTGCTTTATAGCATAAAAAGGAAGTTGGAGAAAATTGACGGTGTAAAAATTTATAAATAAACCTCTTTATGCATACAGTAAGTACAACTGAGTGAGTATATATAACATCCGAATATGTGTATATGTAGGAGTAAATTCCGTCTCAAAGGGGCTTTATAAAAGAAGGATAGGTCTTTGGTGTATTTCAAAGATAACATTGGATCAACATCAAATTACTAATTGCATGCAGCCACGCAAACGGGAAAATAATAAACACCAGGACTTTAACATATAAATAAATGATTATGAGATCATAAATGTTTAAAACATAATGTCAGAAAATTCATGTTTGAGCCAAAACAAAGAAATTAAGAACTTATCCAAATATGAAAGCAAAACCTAAGTACGTAGAAATTAACCTAGCAACAATTTTAAAAAACTATGGACTAGGCATGTTCAATCAACAATATGATTGATCTACATAGGGTACCGATAGTTGTCCGCATAATTAGTGTAGTGGACGATAGGGTTAACTTTCGGTGGCGATCTTGACTGAAAATAAGAATAGGGTGGTGGTTGAATTTGTCCGTAGTAACTATATGGTGGTGGTGATGGTCTATGATACGTCATTGGTTGATAATATGGGTTTGGTGGCCGATATCCTGGCCTTGGCATCCCATGAAAGCTCCTATGGGCCGGAATGCCCATAGATGGCCGCATAGGTGGCCGATGCTGAGGAGGCATAGGCATGCCCATGCCCATTCCCATGCCAGAAAATCCCTTCACATTCTTCTTCTTCTTGTCATTTTTGGCCCAAGTGAGTACTCCACGTTGCTTCTTGGGTACAATACTGTGTTTGATTTCATCATCAGAACTGCTTTCAGCCTCATCACCATCACAGGAGCAATCTTCGCCAATTTGGATGTTGTACTTAGTAGACGCACCAATATTAACATTGTTTTTGTAGGGTTCTTTCTGGAAGGACCAAAGTTCTGCCTTTTTATCCATGTTTTTAACTATATTTGTGAGAACCATAGGATCTATGTTACCTGAAACTTTTAATAATCCTTGTTCTGGATCTATGTTTATGTCTTCCACTCCTATATATAAAATATAAAATAAAGAAAAAAATTATAAACTAAATAAATGAGCCACATGCATGCATGATGAAATCATGAACGGAGGAAAACATATATATTTACCATTAAGTTTCTGCAACTTTTCCTTCAATTTTATTGGACACTTTGCACAACAATGGAGATTCATTTTTATAGTACAAATCTGCAGGGAATTGTCACATAAATTTGAAATAATCAGGAATAATATGATAACCAAAATGCAATTCGAGGACAAATTCAAGGACTATTTCAATCGAAAACTCTAAAGAATAATATATATTTACGTATCCACCAAATACAATAGAAATAAAAGAAAAATACATACTGGAACGGATGCACGGTGTTGCTCCATCAGAATTGCTTTAGATCTTTGTAGAGTAGAATAGAAAAAGAAGAAGAGGTATCAGACTAATGGGTTTTGTAGAAATTAAAAATGAATTTTCAAGACGAATATGTTTTGGATAGGTAAGAAATATATATAGAGAATGTGAAGGCTTTCTGGGCACTAATTACTGCTTTGAATGATTTGTTTTGGTTTCAAGAGATACTTAAATGGGAAGAAAGCTCAAAATCCTGAATATTGAATTAATGGTAAGAAAATCTAAAATTGGCATAAATGAAATTGGATTTTGGTTCACTTTCCTCGGTTGTCGTTTATTCTTAAGCATCAAGAAAGGAAAGGAAAGGGTTTAAGATTCCTGGTAATTAAAACTTTTTTCTGTTGGGCAAGGCTTTGTTTCCCTTTGAATTTAAAATACAAAAAAGAATAAAATAAAAACAATCCGTAATTTATTTGAAGTCTAGGAATTGTCATTTAAAAGTTATATTTAACATTTTCGACATAGTTAAGATCGACGCCATGAATACCTATGGGTACAAAATTCCGTTGCACAGCTTGCAATTGCTAGATGTCAGGCCATTGCTATAATTTAAAAACTCCTCCTCTATAAATTGATACACCACACCACATCATTTCCTACACAATCAAGAACATCATGACTAATATTATTGTGAATAATGCGATGCTCCTTGTTATAGCAGCGGTAGCAGCATCAATGATGATGCTGCCTACAGCAGAAGCTGCATTGTATACCGTCGGAGACGACATGGGTTGGACCATTCCTCCGGGCGGCGCTGCCACTTATGCTGCCTGGGCTGCCAAGCATAGCTTTGTAGTCAAAGATATTCTAGGTCAACCCAAATTTTCAATTTCTTTTTTTTCTTCTTGGAATTTCGCTACTTTATTTTATTTGATCGAAAGACAGAAAGAATGGTTACAAAAACAGGAAATGTTTACGTTAAAACTTTGCCCTAAAAAAAACCAACAAGTAAAATTCGAAATTTCGCTGCTTAATTATTTATTAGTGATATGTTGTTTGTTTTTGCAGTGTTTAACTTTTCTGCCGGAGAAGATGACTTGGCTGTGGTAACCAAGGAAGATTTTGACACGTGTAACACCACGGACCCCTTATATGATTTCGAAGAACCAGCGACACTTCAATTTCTTGCAAGCGATACATTTTATTTCACAAGCTCCTTGGCCGGCCACTGCTCCAAAGGCCAGAAGTTAGCCATTTACTTCGCTCCCTCTTCAACCGATTCTCCAAGTCCAAGTCCAACGTCCTCCTTCCCCCTCAAATTTGTGTCTCAAAAGATCATGCAGGGCACGAGAACATAATTAATCAATTATGTAACCATCGATCTTGAAGCCCAAATAAAGTTAATTACGTGATTATATAATTCTGTAATTTTCAACAGTTTAATCTTTTACATAAATGCAAGAATTCAAGCTTGTTTCCTTCCTTCTCTTGTATCATAATTAATTTGTGATGCATAGAGTTGATAAAACTGCGTATGTATATTCAACTTTATTTGAAGGGAAGGTTAAAAATAAAAATCAATTTCACAGCCGTGTCTTGATGACTTCCACAAAACACTTCATTATCATAGATCAACATAGAGACAAGACAAGATTATTATCAACTTACAAATTCTATACTAGGGGAATAAGTCTCGATATTAAGAATTCAATGAATAAAGTTTAAAAAGGGACTATTGACACAAACGGAAATTTGTTCGCCTGCATTGCAAAACTCACGGTAGATACTAATAAAATAATATACGCCCGGTGAATTGAATGTAAATAAATATCGTCCAAATCATACACGAGATGAATTATTAATGTTACACTCCTTGATTAAGAAGGGGAAATAAATTTAGCGGTCTACTCAAATCTTTATTCCTAGTCTCGCTACATAAATTACTTTCTTTTGTTGGAGATTTTTTTTTTATTTGTATGGATGCATTTGACACTTCATACTGCGCACAAGAATTTTGTACTTTTAAAAACATCATTCATTGTACTGGAGAAAGGTGATGCAGTACATGTATATATGGTTACAATTAGTTTTGAAACCAGAGTTGGAAGAAATCAACTTGCAAGAAATCAATTTAAGATTAATTCAAGCTGATGCAAACTTCTATGGCCCAAAACAAGAAAACACAAATTTTGACCCCAAAAAAACCAAAAAAGGAAACAAAAATGAACAAAACAGTCGATAAGGAAGTTAAAACCTTTATTTATTAAATAAGAAATAATAACAAAATCCAGCGGCATCAAATTAAATATATTATAGTGTACACAAGGTAATATATACTATATGTCATATGGATGGAATGGGTGCATATTTAATTTATTCTTGAGCCCGTGAAGCCGCCTTGTTGGAAGACTTTGGCAAATTAATTAATAAATTAGAGGGGTCAGAGTAGGAAGGTTCGGATCGAGGAAGTAGAAGAAATTTGAGGCCTTGCTCACGAAATACATGACAAAGAAGACCTACCAAACGATGAAAGATTCAAATATTGCAGATTTATACTTCATGAATTATTGTCGCGTTTAGTGGGTCTTTCAAAAGCTACAAAACTTCTATTTCCCTCCTCTACAGGACGTCTCCCCCTTCCTTCTCCATATCTTTTCAACAACCATTTCATCTTCATGCACCAAACGATCATATGTGTTTCACGTCACATGTTAGGCTTGAATGTCAACAGGCTCTTTCGGCAACTCTCGACATTTGTCTTGAAATTAATTTAATTAAGCCTTTTTTATATAGAAAAAAGGACTGACTGAGGAGAGGCTTGACTGAGGGAAATTACACATGATCAATGAGGGTGTGTTTAATGCTTCTTCTATTCAATTTCTAGAAGCGTCTTTGTGAAAGACAAATTCATAAGGCATATCCTCTCCTCTGACCAAGGTTGATTTGGGGAGTTGATGATCTAGAGTCCAGATGTGATGTTGTATATGAATTTTCTTAAGCTGACTTAGTATTACAATTTGCAAACACAATCCATATTTAGTTGAATAATGACGGCTTAACAATATTGAAAGACAATGCTTCTTCTATTCTACGTTTCTTGACTCTCTTAAATTTATAATCTTTTTAAATCCTTTTGCTATTATTTTAAAATTTACCAACCCACACTTTCATATTTTTATCTTCTATAAATGTAAAAAAACAAGCATTAAACTTTGAACTTCTTCTTATTTATTGGTGAGAATTATTATTCAAAACAGAGCATCAGTGTTTTTCTTCCCCTGATTTACATAACAGAAACAGAGGACCCTTCTTCACCTACTGAACATTTGATCATCTGAAATGTAAAATAAACTACCTCTTCCACTGGCTATGCCTTAGCTATAGCAGAGGAACCAACCAAATTCATGAGCAAGGGTGTCTCTGTTTCTGTAAATATATATTATGTCTTACAGAAGAAGCTGATCTGCCCTGGCCAGTCAACATGAAGTGGAGAGATTATGCAGTAATATAAGACTAATAATTCTTCATTATGGAAGGATTAAAATGACTGGTCATGTTAATTAAATAAAATAAAAGGTATAATAGTTGTATGAAACTTCTGTTATCATTAGAAGTCAGAGAAAGAAGGCTTAGAGGATCTCCAATGCCTAGGCAAAAGTCATGTTATTCTTGGTAGGCATTACAAACTCAATGACATATGCCATTCTGTCGAAACTTATGGATGCAGCCTGCAGTAATGTGAGAGAAGAAAAAAAAAGTTGGTGTCATAGAATAGAGTAGAGCAATCCCCAAGCAATAGATTAAAAAGTTTAGAAAATTTGACTATTTGATTGTAGATAGGTTCTAAAACTACATAAATATGCAGGGCAAATCAAAAGTTATTCGTCTTTTAGAAGGTATTGATGGTCGAAAACGCGTTACACTGAAAGTGCTGGATCATTTCAAGCTCACTCTAGAGGCTGCATAATAAAATTAAAATGATATTGCAGACTAGGCAGGACTTTCTGTCCCGAGATATGCAAGTCTTCATCTTCATTTGATTAAATCAACTGGGTCCACGTCAATTGTAGATTATTGGTCATAGGTTTCTAGACCACCTTGAATGAAATGTGATCGAGTATAAAATTGGGAAACGTTTGCTAACATTAATTTGTTAATGTCATTATCACCAAAGCTTCCCTATAATTTCTTCCTGCTAACACCTCTATAAAAAAGACCGCAACAGAAATCTCATTCTTCACAGAAACAGAAGCGTTAACATACAAACAAGAGAGAGCTAGACAAGAAAAGAAGCACTTACAAGTTACGAAAAGACAAACATGGGCAGACAACTTACAATAGCCATTCTAGCCATAACAGTGGTTGCTCTGCTCCACTCCACAGCAGCACAGCAAACCCATGTGGTTGGAGATAAATTTGGATGGCTGGTCCCTCCCGGAGGTGCCTACGCTTATGAAGCCTGGGCTGAAACGCAAACATTCGCCGTCGGTGACATTCTTGGTACGTACAAATATAAGCCAACAGTAGTTGTTTTAGCAATATTAATGTAAGGCAGATTGCCCGTAAGTCTTATATACGTGTCTTATTGATTATGCGTTTGATCAATTTTCAGTGTTCAACTTCACGAACGGTGACCAAGACGTAGCCAGGGTCACAAAGGAAGCCTTCAAGACGTGCAATTCAACAAACCCCCTCACACTTAAAACAACTAGTCCGGCCAATTTCACTTTGGATACCATTGGAGAGTACTATTTCATTGGCACCAAGGACAAGCACTGCGGGTTGGGACAAAAGCTAGCCATCAACGTGACTGCAGAACATGGATCCCCTACTCCAAGCCCTGCACCTAAACCCAGTCCTGCACCCAGAGGCGCCGTGACTTACGTCGTTGGTGATCATTTCGGATGGATTGTCCCTCCAGGCGGTGAACTTGCTTATGCTACATGGGCTTATGGCAAGACTTTCTATGTGGGAGACACTCTAGGTAAATAATTAATTAATTAGTTTAAGACCGAATTAAGTAACGAAGTATATTTCAATTGGGTTATGTTCAATTCATTGATGTTTGATGAGATATGTTTGCTCAACTTTAGAGTTCAACTTCACAACCGGAGAACAAGATGTAGCCAGGGTGACCAAGGAGGCTTTTGAATCCTGCAATATTTCAGACACCAATGCCACAGTTCAGACAACTGGCCCGGCCTATTTCAAGTTGGAGACTGTTGGACAGTACTATTTCATTGGCACCAAGGACAAGCGCTGTGAATTGGGACAAAAGCTAGCCATCAACGTGACTGCTAATCCTGGACCAAACCCTAGCCCTTCAGTCCCAGCTCCTGCCCCAACCCCCAGAGGACCAGTCACCTACACCGTTGGTGAAAAGTTGGGTTGGATTGTCCCAGGCAGCGGATATGCTTATGCCACTTGGGCTTATGGCAAAACCTTCATCGTGGGAGACACTCTAGGTAAAAACACACTAAACTCTGCTACATATGAAATATTAATTACTTTCCTGTTAATTAAAATTTAAACCTGTGACTTTAAGAACTTTTTAATTGATAATCCAATTAATGTTTCAATTTCTTGCTTTTGCAGTTTTCAACTTTGTGAATGACACACAAGATGTAGCTGTGGTGACCAAGTCAGCTTATGAAAACTGCACAACCAACAATACGATTGCTGTTTATTCAAAGAGTCCAGTAAGCATCCTTCTCAACACCAGTGGTGAGCATTTCTTCACCTCCACCTACGATCGCCACTGCGTCTTGGGACAAAAACTAGCCATTAACGTGACAGCCAGTAGCACAGCCACCTCCCCCTCTGGTTCCGTAGCACCTTCCTCACCTACTTCCTCTACTGGTGGCCCGGGCTCTGCTCCTGCTCCAGTCAGCTCTGCCCCTTCCAAGATTGGCAGCGGACACTTCACCTTCGTGCTCATTTCCATGGCAGCGTTCTTCTATTATTGATTATTAGTAGCTAGCTAGCTATAGCTAGTTCATGTGTTTTTGTTCCTTTGTATTAAGTCCTCCTACCTTAGTTCTTTATATTTGCAGTACATATATACCCTGAGGCTGCATTGGTTTGATTTGATTTATATAAACATTCAGTTTTTGTACATGGATTTCGGACAAAGCTATTTGTTTGCCTTGTCCTCCATTAATCTTTGACACTTGTAATAATCATGGCTGCTCTTTCGTTTACATTGGTGGTTATATATATGAATAATCGCAGCCATTTACCTGTTTTCAGTTATACTCTTCAACTTCGTTTCGTTTACTTCAAATTCAGACATGTACTTAGCAAGTTGGCTAGAGCAGATGTGCTTCTCACTCTGCACCCGAGTTTAAGTCCCCCTTCACGCCATAGTCTAAATTAAATTAAAATAGAATATCGCTTGTATCCAAAAAAAAACAAAGCATACTTCAAATTCTTTGATGCTAATATAAAATGGAACCATATAATAATGCTGTATATCATAAAGTCAAAATTGGATTGCAGAAAATTGTTCCAGGCATATATAGTCGGTCAATTTGGAAAGTTCCTCGAAAGCGCTCATAATCAAAGTCTAGGCTATATATGAAAATAGCAGATTATGTGTCAAAAAGTCATGGAGTTAGGTGTTTAAGAAAAAACAAAAAAAACAAAAGATTGGACTTTGGTCCGGTTGGAGCAAGGTCTCCTTCGCTTAAACTAATGAATGAGAAAGAAATATATTTCGATATACCGTCAGGGCCAGAAGTTGAAACTGTAGAATTTTACAGTGCTACTAGCCAGGTTCAGAGCACTTCTGAAATTTTACTTGCAATGGATTAGGATCATCATGATCTTAATTATGAAAGAAAAGTATAATCTATGTTTAGGAGGCTCTTATTCACTTTAATGAGTCATTAACAATCCACTGCTTCCTGATTGAATAATAAGAAAGAACCAACTTGCTGACAATTGTTTGAAAATTTTGACAGATGGAATTTTTTTAGGTAACTGAAGCAACAGAGTCTTCAAGATTAACAAAATATCAGTAACATGTGAACAAACATAAGCAACCAGAAACTCGATTATTAAGGCTTTCTTGTTCAATATCATTCACACTTGAATTCATCGTTTTTACAACAGTTGATTACTTTGTTTAAGTCATTAGCAAACAATTTTGATGCAAGTAGATTTTCTTTTACTTGTGCTGCAACCAACCATCTAAAACAGACGATCTAGCAGAGTAATAACATGCCCTCTTAAAGGATGCAAAACATTGCAAGAATATAAGTGCCCAGAACTATGATCAAGAAGTATGTTAGGAAAGTCTAAGATATATACTTGATGTAAATTGTAGGAATAACAAGAAGAACGCAGTTTTGAACTTTTGATTGTAAGTATTTAAGCCATTGTGGTTAGTTCAAGTGGCGAGAATGAGTGACGAAATTGAAATGTGTTAGAATTAAGTTAGGTTAAGAGTTCGATTCCATTTGATATATTATTATTTTAGAATTATTCACGTAGATATCATACATACGTATCAAATGACTTTTTTTGGGTGGGGGGGGGGGGGGGGGGTACAGAGAAAAGAAAAGGTGCTGCCATTGTCAATTGACGCAATTCTTTCATGTATATGAATCCAAACGCAGAAAGAGTCGCCAAATTCACACGCTTGGCCTACTGTCTAAGTTTGACAAATTCTACGTTCCACATTGTAAGGAAACCCTTTTTTATTATTTTGTTTGGCAATTTCCTTGGTACAAAATTATACTACTAGATGGTCAATGCGGTCGTTCCTTTACTTTTTCTCACTTGTTTCGATTATGAACTCTAATTCCCAGACTTGGCAATTTAATTAATACAAAGCAATGACTAGTCAACGCCTAAAGGTGTGGTCACACTTTTGTTTGGTGAGAGCTCTCAGCCTCTCACGCGGAAATCTGAATGTCCACACTACAAGTCCCATATCTCGGCAGAGTTGGACCAGTTGAGCCTACCTCATCAGCACATCTGAAGCATCGATCATGCTGACCGAAGAACAAACGTGGCATCCATCCGACGGCTCCAAACTACCATAACTTGTGATCATCGCAAGGCCTTCCTCTATATAAAGGATGACGAAGATATTCTCTCCTACTCAGTTCTTGCCATAACAACCCAAACTTTTAGTAAGGTTGAAGAACAGAGGACAGAAAAACAGAGCAAGAGAAAACAGGGGCGACCTGACCTTCAAAAACACAAAAGCGATGGCAAAGAACTCAAACATGGCGTTTTTTGTAGCCATGGCGGCTCTGGCTTTGGTAATGAACTCGGTGGGGGCAGCAAATACTTATGAAGTGGGTGATGCGTTGGGTTGGACCGTCCCTCCCACTGGAACTTACGCTGCCTGGGCTTCAAACAAGACCTTCACTGTTGGCGACGTTCTTGGTAATTAACAATAAGCTTAATTAACTCAGCTAATTACTCATTGTTTAATTTATATGATGATCTAATCTCATTTATATATTTATGTACATACACAGTGTTCAAATTTAGCACCGGAAATCATGACGTAGCTGAAGTGACAAAGGCATCTTATGATTCTTGCAATGCCAATAGCCCCATTTCAATGGCGACTAACGGCCCCGCAAATCTCACACTGACCACTTCAGGGGAGCATTATTACATTTGTACCTTTGGTGGCCATTGTATTGGTGGTCAAAAGTTGAGCATCAATGTCACCGGAACTTCATCTCCAGCTCCAGCTCCTGCACCAAGTACTAGCTCTCCTCCTCCTTCACCTTCACCTTCACCACCGGCAGCTGTTCCGGCACCGGGTCCGAGTACTAGCACTACCCCTGGCAGCGGCGCCAGTCCTCCATCTGGCAACCCCAGCAGCCCAACCACTCCATCATCACCACCACCAGAAGGTTCTGCTAGCCCTCCACCATCACCACCACCAGAAGGTTCTGCTAGCCCTCCACCACCACCACCAAGTGCAGCAACATCTCTTAGGGTTGCTGGCCTATCTGCAACCTTCCTGTTCATTGCTTTGGCTTTGTTGTTTTAGATGGATGCGTGTTGGTATATAGTTAATTTGTGTGATGTGATTCATTTAAATTAATTATTAGACAGCGCAGAGCTATATGGGATGGCGTACGTGATTGTTGTTTTTATACACAGTATATTATTGATCTAATAAAGCTGATTTTGAGTTTTTGACTTTTCAGCTATGGAGGTTTTCTTCCGTTCATTTCTTTTTCATTAATGAATAATATTGTGGGACAAAAAGAAAATTCAAATTAGATGGTTTGCTTTCAAACTTTTAATTCAATTTTCTACCAACTCTTCCAACCAATTCATTTGTCTGGTTTACCATAAGAAAATTCAAAGTTTGACACGGTGCCAGACTCAGCCTTATCTTCTACTTCCAATGTTGTAGATAGATATCCTTTTTTTCTGGCTGCGTTATCATCTAGCTTTTAGAAAAGGCAATTTTGGTTCCACGCCAGCAGCAGCAGCTGTTCTACTTGCTACGTGCGTGTATGGCGATAGCCTGGTGGACCATGGACGGACCATTTCCTTCCAAGTCTGTTGATATGGTAAAAATATCAGCTTCGTCTCGACTCTCGTCACACATGAGGACATGATAAATTCATTAAATTAGAATATGTCAAAAGTTACAAATTCAAACAGAGAACAAATCCGCTTAAACCACACATTATTAGATTACTATTTTCCAGTCCTTGGACGACAAAAAGGACACATTATTGAATTAAGACAGAGACATATAACTAATATGACAAATGCCAAAATCCAGAGAGAGCCACTTGGTTTCATATTGTAGGCCTACACAGACTAGAGACCTACAAAAATATGGGTCTCCGTCTCGTATTTTCAAAATCGAAAATGACCATAGCTAGCAGCTTTTCATGTCAGCACCTCAGTCCACTTGTGTTTAAAGTTTTCTGCTTTATCTTGGGCATAGTTTGGTATTACTGTGCTTTTAAAAAAAAAACTATTTCTACTGTGCTGCGAAAATAATCAACTGTGAAAAAAAGTTATTAAGCATTTGGTAAACTGTTTTTGAAAAACTACTACGAGTAGTCAAATTGTTTGATAAATTTTTATCAGAAGTGCTTTTAGCATGTATAATTATCAAAAAAATACATGACGATGAAATTGTTTGTTATCTTCTTCCTTCCCAAGCCCCGTTTCATTTGGCTATCGTCGTCCAAACCAACTCCTCATCCAAAAGCTTCAATACAAAACTTGTTTTTGTTGTGATTTCATACAAATTCTTGTCATTTAGACACCTGAAGTTTCCAATCAAAACCAATTCCAACACAAGCAGCCCCAATCCAAAAAAACCCCAAATGCAATAGTTTCATACAAATTTGTGTTTGTGGAGGTATATATATACGCCACAAAGTCGAGCACTGTAATTTCAGAGTCGAACACCTGCAATTTCGATTTCTCTCTCTCTCTCTCTCTCTCTTCCTCCCGATCTCTCTTTATTTTCCCCATCAAAGCCCCTTCTTCTCCCGACCCTCCCCCTCCTTTCTTTTCCCTTCTTCTTCGTCTCCCTTCTCTGCAACTCCTTTGCTCTTTCAGCTTGAGGAAGTTTAGGGCTTCTCTGATTCAAGCCAGGCCACCCATCTCCCATTGGCCAACCCATCTCTTACCCTAAGATATTCTAAAAACCAAAACAAACCCACTTGTCGTTTATGCCCAGAATCAAAATTCTACCAACACTATGAACTATTTTGAGATAGTGAAATGGAGATGGAGGAGCCGTGAAATCTAAGGGAATGGAAATTATGGCAAAAACATGTAATTGTTTAAAAACTTATGAGGGTAGTATAGGGATTATGAAAGTTTCATTAAAAGCTCTGCATGCTTCGAAAAGAAGCATATTATAAAAGTAGCTCGCCACCCGCTTCTCAAATATGCTGCCATTGTCCTGTGATTTTTTTTAAAAAAAGGGCTTTCACTTGTTTTACCAAACACCTAAAGTCAGAAAATTTTAAAATACGCTGCTTTTTTTTTTTTTTTTTTTTTTTTTTTTTAAATTTCAACTCCAAACACCACCTTAAACTGTTCATGTTTTAAATAAGGACTGACAACCGAACTCTTATGTGAAGAAAGACTCGCCTAATCCTTTAGGGCAGTCTTTCTTCTTCTTTTTTTGGGTAATGGTTACTTCCTTGCATCACACAATAAAATTTGATTGCCTTTAGCTTTAAAATTAAGGACTCAATTGATTAATAATTGGCACTTTATAAAAATCATCTTAACATACATGGATTTAGCCAAATTGGCTAAAGTGGACATGCTCCCCACTTTGCACCCGAGTTTGAATCTTCCCGTAATTTAGATTAGATTAAAGTAGAATATTGATTGTTTAAAAATAAAAATAAAATTTCTCTCTTATATTCGTAGGAACGAGGATTGTAAGATGACGTGTTTAGAGTGTTAATTTGTATATCATGTCAGGTTTTCTAAAGTAACACACTCTAGCTAGCTCCTACTATAGCCTGCTACCTCTAGTTTGGCCTGGTTACCATTTAGTCATGACGACGACCATACCTTTCCGTTTGGCATGGCTACCATTTAGTCACTTCGCTTATATACCTTTCACATTGTTGTAAAGTGGATATACCAGAAACAGAATTTACTATATCCTAAATTGGGAAAAATAAGGAAAAGAAAGACAAAGACGTAGTTGCTTTGGTTTGAATTAAATGTACCAAAAACCACAACAACAAAAAAGGGGTTGAATTTTGAGTTCCAATCCCAATCACACAATGGCTTTCTGCCATCATGACTTGAGTGAGCTTCGTTTAATCCTAGATTACAATTATACAATACCGCGTATGTTTTGGTCTTTGCTTCCAGAACGAGAACAACGCGTTAATCATTTTGAAATGAAAAGAATATGTTGATGTATAGAAAATGGTCAACCTTCTAGATGATGATGAGTTAACGTTGGCATCGACCAGTCGCCTATGTTGAAAGCAAGGAAACTCGCTTGGTTGGCACAGTTCTGAATCAACAAAAAAGAGAAAAAGGAATTCTAATAAAGCAATCCCAGCAATCTTATAAGTAGTCGACATTAGATGATTCATACACCAAAACATTTCCAAAAAGAGAAGAAAAGTAGAGAGCCAGGGACGACCTAAAGCAGAACACAGCAGCACAGAGATGGCTAATCAGATGGGCTTACATGTTGGTTGCTTGCTTCTTGTTGTTGCGGTGGCCCTGTTGAAGGGTGCCGCAGCTGATAATTACACTGTTGGAGACGATTTAGGCTGGACCATTCCTCCAGCGGGCTCTATAGCCTATAAAACCTGGGCTAACAAAAAGAGCTTTCAGATTGGTGACACAATAGGTAATTGTTATTTACTTCAAAAACCCTACTATGGGGAGGGGATTCATGGGTGAAGCGGGCGGCTCATTGCCGTAGTAAACTGACCTTGCCCAGATTTGCCTTGTCTATATCTTCAATATTATTAAGTTTTTTTTGGTTAATCAACTAATAACTGTCTCTGGTGAAATTTAAACTCAAAACTTTTTGTTTGATGTTTTTGCAGTATTTAACTGGACTGGGTCACACACAGTAGCTGAAGTATCAGAGGCTAATTACGAGAACTGCACAAAGTCGAATCCTTTGGCTTTGCATGATTCAAGCCCTGTACCAATTACACTGACGTCCAACTTGACCCGATACTTCATATGCACGGTAGACAGTCACTGCAGTGATTTTGGACAGAAGGTGACTATCAAAATTGGAGGAGATGATGATCGCTGGTGGGAAGGGAACAGCGCTTCTTCTCCCACCCTTAATATCGCTGCCTTGTTGTTCTGCAGTGCCATAGCAGCCTTCTTCTTGAGCTACTAATTAAATAGAATGTACTATGTACTGCCTCATATATGTTCTTGTAATTGGCAGATTGTTTTGTGTTCATCCTTTTTTTTTTCTTTTTTTTTGGTCGAAAGTGTTCATCCTTTTTGTTCATTTTCATTCATTGTTTCTTTCTATAGCAGATTCAATGCAGGGACAGTTGGAAGTTTTTTTTCCTCTTTTTTGGGAATCTTTTTGGATGTTGATTGCACAGATCAGATTACTGGGTGTACTTATGTTAAAAACCCACACTTATAACATGAATTGAGCCCAGGCCTGTCAGTTGAGCTGGGCCTAGTGATGCTCAGTTTAAACTTTAGACAAACCGACCCTAAACCCAAACCCAGTCAATGAATTCAAAGTTTGTCAATAAATATTTGAAAAAACAAAATAATTGTTTATTATATATTTTGGCCACATGGAATCCACGTCATCAAAAATTGGGGGTTACATTTATTACATCAACATTTAACAAATTCATTAACAGTTTGTGTAATGGAGGGTCAACTTGTAGGTTTTCCGGGAGTTTGATTATGTACTCGTAAATGTCTCTAAAGTTTGATATGAACTTGAAAATGACCATATAATTTGGGGAGTTTTATGTAGTTTTTCCATAAATATAAGGCTTATTTGTTGCAATGCCCCCAAAACTATGGTCAGGTCTCATTTTACTTCTTGGAAGTCCAAGTGATCCATTTTGCCCAAGATTTGTTGTTCCACATTACCCCATATCATTAACTCCATCCAAAAGTTTGTTAAAATTGTTGACGTGGCAAGGGCTATTTAGTAAAATTTGTATCAAATATCTTTGCTAAATTATTTACCTTAAATTTTTTTTTAAACTACCAAAGGGGTCTAACCCAATGAAAAAAGGCCTTAACTTGCAGATAAGAGGTCTCACGTTCGAATCCCAACGACATCATAGTTGTGTGTGTGTGTGTGTGTGTGTGTGTGATAAATCTCCTTCAATCTGATTTAGACTATTGCTTGTACTAAAAAAACATTATTAATTACAACATAATAAAATAACATAAAATTATAAAAATAAATAACTACAAAAAGAATAATGCTACTTTTGCTACATTTGTATACCACATCCCTATACCATCTTATGTGGCAACTGAGGTGGACAGCCACGTCAATTAAAATTATTTAATATTTTCTTTTCTTTTATGATTTATTCAAGTATTTGTTTTTCTAATTGTCTTAAAATACACTTCATTGATTTAATTGATGTGACATATAATATGGACATGCCACATCATGTGGTATACACATGTGGGATAAAAATGTAGTAAGTGTAGCATTACTCTTTAAAAAAAACCCTACCAAATCCCCATTCTTCCCCATCTGCCTATTCCCTCATGTCGTTTCGATTATGATGTTGGTGGACTCCAATTTGCCACATCACCCAGATTGGTGAGTAAATAACTCACATGTACATATTTACTAAAAGGTTCATGCTAGAGATACCACATTTTGTATACCACCTCTAATTAAAGAGCTGGTAGAACCTATATATATATATATATATATATATATATATATATATACAAGATAACCGAATTTTGTATCGATATTCTTGATAACATGTCAGTACATTTTGTTATTATCATATTATTGACAATAATAATACACACGTATCAATGTCATATTAGAAGAATCTGTCTTTGATTGTCATCAAGAGAGGCGTAACAATAGCAAAAATAAAATAAAATAAAGAAAACATGTATGTTATGTTATACATTTGGGCACAATAATGATTTAGATGTAAATCAAGAGAGGCATATATATAACAATGGTGGAAACAAAACAATTGTAGTATATATGGTGCAAAAAAGTATTTGGGATCGGAAGTCGTAAGATTGATAATATCGCCGCAGCTGGTTGTCAATATCTTTGGCAGTCTTTGAGCAGTTTTAAAACTCATCCTTCGTTAATAACTTGGCATCTATTTACTATGTATATGTAAATCTTTTAAGGTTTGTTTAATTTTTGGTTATTTCCTTTTAAGGCAGATAATTGTGAGTCTTGTACAAGGTAAACAAATGTCGACAGCCAAGCCAATAGGTAATATATTCTCATTTAAAAATGGAAAAGAAGAAAGAGAAGAGAAGACGGGTCTAAAATTGAATTGAATTCAAGTGTGATATACCAAGGGCATCACGCAATTGACCCGTACGTTCTTGACTTTCAGAGAAATGGTAAAACTTGGCTTCCTTTTGATCTTTCATCTTGTGATGGATCAATCAATCGAGGCACAGAAGATGCTTTATTTTATTGGATTCAATATTCATGAATTAACGCACATGCATGTTCCCCTTTGAAGATTTCTAAAGATATATATATATATATTGAAGTGTCATTGTCGTGTACGTGTTCATTACATGAGTATCGACCCCAGCCTATAAATATCCCTCACCAACTAATTCCTACCATCAACACACACTTGGCATATCTAATTCACATTGCAATTTGCAAACACACTTCTACTCCAGCATAGTTCAGAAGGGCAAATGGGCAGCCGCAGCAGGGGGATGATGAACAAGATGAATATGGTGATGGCTTGCTTCGTGGTTATGGCGGTGGCTTTTCCTTCATTATTGAATTTGAAAGGTGCAACCGCAGAAGATTATGTTGTTGGTGACAGCTTGGGCTGGGCTGTTCCCCCAAACACCTCTTTCTATTCCGAATGGGCTGCCTCCAAGAAGTTTCAGATAGGAGATGGACTTGGTAAGTAAGCATGCTATGTTTTTGTCCGTTTGGGAGTGCTTAGAAACGCTATTTTCATGAAGCCCTTGAAAATGTTTTTTAAAATTTCAACCTTCTTCAAATAAAAGCGCTTATGAACATAAATGGTCCCAAACGTGCTTAATCTGAAAAATTAATCAATACCTACATGGAATATCTTTAATTTGTTCTTATTAATTTTGTCATCATTACTGGTTAATGTTAATGTTTATCTTAATGCTGCAGTATTCAATTGGACTGGAAACCACAACGTGGGCGGAGTAGAATCAAAAGAAGAATACGATAACTGCAGTGACCCAGGGATCGTGTTCGGCCCAGGAGTGAGGATCGAAATCAATTCTACTGATACACTTTACTTCATCTGCTCTGTTGGTGATCACTGCGAGCAAGGCCAAAAGGTCACCATCACCGTTGGATCAGCAGCCAACAACTCCTCTCCTCCTCCACCACCACCACCACCCTCCTATGCTTCATCTCTCACTCCAACCACTTTCGGCTCTTTCTTTGGCCTCATCATCTCCGCACTAGTTGCCATTTCTTTCCTTGATCATTCTTAATAAATTCGTTGTCCTATATTTAATTTTAAACTAATGTATGTTCCTTTTATTTAGTGTGGTTTGATCATATTCATATTTATCGTTACAATAACATGATGTTATACATCAACGCACTAGTGTATTGTACAATTATTTTGAATAAAAGTGGTACGTGTAAGTTGTTATACCAAACGAAATGTAATGCACGCTTGCTTGGCAAGGGTTTCAACTTTGAAGTTTGAACATGGCGTTTTTCTTTTCTGGGAATCCTTGGTTTGAACTTTGAACTGGGTTACTTGTTCAAATGAGTTGAAGGTTTTCGCGGGCAAACGACCTGCTTTAATTTGTTGCAAATATTCTCATTTCTGTCCTCGCTTTAATTCTCATTCTTTGCACTGGTCCTTCCTTCCTAGTAAAATGTTACTGAATTGAATTTGTTATTTGATGATCATATATACATCAATCAATGCTCTACCTTTTTTTCAACAAATCACAATAAATTGTTGCTTCATCAGTTTCAGTACTGTGCCCTGATGAAATTACACTTTTACCCTTCCACGCGACGAGTCACCAGATGCATCATTTCTCTCAATTAACTAGGCAACGAAAAGTAATTTTGGACCAAATGCAAATGTTACTAAACTATTGGGGAATGATTGTTTCAGTTTAAACTACAGAGATCGAAAAATGTCTTCTGCCCTGAACAAGTCTCAAGTAATGCAATGTTGATTGATCTCAATAGTTTCTGTCAGATATGCAGGAAATTTGATGTTTCAACTCAGGTCTCTCATTTACAATTCATTGACGTCTTTCCACAAATGCAACTAACAAGTAACAACTTTTGAAAATTCTCATATAAGAGGATTCAACATTGTGTCAAAACGAAACCCCTACACCATTCGAGCCCTCACAAAAGGATTTTCTCTACAAACCTTCGAAAAATTGATAATGATCTTCAAAAGCTCCCAACCCAGGTCTCAATATCAGATATTGATCAGACAAATCTATACTCCCTCAGACACCAAGCAAAACAGCAAAGGTTTTCCCTTGGAACCTATAACACACTGGATCTGAATACCATTCCCAAAATTAGAAGCACTCATCATCTAAAAGCTTATAGGAACTGTTAACCTAATATCTGAATCAAACAATGAACAATAATTTCCCTACAACTTTCAATATTAATTTTCTAGGTTCTGGGGTAAACAAATTCTTGGAAAGAAGCCATCCACTTGGAGGCCGCAGAGCGGAATGCCAAATTTTCATAGAGGACTCCAATTCATTGTTGTGAAGTCCTAAAATTTGAAGTTTCTATTTGCTTTGCTTCCATGTTTGCACAGTACCACAAAGCTCTCATGTCTTCTACCTACAACACTTAATTCTCTCATTTTCACTCAACTCAATAAGTCTAACTAATGCAAAGTTGACTGATCTCACTAGTTTCTGTCACGAGCAGGAAATTTGATGTTACCAGGACATTGATCATATAATATAAATCCAACTCGGGTTTCATTTACAACTCACATCTTTCCACGAATGCAACTAGCAAGTAACATCAACTTGTGAAATTTCACAACCAGAGCTACATAAGAAGAGAGTTCTCTCAAAAGAGGATTCAATAATATATTGGGATCTTGGATTTTTAAGCATATATACTACACAAGGAAAAGAGTGTCTACAAACCAGGCCCTGTAGTTCGATCAGCCAATCTGTTGGGCAGGACATGTGGTTGCCCACAAAATTTCCCATCCTCTTCATTGCTACAAAAAGGTGCCTTGCGCTTCCTTACAGTTGCCTCCGGACTCCGACCTTCACCCTCTGAATTCCACATACTTGAAGTGGACTCAAAGCGATCACAAGCAGTCTTTGTGGGAAAGAAACAGATTTCCTTACTTATCGATGGTGACAAATCATTTAATTTTCCCCCATCTTGAGAACTGCTCGAACCAATATCTTCTGTTTCACTGGCCAAACTTCTTTGAATACATCGGTGCAAGACCGGACCCAACCTCAATGATAAATCACATTCCGTTTCTAGTGGCTTATCATGGACTTCTACTTGTGTGATTCTGTGTGACACATTTTCAGCAGTTTGAGAGGAGAAAAGGTTGTGCTTAGTAGGCTCCGCAATCGAGGAAACAATTGGTTTGCCAACATATATAGTCCTAGAATGTGTGTTTTCTGGGACCTGAGGACCTACCTGGCACTCTTCGGATTGATAGTGAGTTCCATAATATAATGGATATACTGAACCCAAGTCCAAGGAGTTGTTGGTTGACATTGTTGTTAACTGGTTATGGCCAGCAGGAAGATTCTCAAGTGAAAAGGGGTAATTCTGACGGCTATTAAGGTTAGTATTTTGGTTGATGCGGCTGTATGATTCTGGGACCGAATGTGCAGAATTCCCAGTTGAGGCTTTTGCAAAGTTCAATTGATTGCCAGAGTGGTGTGGAGAAAACTGAGGGCGTCTTTCATCAGTAGTTCTATCCAAAATCCTAGTGGGAGCAGAAAGGGGTTCTTGTGCTCTTGGAGTGAGGTAAATCCTTGGATTACTGTGGCGTTGGCTTCTTGAAGCTCTTACTGGAATGCAACCCAGATTAAGGGCAGCTGAACAACATAAAGAGGAAGAACCAAAACACACATACAAAATCACACCTCTAGTGTATTCATTTTGCACAATTTCTGCTTGCAAACTAAACTAAGCTTGAACTAATATGCATTGAAATAAGAACAACCCAGTAGCATAATTTCAGAGTTCAATCCAACAAAATGCAAAGAAATCAAGTCAACGGTACCTTCAACACAAGGCGGCAAAAGCTCTCCGGTTTCAGTGCCCTCATCTCGCCGGATAATTGTGTTAACGGCGTCATTTACTCTGTCCCATAGCGTTTCAAGATTCATGTACTCAGCCTTCAATAGAAGTAAGCAAAATGAGCAAAGGCACAACCAACAGTGAATGCGAATAAACTCTAACCCTGAAATGGAAAAAGAAAAACCTCTGAATTGGCTTTGGAATACATAATTTCCTCTGCTTTAAAAACCACCATAGGTAGCTTTTCTTGCCATTCCTTGTTCTTCTTAGTCACGGAGCCATGAACCTCACTGACGACCCTAATCAAACAGGTGATGGGTAAGCAGCAAAATGTGAAAAGCAGAAACCTTTACCAAGAAACCCGTTGAAACAAAGAGGACCCAATACCTGAAAATCTGCTGAATGATAGAACCTCTCATGGGTTGGTGTCTATCGCTGTGCCAAGCTCGCCTCACACACTCATAAGGTCTTGGCCCTGGCCTTGGCATCTTGAACTTGAAGAGCAGCAGCTTATGAAGCCTGGGCACAAAGAAGACGAAGAGAAATACGTTGGCCGTGGTTTGCTGGAAGGACAAATTAGTGCTAGGACTATTCTACATGGAGTGATGGGTTTTCATTTTTCAGTTGTGCTTTTGCACTGTTTCTGTTTCCCCACCTTCATTCTCTAAGTTTGTGCAATGGGACAGTTGTTGCTGGGCAGTAGTACATGGGGAGAGAGGAAGGGTAGCTTTCCCATGCTTTTGTCTTCCCCCAATAATTTAGAAAAGCTTACCATAGTTTGATGTTCAATCTTTTCTTTTCTTTGTGTGTTGGGGGTCACCCTCTTTGGGAAAAAGAGGGCTTATTGTGGTTTGTGGGGTGGGTATCAAATTGTGCCTGCAAATTTGTCCCTGCCCATACCATTCAGCAATTGGCCCATTAGTATGGGCAGACAGAAACATAAGGGAAAATTGACAGCCTATCTTACTAATACTAGGAGAGTGCACATCATGACATGTTACAAGATTTGTCATATAACATGGTATTTCCCCTTCTTAATGTGGATGTGCAATGTAGGTGCATGGTGTGTCCCTCCTTGTAGATAATTGAATCAATCATCATCGTGCAATTAATACAATTAACGATTTATTATGATTTATGACATTTGACAACTAAACAATCCCTGATCAAATAAAATATAGAGTCATAATCTTTTGACACTTTTTATTTGGATACTAGGGTTTTGGATTTTAATAGCCTTTTATCAAACTTGTTTGTGATGATAATTGTAGAGTTAAGTTTGTCACACTCATAAAGGATCCGTAGAGATGAGGTTGGATGGAAGCATTGGCATGAACAATTATGTTGTGGTTGGTTGACGCATCCGAAGCTACCTATACATAAGAAGCTTGTCACATACATCTTATTATCGAGTAAGATCATAAAGTCATAAATATAACAATGTGCAGCAGCAGCTCCCACAAAAGAAGAGAAATACACAGCAGCTGAGCTGTGTTAGCTAAACTAAAAGCATCAATATTTACAGTGTTTATTTGTTATTTATTGTTGTTGTTGTTGTTGTTGTTGTTGAGTGGTCTATAACATTTGCCTTGGCTTTGACACCACCCTGACAGTGCATTGCTCTTCCCCACCAAAAGCTCATGTCTTGTCCGCTCTTGAAAATGGCTGTACAATACAAAAGGGAAAGGACCAAACCAAAGGTAGGAGCCAGGCAGTAGAGACTAGGCCTTGAACCCTTTTGCTGTTTAGGTGATCGATTCGATCCAGCAAATCCAACTTGCAATCTTCAATTCTGAGCAGTCGCTTGCAAAACTCAGAAGCACTAGTGTTGATGACGCATTTGGTAGGTGCTTGTCACTTTTAAGTAGAGGTATGCATGTTTGCCAGTTTTGCCTTTGTCCTAGACCTCATATTGCAGGATCAAAGATGAGCAAAGCATTAACTGATCATTAGCTCCTCATACTTTGCTTCCATTGATTGAATTTTGAATTGGATTGGATCACTCCAGACTTGTTTAGCAAAGCATTAGTTTCATTTTGAGACCTTATATTAGGGTTTTTTTAAGGGTGGGTGGGGTGGTGGCATTGGCTGGTGAAAGTTACTGAAAGAAAAGTATATATCTGTCTGATATTTTTTGTTGCAAAGTGGTGACTGGTGAAAACTGATGATCAAAGGTAAACAATATCTGTCTGCTGCTGCTATTAATTATATGCCCACGTCACATTCAATACACTGCATTGCAAACATTTTAAGTTCTATCCAATCGAATCTTTTGCACAAAACAAAAGTACATATCACAATCAAATAAATTAGGGCAAGTAGTCAATACGTACACTTGACAGCATATGACCTCAATTTCAAATGAATTGACATAGGTGGTGGTGATGATATTACTTGAACTGCTTGACACAAAAAAACTAGTAATGAATAACCCTTCATCTTTTTCAAGTTTCAGCCTTCGACTGTTGCCACACAAAGTTGAAGTTGAAGTTGAGTTGGTTAGGTGTTAGTGGGTTATCGTTATCATCCTCTTCACCAGGCCAGGCCCACTCCATCGCTGCCTCAAATTCAATTCAATTGTACCATAGTCATTCTATAGTAATTGCCTTAGATGAGTTCTTATCTCTTAATCATTATATCAAACTAATTAATTTGATCTAACAGTTAACTAATTTGCAAGAATTCTATGGTCATGACCTTATATATGGCCCTTTGGTGAGACCCTATCTTTTAACCTTTGGATCAAATTTGTTAGATTGATCAAACGGTTAAGAGATAAGACCTCACATAAGGGCCATAGATAAGACCTTCACTATAGACGACTCAACTAATTTGATTAAATAAGGCTCTAACTAAAGAATTATTGAATTGTACCAACCACGTTGGATTATTATGGACTACACACTAGTTATCATGACTTTCTTTGTAATTTATGGAGTGTGGGATTCAAACTTAGGTAGAAGGGACAAGCTCACTAGGGATGACAACATGCCGGTTCAGGGCCGGGTATAGTAATACCATTCCAGTCGCCACTCTCCATCCTCGCCCTCGTCCCTAATAAAAAAATTTGGGAGAATCTCTTTCCCCATCTTTGTTGGGGAAGTGTCTTCCAAACCCGCCCCGAATCCCTGATTTATTTATAAACAACCAACCCGCCCCGAATCCCTGATTTATTTATAAACAACCAACTCATATATAGAAAACTAAATATTTGACCCAAAAAAATAATATAGAAAACTGAATATGTTCCATTTTCTTAATGTTGTTCCAGCAATTACAAACATTTATTGATACAAACAAATACATGTGCATAAAATTAAATTGAATGCCATATGCAAGAAAGAAAGAATCTGAACCCATTATACTATAATCCTATTCATGCAAAATCAAATTGTAACACAGTCATATCCCGTGTACAAAATTATACGGTTTATTTATTGAACTTGAAGGAATGTCCCAGCGCCAAAGTAATAAAAACCAAAAACAATCTTGCTATATCCTCGGCCAAAAGATAAATTGATAAGAAGTTCATTGTTATAGTATTATAAATTTATTCTAATTAAAATAAATAAATTACTTTTTATCAAAATATATATGTTATCGGGCTGAGTTCAGATATGGGGATAATAATATCATCCCCGGCCTGTCTATGATCGAGAATTTTTAAAATTCGAGGATCCCCCTTACCCCACCCCTATTAGGGTATGGGAATCAACGACGACCCGACCCGACGAGGATTTCTACTATCCTTTAAGCTCACTAGTCTAACCCACATTTCCAGCAATATTAATATTAAAAAGAGTAAACTCATTTCAATTTGTTAGAATTGTACAAATTTAATTCCAAAATATGAATAGACCAACTAAATAACAAATTATATCAGATATGTTACGCAAACTCGAGCTAGTGGGTATAGTTGAGCTTTTTCACCTCTACTCATGTGATTAAAGATTCAAAACCCTCAAACATCCAATAAGTATCCGCTGCTCCAACGATTGTACTGGAAAAAAAAAAACATGTTAGGGCCGGCCCAAAAATCTTAGCCCCTTGAAAGCATGAAAGGGGCCAATGACCCAATGCTCGCCGCAGGACAATCCATCGTCATCATCACGATGCGCAAGGTTGCAGAGATGGTGGGAGGCAATAAGTTGGCCCAATGAGCTGGGAAGTTTGCATCTACAACTACCATTAATTAAATTGTTTAAAAAAGGAAAGAATAAATGGATCATAGAGACAGAGAGACCTTGGAATTTCCATTACATTGACCTTAATTTTAGCTACCAAAACCAATTGAGAAAGAAAAAGAAAACATCAAACCGAACGTTCTTCTATCTGTCTAAAATGTCTATATACTCGCAACAGTAGGAGAAAGTCGGACAAAAAACACACTTGCAACGCCATGTCGAGTCCTAGAGCGTCGACGGCCTCTACGGTCCAGGACTGCTGGGACTGCATGCTGCCGGGCCCACCCAGCCGCAACAACTTCGGATCCGTCGACCTCAGCCCATCGGGCCTCCTCGCATTTCCCTCCGGCAGCTCCATTTCCGTCCTCGACGCTCGCTCAATGCAGCTCATCGTCACCCTCCCTATGCCCCCTCCCACCCAAGCATCCTCCTCCACGTCATCTCTCTCCCCGTTCGTCACCTCCGTCCGGTGGACCCCTCTCCCTCTCCGCCGCGACCTCCTCTCCACCGAGCCCTCCAGCTCCCACCTCCTGCTTGCCGCCGGTGACCGCCAGGGCCGCATCGCCCTGCTCGACCTCCGCCTCAAGTCCCCAGTCCTCTGGTTCGACTCCGACTCCTCCTCGTCCAAACTCGCCATCCAGGACCTCGCCTGGGTCCAGGCCCGACCCGACTCCTACCTCCTCGCCTCCATCTCCGGACTCTCCTCTCTCTCCCTCTACAACAGCTCCACCGGCCGATGCTTCTGGAGATACGATGCCGCACCTGAGATTCTCTCCTGCATTCGTCGCGATCCCTTCGATTCGCGCCATTTCTGCGTCATTGGACTCAAAGGCTTTCTGCTCTCGGTCACCGTGTTGGGCGAGACAGAAGACGACGTCGTTATTAAGGAGCTTCAGATTCGGCCCGACTGCTCCGAGTTGCTGAAGCTGGAGAGAGACTTGGCCGGTGGAGTCGCCGGGAACTCGTCGTCAGCGTCCGCGGCTTTCCCGCTTTACGCTGCGAGGCTCGCCTTCTCACCGCAATGGAGGCACATTCTGTTCGTGACGTTCCCGAGGGAGCTGGTGGTGTTCGATTTGCAGTACGAAGCGCCCCTATTTTCGGCTACATTACCTCGCGGCTGCGGCAAGTTTCTGGATGTGTTACCCGATCCCAATCACGAGTACCTCTATTGCGCTCATCTTGATGGCAAGCTCAGTACTTGGCGCCGAAAAGAGTGAGTTCTCCAAAAGTTTGATTGATTGCAGCCTTTTCAATTTCCGTTGATGATTTTTGTTACGTTATGCTATATCTGAAAGATTGAACCTCTCGATCAAATTGTAGAAAGTTAGGTTTTGAATTAAGCTGCTCGATGGTTCTACTTGTGCGTGAAATCGAACTGGAGCTTATTGGCATTTGAACCATTTTATGACGAAGTTTAAGAAATTTTTAGATCGCAATCAATCAACTCTACTATTCTTAATATGCATTTTATATTTACGCAGACGAGAACAGGTGCACATAATGTGTTCAATGGAAGAGTTGATTCCCTCGATTGGCACATCTGTCCCTTCTCCTTTGTTGCTTGCTCTCGTCATCTCCCAATCAGATTCGACCTTCCAAAACGTCAGCAAGCTTTACTCTGATGTACCTCATTCTCCTTTCCCTGATGTGGATTTTGATAATCCTTTTGATTTTTGTGATGAACCTCTTCTTGTTTCTAAAACACATTTGATCTCCATTTCTGATGATGGGAAAATATGGGACTGGCTCTTGACTGCTGAAGGGGCTGAAGATAATCCAAAGGATGATACAAACTTGGATATCAGTGAAGTCCCAGTTCCTGGGACCAATACCAACATTCTAGTTTCTGCTACTGGAGGACTTGACATGGAAGCAAGTAAACAAACAGGTAGAAGCCGACCTTCAAATTCTGCTGTAAGCCATACGGATATATCACTTAAGGTTGGTTTCTAGATTATTGCTATTCTTCCAACTTTCAATTTTTCATGGTTAATACTGGCTAGAGAATTTAATGCAACCTGAACAATGGATGTGAATTAGATAGCTAGATGCAATTCCCACTCACATCCCCGTCTATTTAAACAGATATTGGTATTAATTGGTTACACAACCTTGTTTAGATCCTCCCAAAAGGACAGACGCACCCACCCATACACACACAGGCCCGATGAATATGTATTTTAGTGGTTGCATATGGTTCAGAGCAGAACTGGTTTTGTGTTCATATACTTTCTGTATATCTAGCTGTAAATTTGGTCATCTAAATGTTTCTTTATTTCCCATTCACTGCAATGTTACTCCAGTAGAAACAGGACCACAATACCGGATTACCAGTCTTTTCTTTTCTTTATTTTTGTTCTGTTATAGTCGTAAGAAGCCAAAATCCCATGCTGCCAATCCCATTTAGTGCGAAGTTCAAATCTAAAATTTCTGCATGCTTAAAGAGCCAACTTACTGATGCAGATTAGCTTAGTTGGACAGCTTCAGCTTCTTTCTTCAGCAGTGACTATGCTAGCTGTACCTTCGCCTTCTTCAACAGCTACTTTGGGCCGTTAGTTCATCCTGTCACTAATCTACTGTATATGTTGATTTTATATATATATTTTTTGTAGAATATTTTGAGTTAGCATCATTTTGGGAGAAATTATAATACCATGTAAGTTGATTATGTATGAAGGCGGGGGAAACTATCCTGTTGTAGCCGTTCCATTAGTTGCTTTGGGAACTCAAAGTGGGACAATTGATGTGGTTGATGTTTCTGCCAATGCTGTTGCTGCAAGCTTTTCTGTTCATAATGGTACTGTTAGGGGATTACGATGGCTTGGAAATTCTAGACTAGTTTCATTTTCATATAGTCAGGTATGTTACGATGAATTCAAACGTTGTCAATTGTTTGATTGCTACTAGTTGTTGTGATTTAATGCTCAGCATTATCTTCGATTAGTACATTTTTTCCCTTTTTAAAAAAAAAGTATCATCAATCCATGTTGATTGTTATATCTAGCATTACTTTTGTTGATATAGGTGAGTGAAAAATCTGGAGGTTTCATCAACAGGCTCATTGTAACCTGTGTTAGGAGTGGCCTTAATAGACCATTTCGGGTTTTGCAAAAGCCTGAACGTGCACCAATAAGAGCTTTGAGGGCCTCTTCCTCTGGAAGGTTGACTTCATACCTTGGTTCTTGTTATTATTTATGGTTATTAGTTAGATCTTCTATATCCTGTGTCATGTTTTTGGGTTTACTCAAATTTATGATTGATACTTCAGCTGAAAAGGTATCTTTGTTTATATTGAATGGTTAAGAGTGAAACTTGGTACTTTCTTATCCCCTAGTTGACTTAATGTCTTCAATTGACTCCTCTACTGGATCATAGATTAAAAATTGAGGGTGTTTCAAAGTTTTGAGGCTAAATTTACAACTCTTTTACGAAGAAAAAAGAAACAGTTTCAAATTTCATTTAGTTAAAAAAAAGGGCATTTTATGGTCTTCATATGTGACATCAAAAGGTGTAATCAAGAGCCTCAGGACACATAAGAAGTACCAAGTAGTGGAATTATGCGAAGGAAAATTTTGTTTTGGCAAATATTTACTGCAAAGATGTTTAGTAGAAATCAACAATATCTGTTTTGGTTTGTCTGAATTGGCCTTGTTGACTCAATATGGCTGAATTGGCCTATTTGGCTCAATATGGCTATTGGATATCTACACTAATGCTCCTTTTCTTCGCACTTTTTGCATCCACGTCGGTTTTTATTCTTTTTAACTACCCTAGCTACAGAATGTAACTTTTTTGCTTATGCTTTCCAGGTACCTTCTTATTTTGCTTCGTGATGCACCAGTAGAGGTTTGGGCAATGACAAAGACTCCTATTATGGTAAATTTGTTATTTTCTTTGGTTTTATCATATTCCAATTGTAAAGATTTCCCAGCAATTTATTTCAACTACACTAAACAGAAACTTCACAATTTTCAAACCACCAGGAAATATACGCACTTTTTTATATGCATCTCACAACTCTTCCCAGTTGTATATATGTATGCATTGTGGTATTTATTACACTCTATATCTCGTGTAGCTTAGATCATTAGCTCTTCCTTTTACGGTTTTGGAATGGACCCTCCCAACGGTTCCAAGACCTGTTCAAAATGGACCTGCTAAGCAATCATCATCATCCTCCAACGATCAGACATCTGTGGCATCAGATGGGACATCCTCTCCAACAAAGTTATCATCTGATTCCAGTGAGCTTGTTTACTTGATAAGCTTGTATAATATTAATTTGTATACCAGCTGCCAGTCTATATGAATTACTTCTCTTTCTATTGGATTGTTTAATTGTTCAAGAAACAGAAGTAAAGTTTTTTCTTCCTTGAAATGCAGAGAGCTCAGATGGATCCCAAGATGACACTTCTGAAAGCTTTGCATTTGCACTGGCAAATGGTGCTCTTGGTGTTTTTGAGGTTCATGGGCGGAGGATTCGTGACTTCAGGTGTGTTTCTTTTTTAATATAATGGATAGATTGTCAAATCTGTATCCTATTGTAGCCACACACTGACTTTCGGTTCCAGCCAAGTTGGTCCTATAATAACGAGGTTGAATGAGAATGACAGAATTGCTGCTTTATAAGTACTGATTTTCATTTGTCATTATTTCCTTTAGACCATTTCTAGAGCATCTGGAACTTGGATTTTTCTCGCTTCTTAAAATCTTCAAACAAATTGTTTCATCCAGAGTCTATTTAATCATCAACAATTAAATATTAGTATCATTATCAGTTGTTTGACCTCTTACAAACTAATATTTCATGTAGATAAGTTTTTCTCATAGTGGCTATTCTTTGCTTGTTTCTAGACCAAAATGGCCTTCCTCTTCATTTGTCTCATCTGATGGACTAATTACTGCCATGGCCTACCGGTTACCTCATGTAGTATGTATCACATATTTTTGTATTCATTTCTGCCAATTGGTATTTTATATAATCTTCTCAATCATTTCAGATTTCTGTTCTGTGAATCATTTTCAGGTTATGGGGGACAGGTCAGGAAATATTCGCTGGTGGGATGTAACCACTGGACATTCTTCTTCATTTAACACTCATAGAGAGGGTATCCGGCGAATTAAGTTCTCACCTGTTGTGCCTGGAGACCGCAGTAGGGGGCGTGTTGCTGTACTATTTTATGACAATACATTTTCCGTATTTGACCTTGTAAGTTTGGAAAAAAAAATAAAATTATATGGGCAATTATTCTTTCCTCTGTCATATGCATGTCAACCACCATTGGAGTTTATTTTTAGTACATATAGTAACCTACTGAATCATAATTTGCCCAAATGGAGCAAGCAAATGTATATATGTCACTTGGATAGGAAAATGGGATGCCACTTCAGGTTATGATTGATGAACTTTATAGGCGACAAATATTCATTTATTTATAAATAAAAAGGTAAAGATAGCCAGCAGACACAATATTCCAAGAGATTTTTATGGCACTATTTGTGTTTGTCTTGTAAGATTTAGTCTTCAGTATAGTGTTTATGGCACTTATTGAGTTCCTAACTAAACATTTCTTGAAATTCATCAGCATAAGTTACTGAACATTCTGTTGGATGATATACATTTGGTATTATTAAATGGGTTCTTTTCTAGTGTCCATATTCATAGGACGTGACTGAGTTTTAAGCGTTCTTACCCAGTCCTCTTTTATCCAAGTCCAGATTTGATGTTTGTTAAGTAAAATACTTTGCTTTGTTTGTCGCAACTTTACTTTCAGTTGATCTTTCTTATCATTTTTCAGTAACTCTCTACATGTCTTAATTGCAGGATTCTCCAGACCCATTGGCCAATTCACTTTTACAGCCTCAGTTTCCTGGAACCCTTGTGTTGGAACTTGATTGGTTGCCTTTGCGAACTGACAAAAACGACCCCCTGTTATTGTGCATAGCTGGAGCTGATAGTAGCTTTCGCCTTGTCGAGATTAATATGTATGTGTCAAACTTTGTTCAATTTTATGAGTAATTTCTTTATGCCTTGAGTTATTAAGTCATAATGGGGAGGGGATGGCCTGTGGTGGTGTTAGCCATTTCTGTGCTTTAATAGTCTTACTCTTATGCAGAATTGACAAAAAACTTGGGTATACCCACCAGCCCAGATCTATAAAAGAGAGGTTCCGTCCGATGCCCTTATGTTCTCCTATACTGCTTCCAATACCACATGCCCTGGTAACTATGTTTCCATTTTCCTTTTATTTGATGGAAGCAATTTTAATCTGTTCCAGTTCTATTGATTATTTGTCAATCATGCCCTTTGACAACTGGAAGTTCATGTCTGTATTAGAGTAAGACTACATTAAAGTAACAACCTATTTTTTAATTACAGGCGTTGCGGGTGATCTTACAATTAGGTGTCAAGCCCTCTTGGTTTAATACTAGCAGTACAACTTTAGATAAGAGGCCTCACCTAATTCCAGGAACTCCTAAGTCCAATGAGGATCTTCGCAGTTACATGATCGATTTACCACCTGTTGGTGACCCTGTGGTACCAGAATTGCTGCTTAAAGTCTTAGAACCTTATCGTAAAGAAGGTGGGTCCTCTTTAAGTAGCTCACATATGAGGATCGTATTATTAGTGTTTTTACTATTAACTTATAAATGTTACATTGCTCAAGGCTGCATACTGGATGATGAGAGGGCAAAATTATATGCAAAGGTGGTGACCAACGGTTGTTCTGTGAGATTTGCTTTTGCGGCTGCAATTTTTGGAGAACCCTCAGAAGCCCTTTTCTGGCTGCAACTGCCTCGTGCTCTTAACCATTTGATGAATAAGTTAGTAAACAAGTCTCCACAAAAAGCTCCTGTGTCAGCATCAGTTCCAGAGCTTGATGATGCATCTATGCTTAGTAGGATAACATCAAAAGGAAAGTCAGTGTCTGGAACAGAAAAGAAAGATGCAATGGTAAGCTATTTTTGAGGATGATATTACTCTCAAATTTTGTAAACAATGTGTTAAGCTAGGTTGCTATGTTACCTAACATTTCTCCTATACCTTGTGATCTTCAATTCTAAACTATTGTTGTAGGTAATTTTCCTTCATAAAAGCTTTGTAACGTTTCTATAATTTATCCACTTCTATGGTAAGCAGAACCAAGGTCAGCTCAGGTTAATGGCTTTTGAACAAGAAGACTTGTGGGCAAATGCTAGTGAACGTATCCCTTGGCATGAGAAGCTGGAGGGAGAAGAGGCTATTCAAAATCGTGTACATGAGTGAGTGTTTCATATCATTCTCATGTTTTAGATGTACTGCCCACATATTTACTGGATAAGCTTAAGCATGACTTAATGCCTTATTTAAAATTGTGGGCTTGTTAAAAAAGTGCCAGACTTTGCGTCTTGGGGGTTCTTGGTTTACTTCTGATGATTTACTTTGTGTTCTTGATCATTTAGGCTTGTCTCGGTTGGGAACTTAGAAGCTGCAGTTAGTTTATTGCTTTCCACCCCTCCTGAGAGCAATTACTTCTCTGCAAATGCTTTACGTGCTGTTGCTCTTTCTTCTGCTGTGTCAAAGTCTCTCCTTGAACTTGCAGTTAAGGTGAGTGCTTACTTAGATCAGCTCATGACACCAAAATGCATTTGTGACTGGAATAAGGTGGTTTAAGTGTCTCAGCATTTTGTATACTTACGCTTATGTCATTTAGGTGGTTGCAGCCAACATGGTCAGGACTGACAGGTCATTATCTGGGACTCATCTTCTTTGTGCTGTAGGAAGGTATCAAGAAGCTTGTTCTCAGGTTAGGTTCTACTTTAAAAAAGTTCTGTAAACCTAGTTATCTAAGTGTGGCCTTTGTTTTCAGTTTAAATTCATACAACTTCGCAGGTTTTGTGTCAAGTAATCACACTAATCTTCTTTATTCTAGCTTTTCTGCCTGTAGAATCTGATCCGACTTGTATTGTTTTGCATTATCTTATATTACCACCAATTACCATGACATCTCTTATGCAGCTACAAGATGCTGGGTGTTGGACAGATGCTGCAACTTTAGCTGCTGCACATTTAAAAGGATCTGACTATGCAAGGTTGTCTACTTTCTATTCACCATTTCTGAAGTCTCCTACCAGTTTTTTTTTCTTTTCTATATACTTTTTAGTTTATTAGCTTGCTGCTTATTGCTGGCCCGGTAGCCTAAACGCGGGTTTTTATTTCTTCATTTATTTATATATCATAAGTTCATAATGTATCGTCATTTGATGACATATAAACTCATCCCCGCATTTGCTGCTTGTCTTTTGGCTAAACAGATCCATTTCTAGTCCCCTGATTTTCATTTGTACAATTCTAATTTTCTTTCACTATGGTTATGGTAGCTGAATTGTGTGTATTATGTTCTTCCAGGGTGTTACTAAGATGGGCTTCGCATGTCCTTCACGCTGAACACAACATATGGAGGTATCATTATTTTACTCGTTAAGGTTTTTAAAATGGAAATTGTTAAAAAGTATTTTATAAATTCTTTTTTTCTCATCTGACTTGCACTAAATGATCCATTGGCAGGGCTCTGATTTTGTATGTTGCAGCTGGTGCGCTGCAAGAGGCATTGGCAGCACTTCGTGAGGCTCAACAACCGGACACAGCAGCTATGTTCATCCTTGCTTGCCGAGAAATTCATGCCAACTTCATCTCTGATTTAGGGAAGTCAGATGATGAATCTAGTTCTTCAATCAAGGACAAGCTGCTTCACTTGCCTGGGTTGGGCCCTGAGAATGAAGATGTTGTTGCAGTCAGTGAATATTATGGGCAATACCAAAGAAAATTGGTGCATCTGTGCATGGATTCGCAACCATTCTCTGAATGAAGGACTAGGCCTGGTCACGTGGTACAACTTAGTCATTTTCTCCGTATTTTACGGTAAGAAATGGCAGACTTTCAATCGATAAAACAATCCACAGCTCTCACTAGATTCATGGGCCAAAAGCAATTTGACGTTATGAGGACATGAAAGTGATACCTGGCCAACTTCGAGGATGGTCATATTTTTAGCCAGCAATCGACTGTGAGAAATTTTTGGTTTTGAAATTGGATCTGCTTGATTGCAACTGCAGCTATTTAGTTTAGCTAGAAAACATTACTGGAAAATGTTGTAAATGTAGAAAATTGTCGAGATAAATCTATATCAAAGTATATAATGTTTTTGTGTGGTAGGAATGTGTAATGATGTTATTTCTTCATTTTGACAGGAGAATATCTAAAAAGTCTCTCATTTTTGGGCTTTGTACATTTTTCTGGTCAACAATTTTGTGGCTATCAGTAGGGCCGACGTTTTGGTTATTGGGCTCTAGCTGGGCCATCATTTTCGATACTGGGCCCAATTATTCGTTATTGGGCTCTGGCTGGGTCATCATTTTCGATACTGGGCCCAATTATTCGTTATTGGGCTCTGGCTGGGTCATCATTTTCGATACTGGGCCCAATTATTCGTTATTGGGCTTTTCTTTGAGTCGAAATATTTGTTATTGGGCTTTTCTTTGAGTCGAAATATTTGTTATTGGGCTTTTCTTTGGGCCGTCATTTCATTACTGGGCCAAATATTCGTTGTTGGGCTTTTAGTCGGGCCAACATATTCTTTATGGCCCAAGTAATCGTTACTGGGCTTTTCTTTGGGCGGAATTATTCGTCATTGGGCTTTTGTTTGGGCCGGAATTTCCATTCTTGAGTCCAATACTTTGTTGTTGGGCTTTAGTTGCACCATCATTTTCGATAATGGGCCAAAATATTCGTTTGTGGGCTTTTGGTTGGGCCGACGTATTGTTTGGGCCCAATTTTAGCTACTGGGCCTTCCTTTAGGCGGAATTATTCGTTATTGGGCCTTTATTTCGGCTGACATGTCCATTATTGGGCTTTAGTTGGGCAATCATTTTGGATACTGGGCCCAAGTATTCATTATTGAGGTTTTAGTTCATCCATATATTCTTTCTAGGCCTAACTATTCATTACTTGGGCTTTTATATTGGCCATACTATTCATTGTTTATATAAGTTAGGCCACATTCATAACAATGCAAATCATCACTGAAACAACCACAGATAGGAGACAACCACACCCAACATTGACCCAAATTATGTAACCTTGATACAAGTATTGCCCCACATTAACTATCCATACACAGAAGTAAACAATAAGCTTGCAGCAGTAGCATTTGTTTCTTAATCGCCCGTGGCACAGCTGATCAGCATCGAGCATGCAACTAACAAGCATAAAACAGAATTATAACTATGGTTGCATTTTATAGTGCAACAAACTGGCCCCCAGCCACACGAGTGGCTGCATGACTTAATGCATAGGAACAACATAGGTTTTGTTCACAGAATTATGTTTCCAGAAAGTGTAATGCTCTGAATTTATGCATTTCCAATATAAGGTATAATATGATTTCAGTAAGTGTCCTAGCCTCCATATGTACCTTATGTAGATCTTTCATGAGTTCACCTTGCAAGTTTTACAACTTTGTCTCACTTAACATTGGTCCTGCCTTCCTGAGGTTGCCTCCTCTTCAAGAACAGAACAAAATAAAAGAATTTAAACACAAGAACAAAGGCTAAATTTTATCTATCTAATATCATGGCATTAAATTATACAAATATTACGGGCCTCCCACTAACTAATCGGAGATCCTTTCTTGCTTGAACGAGGAAGGTGACCAACCTTGATGACGATTTTAACTTTTGACAACAGAATTTCCAATTAAGGTTCAAACCATAGCATCAAATTTGTTTGTTAATGGTCGGTGGGACCACTGATCAGCACCAAAGCATAAAACAGAATTGCGTTTTATAGGGCAGCAAATTTTCCCTATCAGCCACTCATGTGGCTGAATGCTTCATTTATAAATCTTAATTTACCTTAGAAACAGCATATACTTGTATTACAAAACCGTATTGAATAAATCACCATTTTCACGATCTTCTTATGAGGTGGAAATGCTTCAACAAATAAACAGTAATTCAATGCCTTCCATCACAAATAAACAGTCATTCAACGCCTCCAATGGCGATAACCATGTCCATGATTATTTTCGTAATATATATCACCACTATATAAATAAATAAAACTATTATCATAATCATTTATTATTAGTAATTTTATTATCATTTTTCTTAAAAGTATAAGGCGTGAAGAAATTAACCTGCATATGAAGATCGAGAAGGTAAAGATTTGAACATCTTTGAGTCAATCTGTCTCAAAAAAGGAGAGAATCGCTTGAATCAATGCCGAAGCGCACTCAGGCTCCACCATATCAGGCACATCAGCCACATACGATCTGCCCAACAACAAACCCTAACGTTACACCGTCAAGGTTGTAATTTACACCATCGGAAACACCGCGACCTTGAAATCGTTCATCCACGGGCAAAACCAGCGACCTCGCCATCGACGATCGTCTTCGAACCCAAATTGGATCGAATTACGGAAACAACCGGCCCAACCGATCGAACACGATCATCGCAAAGGCGTCAGATCCGTCGAGTGTGTTTGAACGCGATCTTCGCAAAGGCCTCAAACCCAAACGTCACTAACGTATCGGTGATTGCGATCGTAGATGATTTCGTCGAATCGAATCAAAGCTTCTTGGGGTCGGGGATTAGATTAGGGCTTGAGCCTCGGAGAGAGACGGTTGGCGGGTTTTCTGTGATCTGTTTGGGCTTTGGGTTTGGGGATTTTTGTTTCTCCTCAGGGCTTATGAATACGATTGTCTCAGATCTCAGTTTGTCGATTTGGATGGGCTACGGGCTTGTTTGGTTTTGTTGCTTCTCCGGCCCAAGAAAAGAAGTGGCCCGTGTTCAATAAGCAATAAACTTGGATTGTTACTTATTCGGGGCTGGGGCGGGGGCTGGGGCGGTTTGGTTGATGATTCGAGAGTAATCTTTACAATTTTGGATTTCATCCAAAAACTTGGACTGTAATTTGATTTTGTAGCTACAGAAAGTGGAACAAACATCAACATGAACTTGTTAATAAAATATCCTACGTATTAGAGAGCAATTTTATACAAGTGTAGGGATGCAGTATTTTTATGTTTAAAAGACGATTCAAGATAAATATGTCGCAGGTAACATGTTAGAACAAGTATCTTTCTTCTACAAGAATAACCAAGGTATCTCAAACATGAACAAACCAAGGTGTTCTGCGTGTCCATACTGGAGGCAAAGCTCGAATCAGATAGGTTTTTATTTAGAAGACACTGCAATGTAGCTTACAATGGCCGAGGAGTCACCATCTCCTGAACTCTTCCGGATCAAAATTATAAATCTTAATATTTTTACGTCTTTTTCTTGAGTTTGCCCATTCCACATAAATAATAGCTTTTCTGGATAGTCTAGGGAGGATTCTATAGCGAAGGGATCGAACCTCAAATCTTCCTCCGGACATCTATTAAAAAATTAATAAATAAATAAAAGGGGTCGGGGAAGGCAGAATGTATGTAGCATTTCATTTTAGCACTCTCATGAGTATGACAAGGGCGGACAATCAGGTTTCAGTTCTCATAACCAAGCTGCCAAGCCTGCTTCTACCTACTTTTTCTTCAGTGTTGACAACAAAAGTGACATGCATAGGCAGCTGCATTATCCCTCACGGACTATTCGCTTCCACAAAGGCGCTATAGAAATTTACAAGGGAATGTTATGTGGTCCAACAATTCCTCTCAACCAAACAGCATGATATGTAAATTACTCTAAAAGGTGGATTTCATCATTCAGATAACATACCCTTCAAGATTAACAGAATCTCCTGCGACATCGAGCAGATCCAAGCTCCTCATACTCAGCCTTGGTGACACGCATTGCTTCAAAATCAGGACTTGATGCTAAAAGAGATCCTCCTCGCCAAACACCTAGTATGGGGCTGGAAAAACATGTACAATTTTAATAAAACTGGAAGTAGGTATGCTTAAACAGAGTAATACAGATCAGGAGGAAAGTTACTCTTGTTGAGGAGTTATGTTCACTTGATAGTCATCAGGAACAAGAGGCCGCAGCTCCTTCTCTCTGCAAAATATAAAAACAAACTTAAGGATGATTTAGTATTAAGTCTGGCATTGCACAACTGAACGGAAAAGAGATCAGTACATACAGTCTATCAGAAAGTCGAGGAAATAGTGTGCTTCCGCCAGTTAAAATAATGCTGGCCAACACATTCAGACACACGCGGGTGAGTACTGACAATATATTTTTTTTTTCTTTCAAGTAAAATGCAGAGTTTGGAAGGTCACTTTTCATAGAGTACAGGCTGAAGATGAGGATGGCAGGAACTGACAGCTCGAACTATGCACTCCGCTAGCCCAGCCTGATTCATTCCTGCAAAACAGGTCCAAGTTAGTGCTTTTGCTTTGTAAGAAATCATAGAGTTCCCAAAGGAATGAGCAAAATCATTACTAAATCACATACAATGTTCACAAAAGTTATAGAACTTCTAAAAACCTCCTATTATGCCACACAGTATCATATTCTACAGAAACAGCTAATGACATATTTCCAACGTTATGCTCTACATGAATCACGCAACAACTTGCAGAAGTAATAACCCCTAGCCAACATGAATCACAAAAGGATACTGTAATGTTTCATTCAACAACAAAGAATCATATATCGTATTTGTTTCAAGAATCAAACTAAAACCCCAAAAGTGTACTTTGAAACCAGAATATAAGACAAACCCAAATCGGCAGGATGGAAGATCATCTCCGGCACAAGGAACCTTTCATTTGTCAAGTCAAATTCCTGCCCAAAAACAACAAACACCACTTAGAAGTAGAAAACAAACACAACCAGTTACAAAATTAGCTCAAATATAAGGGAGAAAGATTACATTCTTGGTTAAATCAATCTTCTTTCGATCCTCCAGCTTGTTTGTAACTTCCATCTGATCCACATCCATCTTTTGCTGCACTTCTTCAAGTGTGTCACCGTCTCCCAAAGCCAAGTATCTCTGCGCCTCTTCTGGGTTCTTAACGAACCCTTTTGTATGCGTAACACCATCAGGCAACACATACGTGCACCTGAAAGCATTGTCCTTCCCTTGTTTCCTGAACACCCATTTCAAGCCCAAAAAAAAACAACAAAACCCAGAACTGACATTAGACCAAATTCCAGGAAAAATAGAACAAGAAAATAGAAACAATATTAAAATAAATTCACGAACTTTGCGATCTGGAGGTCACGAGCAACGTCTAAGGAAACAAAGCAGAGCTTCTCCTTAACGTCGTCGATGAGGAAGGTCTCGTCCATGACATTGACAGAGCGGTAAGATACAAGCTCTTTGAGGTAATTGGTCAAGGCCTTGCCGCCCAAGTCGATTCGCTTAGCGGCGTAGTTGATGGGGAAGTTTTGGAAAACAGGGACGGCGTGAGTGAAAGAGAAGCCGCAGTCGACGACGAGGCTGCATTGGGCCTTAAAGGTCCGCTGGCTGGCCTCGTAGAGGTGGGCCAGGGAGGGAGAGTGGGCCACGTAGAACGACGAGAAGTTGAAGTCCTCGAAGACGAGCTCGTCGGTGGCGCGTTGGATGGAGGGGAGGGTGAAGAGGGGCTCCGTCAGGAGAAGGGACGATTGGGCCGGGTTGACCCGGAGAAGGGAGGAGAAGAGGTTGGCCCAGATCTCGCGCTGGAGATCCGGGTTGATTAGGTAGCCGCGGTCGATGGGCCGCCGGACCGCGGCGGAGGTGAGGTCCATGGGCTCGGTGGGTGAAGGGTGCACCCATTTCTTGGAGGAGAGTGGGCGGTAGACGCAGTTGGGGATTATGGCTGAGGGGTCGCGCTCGCCGCCGAGTCCGGCTTTGATTAGGCCGCCGCCGTTGTCCAACACGACGACGTTTTGATGCATGTCCAAGTGGAGGGGGTTGGGTGGTGGGGGTCTGGGACTGATTTGGCGCGAGGTTGAGGTTTAGGCGAGTGTGTGTGAGTGACTCGCTGGGGTTTATGCATTTGCCATTAGGGGTCTAAAGGATGCATTGCAACAGGAAATGAAAATGCACCAATGTCAAACAAAAATTTAGAGCTTGTATTCGCTTTTGAACTACTTGGGTTTTACTTAAGTTCTTAGACTGAAAATTTTGGTTTAGTTTGGTTGGTACAAGTTATATAACTCAAAGGGTTCGATAGAAATATAATTATTGTACCATTGTGTTCTTTCACACAAATTGTGACATTCCGACCATTACAAATTACAATAGGATAATTGATTTTATTTAAAGACCAAAATTTGCTAATTATATAATATCAAACTTTGTATTTCATCTACCACATTACAGTGCACGACTGCGAGTAAGTGCAGCAAAATGACAAATTACATAAGGTAAGTAAAGAAAATTTTCCAAAATGAAAGAGGTAGCATAACAAGCAGCTGCAGCATCAAAAGCTTTATCCAAACAGTCGAAAGGTATTTGCATAATGGGAGGAACAAACTGGTCAAGACAAGAAGGCATCCGATTTCAATAGGGCGCATAGTAGTACCCTCCTGGCTGAGGCATCATCGGCTGAGGTGGGCCATAATAGCCAGAGCCGCCAGAAGAAATCTTGGCTAAACCCACTTGCCCTTGCATCCCATCTCTTCCATATTGCTGCCAAAGCAGTTGTTCCTGTGAAAGCAAATATTGCTTCCTCTCCATCTCTGCTATCTGAACATATGAAGGAGGTGGCACTGCGAGGGAGGCGGCAAACGGATCTTGCTGCCCCACTGCTTGCACTGTCCCGTCTGGGGCAGGCAGAGCCAGCAATGGCGTAACAGCCTTGCCTGCCCCGGGCATTGCCACACTACTTGCACTCCCACCACTCAGTTGTGAGGTGCTCACATGTTGCCTCACTGCTCCCTGATCATACATGCCATTCAATAACAATGGATCAAAACCACCAGCCAAATCAGCCTTCTGCTTTGACAGATTACTAGCTGTCTCAACCAATGCCAATTCCCAGTCTGCTTTACCACTCTCAGCAGCTGGTGTCTGCCAAGCTGAGGTCACTTGAGGCTCTCCATCTGATGGGAATGCTTCCCAGGATCCATTTGTATTAGTAGTAGTAGGAGGTCCAGAGAACAAAGCCAAAGCCAATTTGTTTCCTTGCTCATCAGCAGTAACTCCATCATCCCTCAAATTGACCAAGTCCTCTGTCACAGGTTGAGGATGTGAAGCCTTAGGCTGGGCTTCAGGTGGCGGGGGAGGAGGAGTGTAATTCTCCGGCGGAGGAAGAGCTTTCATCACCTCATAATTCATATCCTGTTTTGGCTCACAATCAACCTGACCCTTCTCCTCCATACTCTTCGGCCTGTTTGTCTTCTCCTTCAAGAACCCTTCAAGTGAGCTCAAAAGCTTATCAGTTATTCTCTGAACCTCTGGGTACTCAGACGACCGGGCAATCCCCGTGTCCTTACACCAACCATAAAACCCCACAAGCTCATCAATCATCTTTGCCGCATTAACATAAACATCAAAAGCCTTAACACAATCCGCATACTCCATCTCAGTAAACCTATCCAACAACACCCCCAATGCCTCACATATCGCAACATATAGCCTAAAACTCTCCTTCAAAACCTGGTAAAGCGCAACAATCACCAACCTACTACTCTTAGCCGCACCTGCAGGCCTACAAGCCAAAATTCGATCAAGAACCCTCAACAAGTCATTCAACCTCCCCAGTACTCTCTCAGGCCTCATTTCCCTTATTGGCGTACTAGACTTGGTCTCTCTTTTCTGCTCTCTCTCCAGTGACTGATCACTCACATCATTTCCATAATCAAATTCTTTCCTTTCCTCTCGATAATCTCTCTCCTGATCCAATCTACCGCCCTCTGTGCCTCCCGATTTCCTCTCATAAACCTCAAACTCCACCTTCTCATCAAGATACATCGCATAAAACCTTAGAAACCCGGCATGATCCCAAGCATTCGAATGCGCTTCGTCTCTAAAATCAGACAAGTTCAAAACCCGCATGCCTCTGCGAGTTGCATACACAATCTCCTCCTCAAACGAAGGGTGCCCATCAACCAAAATTCTGTGAACAAGCATAAGAGCCTTCAGAGCCACAATCCAATCATGGGTTTTGCTCAAACGCTTAGATATAGTTGCCACAGCCGCAGTGACATATCCATGCGAGTAGGAGGTCAAGTTGATGATCTCCCTAATGTACTTGTCGTCAGCTGGGTCTTCATCGTGGGTCGTGGCCTTAACGACTAGAACTTCGAGGTCCGGGGCTATGTTCCCGGCCACTTTGGCTAGGCTGATGCTGGTTTGGTCCTTGACAGCCCCAATTGCCTTGCGAATTGTGCTGGGTGCCATTGATGATAGGATTCAAAAGGCAAGAGGAAAAAGGGGTTTGTTTTTGTTGATTACCTATGCTTTGTTCAGGGCTGTGCAGGCATGGATCGAGACTGTAGAGGATGAAACGAGAGATCTGCTGACTTGGTTCAACGTCGTAGACGGTGGAGATTGAGTCCGTACGATCGGAATTGCAGTAGATTGGAAAGGGTCACGGCTCACGGCTCACGGAGCTGTGCTGCAAAAACCAGAGACCAAGGCAGTCTTGTCTTCTTTCACTTTTCGCTGTGCTGCGAAAGGCTAAAAGCGCGTAATCTAAAACCTTTTGCTTACGGGCTAATTCAATGCAAAAGATAGATGGCGTTTGACGGTTTGTACTTTGTGGACTCTTTCTCCATGCAATGTATGTGAATTCCAGTAACGGTGGGTATCAATCATAGCAATTTTGTCAATGTAAATCTATATGGTTACTCAATAAATATTCATTTATATATATATATATATTTAGAACAATGATACTCTTATCACATTTTCATACCACCTTATGTGGGAGTTGGACAATCACATCAATTTTTTTATAGTCGTCCTTACATTCGGCTCCTGAATTTTTAATCCCCACTTTATTTTGCTAGTATAAAAAAAAATTACTAAATGTTAATTTTATCTCAATTACCTTGTGCACTTTAAATTATTTTTCTTCTAAAGAAAAGGAAAAAGTTCGAATTTGACGGTCATATATTTTCTTTCGTCACATTGTAAATTGGTGAGAATAGAGTATATAAACACGGACCGAAAATAGTTTTCACTTTTCAATTACTATAATTTTTTTCCTATTTGCTAGCAAGAAATTGAAATTTCCGAAGATAAATGGGCTGAAATGTAATTATAAAATTGAACTTCCTGATAAATAAATAAAAAACAATTGTAAATATTATACACTGTCGGAAAGGAGAAAGCGCATGTTCCCGCGAATACCAGCTTCGGTCGCATTTGGCTTATAAATAGCTTTGCCTCTCAAAATTGTCATTTCTATATTCTCTCTTCCCCAACCGAGTCGACTCAGACAACCACAATGTTCTTCCTCCGAGTCCACTCAGTGGACACCAACCACCCTCTCAGCCTCGAAGACGCCGAGTTCACCACCATCACAACTTCCAAGATCACCAGTGCTACTGAATCAAACCCTAACATCATCCCCAAATTCAGCGAGCGAAGAGGCATAGCTCACCTGTTCCGAAGCATAGGACACTCGTCGCTGCCGAACAGCCCTGCCTCTCGATCCACTCTCCTCTTCGTCATTGCTGTTCCCAACTACCTCTCCTTCGACGACTTCATCCGCTTCTGTGGGTCCCGAATCGACCATGTCCTCCAACTCGTCTTCATCAGGTACCATTCTAGAATTTCTTTGTTTACCCAGAAATTAAGAAATTTTGAATCTTTCAATTCGGAAGTTGTGGGTTGGTTTGTTGATCAAAACCCTGCACTGGGTTTGTGACGAAATTGAGGAAATAGCAAAATTTGTTTTTTATAATTTTATTTAAAGAAAAATTTGGATAGGGTTTTACTTCAATTGAGCCACAGAGTTGTGCCAGGCTTACATTGATAATTTTCATGAATATAAGAAATCAAATTTAAAAGATAAACTTGAGCTGAAAATCTGAAAAAGCAATGCTTTGAACTAAAGGGAAAAAAAAGGGTCTATGTATCAGTTCAGTGAATATCTTTGTTTGAAATTAAAGTTCCATTTTATCTATGTTTTTGTTTCCTTAGTGATTAAACAAAGTCTAATTTAGTATTTGCTTAATTGGATTAGGAACGATGGGATGGAAGATCGGTACAGTGTTTTAGTTGAGCTGAAGAATCAGATGACCGCCGACGGATTTTATCACATTTTAAATGGGAAGAAGTATTCGCCTGGAGAGGTAATGAGCTTTTCTTATTATCGCTTATATTCATGGATGATGTATATACATCTTGAGCTTATGTGTGCGATTTTCTTTGTTTTTTTTTCTTTTTCAGGCCGAGGTGTGCCACATTCTGTTTCTGCTTTCTGTGGACTACACAGATTCAGATGAAATAGCTGGGACTCCTCCAGAAGGATGTATTGAATTACCTACTTGCCCAGTTTGCCTTGGTGAGTCACAATTTTCTTTGGTGGGACGGGGGTTCTTCTATTTATTTTTTTCAGAGGTATAATATTCTTGTGCCCAGTATTTATATTATTTTGGTTTGACTTTTGTTTCAATGTCAGAGAGATTGGATGCAGACACAAGTGGAATAGCGAGTACACTTTGTGACCATTCATTTCAATGTCCATGCATTTCAAAATGGACTTATTTATCTTGTCAGGTGAGTTGGTTTTCTGTTCCAAAATTTTGTCTTATGTGTTTAAGTTTATTAGAGATCTTGGTTGAGAGCATTGTTGACTGCACTACTGATATCTATTGTTACTTGCATGTACTGCAATATTTGTAATTTAATTATTTAAAAGTTCTTATGTAGATTATTATGAAATATTTCTATGTAACAATTGTGGTCTTGGGTTTATCAATTTGAGCTTGAGTTTTCCTTGAGTTGGCGTTGGGCCCTTTGTAACTCTGATATGTATTAGAACTCGAGCAAAGTTTGAGAATCCAGCTTCATACAAGAAAGTTGCTGACTTTGTGTGCCACTAGGTTTGCCGATTTTGTCAGCAGCAGGATGAAAAGCCAGCTTGCTCTGTTTGTGGAATATCTGCGAATCCCTGGGTTTGCGTAATATGTGGTTTTGTAGGATGTGGAAGGTAAACATGATACACTCTTTTTTCTTCTAATATCTTTGGTTATTTCTGTCTCCAAAGCAAGAAAACAATATAGCCTACGCATCATTTACTTGATGAGCTATGGCGTTGTCTTAATTAAATTTTGTCCAGACAGAAAATTATTGATATTATTTTTTCTTCAAAAAGATATACAGAAGGCCATGCTGTTAAGCACTGGAAGGATACACAGCATTGCTATTCTCTTGAGTTGAACAGGCAGCAGATTTGGGATTACGTTGGTGATGCTTATGTTCACCGCCTGAACCAATCAAAAATTGATGGCAAGCTAATAACTGATACGGATTCTCAATGTATGTCAGTGGAAGGGGATTGTGACAGGTGTGAATGCAGTGATGATTCTGGAATTAGTGGAGCCCTCTATAGCAGCAAAGTTGAAACTGTATGTATATATTTTAAGAATTTTTTTTACTTTTTTTCTACCTAGCACTATCCATTATTTTCGATTTCTTATTCACATAACTGATCTTTAGATGTTGTGCTACAACAGATTGTAGACGAGTATAACCGACTTCTTGCAAGTCAGCTTGAAACTCAAAGACAAGTAGGCTGTCACCAAACCCACGTTTGACCTCTGCTTTGTGTTCTTATTTTTACCTCCACCTAATTGGTTGTTTATCAAGTGATATCCTTTTCTGTTTCTTGAACTTCAGTATTATGAATCTCTACTTACGGAGGCCAAAAGTAAAAAGGAAAGTTCAATGTTAGAAGCAGTGGAGAAAGCTGTATATTCCAAGATGCAGGATTTTCAAGCGAAACTGGAGAAATGTCTTGAGGAAAGAAATGTTGTTGAAGATGTGAGTTTGTAATGTGCTCCTCTTTATTTTGGAGTTTGGCATAGGTGTACTGTGTTTGTGTGAAATCTTCTTCTTCTTTTTTCTGACAGTTTATTTTAATTTATTGTGCCTATTTTTGTGTTTGTTTCTTAGATCAACCGTAATCTCATCAAGGGCCAAGAAACCCGGCGTGGAAATTTGAAGGAAATTGAAGATAGGTACATATTGTTTTCTCTCCTTCATTGATAGATGTCAATTCTCCCCTTGTTTAGATACTAACACTTCGTATAGGACCATGAGGGTGATAAGGGGTTGTTCAAAATTTGAAAGCGAAATATGGAGAGCCATTTAGTATGTGCCAAAACTTCTGTTTTTTTCTTTCTTCCCACCCTGTCCCCTCCTCTCCTACACAACCAAGGATAGTGATCATTTCAGGACCCATGAGCCAGTGCTAGATCAAATAGGATATGGCATAGAGGCAAGTCTGTGATTATTAGCAGCACTGAATTCTTTGGTTTTTATATCCTCCTTTTAGGGAAGCTGCATCACTGAGGTTAAGAGAGGAGAGGATACTTGATCTGGAAGAACAGGTATTTCTGTTACAAATTTCTGCTTGTTGGCCACTATATTTAGAAGTTGCTGGTTTCTTAACAAGTTTAAATGATGGTGGTCACAGATTAGAGATCTTACAGTCTACATTGAAGCCCAAAAAACCCTCAAGGACATGACGGATTCAGATGGCATCAAAGGGGGGACGCTCTTGCCTGTACCTTCTTCAAAGCAATCTTCTCCTGCCAACTCTAGACGACAAACAAAATCTGGTCGAAGACGGAACTAAAAGAAGGGCACTCAACATGTCGTGTATAGTAAACTCAACATTTCGTGTATATTAATAATTGTGTGTCCAGCTGATTTTGGATCATGTAGTGATTTCATTCAGTCTTAATGCTTCATAAACTTTCCTTTGGATGTGCATCTGAGAGTGAGAAACATATATAAATACCTTAATATTAAAGAGAAACATACATATCAGAAGATTCTCACATACTTAATCATTGTTTAGCAAGCCTTCGAAATCGTAACACTGATACACCTCCGCAAGAATTCCACCCTTGAATTGATAAGCCCTTGAAACTTTACACCTCCACCCCCACGCCATGAAGTTCCCTGTGGTTTTCATATATGAAGATTACAAATACTACGAATGCTACAATATGGACTATTGCAGTGACATGCAGAGAGTGAAGGACGTCAAGTGTAAGATTGAAAAAGATTCTGGCATTGCCTTTGACCAACAGAAGTTGTTTCTGGTAGTTGGAGAAGATGAGCATATAGGTCTTGAAACTTTGGAGAAAGGAGTTTTTGTAGTTTTACCTTATCCGAAGGTGGCCACGGTGCCAGATGAAGAGATTGGTTGTCATCTTGGTTCCAGGTAACTAATTCTTTTATATTTTATTATTTATTTATTTAATCATCCTCTCTATGTCCTCTCTTGAATTCCGGATGACATTAACAATTTCGTCTTCTTTCAATAGCGGTGGTCTTGACAATCCAGAGGTGGCCGCGGTGTCAAAAGAGGAGATTGATATTCATCTTGATTCCAAGTAATGAATCCTCGAATGTTATTCAATTGTTTCCTCTTTTAATACATATTTGTTTTCTTGATTATTCCCGATGACATTGACAACTCAATTTTCTTTAGTGGTGGTGGTGGTCTTGACAATTCAGAGGCAGCTCAAGTCACAGACGAGCAAATTGCATATATTCTTAATTCTGGGTAATAAATTCTTGAATTTATATTCAATTGACCCTCTCTTTTAATAACTACGTGCTTTATTGATCATTGACATGAAATTGACTACTGCTCTTGATTATTGCTTTCTTGATTAGTGATGGGTCTCAAACTCAAACTGTTGAAGTGAAAGTTATGGCTTGTTCGTTAATTGATCGTCAATCTACTCATTTTACTGAAGTGGTTGGCGTTTTGGACAACGTGTTAACACTTACACAACAGCTGAGAAAAGTGTTGCAAGTACAAAATTCACACCATATAACAGTACTTTTTAACGGAAGGGAATTGGAGCAGAACTGTTGCCCATTCCTGGATTTTCGCACAAACTTGAGCGAAAATTGGGTGGATATTATTATCCAGCAAGGAGCCATTGTTGGCGCGCAGAGGACATCAACCAAAATGTCATAGTCGGCGAGTGCTCAGCGGCAAATCAAATGGTTCCAGCCTGGGATCCCACCTCATTATATCTAACCCAAGAATCAAATGTTGCATCATCATCAGCAGCAGTCAATCAGACGAATGCATCAGCATTAGCAGCCAACCATACAGATGATGCATCAGAAAAAGTAGTCGGCAATGTAAGAGAAGAACATAAGATAGCGGTGAAGGTCGCAATAGGAAGGAGAAATCAATACATCATTAATGTTTATCCCAGCGACAAGGTCTCCATTTTGAGACCACGTTTGGCTCAACGATTGGCTGAATTGAACATCCCTATGCCAGAAACATATCACTTCGTCATTGGCTTGAATAAAGTCAATAATGAAGAGTTGTCGATCGATGACTTCGGCCTAAAGAACAACAGGGTAATAAAACTCATGAGCAACGACGAGTAATTCAAAGATGACAAGCCATCGAGTAAACATAGATAAATCAAAGTGTAATTGTTGATACTAATAAAAACCCTAGATATATTATTAAGCACTTGCACTTGCGCTTAATACTAGAGGCATATATATTCTATGGTAGAAGGCATTTTTTGTTTAAGGTATTGGATAGCATGATCTCTTGCATTCTGTTCCTCATTGACTCGCAGGAAATTGAACTCGGTTCCAGAAGGTGCACACCAAAACCGGACAGGATTTATAACAATCTTCTCCAATGCAATAACATTCTTTTTCAAGTACATGACATGTTTAACACATCATTTGTGACCACGATACCCTGATATTTCTACTTCCTTGAGGGAGTAATGGGGGCATTCGGCAGCTTTCTCTATTTTTGCCATCTTTGTTTTCAAATCCAACTGCACCGCACCAAAGAAACAACAGTTTAGTTTACTTCACAAGAACTAGAAGCAAAACCTTCTTTTCTTGTTCTCCGTTTTATGCTTTTCTTTCTTCAGAAATATTGGCAATTGGTAATAAAATGAAGAGAAATAAACCACTCAAGATATGAATGCACAATATATATACAATTGTCTATCAAGTTGTATTTGTAATCAGTCAATCTATCTATGAATATATAATTATGTATGCATACCCCCAAAACAAGTCTCTGCATGTAAGGACATGCCTTCATGAAAGAAGCTAAGCGACCAAGGGACCAATGGTAGTCTGCATAAACTAATAATTGCAAATGCCTTAGATTTGCTAGTATGGGAAGTACATGATTTTGATTGTAGACCTGAAATCCACCAAACCAAATCACAAGTAAGGAACATAATAAATTACAAAAAGGAAGAAAAGAAAACCGAGTCATCACATATAATATTACATACTAACCGCTTCTCTGATATCTAGCTTCAGAATCTTTAAATGAGAAAGACAAGGCGAAAATTGGCTGAACACAATCCTTGTGAATTCAGCATAAGCGTACCACTTGTAATAGGTTACATCAACAAGCAGCGGTACATTCTTGAGATGCAAATGTATCAATGATCCACAATAAATAAATGAAACAATGTTTGCGTCACAAATCTCAATGTTTTTAAGTCGTTGACAATATTTTATCTCCAAATATTTCAATGCGATTGAGGGACCGACAACTCTTAAATTAACTAAATTTTTGACAACATCTAGAGACAACCGCTCAAGAAGTGGACAGTTGGACAAGAAGAACTCAACAACTTCCCCGGTCACACCAACATGTCGAAAATGAATAACTTTGAGGGACTTGAAACCAATATTATTGTAATATCCACCAGAACCTAGACTTGGAATTACATTGGAAGCAAAGTCTTCCTTTTCCATACCCAACAGTTTGTAGGGAAATGTATAGTCATCGTCGTGCCAACCCCCCCCCCCAGTTGTCAATAAGTCCAACTCAAGTCTTTGAACTCTCTTTTCCATTGCAAATTGAACCCATTTATCAATGGAACTTGTAAAGACGTTATCTAGAAAAAAGATAACCCTGAATCGTTCAATGCTTTGGCCGCTATGCTGCTTCAGCGCGTGATTCACCCAATTGACGTATTTATGGCCTTCTTCTTGGTCTCGTTTATCATAGTCAAGTTCACAGAAGTAGTTTAAGGTCTCAGGGTCTTCAAAATTAACAGTCTCTAAATTGAGAGTCGTAGTAGATGACCAGACATACCGCCATCTCCTAGAAAGGATACTTGTAGCTACTGCTTCCTTTAGCGGCAAGAGTGACACTATGCTAACAATAACCTCATATGGCAACTCACTGATTCGGTCCTCCACCACCTTGTGCTCATCATCCTTGATTATTTTCCTTCTCTTTCCCGACTCATCTAACTTACTCATCATCCTTATAATTATAGATATATCAGAAAATTTATAAATAATAATAATAAAGTAACGCACTAGTGGTGTTGTTGCTATGGGTCTATTATTTGATTTCATCATTCAGTCAAATGATTTCAACTATAATTTTTTTTTCAAAAATCAAATAATAGCGACCGATAACAACATTAAGAAAACGCACCAAAAAAATATGCAAAATTTTGAACAGGTGATATAAATGGAAAACAAAAAAAAGTTAAAAAGGGTGCAATTTTGATGCATGCTTGTGTTAGTGTAGAATAGTTTGTGGTGTTTACCTTGAGTTGGACAGATTGAGAGGTTGTGCTCATTCTTTTTTCCACTAAAACTGGGAGTTTGCGACGAGTTGCAGCAGTGCTTGGCGTGAAGAGTTAGTTTTAGGGATTTTGTCAAATGAAAGAGGGAGAGAGAAACGTAATTGCAGATATGCGGTGCTGCAAATTTAATTTATAATTACATTGTGCGTTTTTGTAGAGAGAGAGAGGGAGAGCGTTTTGGGGAGAGAGAGAGAGAGAGGGGGGGCGTAGTTTTAAACCATACAAAACTTTATTCAGGGTTTAGGGTTTAGGGAACCCTACCCTTCCCACACACGTGATTGGATAATAAGAAAGAGAAAATGGGTATAGTTTTGTTTTTCCGCCATCTAATTAAAAAAATCACCTTAAAGATAGGAATTGAATACGCTAATCAACAAGGAACAACAACTCTAGGTTTTCAAAATTAGGTACAAGGACAAAAACCCATACTAAGAGCATCCACAATGGGAGGGTGTATAACGGGGTGTATGTTAAAGATACACCTTTTGTCACCGGAATAATCTCCAATAGGAAGATGTAAATGATTGTAAAAATACACCCCCACCATGGAGATGTAAAATTAGATGCACATTTGCATCTTTTTTTACATCATTTGCAGACGGGACCCACAAGAGAAAAACGGAAAGAGAAGGATTGGAATTCAAAATGGAAGGCCTAGATTTCATGCCATTTGCATTGCACTTCCAATGGCCCAGATTTCTACATAGATATTTTTATGTTAGTTTGTAGGTAAAATCATATGTTCTCCAAATTTTTATTTTTTTTTAGATCCATTTATTTAGAAAAATAAAATAAATCTAACACACACAAAATTAATTTTAAAAAGTTAAAACATACAAAAAAGAATTATCACAAACAAATCGAATATGCATCTATGGATTTACATTGTTTCTCATTGGAGCAAAAAACGTATTTACACCGCATGGAGGTGTAAAGGGGATGTAAAAGTGGCTTTACACCCCTGAAAATACACCCCCCCACTATAGATGCTCTTAACACCTGAAAATTAACTCAAGAGTAGGGAAAACAAATGAGTAATCATGTATGATTCACAATTAAATTAATTTCTAAGATACTTAATAACATGCAATACTCCCCACGACATGATTCCAATCCAGAGTATGCTCAAAGTGATAAAATAGTCTAGACACGATCCAACCAAAGCAACTAAAATATTTTGTTGAATTCCCTCATTGTCTGATCTCGACCTTTTGCCCGGTGGTGCTGCGTTGTCTTCAAAACTTACACTATAGTTCCATCACTTCTCCAATTATCCTAAATGAGGGGAAATTGCCTCACCTTCAAATGCCACTATAACGGGTTAATTATTCAAGTATCCTAAACCTATAAATACCTAAATCTGCAGTTTCGACCAGGAACATGGAAGAGAAACGCTCGTTGGGAGCCGTGCACATGGAATGGAATTGATCTGAACCGGCTGCTCCAGAAGTGGTGCTCGGCCCAGCACCATTCTCAATCGGAGGGGAAGTGCCCCATCTTCCTTCTGATTCTAATGGCTCAAGTGCACGCACTCCACCATCTGTAAGTCCTAATGCAAACTGATTAGGTTCGGATGGATGTGCAGCAAAAAGAGAGGAACGTTTATTGTTAGATACGTTATTTACAAAATAGAAAGAACCGCAACTATCCTTAGGAAAAAAAAAATATTGTTATCTTCACTTTGCTTACAAAAGAAAACATACCTTGGATTTGGAGGTAAATAAGCAGTAGGTAGTATTCGACATCTCGACGACATCTCGATCTAAGTGTAGAATCAGTGAGAACCCCCACACTTCCATCTTCAAAGCTAACATAAATTGACTGGCTACTGGAATGCATAGCATGTGTGATTGGACGACCACTACATGAGAAACATAGTTCCACGGACGTAATTAAACACACTAGATTATCACAATTGTTGAGATTAATTTTGAAAAGTTCATTACAAGTTTGGGCCTACAAGGACTCCTTCACTCAATAACGGGAGATATTTTCTATTATTTGTTAAGGATTATACTCCAATGATGTGGCTATATTTCCTTGATCACAAATCATAAGCTTTTTTGTTTTTGTTTTCTTAAGATTCTTATCATATGTTGAAAGAGAAAGTGGCAGGAAATTGAAGACTAAGAACGGATCGTGGAGTTTAATTTATTAGCAATCACTACATGAATTACTGCAGCAAAGAAGGCATAAAAAGACAGCTTACGGTTGGGCATTCCCCACATCAAAAGGGAGTCGCAGAGCGGAAAAACAGCACAATCGCTGAAATGACATGAAGCATGATGAAAGGAATGCAACTCCCAAATCAGTTTTGGTCAGAGGCAGTCCTGAATTGGCAGTGGCCGATACAAGATCCTTTAGATCATGAGGTCATTGTGTAAAAGTTTGACATAACTTTAAAAAAATTAAATGATGGAACTTTCATTACTAATTAACTAATCAAAACACAAAACCATAATCAATTAATCGAAAGGAAAGAATATAAAATATGCGCACTCAATTTGACCTTGTTTGCACAAGCCATCGAGTAAACATAGATAAATCAAAGTGTAATTGTTGATACTAATAAAAACCCTAGATATATTATTAAGCACTTGCACTTGCGCTTAATACTAGAGGCATACATATTCTATGGTAGAAGGCATTTTTTGTTTAAGGTATTGGATAGCATGATCTCTTGCATTCTGTTCCTCATTGACTCGCAGGAAATTGAACTCGGTTCCAGAAGGTGCACACCAAAACCGGACAGGATTTATAACAATCTTCTCCAATGCAATAACATTCTTTTTCAAGTACATAACATGTTGAACACAACATTTGTGACCACGATACCCTGATATTTCTACTTCCTTGAGGTAGTAATGGGGGCATTCGGCAGCTTTCTCTATTTTTGCCATCTTCGTATTGGATATTTTCAGACCTAACTGCACCGCACCAAAGAAACAACACTTTAGTTTACTTCACAAGAACTAGAAGCAAAACCTTCTTTTCTTGTTCTCCGTTTTATGCTTTTCTTTCTTCAGAAATATTGGCAATTGGTAATAAAATGAAGAGAAATAAACCACTCAAGATATGAATGCACAATATATATACAATTGTCTATCAAGTTGTATTTGTAATCAGTCAATCTATCTATGCATATATAATTATGTATGCATACCCCCAAAACAAGTCTCTGCATGTAAGGACATGCCTTCATGAAAGAAGCTAAGCGACCAAGGGACCAATGGTAGCCTGCATCAACTAATAATTGCAAATGCCTTAGATTTGCTAGTATGGGAAGTACATGATTTTGATTGTAGACCTGAAATCCACCAAACCAAATCACAAGTAAGGAACAGAATAAATTACAAAAAGGAAGAAAAGAAAACCGACACATCACATGTAATAATACTACATACTAACCGCTCCTCTGATATCTAGCTTCAGAATCTTTATATGAGAAAGACAAGGCGAAAGTTGGCTGAACACAATCCTTGTGAATTCAGCATAAGCGTGCCACTTGTAATAAGTTACATCAACAAGCAGCAGTACATTCTTGAGATGCAAAGTTCTCAATGATCCACAATAAATAAATGAAACAATGTTTGCGTCACAAATCTCAATGTTTTTAAGTCGTTGACAATCTTTTATCTCCAAATATTTCAATGCGATCGAGGGACCGACAACTCTTAAATTAACTAAATTTTTGGCAACATCTAGAGACAACCGCTCAAGAAGTGGACAGTTGGACAAGAAGAACTCAACAACTTTCCCGGTCACACCAACATGTCGAAAATGAATAACTTTGAGGAACTTGAAACCAATATTATTGTAATATCCACCAGAACCTAGACTTGGAATGCCATTGGAAGCAAATTCTTCCTTTTCCATACCCAACAGTTTGTAGGGAAATGCATAGTCATCGTCGTGCCAACCCCCCCCAGTTGTCAATAAGTCCAACTCAAGTCTTTGAACTCTCTTTTCCATTGCAAATTGAACCCATTTATCAATGGAACTTGTAAAGACGTCATCTAGAAAAAAGACAACCCTGAATCGTTCAATGCTTTGGCCGTTATGCTGCTCCAGCACGTGATTCACCCAATTGACGTATTTATGGCCTTCTTCTTCGTCTCGTTTATCACAGTCAAGTTGATAGAGGTAGTTTAAGGTCTCAGAGTCTTCAAAATTAATAGTCTCTAAATTGAGAGACGTAGTAGATGACCAGACGTACCGCCATCTCCTAGAAAGGATACTTGTAGCTACTGCTTCCTTTAGCGGCAAGAGTGACACTATGCTAACAATAACCTCATATGGCAACTCACTGATTCGGTCCTCCACCACCTTGTGCTCATCATCCTTGATTATTTTCCTTCTCTTTCCCGGCTCATCTAACTTGTACTCATCATCCTTATAATTATGGAGATATCAGAAAATTTATATAAAAATAATAATAAAATAATAAAGTAACGCACTAGTGGTGTTGTTGCTATGGGTCTATTTGATTTCATCATTCAGTCAAATGATTTCAACTATAATTTTTTTTTCAAAAATCAAATAATAGCGACCGATAACAACATTAAGAAAATAAACGTACCAAAAAAATATGCAAAATTTTGAACAGGTTATATAAAGGGAAAACAAAAAAAAGTTTAAAAGGGTGCAATTTTGATGCATGCTAGTGTTAGTGTAGAAACTAGTTTGTGATGTTTACCTCGAGTTGGACAGATTGAGAGGTTGTGCTCATTCTTTTTTCCACTAAAACTGGGAGTTTGCGACGAGTCACAGCAGTGCTTGGCGTGAAGAGTTAGTTTTAGGGATTTTGTCAAATGAAAGAGGGAGAGAGAAACGTAATTGCAGATATGCCGTGCTGCAAATTTAATTTATAATTACATTGTTAGTTTTTGTAGAGAGAGAGGGAGAGCGTTTTGTATAGAGAGAGGGAGAGCGTTTTGGGGAGAGAGAGAGAGAGAGAGAGAGAGAGAGAGCGTAAGAATGAGAAAATTGGGGAGAGAGAGAGAGAGAAAATGGGTGTAGTTTTTTTTTTGGGACATTTTGGAAAAAGCAAAAGGAGAGAGAAAAATTTTAAAAGAAGCAAAAATGGACAAAAATGCCCTAATTTATTTTTAGATTTCTTAAGGAATCCAATACATTTGCATGTCTTTGATTTGAAGTTGAGCGGTTTTTTTGTCTTTTTTGAAAAAGCTTTGGTTTTTTCCAAAAGTGAAAATTTTTTTATGTCTAAAACGCTCCCATTTTTTTATGCCATCTAAAAAAAAAAAAAAAAAAAAAAAAAAAAAAAACAAACAACATCTCCCATTTTTCAAATAATAAAAAATCACCTTAAAGATAGGAGTTGAATACGCTGTCTAGTCTTCCCCACCTCAAGATTTTGAAAACTAGTAATTCTTTTAAGTTTTCAAATCAACTTGTTCATCTTCTTATTATTTTTCATTGTGACGTGACGGGTATAAGTCTAATTTTTTGTCAATCCACTCGGCCAAGAATCTATACATATCTACTGAAGCTAATCCACAAGGAAAAACAACTCTAGGTTTTCAAAATTAGGTACTAGGACAAAAACCCACACTTAAGGAAAGGATTCAAATTCTTTCTACTGTGTCAAATATCTATATATGTTGCTCATTTGATAATCTTTGGTGATTCAGTTATCCATTATTTCTATTATCACTTGGATTCTTAGGGCTCGTTATGAGTGATTTCTCCATCTAAAAAGAACGGTGTGCAATGAGGAAGAGAATGCAAGAGACCCATTTATTCATATGATGCACCAATAATGATCAACCCAGATTCTCTTTTCTTTTTCCGCTTTAGAATTATCTACCAGTTGTTTTGGGTCATTTAAACTTTTAACACTTGTTTTCTTTTTTCTTTACTTTTAGTTCATTAGATTCAAGATACTCTGAATTGCATAGAGTCAATATTGACTGGTACGTAATGGAAAATATCCCACGTTCGTTCCGGTTCATTATAACTCTTTGAGTTGCTTGGCAAGACACTACATTAACGAAAGGACAAAAGCACAGAGCCAAAAGCTGATTTCTTATTAACACCTGAAAATTAACTCAAGAGTAGGGAAAACAAATGAGTAATCATGTCTGATTCACAATTAAATTAATTTCTAAGATACTTAATAACTTTAGAAGAAAAAAAGGGATAAAATAGTCTAGACACGAACCAACCAAAGCAACTAAAATATTTTGCTGAATTCCCTCATTGTCTGATCTCGACCTTTTGCCCGGTGGTGCTGCGTTGTCTTCAAAACTTACACTATAGTTCCATCACTTCTCCAATTATCCTAAATGAGGGGAAATTGCCTCACCTTAAAATGCCACTATAACGAATTCTATTGGGTTATCGAATTCTACTGAGTATCCTAAAACTATAAATACCTAAATCTGCAACTTCCCCTCAACAAATAAATAAAATATGGTGAGACCAGGAAAAGGGATCACACAGAAGAGATACACTCAAGATCCTCATTGGGAGCCGTGCACATGGAATTGTCACCTTTGGGGTTGATCTGAACCGGCTGCTCCAGAAGTGGTGCTCGGCCCAGCACCATTCTCAATCGGAGGGGAAGTGCCCCATCTTCCTTCTGATTCTAAAGGCTCGAGTACATGCACTCCACCATCTGTAAGTCCTAATGCAAACTGATTGGGTTCAGATGGATGTGCCGCAACAACGAGAGGATGCACAAAGCTGCTAAAACGTTTATTGTTAGATATGTTATTTACAACACAGAAAGACCGCAAATATCCTAGGAAAAAAAATTTATTATCTTCACTTTGCTTACAAAAAAACATACCTTGGATTTGGAGGTAAATAAGCAGTAGGTAGTATTCGGCATCTCAATCTAAGTGTAGAAGCAGTGAGAACCCCCACACTTCCATCTTCAAAGCTAACATAAATTGACTGGCTATCACAGGAATACGTAGCATGTGTGATTGGACCACTAGCTTCTCGAGGAACCCACTACATGAGAAACATAGTTCCACAGATGTAAGTAGCACTAAGTAAACCCAAACAACAAAGTAAAAGCAAACAATTAAACACATTAGAACATCACAATCACCGAAACATTTATCTTAATGCTTGCTTGCACTCTTACTAGATACAAGCTTATGCCAGTGTTGTATGCATGAAATGATCAAGGCCCATGCAATAATATCTATTTTAATGCTGGCTGTGTTAATCTGAACTAACAGGATTTTTTTTAATTTAAAAAATAAATTTGAGCAAAAAATAAACCATTGCACCTGCTTGAGGCATTCTAATTTTGGTGCTTCGTATATGGCTATCTGTGTTTCATGAACTGCCAGCAAAAGTGTCTGATCTAAGTGAAACTGAACTCGGGTATCTGCAAGAGGAGCAGCAGCTCGCCCACTTGGAATCGGAAGAAATTTACTGGCCTGCTTCTCCCATCCATCTGTGTTCCAAACACACAACTGCAGCGAAGAAAAATAAAAGCATTGATGACTTAACAACTCCAGTACCAACACCTAGTCAAACTATTGAAGCGTCTCTTGCATGAAGTTCAAGGACAGAAACAGAAAGACTATATTGGTTAAAAGCAAGGAAGTCTAAAACCAACAGCTTTTTGTAAAGGCCTGAGGGAATCAACACCTAAGTGACTAAGTAAACCACAATTCTAGAGAAATGCATTTCAGAAAAGCATTCTCCACTTACGGTTAAATGAAATGATTTCAACGTGAATCATCAAATGCAACCAGGGAATCAGTTTGCTATGAAGTTTAACTATAAACTATCTGGATACTAGGTTGATCCGTTTTGGCTTGGCTACTTGTGATAAGTTACTTCTGTTAGTCACTAGTTCATTGCTTAAAGCCTTAAAGGCACAGCAACATGCACAGATATAGACTCGCACATTCATACCTGGGAATCAGCGCCCGATGATACAAGCACATTAAGAACATGAGAAAAGGCAAGGCCTGTTATTCTTTTCTGATGTCCCTTTAGCTTGGTTTTAACCTGTGAGAGGAGCATCCAGATTGTAAGCAATCCCATATTCCAGATATCATCACAAACTGACAAATTTAAGTTCAGTGAACAGAGACCTCATCAACCCGAACATTGTAAATTTGGATGGAAGAATCTTCCATTCCTATGGCAATGATATTATTGTCTTGAGGATGAAACGCCAGATATGTTGCAGCTGGTGGTGGGGGCATGAATGTTGTCATTGTCTGCAATTCAAAAGGCATAACAATATCACAACAATATAAAACAATGAGTTGTTGCCATTGTCTTTTTTCTTTTTTTTTCTTTTTTTTTTTTTTTTTTTTTTTTTTTTTTTTTTTTTTCCCCTCCCTTTTTTTTTTAATAGTTTTCATTGTTTACAATAAAGGAAGCATAAGAATGATTATAACATCGTAGAAATAACTTCAATTTTCATGCCACCCAAAGAAAGTTAGCTACATCCGATTGAAAGCAAACAGAACACTGACAGTTTCACCGTGAGTCTATTACCAAACCAAAATATGCTCATCCCAACCCGTTTTTAAAAAATATTGTTAATTACCATTTATCCTTCTGTATGATTACCTTCCATAGATTTACCTAAAATGACATAGTTTAAACAAATAACACAAAACAGAAACAAACTGAGCAAAAATGAATATAATTAGGTTTTAAGGGTATTTTAGAAAATATTGGTGGGTAGATTGAAAAATATGATTCTTCTTTTTTTTTTCCTGATTTTCAATAGGTGTATGCAAAGTAGATGGTGGAGTAAGCATTTTGAAGGACGGTACAGAAGCACCACTGTCTTTTTAGATTGTCTTATGTATGACACTTCAAAAGTTTCATAGACGATGCATATTCAGTATCTTATCTTAAATTAATCAACCCGTACACTAGATGTATCGAATGAGAGAAATTTTCAGAGGAAACAACTTACCTTAAATGTCATCATATTGAAAAGGGATATTTTCCCCCCTGAAGCTGACATAACATATGAGTCATTCTTTGAAAGTGCAAAGCATGGAACAGCATCTTCAGGGTTTGTATCGCTTATATCATTGGTCATCAATATTCCACTTGCAGGTTGCCACAATTGGGGTACAGTACTAGCTGTGGCCTACAAGAAATAAACATTTTAGTAAATGGCAAGCTTAAGGATACATAAAAAGTTACAAAAATGCAACCATCTCTGTTAGGAATTCTAATACCTTAGTCGTGTTTCGTTCGTTTCTTTGCCATTTCCAGAGCTTGTGTACAGCATTAGATGATAATGCCAATACGGCAAGTCCTGAATTTGTATAAATTAATCTAGAAACCTGAAATAATTATCAATACTCAGAGCTTGACATTAAAACATGCATGGTCTCATGAAAATGTTTTAAAAGGAACAAACATCAAATGCATATATTACAGAGGTTCACCATGTAGTGTTTGTACTGAAACGTCTTAAAAGGAAATCACAAATCTTTCCACAAGATTAATTTTGGTTTGAGTACAATTCATATGCTTAAAAAAGTAACTCACTGAAAATTACAGCACAACATAATCAATGTACTCTAAATAAATAGGATGAGGTTTTTCCACAACATTGCTCTTTATCTACAAGGTGTAGCATGCATGATGCACAAAGAAAAGAAAACAGAACAAAGCATAAAATATAAACCTAAAAATTTATAGATAAATAATCCTGACTCCTGTATCACAATTTAACACTGGCACGAGTGGGTCAAACATCCATTTCCACAAGCAGAAAAAAAGTTCTACAGGATGTCTCACAGTGTTAGAATGCTCAAACACGTTATATAAGTATGCATATAAAGTATAAGACCATATAAGGTTTGCATGGCCCATCTTTTGAAAAAGTATTTATTTTCTTTGCAAGGTCAAACTAAGTTGTAAAAACTATGCTAACAAACAGGTTTATCTCAGATGAACAATCACTGGCTGATGATGCAACAAGAATAGAGATAAGAATGTGCTTCAAGAAAGTAAAATAAGGGGTAATTACGCACACGTGAAATATTGCAGGAATTCACACAGTTCATAGAGAGCCAAGGCATGGGAAAATGTATTTAAAAATTATAAGTTTTAACAATTTAGGACAAAAGAGAATCAATACCCTCGTTGCTGTTAAACTATCAGGGAGCCTCAGTGACCGGCATTGTGATGGTTCATTGATTTCAGTCAGTTTCCAGATCCTGGATTTTTCTATCGACTCATCGGCAATTCTAGGTTTCACGTCAACCAAACTTCGACTATCACTGTTCTACAAAAACTCCAAAAAGAAAAGGTTAAACCATTGAATATCACAACACCCTTTTTTACTATTGGAAAAAAATAATGGATTCAAACACATCTCATATGCATAATCACATACATTTTGATCGGATCATTAAAGCATAAGTTATGTTGATGATGGTAATATGAGAGAGATCATGACACTCACCAGTCCAACCATGGCTACCACTGGAGCAGATCGCTCTCCAATGCTTGTTCCAACTATGCTGGAAGACCCAAATGTTCCTAGTGGCGGGGCCTGCATATTAATGATGCATTTAGCTAATGAGTTTTAAGTTTAACAAGATACGGAAAAGTTGAAACTTTACCTTCACAGCAGCTGCAGAAGCAGCTCTTGAAGCATCAAATGTACGACTTTCCACAGTTCTTAGCAACCTAATTCCATCAGAATTTGCCAGAATTTTAATACCATTGTCATTCGTTGATGCAGCTAACAGTATTCCTTCCTTGTTAAATCTAATAGTGGGAGAAGCCTGCAGGTTTATAAGATCGTGATGATTATCTGGGAGGAACAGTTATATTGAGAAAAATAAACAAGTTGTAGTGCCTACCGGCAATCCACCATCTGCATCAGTACTTATCAAAAGGTTGACGTTGTCCATGTCCCAAAATTTGACCGTGAACTCATCACCAGCCGCCAAGAACCGATTCTTAGTAGTATCAAACTGCACAACCCCAACAGTTCGCTTTGCAAGACCATGATAGGTACGCTTTACAGCTCCTTCACTTTCATTCCACTCCACCAAGTATGAATCACCTTCTTTATTTGTCCCACATGAGAACAACCTATGTTGTTCAGAGATGATACAAAGATGTCCATGATAATATCACACATAAAAGAAATAAAAAATATCAACATCACTAAAAGAAGAATGACTTTGTAAAGGGTGCAGAAAATATGCCAACCTTGTTCCATCAGCACTGTATGCCATGGTGGTAGAAGAATGGCCTGGTGCATCATAGTCAACTCTTGAGCCCACAGTATCATACAACCATGCCTTTATTTTTCCATCAGTAGCTGTCGAGAAAATAAACTGAAAAGGAAATAGTAGTAAATCAGAAATTGTTAGTACTATATAATCGTATAATCTATTAAACATCAAATTAAAGTTACTAATACCTAAAACTGCATAGGATTTTTTTTTATGTTGAGAGCCCCCCAAATATTTGTTTTTTCTATGTACTTTATGAATTAGTTTCTTATTCCCCCATCTGGTGAAAGTAAAGAGTAATATGGAGCAATTCACCAATCTGTAGAAAGTTTTTAAATTCGAACTTAACAATCCATACTTCTAAACATCTTGAGTAGCTTTTACCATGTTGTGGACGTCCCAAAGAATAAATATGGGAAAGTGGTGTCGAAAAATATAGCAGAGTTGAGTTCCATTCATTTTCAAATCTTTGAATGAAATAACCAGCTCTTATGTAATAACTGTTCCACATTCTCCATTTAATTCTCATCAGAAAAAAAAAAAAAAAAAAAAAAAAAAAAAACTGTTACTTGTCATTTTATTTTTATAAGAGCATCTACAATCGTGCTCTCTATTTTTAGTTAGATATAGCTATACTCCCTATTTTTAGTTAAATATAGCTATACTCCCTACAATCGTGAACTCCAATCATACTCCCTAGTTTAGGGAGTCATAAATACTATAATTATTTTTTGATTTAATATAATTGGTCAATCTCTAAAAATAATAATAATAATAAAATAGTTAGTATTAATTAAAAGTTTAAAATATGCATAAAACAAAGCGGCATTAAATTACAGGGAGCCACTAGGAGCCCTTTCTCTCTCCTCAAATTTAGGAGCTCCTAGAGGTCTCCCTATTTTAGGAGGTGGATAAGGAGCATGGTTGGAGTTGTATTTTTCCAATTCCTCCCTAAAATTTGTCTAAGGAGGTGGTTTAAGAAGCCCATTGTGGATGCTCGAAACAATACCTCTTCTGGAAAGGAGAGGGGGTAGGGACAAAATAACCAAACAGCTTCATTTTGCATTCCAGGTTATCAACATGATAAAATGAAACAGATATTACCTGGATATTCTCCTTGTGATGTGGACACACCGAATGTACAGGTGCTTCATGGCCCTCAAAAGTATAGTGCTTAGTCCCAGTGACTGCATCCCACACCTGCAGAATATTGAAAAATCATAACTGACATTGAACTTGAACCTGCACAATCACTTCAGAATTAGTTAAGTCATAGATCAAACCTTAATGACCCTATCCTCCCCACACGTGACAACGCACAGCTGTTTGTTGGGATATGAGAAAGCAAGATCATTTACACTTCCAACATGAGCCTCGATCTGAAAACAAGAGGACAACCACAGCAATACTTAAGTCAATTTACCCCCATACAGAAACATGAGACATCTAGCGAGAATAGGAACATATGTAGTAGATTAAAAAAAAAAAAACAAAATAAAATAACAAGATAACTATCTTCGAAGGGATGGGTTAATGGAACAAACCTCTAGGTGATTTTGTATATCATCACCACCCTGATAGGAGTATATGTGCACAATGTGCTTAGAGTATGCAACACCTGCAGTAGAAACCTGATTGATCATAACCAGCTTAAGATTCATTTCCTATTTCTTGACAATACTTTCTTTTGATGAACTAGCAGGTGTCTAATTCACAATATGAGAATAAAATTAAATAGACACTAAACAAACAAGGACACCTATGCTTACCAAAAAGTGTCCCATCAGGGCTCCACATCACGCGGTTGATTGATGCTGTATAGTCACTGGCCAAAGATGCCTATTGGACAATGAAAAGGGGAATGTTCTTTCATAATAATGACAAATAATGACTTCTGAAATGCTTCCATATTATACTCAATTTCGAATTATTAGAGAATCAAAAGCCAAACCTGCAGTGGCACTGAACATTTTCCAAGATCCCAGACTTTGAAGTTCTTAATAGCAATCTTT